CTGTAGTACGGGTGATGATCTAGTGCGTTACATTTCTTGAACACATGGGATTAGCCGATTACGAATATTTTATAATATCCTTCCGATTGAAAATTTTAAAATCAAAAGACTGTTATATCCTAGCTGTTGTACTAATGACGATGAAATAATGTAAGGGTATCTTCGGAATTTGAAGTAGCATAGTAAAAAGCTACCAAGTACGATTCTGTCGAGTCTCGCCTCTGGTCTGTGTCTGGCGACCGTTAGGCATTTTTAGGCTCTTGCCTGTTGTCAAATTTTCCACAGCATTGTTTTGTCAAATTTAAACGTAAGAATATTAAGTACAAACAACTAAACAAGTTCTGATTGTTTTTTTCCTATCAATGTCATAGATCCGAATATGTGTATATTTGAATTTGAATTATTGATGCAAAAAATTTCTTCTTTCTAAAGGATCAATCACCCAGTAAACAAAATTTAACTATACACTAAAATAATTAGTGCGAAATCGTTTGTTATGTGTTGACAACTACTGATTTGATCATGAAATGAATCTATACGCTTGGAATTAAGTCATTAACTCAAAACACAGTTTCTGTGAGTTTAGTTTGATCATACCGACATTGTGACCTCAAATTTGGTTTATAGTAATCATGCAAAAAAACCAAAAAATCAGAAGAAAATAACAAGAGGAGGGTAGAATACAAGTGGCATTACAAAAGTGTATAGTTAAGCCGTTGTGTATGTCTTTTATCTCGAACGATCACAAGATTTTGATACAAGACATGGATTCTTGTCACAACAACTTCCCACATATTTTTATCAAAAAAAAAACAAACAAACAAACATTTCCCACATATCTTTGTTTACCCCAAAATTTTGAAAACAAACCAATAATTCCAAAAGTATATTTGGTCATAGGACTCACATTCATGATTTTAATTTGAAGCATTCCTTTGTGATTTTTGGGATGTGGTCCAAAACTTTAGACACAGGCTGGTCCAAGCGAAGTACGACAAAAAAAAATACATGTAAATATTTGAATATAGCTTATAATAATTGAATTGAACAATAATATGTAGTATAACAACGAGTCAATGACATATGTTTTTTTTTTTGGACATTTTAACAATAACAATGACATATGTATATATATATATATGCACACGTTTGGTAGAGAAATGTAATGATTCACAGCTTCATAGTTGCTGGCAATCACCAAGAGCCAGAGAATTCATGCATTTTCCGACAAAATAGTAGTATGAAGTATGAACACAAAAACCAAACATATAAAATAGTTGGAGCATAATTCACAAATCGGATAAAAAACAAAAACTCTTTGCCATTTCCAAAAATCGGATAAAAAGCAAAAACTCTTTGCCATTTCCAAGATCGTTTTCTGCTATCACCGCTTTGAGTATTTTAGACAGTTTAAGATTAGAAAATCCAATTGAAAAATATAGGTTTATTTTTATTGTTCCCTTCAGTATATATAGCACAAAAATAAAGTTTTGTTAATTGTCTACTTAAAAGACATTATGGATACATTTCTATTGGATAATGGTCCACAAGTTCAATAAAATTATCTTAATAAAGTAATTAGTGATCACTGATCACTGATCACCTAATGATACTATTATATAACTTCTATAAAGTGGCAGTGACAGATGTAGTTGTTGGGAATGCCTTTTGCCAAACCATGTTATGATTTATATTTTGATTAGGACTGTTATTGGTTTATTAATTTGTAAATCCATATAGAATTTGAAAATTTCTATGAATTATGAAATCAAGATATATGGATTTTGAAATAACATGTGTTTACCCATGGATTTGAATCCTTCTATTTTTCTCTTTCAATTCCATTCAAATCCATTTAAAACATAATTTGGATTCTCAAATCCAAAAACAATTGACTAAACGAATAACATATGATTTTAACTAGTATTTATAAATCATAGAACCAATAACACATGATTTTAATTAGGATTTTAAAATCAATGATTGAATAACAAATGATTTTTGTATGGATTTCTAATTCCTTATAAATCAATGAACCAATAACCCCTCCTAAATGAAAATGGCATAGTAAGTTGAAGAGGAAAAGTATCAACATACATGTTTTTGACAAAAAAAAAAAAAAAAAAAAAAAAAACATACATGTGTGTGTGTGTGATGTTGACCGGTTTGCTCATAAATTAGTGTGTAGGAAATTTGTACCCATTTCACATTTGAAAGTTACAATTTCTATCTTTCTTCAAAGTTCAAACGCCTATTTATAACACAAATAAAAATCATAAAGTTAGAATATTTGGAAGCCATAGAAGAAAAAACACTCTCATCGTATCATATAGTTTAGTTTAGTAGATCCGAAATTAGATATTTGATCAAAAAATATGGTTAAGAAAACTATCATTTAAAGAACATTTTGACAATTTCACATTCAACAAAATTGTTATAAAAAACTTAATAAATGTCAGTCACTTAAGAACTATATGATCTAGGGTCAATTACTTTTTAGCTTTATAGAAGAGAAAAAGTAAATCAAAGCCATACGATCGAGAATCTAATTATGTCAGTCAAAGCACAAAAATGGAGCCCACGATACTACAATACATGCATCGTCATTATTTTCGTTACTTTTCCTTTTTTTTTTCTTTTTTCTAATGTATATCATGCTTTTGATAGGTCATGGTATCATGAAAAACCTAATGTGCCATGGCTTTTCCAATCTTTAAAGTGCTTTTCAGTTGCTTTCTTGCTTAAAAGTATTCTCTGAGAGAATCTCTTAGCCATATGCATTGCATATTCAAACCCAACCACATGCTTTGCCTTTTTGCTTACTTCGCTGTTTTTTTTTTTCTTTTCTAACAAGAATCACAAATCGTCTCGGCCCATTAAGAGCCCATATTTAAACCTCTAACCCACAGAGAAGGTTTTGTAGGAGTATGAAAAACTGAAACGACGTCGTAGATGAAGCTGAGCTCATCTGCCACTTCTTTCTCTTAAGCTTCGTCTCTCTCCGGCGATCGATTCGCCGATAAGCCTCAGGTAGTCAGGTGCGTCTGTCTCGACCTTTTCCTATATTATGCAAAACTAAACAAAGATGTACCTAAAGCTGTAATTGACATAAGATACTGAAAAAAGTTATCAATTTTGAGTGTAATTTAAGCTTGAGTTCACAAAATTCTTCATATATCATTACAAGAATCAGTTTTTCATTGTTACAATCATGAAACTTGCATCATCTTCGTGGTGAATTTGTTGTTTTTGTAAATTATTCTCAAGTGAATTGACTGAGATACTCATCAATACTCGTGTACTTGACATCAGGGTAAAGCTCAGAAGCTTCCTCACCGAACCAAGGCTGTATAGTGAAACTGGTCTGATCTCCCTTCACAAACACCGCGTGGTTTATCGACTTAAAAACATCGATGGGAACTGGAGATTACGCAAAATGAACATATCTTACAATTCAGCTAATGAAATGAAGTGGTAATAAAGAACCTAAACAACTTCTTGGTAAATGGTGATCAGATTTTGATTTCTAACCTTGGATGCTTTTAAGGATTTCTTCTTCTGAGATGTGAGTCTTCTCAAGAGACGTGCCGATCTTTTTCTCCCACAAGGTGACCATTTCGTTCATAGATAAAGTGTTGTTAGGAGGACTAATGTAGAGGGTTTTGTTCAGAGTCCTTGGATCATCCACTGTCCTGATCGTGTAAGCAGCAATATCTTCCTCTTTGTTGATCACAACTGCAAAAACAATAGAAAAACTTGTTAACTAAGAATCTATTTTTTTCTAGATTCTACTTTCTGTTACATTATAAAGTTCTCAACCTTTGGCATTTCCATCGCCTAAAATGGTGACTTTGTCTCTAGGAGGAACATTTTCGTTGCCAAAAAGGATGTCCTTGTCTCTAGTATGAGAAATGAGACCAGACTCGAACTGAACTAACGTACGCAAGTAAAAACCCGCAGAGCAATTGCTAACAATGTAAGTGTATGGTATTCCTTCAGCTTCAATGGCTCTCCTGATCTGTACCTTCCCTGCAAATAATGATTTTGCCGGCTCAACCGCACTTGTTCTCTCCACGTCTGTCCCAAACTCAGCCGGCAAGAATCTCTGGAAAACAACAAGCTACAAATCTAGTAAGAGACTATGTGCAATTGGATTTTTCTCATAACTATATCTTTTTAGTTAAATCATATGCTAATCGGATTCCCAGTTATATGTAACGAGGCTTTAATCAAATACCGACCCTGATGTTACCGGCTTCTTTAATGGCGGAAATGATCTTGGTTTGATCCAAGATTTGCTTGTGCCCGATGGTTGATATCACCACATCAACCTGTTTAATGGCCTTCACTAAGCTCTCATGATCATTCAAATCTCCCTGTCCAAGTTACATAACTAAGGTTATGGTTATGAATTTGTGTGAAACATGTTAGAGAGTGAGAGTTCATGCATACGTGTAGTATTGTGACTCCGAGATCTTTGAAACTCTGGATGGTTTTGCTCTTGACAGGATCGGAGATAGATGCTTCTCGGACAAGAGTGAATGTTGGGTTACTGGCTTTCGCGCTCCCTTCAACGATGAATTCTCCCATGTAACCAGTCCCTCCGATCACCAGAATCTTGCATTTCTCCGTCGCCATGTTTCAAACGTGGTAATGACTAATGAGTGTGTACTACTAATTCAATAATGCTGTGGAATTTGAGTGAAGGACTGGCGTTGGCAGGGCAATTTATGGACAGATAATTTGTTGGTTGATTGACGACAATACCCTCACTCAACATCACAGTACACAATTTATTGTTACTCACATGATGAACATGTTCTGCTCGTAAAATACAAATTGCATTTGGCCATATGTTAATTTTTGTGATATTATTGTGGTTTAACAGCTTTATGGACCGTAATGGCTTAATCATGGATGCATATCGTTTCTCACGAGCTCCATTGAGGTGGAAATAGAGGTAAAGCACTGTGATTAGTCACACACACACACACACATTCTTCACCATTACATTTTTATTGATACAAACATGAAACTAGCGTCGTTTAGGTGTTTAATGAAGTTCCTAAAGCGAAATAACTGAGATACTCGTCAACACTCGTGTACTTGATATCAGGGTAAAGCTCAGAGGCTTCAAAACCGAACGAAGGCTCTATAGTGAAATTGGTTTGATCACCTTTCACAAACACCGCGTGGTTTATCGACAGAAGAACGTTGAAGGGAACGGGAGACTCTGCCAAAAAGGAAGAACTTTATATTCAGCAAATGAAAAAAGGCAGTAATAAAGAATCTAAAAACCTCTTGGTGAATTGATTTTCTAAACCTTGGATGCTTTTAAAGATTTGTTCCTCTGACATGTATATCTTCTCAAGAGACTTGCCGATCTTTTTCTCCCACAAGGTGACTATTTCATTCATTGATAAAGTGTTGTTAGGAGGACTAATGTAGAGGGTTTTATTTAGAGTCCTAGGATCATCCACTGTTTTGATAGTGTAAGCAGCAATATCTTCCTCCTTGTTGATCACAGCTACGAAATATTCGACCGTGTTAGATTCAGTTGTGTAAAAAGCACTTTAATGTTTTGGATATGAAACTAACCTTTGGCATTTCCGTCTCCAAATATTTTGACTTTATCTTTAGGAGGAGAAGTGAGACCAGGCTCTAACTGAACCAATGTGGGCAAGTAGTAACCGGCAAAGTAATTGGTAACAAGGTAAGTGTATGGTATTCCCTCGGCTTCAACGGTTCTCCTGATCTGTAGTTTCCCTGCAAAAGTCGATTTCGCCGGCTCAACCGGACTAGTCCTGTCCACATCCATCCCAAACTCAGACGGAAAGAATCTCTGCAGAACAACAAATTCAATATGAGAATTGACCCTCTAATCGGATTCCACTCATATGTAGCGGTTTGAATCAAATACCAACCTTCACGTTACCGGCTTCTTTAATAGCTGAAATGATCTTGGTTTGATCAAAGATTTGCATGCTCCCAACGGTTGATATAACCACATCGGCTTGTTTAATGGCCTTCACTAAGCTCTCGTGATCGTTCAAATCCCCCTAACCAAGTTATATACATAACTAAGGTTATGGACTTATGGTTATTGAATTTGTATGAAACATATTAATGAAGGGATCAAGCGTACATGGAGTATTGTGACGCCGAGATCTTTAAAATTCTGGACGGTTTTGCCCTTGTTGGGATCCGAGAGAGAGGCTTCTCTAACCAGAGCCAGTGTGGAGTGTCCGGCTTTCACGCTCGCTTCTATAATGAGTTTTCCGATGTGACCAGTTCCGCCGATCACCAGAATCTTGCTCTTCTCTGACGCCATGTTTTAGATTTGAAATTGAATGCTAAGAGAATGATTTTGGGATGTGAGCGAAGAAATAGCACTTTACGGACCAAACAAAACATTGGTCGGCCGGTTGATTTAAGATTAGAAATACGATAATACCCTTACCGAACCTTTCTTTAATTAGAAAATTGAAAAAAATTTCTTGGTTCAAGTCTCAAAAGAACCCTATTTATTTTCTATTTTCTTGTTTTATCTATGAACTCTAATTAATCTACTTAAAATCCTATTATTATTAATACCTTCGCTGAATCTAGGCAATGGACATGACCAAATTCAAATTCTATTACCAAACTCAAGGTTTGATATTTATATTTTCTGATTTGGATACAAAAATATTTGATTTGGGTTTAAAAAAAAAATGATTTGAATAAAAAATTTTAGGTACCTAACATATTGATAATCATGTATAGACTTATAGGTACGAATTATATATTACTAATTCATATTCCTTCGGAAGATCGGAAACAGAGGTAAAGCACTGTGATTACTGATTTAAGTCACACAAACACACACACATTACAAGAACCAGTCTTTTATTGATATACAAACATGAAACAAGCGCGTCATGGTGGTAAATTACGTGTTTTTATGAAATTCATCAAACGAAGTAACTGAGATACTCGTCAACACTCGTGTACTTGACATTAGGGTAAAGGTCAGAGGCTTCCACACCAAAGGAAGGCTCTATAGTGAAATTGGTCTGATCTCCTTTCACAAACACCGCGTGGTTTATCGACAGAACAACATTGATGGGAACCGGAGACTCTGCCAAAAAAATAACTCTTTTTATTAAGGAATGAGAAAGGTAGTAGTAGTAACAAAGAATCTAAAAACCTCTTGGTGAATTGATTATCTAAACCTTGGATGCTTTTAAGTATTTGTTCATCTGGAATGTGAGTCTTCTCGAGAGACTTGCCGATCTTTTTCTCCCACAAGGTGACAATTTCGTTCATAGATAAAGTATTGTTAGGAGGCTTAATGTAGAGAATTTTGTTCAGAGTCCTAGGATCATCCACAGCCTTGATCGTGTAAGCAGCAATATCTTCCTCTTTGTTGATCACAGCTACGAAATATTCTACCGTGTAAGATTGAACTGTATAATAAGCCTTAGCCACATTAATGTTTGGATTCTTGAAACTAACCTTTGGCATTTCCATCGCCAAGAATGGTGACTTTGTCTCTAGGAGGAGAAGTGAGACCAGGTTCAAACTGAACCAATGTAGGCAAGTAGTAACCGGCAAAGCAACCGGTAACAGCGTACGTGTATGGTATTCCTTCCGCTTCGATGGCTCTCCTGATCTGTATCTTTCCTGCAAAAGCCGATTTCGCTGGCTCAACCGCACTTGTCCTGTCCACGTCTGTCCCAAACTCAGACGGCAAGAATCTCTGCAAATAACATATCCAATATGAGACTATATGTACAATTAGGTATCTCTAGTCTAGAACTACTCTTTCATATGCTAATCGGATATAATTTGTTTTAAAACAATACATTATACAAGTTTAAATTCTGGTGGTGACAGATCGACAACACTAAAAGACTAATGGGTTTGAATCAAGGTAATATGAAATACCGACCTTGACGTTACCAGCTTCTTTAATGGCGGAAATGATCTTGGTTTGATCCAAGATTTGCAAGCTCCCAACGGTCGATATAACCACATCGACCTGTTTAATGGCCTTTACTAAGCTTTCGTGATCATTCAAATCTCCCTGACCAAGTTACATAACTAACGTTATGGCTATGAAATTTTGATGAAACATACATAGTAAAAGATATAGTCATATAGAGTTCAAGCGTACGTGTAGTATTGTGACGCCGAGATCTTGGAAACTCTGGACGGTTTTGCCCTTGACGGGATCGGAGAGAGTTGCTTCTCTAACCAGAGCGAATGTGGTATGGCCAGCTTTGGCGCTCGCTGCTACAATGAATTTTCCGATGTAACCAGTTCCGCCGATCACCAGAATCTTGCTTTTCTCCGAAGCCATGTTTGGTAATGAATGGGTGCGCAAAGGTTTTGAGTGGTAAGAGAATGATGATTGAAGGAATGGTTTGGGCAGCGCAATTTATGGACCAGACATTGGTTGGTTGATTTACGATAATACCCTTACTGAACCTTACTTCAATTCTAAGATATTTTATTTCTTGTTCGTGCCTCCACATCAAACTCTAATTAAAATCCTAATTAGCTAATTCTTTTGATGAACCTAGACATAGACATGTCCAAAAGAAAACCGTACCGTTTAAAGTGATTGTAGCCGTAATATAAATACTGGTTAACTAGAAGGTTAAAACCTTAAAACAATAATCGTAACCGTTATTTAAATAAACTTAATCAATTGACCCCATCCCTTAGCCCCCAACAGGATCGTTAGTGAGCTTATAAGGGGTTTTAAAGAACAAAACAAATTAAATTAATGAGATAGAAAATTATCGGACTCTCATTAATTGGTCACAAACTATATAATTGTGTGATTTATATACAGAACCAGACTAAGCAAACCGAAGCCTTAATCCAAAAGAGAAAAAGGAATTAGGAGACTGTCAGACTGGTTTATATACATATGGAATCTGGACGCATAATAGATCAAATTCATTGACAAATACATTCTAACATCACAATGCGATGATGATTTATTATTTGTTTTTATTGGTTACACTTGGACAAAGATTTGACCATTGATTAGTGAAAAAAGAAGAGAGCCTATGAACCAATTGGAGAAGGTTCGAATATATTGGAAACACTGAACCGACGTAACAGCCACGTTATCAATGACGTCACAAATTTCATGAACATGTATATATTTAAAGACCAAAGATTTGCTTTCCTTTTTTTTTTGAAAGATACTTTGCCTATTTCATTCATATTTTGCGTTTAAAGAGAATTTTATTCCTCGACTCGGTGCGAAAATCAAAAGATCGATGGCTCTCGATATCTGCGTCAAGGTTGCCGTCGGTGCTCCTGATGTTCTCGGGGATTGTATGTTCTCTCTCTATCTCTATCCCCTCTCCGATCATCGATCTTCGTTTTGTTTATTATGCACATTAAGCTTGATTTCACAAATTAGGGTTTTTGATCTGTGATCTACAAATGCGTCGTGTGATTGATTCGTATCTTTTGCAGGTCCGTTTAGCCAACGTGTTCTTCTGACCCTTGAGGAGAAGAAGCTTCCTTACAAGACCCATCTGATTAACGCCTCCGACAAACCCCAGTGGTAAGTTTTGTGAACCCAATAATTACTGATGAAATTTGATTAGCTTAATGTGTAATCCCCAAATCGAAATCGAAATTATGGAAAGTTAAGATTTTTTCAATGTTTTTTTGTAAATTTGTGGGCTTTTGGTAGTTTTTCTATGAAATTATAGTGACATTTGTGTTTTTTAGGTTCTTAGACATTAGTCCGGAGGGGAAAGTTCCTGTGGTGAAGCTTGATGGCAAATGGGTGGCTGATTCAGATGTTATCGTTGGACTTCTTGAGGAGAAATATCCAGAGCCTTCTCTCAAGACTCCTCCTGAATTTGCCTCTGTAGGATCCAAAATCTTTGGTGCTTTTGTGACTTTCTTGAAGAGCAAAGACGCTAATGACGGATCCGAGAAGGCGTTGGTTGATGAGTTAGTAGCGTTGGAGAATCACTTGAAGACACATTCTGGTCCTTTTGTTGCTGGAGAGAAAGTTACTGCAGTGGATTTGAGTTTAGCACCAAAGCTTTACCATCTTGAGGTTGCTCTTGGTCATTACAAGAATTGGTCTGTCCCTGAGAGCTTGACCAATGTTCGTAACTACGCCAAGGCTTTGTTCTCTAGAGAGTCGTTTGAGAAAACCAAGGCTAAGAAAGAGATTGTGGTTGCGGGTTGGGAATCGAAGGTGAACGCGTGATGTGGATCCATGCTTCTCTAGTTAATGTTGCTTGAGAACTATTCGTCACCGAATAATGAAAATGCACGAATATATGCGTGTGTTCTTGTTTTTGTTAGAGTTGTTTATCTCCTATCAATAATGATGCAATAAAACCATCATATCTTTTTATTCAATTTGGTATTACAGACCAATGGAGTCAATGGTCAATCTATTGATTACAGTAAATGTCTGCTACAAGATGATGATGCTATAGTTTTAGACAAACTGGCTGAGATACTCATCGACGCTTGTGTACTTGATATCTGGATAAAGCTGAGAAGCTTCAACTCCAAAGGAAGGCTCTATTGTAAAATAGGTTTGATCTCCTTTCAAAACTATGGCATGATTCAAAGCCAACAGAAGATCAAGTGGATGTCAGGATGTGGAGACTCTGCAACATTTCAAGTATTAGCAAACACATGATCTTGATAGTTTATGTTTGGTATAAAAGAGTGTGAAATTAGCTCTCTCACCTGGGATTTTCTTGAGAAGTTGTTCCTCTGAAACGTAAGTCTTCTTCAGAGTTTTACCAATCTTGCTCTCCCACAATGCGAAGATATAGTTCTGCGAAACAATGTTCTTTGGAGGATTGATGTAGAGAGTCTTGTTGAGAGTTCTCGGTTCATCAATCGCTCTCATGGTGTATGCAGCAATGCCTTCTTCTTTGTTTAGAACAGCTGCAATTCATTTAACCAAACCAGAAAAACCTCTCTCTATCTTTCACTTACGTTTTGATTAGTTCTTTGTTGCTTCTAGTACCTTCAGTGTTACCATCACCAAAGATAGTGACTTTATCTCTAGGAGGAAAAGTGAGTCTGGTTTCACATTGAGCAAATGTAGCTAAGAAATAGCCATCAAAACAATTGTTGATCACATAAGTATACGGTACACCTTCGGCTTCAACAGCACGACGGATCTCAGCCTTCATTGCAAACTCCGACTTGGCTGGACCAATAGCCACCGTTCGATCCACATCGTTGCCAAACTCAGACGGTAAGAATCTCTACAAATCATAATTAAACAACTTTATAAGGTAAAAATTCCACAAGCATTGTCTTTCTTGTTATGAATCTTGAAGATAAAAGCCTGATCTTGATATACTTGCCAGATTCTTTAATTGCAGAAATGATATTGGTCTGATTTAGTAGTTGGGAGAGACCAACGGTGGAGATGACAACATCAACGTGTTGAATTGCTTTCACTAAACTTTTTTGTTGGCTAAATCTCCATTTAGTATTGTGATGCCGAGGTCTTTGAAATTCTGGACGACTTTGGCCTTGACGGAATCAAAAAGTGAGGCTTCTCTTACGAGAGCGAATGTTTGGTGGCCGTATTTGGCGCTACCTTCTACGATAAATTTTCCGATGTAACCAGTTCCTCCGATCACCAAAACCTTGCTTTTCTCCGACGCCATTTTGATTTGTTGAAGAGTTTTTGAATTTGTTATTACTTATCTTTGGCCGGTGCGTGTTTTATACAGGAAACTTGCTACCTATACAATTACGGAAATGCCCTTTATCGGAGAGTCTCTGTTTTTGACATTTTTTCATCGTTACAGTAGAAAAAAGTTGATTAACATTACTCTCTTCTAGAACAATCAAACTCAGGAGCAAATTCCATTTTTTTTTCTGTGGTCAAGACTTCTAGATGACACAAATTCAAAGACTTTTCCGGTTTAATTCTGTTTTTTCTTTTACCAGTTAAGGAGCAAATATAAATTGATCAAATAGAGCATTTGCATAAATTTCATAAAATTTACATAAATTTTGAAGTGTTCTCTATATCTTTGTCTTTACAAGTAAACCGGCAACCATGTCTCCGTGGCTTCAAGGGATTATCCGGATCCGACTCACTCGACTCCGCAAGTAGCCCTCTCAAGCATCTCCTCCTTACTCTCGGCTCATTCTTCCTCGCTGTCACCGTCTCCGGTTTCTTCTCTTCCTCCACATTCTCTGGCGGATTTATAACTTCCTTTTTTGATATCTCAAATTTTAAACTCATATGAACTCCTGGATCATTCTCACTTACTGAACTCTCGACTACAATTGAATTGTTTATCCCTTGAGTGTTTCCGTTTATGTATGCCCTAAACCTCGCTTCTTCCTCTGCTTCGTCGTCTTTAGGGTTTTCGGTTTCCATGGTTGTGGTGTTAGGGCTCTCGTCTGGGTTACTTCTGTAGCCACGGCGAATATGAACCTCACCGTCTTTCTCAGAACCTATTCCCATTGTGGCTCCTTTGTTTTCTCCAGTTAGAGTATAGACGTTCACGGATTTCTCATCGCCGTTGCTTTTTCCCCAAGTAAGCTTACTGATTCCATCTTTGATGTCTTCTTTGATCTTTCTGCTCATTGAAGATGATCCCTGTCCATTTGCAACTCTCGGATTTCCAAGATTACTCGTTGATGCGCCTTTGGTTTTCTGATGATTGTCATCGGTGTGAATCTCTGTTCTGTTTTGTGTTTTTGTCTCTCTCCCTGGTAGATCTCTCGGTTCTTGTGTTGATCCTGATGCTGCCGAAATTTGTTGTGTGGTTGTGCTTCGCGTTGCATCTTCTCTACCTATCGCCTGAAGCGGTCTCTTCGTTTCTTGTGATGCAAGTTTCTCGGTTTCTTTGCTCTTCTGTTGTCCCTGATCTGTTTCCGACTTCTCTCCACTGCCTTCATGAAGAACTTTCTTCCTTTCTTGTAGCACAAGTTTCTCGATTTCTTTTCTCTTCTGTTGTCCCATATCTGATGCTGACTTCTCCCCATTGCCTTCAGGAAGGACTTTCTTATTTTCTTGCACCACAAGTCTCTCTACTTCTGCCTTCTTCCTCTGTTCCTGAACTGCCTCTGTTTCTTTTCGTTCTAAATGCTCTTCTTGATGAGCAATAGGAGGTTTCTCTTTTACCGGATTGATATTTTCGCCAGCTACTTTTTCAGTTTCTCCTGATGGCTTCTCTTTCTTCGTCACCTTTTGCTCCTCCATCCTTAGAGATTCCAGTTTCTTTGACGGAGAACCAGATTGTTGGTTAGTCTGGTTCACCAGCCGGGTTGGCGTGGCTGAACCACGAGAAGGCAATTGAGACGAGGACGAGGAAGCTGCTAGGGCCGCAACATTACTTCTACTCCTAGAAAGTGACGGAGATACCTTGGACTTTTTTTCTGGCTTTGACGGTTGAGCGATGCCTGCAGGACGAAAAGGAGGGCGTGAAGGAGGAGGAGTCGGTGGTGGCGATGGCGAAGAAGTCTCTGAAGAGAGACGAGAAGGAGAGTTGGAGGAGAAGAATGGAATGCGAAAACGGAAAGGAGGCATGATGATTGTAGAGAGATGTCAAAAATAATGGGGTAAATGGTAAAGAGTAAATATTTGATTCACTCATCTCTGTGTGTACATTGTATGTATATGAGTGGTTTTTTGTGTGTGAAGGAGAAAAGATAACTTTTCAGGTAGGTAAAGAAAAGTGATCGGTTTCTCTAGTGAGGTTATCTTTGGAATCTCTCTTCAATTGATGTTTTTGCTCCTTAAGTTAACAGAGAGCTTTATGGAGGAGCAAAGAACAAAGAGAAAACTTGAAAGTGAAGACATGCAAGGTTGGGTTTTTTTTGGAAGAAAGAGAGTCTTCTTCAAGAGTAGTTTAAGTTTTAACCGAGCAAAAGAAAAACCCTATGCCTAGCTTAAATATCAGACGTAATATGTATGTAGAAATAAGTGTTCCTCTTATTTTTCACTATCTATTATAAAAACACATGGAGAAAAGCTTCACTAATTCTGAAAAAAAAAAACCTGAATCATATTCAAGAAGAATGAGTGAAACCAAATTATTTCTCTAGCTATTACGTTCATTCAATTCATCACCATTTCACTCATGTTTATTCCACTAAGTACTCATCTTATGCGTTTAATTTAGACCCCCCAATGTATTATGTTCTCATAAACCAATCATTCAAATAGTGTTTCTGATAAACCAAGAACTTTGCGTTTCGTTTTCATAACATTTTTATAGCTTATGTATACATATATAATTGTTCTTTACTGAAACTCGAATCTAAAACTAACCAATAAAATCCTTTCAAATTAAAAGACCTTTAGACTCTAATTAACCAAATATGAGCTACCAATGGCAATGAAACTGGACAACTTTTTGGTCGTTTTCATTAGACATGAAGTATTTACAACAGAAAATAGATTAGATTTGGATATAGGAATTTTATCACAAAAGGAAACGATAAATATCCCTTATGTTCTTATTCTTTTTAAAAAATTTCTCTGTTATGTCCTTATTCTCTTTGCATCAAATTTTTGGTGGTTCTTATAAAAATGCTTGTCATTAGTCATTACAAATGGGTCTCTTCCATTACATCACACATAAAGTCATTAGATTCAAGGTCCAGGAGAATATATTTATCTATCATTTTGAATTAGTAAATGAAAATGATTTTCTTTAACAAATATACACGAACTTTGGTTAAGTAGATAATGATGATGACATATCGAATCCTTTATTTGTCCAATCTCTAGCATTTTTGCATTCGTTTCATTATTAGTTTCAAGAGATCACTCAACGCTTCCCTTTCGAGATTGGACAACTCCCAGTAAGGTATTTGGGACTTCCTCTTGTAACAAAGCGATTCAACTCTTCGGACTACCTCCCTTTAGTTGAACAAATCCGAAGGAAAATCGAATCTTGGACGTCACGTTTTCTCTCATTCGCCGGGCGCTTAAACTTGATTAGCTCAGTTCTTTGGAGTATTTGTAACTTTTGGCTTGCAGCTTTCAGGCTTCCTCGAGCATGTATACGGGAAATTGAAAAAATATGTTCAGCGTTTCTATGGTCGGGTATAGAGCTAAACTCAAAGAAAGCAAAAGTCTCATGGGATATGGTTTGTAAGCCAAAAAACGAGGGTGGTCTGGGACTGCGATCTTTAAGGGAAGCGAATGAAGTCTGTTGCCTAAAGTTGATCTGGCGTGTTGTCTCTCACAGCAATTCGCTTTGGGTCAAGTGGACTGAAACCAACCTTCTACGCAAGCAATCATTCTGGTCAGTGAAAGAAAATTCTGTTTTAGGATCATGGATTTGGAGAAAGTTGCTTAAGTACAGAGCAGTGGCTCAAACATTTTGTAAAGTGGATATCAGAAATGGAGAAGCCACATCCTTTTGGTATGACAACTGGTCGGAGCTAGGCAAAATAAAGGACATAACCGGGGACAGAGGAGTGATCGATCTGGGAATTAACCGCAGTCTCACTGTTGCTGAAGCGTGGTCCACCCGCCGAAGAAGAAGACATCGCACAGCAGCTCTAAACCAAATAGAAGACACTCTTCAGGCAGCAAAAGAGAATCGAACAGGGGATCCAGACATTGTGCTATGGCGAGGCAAAAACGACATATTCAAAAACAGCTTCTCCACCAAAGACACATGGAACAGAATAAGAACCACCGCAAATGAGGTCGCATGGCACAAGGGAGTTTGGTTCCCTCATGCGACTCCGAAGTACTCGTTTTGTGTCTGGCTTGCATCTTTAAACAGGTTAACAACTGGAGACAAGATGGAAAAATGGAACACAGATTCACCAGCGGGTTGTGTGCTCTGCAACAATGATTTAGAAACCCGGGACCATCTCTTCTTTCAATGCGACTACGGTTCAGAGATTTGGGCTGCTTTAGCAAAGAATATTTTCAAAACAAGGTACTCAACAGCTTGGCACTCTATCATCGATTATATCTCCAATATGCAGCAAAACAGAATAGAGAGCTTCTTGGCTCGTTACATCTTCCAAGCATCAGTATACGCAATCTGGCGTGAGCGGAATGGTAGACGACATGGGGAAGCTCGTAACTCAGCAGGTCAACTAATCGGCTGGATCGACAAGCATACTCGGAACACACTCTCTTCCATCAAACTGTTGGGTGATGGTAGATACGACAAAGGATTGCAAAAGTGGTTTGAATCAAGACTTTAAATTCTTTTGAGTTTCAGATTTCACTTATGCTTTGATTTAAGATGAACGTTGCACGAGTTGTAAAAACGATATTTTTTCTTTGAATATAATTTAACATTACATTCAAAAAAAAAGGCAAATAGAACTTAAACTATCATTCAAACATCTTTTAATATGCTTTAGATGTTAATATATATATTAGGATATCTATAAGCGCTAAATGTACGCAGTTTATAGCAACTAGTTCACTTTTCCTCCCACAAAATTAGCCAGAAACGATGCCCAAATAATGGTTTATCATCAATTTAGTTGCCATACAATATACAAAATTGGCATATCTTATCATCTACTTGTGATTTCATATCAAAACCTTTAATTTCGTTCCAATAATGCCATGTTATATGCACTATGTCTACTAATACTTTGTTAAGTTTAATCAATCACCACACAAAGTATCTTAATGGCTAACATTAAGATATCGAAAACTGTGAACGATTATACAAAAATAAGTAGTGGCACTTGTAGCATCGTTGTAATCTTCTGTCTATTATAATCACATTACGCCAAGTTGTTCAGCTTACCAACTTTAACCTTACGTTGTGAACCGGTTCTCGATATGATCAATAGGTTCCAACTTTTATTTTGCTTAGACGTGCATATTATCCTTTTTAAAAATGTTTAGATTCTTCTTTTGAAAGTTTATCAATCATATGGATGCCTAGACGAACATACGAGTATACGACTACATATAACTAAATAGCTCCTAACTAATACTAATGTTTAAATTGAACAAAGTAACACTATAAAATTTCCTTGAAAATTTTGAAAACCAATATTTTAAGTTTAATAGGCTTTCTACTTAAATCAACTGGCACTGACAAATTGGTTCATTTCTTATTTATTACTTTACGTTTTATCACACTTTCCATGTGAGATTTTTAACAAGATACTCTTAATTTTCAGAAAAATACATCTGAAATTATTACTCTGGCGTTACGACTGACTTTTTTGTAGACCACTAATATGGCCGTTATCGTGAGTAAAAAATATCTTTAATATCGACTTAATTATTGTAGACCATTAATATGGCTGTTATCGTGAGTTCAATATATCTAATATCAACTTAATTAATAAAAAGCTAGCGAATTGAAAACTAAAATTAAAATAGAAAAATCTCCAACTTGCAGAATCTAGGAACTCTCTTTTTCTCCTCCTTATAAGGCTTTGCCTTGCTATTCATGGTATAGCAACTTTCAACACTCACTCTCTCTTTTCTATCTCTTTCCTTCCCATCTCAAGTTATAAAATAAATGGCGTCAAACTCAAGAAGTTCAATCTCGTCATGGACGTTTAATCAGAACAAGATGTTCGAGAGGGCCTTGGCAGTTTACGACAAGGACACACCCGACCGTTGGCACAATGTGGCAAAAGCTGTCGGAGGGAAAACTGTAGAGGAAGTGAAGCGTCACTATGACATTCTCGTCGAGGATCTTATCAACATCGAGACTGGTCGTGTCCCTTTGCCCAATTACAAGACCTTCGAATCTAACTCAAGAGGCGTCAACGACTTTGACACGAGGTATATAACCAAATATCTATATACTGCTCACGATGTTGATAGTCATTCTAGTGATTTGGAGAAATTCTCTCAAAGAGTTCTTCTTAATTATATTTCTTTGGTTTTAACGTGCTCTTTATGACTAGTTCGCGCAAAATAGCATATATTAATTATGAACTTTGGATTATGGATTTTATTGTTTCTCTGTGTCTATTTTTCCTTTGCGTTTGCATATCATTAATGTGAGAAATTTTCTACAAATATAGTTTACTTACATACTAGTATGTTTTTTGCTTAAGTATAAATGTAAATGTAAATTGTTTTATATGAAATAATCAAATTCTATATATAAAAGCATGAAACACACCGATTAATACACTAAAGGGAAAAATTCACATGAAATCTAATCCTTTCATGTACTTCATCACATGCACATTGTCTTTAACAGTTTTGAGGCACGAAACATTATACCATGATAAGATAAATTGGTTAATTCTACTTCTGTCCATGGTCGGTGGTTGACATTAGTGTTATATATATTACAAGTTGTTTATGGCAAAACTCGAGTTTAGGAAACCTTTAATTAACGATATCTTCAAGTTGTTAATTAAATATTTATGTGATTGGAATCTAATCAACATGCTTGAATTATTGATTAAACATGCCTTCATTTATGCTGTATTAATTCTTTGTACAGGAAAATGAAGAATTTGAAGATCTAACATCAGCGTGAAGAAGTCCTTGTAAAGATTCGGAGGGTTATGTGATTCTTCTGTCTACCGATTATCTTTGTATTTGATTATTCGCTTTCATAATTGTCTTTGTGTTCTATTTTAATTGAAGAAATTAAAACTTGGTTATATATATTTTTAAGTAATTAATCAATCAAGTAGAGAATATATATAATAAACCTTTGAAAGCCGACAAGAATATTGTTTTTCCTAATTGGGAAAGAGTGATTTATACAAAAAGCGTGCCAAAAGAAGAAAGCAACAAGTAGCTGGGGATGATTGGCTTAATTAAACAATATATGTTTTTTAATCAATCCAATTTTCAGAATTAATCTATTTGATTTCATAAGATGTAATCCGAGAAAAAAAAAAAAGATAGACAGATGCATTGTCCCTCTACGAGTTGATCATTGATAAAGCAAAGTCTGTTTTGCTTTAATTTCTCTATTTATTTTGATGTCTCCTCCAAAATTTTCTGCAACTGATATTCAGTAGAGAAATCAGAAATTTTCGTTTAAAAGGTAAAATAGATATAATCATAAAAATAAAATCATGATTTTTTTCCTATATGCATAACTATTTTGAGAACGAATTTTCTTTTATAATGATGAAAATGTAGTGTTTCAAATCAATGACAAAAATTTGATTTACAAATCAACAAAAAAAAAAGTGTCTTGAGAAGTTGACAATACATGAGCTTAAATAACTCCAACAATACCTAAAATCATTTTGTCGGTAACACATTCATAAGACATTGTTATTTTCTCACTAATACATCCATAACAAACTGTTGTTATCAGCATGTTACACTGGGCTACAATGGGCTTTCATGGGCCCTAGTGATATATAGCCATGCCTTAAAACTGTGAAAGTAACCCAAGATAGAATCAAACAAGGTGGCCGACTAAAACACAAACAACGTCGTCACAGTGACATACGGAAGAAGAAGGATCTCATACTTTTTGGTAGTGTACAGAGTACAGACTTTGATACGGGAAGCTTTTTGTATATTTTCTCTTTTGGCCCACTTTCTTTTTCTCAAAGGAAGAAACATAAATTCGATGAGAATAAGATTTTATGAAATTAATAATTATCAACAGTTTCCCACACAAAATGGTCGCAAAAGAAAGTCGAAAAATATCATTTATAACCAATTATTACATATGGTAGCTTAGATACATAGGTCGTGACGACACAGAAGAAAAGAAGAAGATACATAGGTCGTGAGTTCTATAATTTTGGCCTCATCTATGAATTTTATAACTATGAGAATCTTCTCTTTTTCTGTTTTTTTTAATTTTTCTTTTCACATGTTTTTCTTTTTGGTACAGAATTTGGAAGGTGACAGATCTACAGTAGACCCAAATCATATGGTTACAATTTTGGACATATTTCACATCAAACATTTAAAAATCTTCAACTTTGATCATAACGTTTGATATAATTTATAATATATTTTCTAAAATCATTGTTCTGTAATATAACAAAATTTTAAAATCTTGATACAGATAAGTTAATCTTTCTGTTAACTAACTTTATATTCATGTTTATAAAGAAAACTAAGTACTATAATGGCTGCATTATAGGTTTAGAATGTTTACATTTGACATTTAGTTCGTAATTTTTTTGTTTCTTTCTTGTATTTAAATGTTAACTATAATGTTGTATTTGGCTATTTAAGTTAGTACAACACAATTGTTTGTGTTAAGCTTAAATGTAAAAAAGACAGAAGCATAAACTAATAAACAACAGAAGCTGATTACAAGTACGATCCGGGTAAAAGACAAACAAAATAAAAAGACTAAAAGCAAACCAAAATTAAAACATTAACTAAGCAAACAAAAGATCCATTGATTGATCCAAAGATCGTACAAACTACAAAAACCTAGAAAAACATTAAATAAAAAACAACAACAACAAAAGTAGATTAAAAGAAAATCTCTTAGATAATCTCTCAATTAATCATATGATCAGTGATTGATTAGAGAGTTGTTGGTGTTGGTGGTTTCTTGGCATTGCTCTTGTTGTTATGCATCCAAACTTTGAAGACTTGTCTCTTAACTCCGATCTCACCGCAGAATCTTTTAAGCTCTTCTTCGTCTTGTTTGTTCATCCTCCACCCTAGCTTCTCCGCAAACTCCATCATCCTCTCCTTCTGCTCCGTCGTGAACTTTGTCCTGAATCTTTTCTTCGACGACGACATCGAAAACGCCATTTGTCCTGCCGCCGCACCAGCTCCCTCTCCGCTTGATTGTCCGTACAGATTCAGATCTTCACTAGACGACTCAGCTCCTCCTCCTCCTCCGCCGTAAGCAACGCTCATCGGCGTCACCATTCCTCCTCCTCCGGGAGGACTCATTCCATACTTGTGGTGGTGAATCGGCTGATAATTCGGCGGTGGAGGAAGCATGAGTGGGTTAAGCATCATATTCGGCGGCGGAGGTCTTCTCCCTCCTCCTCCTCCACCGTACTGGTTATGGTGGTGGTGGTGATGACGGTGGTGAGAGATCAAATCCGAACTTCCAACGCCGTCCATTTCTTTCCGGTGGAAATTACGGTGACAATCACAAGCAGCGCATCTGAGAGCTTCGATTGTTCCTTCTTCACCACTCGGCATAAACTCGCCGCATCCGTCGTGTACACTTCCTCCGACGCTCGCCGCGTGATTCTTCAGACACTCACGGTACCTTACGGTGGGTTTAGCTGCGGCGGAGATGGAAAACGAAGACGGAGACTTGGATTGGTGGTGATCTAGGGTTTGAGAGTTGCAAGAGACACGAGTGTTGTTGTTGTTATTACCATTGCAATTATCATCATTAGTACTAATGATGTTACTAATAACACCACCACCATTGTTGTTGCCATTGTCTTCTCTTCTTCTCTCTATCATTTCATGGCTTCTCATATCCATTTTTTGTCTTCTTGGAGATTAAATTAAAACCCAAATGGATTTCAATTAAAGAGATCAACCAAAAAAAAAGATTTTCTTTCTTGAATATGAAGTTTTTAATTTTATGCCTGAAAAAGAACATATTAATGAGATTACTAATAAGGAAAAAAAGAAAACTAAATGGCAGTGAGATTCAGAGACTTACAGAGGAGATAAGATGAACAAGTACACGAGGAAAAACCCAGTTTTTGCAGGACCTTAAACTCATTTAAAGCTCAAAGCTTTTTGCTTGTGAAGGGTTTTAATGGAGAGAGAGAGAGAAGAGAAGAGATTTGAGGAACTTTTGGGATTAAACTAAAAGGAGGTTTTTAGGGCTAATTTGGTTTTTTTAAGAGTGAAAGAAAGAAGAAACCATGTTTGATGTCTCAGTGCTCCCAACAAGCCAACCTTTGAGATCCGATTATAAGAGACAATTTGGTTGCTTGTGGTGAGGCCATGAGAAAGAGATAAGAGCTGAGCCCTTTGTGAGAGATGACACTAATATCATACCCTACTATATACTTATACTATTAACTACTTCTTTATTATACTTCTTCCATTAAGGTGTATTTATCATTAATTTTAGCATTTTAATTTAAATGCGCTTTTATAACGTTATTTTTATATATAATGGCTTTTGTAATTTTAATGAACAGACACTTTAGTTAACTTTGAATTACTACTTCTATTATCTCTGTGTTTTTAAAAGAGATTTATCATATAATATTGTTACTGACCCTTTTATCAAACTTAATCATCAAGACATATTTAAATGAAAAAAAAAAAGAAGAAGAACATACAGAAGATAAGTATATGTGAAAATACTATTTTGTGATTTTTGGCTAATTTTTTTTTCTTTCTTTTTTTGTATACTCACTCTATAGTTAAACAAGAGTGATTGAAATGTTGTTAAGATATGTGAAAATTTGTCACAGTTTTTTGGAAACAGATATACTACTACTGACTATATTGAGTTAAATTTTCAAGTAAATGTGAGTTTGGCCTGATAGAGTGTCCTGATTATAAGCTTTTTTCTATATGAGATTAATGAGAGTACCCTGATAAGTTTTAGTAGTTCTTAACATTGCATAATTCATATTCGTTGAATCAAATGATTTTTTTGTATGAATTGATTGGTCTACTCAAAACACATAATGGTTGAATAGTAACTTGAAGCACAAATTTTCGTAAGGTGTGTAAGTCGCATGAAACTGATGCAATTATTGACATTCTATCTCGGGTTTTTATGAGCTCATTTTTACTGTGTACAGTACGTCATTAACGCGTTTATTATATATAAATAAATTTGCAAAAAATGTACTTGAAAATTGGAAAAAAAAAACATACAACAAAAAGTTGGATAATCACCGAAATGGGTTTAAACTGCTGCATGTATGTACCAATAGTTAATCGCCTCTAAGCATACTATTAAAAAAATTTAGTAGTCAACCGATAATAATAATTAAATAACCAACTAAATGACTAATAATTTAATTAAAGCATTGTAATTTGTGCCAAATGGATCATATGTAGTAACTTGATGGTTATCGGATAATCTTATTACGTAATCTTTGTTTGTTTATGTTTCTATATATTGTCTTTTTGTCTCACTATATATTACTACTACTTTGAAGCTGTTGGATAATACTCTTTATCTATTGACATAATTTATCACAAACAAAGTAATAATTTAGTTGAATGAGCTAAATAATCTTTTTAATTTAAATGAGGCATTGATATAAAATAAAATAAAAAAGAAGAAGAAAAAAAGAAGAGAGGTGTGTGGGTTGCAGAGAAGGGCAGTGCAGAGAACAACCGACAAGGTCAAGTTGGAAGCCCAGCCACATGCCCTGCCACATTATGGGCCCCCTTTCTCTCTCTCTCTCCTCCCTCCTTCTTCATTATTACATCTCTCTCTCTCTCCTTAATCTTTTTTTTTCAAGCCCTAATTTGTCCAAACACCATTTCTTCTTACTCATGTCTTTTCTACTTTCCTATTTCACTCTACCCCTTTCTTTTCTTCCTTTTTTTTTACTTTTCCCTTTTAATATACTATATAAAATTACTTGTTATTATAAAAGTATTTTACAAGTTTAATACAACTTGTATAGTCTTCTTCAAGATTAATAATACTCAAGAAAGCCATATTTTGTGGACCATGTCATTCTAGCATGGAGATGTTTTCCTGATTGAAGCTTAATTAGCTCTAGTGTAATGATATATCATCAATGTTCATCGGTATACGACTTACTCATGTACTAAATATTCTAATTAATTTAACAAATTATCCATGCGTGTGATTAATTAGACATGCATATTACTTCATTTCGCTATTTCAAAAAAAAAAAAAAAAAAATTAGTTCATTTCATTAATTCTTGTTCTAATCGGCATATATATTAGTATTTACTTTGAGAAGATGAAAAATACAAGCATATTTCGCAACGTCAAATGCAATAATCCATGCGTGTGAAAAAATGTTAAAAATGTCAAATTAATTTAATTTGATAAGAACAAAAAAAAAAAAAGTAATCGTCATAGCCTCTGCAGAATTTCCCATGGACAACCTGTCACACGATAATTACTTCTCTACCATAACATGTTTTGTCCCCTTTTGCATTATGACCTCATTCTCTTTCTAACCAAATTCATTTATTTGCCTTTAATTTAAATTCGAATCCAACTATACAACCCAAACATATGATTTACTAGCTAATTTCGAACTGTCTACCAAATATAGTACTATTTAGTTCTACCAATAATCATATTTATCTTCTTAAAAATCTTTAAATTTCAAAATGTCTACTACACTGGATTATCTGTTGCATAAGTGCATAACCTTTACTACAGAGTGGTATAATCTGTGTTTATGTACTTACAAAACATACAAACAGTATATGCCAAGATTGCTTTACAAATTCACTCACAGTTTTTACCAAGTTAATTATCTTGGAAACATCATACGCTCTCTGACAAGCTTACCCCAAACAAAATTTGAAGATCTATATCTGATACGATTTAGATCATCATGTCTCTAAATTATGTAACATCAAAAATTCAACGTTACACTATAAGATTTACGCATTGGATAGGAACAGTGTACAAATTCGACCTTTTTGACCTATACAAAAAAAAAAAAGTCAAAATACAAATCATGCTTAATACGGTTATCAAGCTTATCATTAGTTCCCATTAATTTCATTTTTTTCTATATTTATATTAGTTTACTGTCAAAGTACGTACGAAGACTTTTGGTAGTTTATTTTCGCTTGTCATTAAAAGTTTTAAGGTACAACTCTATGTATATACAAACAAACAATGATGCTATCTCAACATAAGATTTAAGTCTATCTTGATCTAGTTGTTTCCTAATTACTGTTATCACAATAGGGTCTCTAACATTGATCTTGTTTTGCCTATTTATTGCTTTGGGACGAGTAGACTTAATCGGTGTATTAAGAACAACTGAAGTACTGAACCATAGATAAAATACTAATAGGAGAATTTTTGATATCATCTAACTTCTAGGAGATAGATACTTATAGGAAAAGCATAGAGAACAACACTTTTAAACAAAAAAAAATTATAAATGAAATTTGACGTCAACAATGGTTATACTATTAATTAATACATGTCAAAATGGGATATAAAAAATATAGAATTATTAATTGTTTGATAGAGATAAAGAGGGAGAGAATTAAGTGATAAGAATTGTGAAGATATGAAATGTCGATATTCACACAGAGAATCAAACCAAAAAAGTAAAAAAAACAAAGCAGTTTGAAGTAGTAACAACTGTAGAACCCAACAATGTCTGAATCTCTCTCTCTCTACTTTCTGCCACTCTCCACGCTTCCCCGCAAGCAACCCCCTTTTCCTTTTTTCCACTCTCTCTTTTTTTTTTAATAAATTTTTTCTTCTTCGTATGATTTTTTACACCTAAGTGTAGCTATAGGGACATTTTGGGATTTGGAATTCGTAATCCCACCAACATGATGGTTTCACTAAAGTATTCAATTCTCTATCTGGTTCATCTAAACCGATCTCTGGTTAATTTAACGCAAGCTAAGGAGTTGCATAATGTAGTTACAATGGTGTTTTAAAGTTCATGGAATATTCTTATGTAACCATTGAGAAATATATTGTATATAAAAAAAATAGTTAGCTTGGAAATAAAATGAATGAAAAGGAAAGCAGTGATTTGTCCCTATCAGCTCTCTATTCTTTCTGAAAAACAAAACTTGAGGGTTTTGTGTTGCAACTTGTTTTATAGCCAAAACCAGAACTACTCTTACTTCACTGTTTCAGAACACTTGCTTTGTTGTTTTCTACAAAAATTATGAGTTTTCTTTGTTTGGCTCTCAAGTCTCTCACCCTCCCATGCTTCACTTTCTTACACTATTCCCTTACTTACCAAACATAGCTTTAATTGTGTGGAGGAGAAATGACGGATCTGTGTCTCAGTTACAGTGACAGAGGCCACAAACCAAGCACAAGTTCTCATCGACCCCTCTTGTCTTCAAACTGATTATAGAAGATCCATAACTGATGTATCATCAATAGGCTTCTTCTTTTTTCTTCCATGTGATTACTTACTGTGTTTTGACAACTCAACGCAACAAGGACATAACCTCTGTTTATGACTTTCTTGTGACTATTCTTCATCAGCCAAAAACCATGTGTTATTCTGATTAGCAGACGTGGCTCTGTTTTAGAAACAAATATGTGGCTCTGTTTTTAGATACGAATCAGGAGACGCTCTATAGGTTTCTTTAGCCAACAGTTCAAGTCTCCAACAAAAAGAAAAATCGATGAAAAGTTCACTAGCTAAACTAAATATTACATACTCTTCACTTAGCTAAGAAGATTTCTGTTCCATGGCCATTTTTATTCTTATTTCCTAGCTGTGGAACAAAGACTTCTTCACTAGACAATAGCGGAAGACCACCGGACCAGAATCCCTATCACGCTATGAGAGACGATAATTTATGGTGCCAAGTCAGCTATGTTTGGCCCCATGCCCTGTTAAGAAGACAAACATAACTACATTAGAAGAATATAATGTATTCAAGTCGTTGTTATATTGTCACAAATCCTTAATGCACAACCAAGTATTCAGCATTAGAGAAAGCAGTGATTTGCATTTGCTTGTGGCAATGTGAAACATTAGCACACCAGAAGTAGGTGACGTCTCAAAATATTAGTGAAGGCATACACTGCCATAAACGTGATAAAACACGCAAATATCACTATATTATGCATAGTCTAAGGGTGAGGACTAGATGAAGATAATCAAAGGACTGAACATGAGAAATCTGTCAATTAAAATCAGAAGACCAAATAGGTCTATCCAGCCATGAAAACAAACTTCAAACCAATTCCCTACATAGATGCTAATCTTGAATATCCTAAGCTCCACAAAACTACCCTATCTTCTCAGGTGACTTGTACGCTCATACGAGTATTTTCTTTACGAACTAAAACCAATTTAAATAAATCTTAATTATAAGAACATATACCACATGCATCAACAGTGAAAGTAAAATGCGTTGAAGCACTGAGATTAACTTTAGGAGACTGAGAAAAAACACGTTAGTACTTCCTCTCAGCAAGTAATTAGTAATAACGCAATCACTCCAATGCTCTCTCCATCTAAAGCACATATTCAACAATAAGGGCACCAAAATTCAAGCAAAGTAAAAAGCAGAGGACAGGTATTTTGCATATTAACCACTGAGATACTAAGTTTGATAAAGTAACTGATTATACCCGATACTGAAGACATTATTAAGAGGGTCCATAAGCTGTGGCTGTTGTTGATGATGTTGTTGATGTTGCTGTTGTTCTTCTTCTTGTTGTTGAATGTCTTCCAACTGTGGAAATGAAAGAGCAGCTCCGGCAGTCACAGCCGCAGCATTCGGTGGTGTACCTTTAGATTCAATGAGCCGCCACATGTACCACGACGCTACTGATCTATACGGACGCCATTTCTCGCAAAGCTGCTCCATTTTCGATGGGCGAGGCAAATCCTCCATGCCATTAAGCATCTGCACACCCTTCCTTACACCAAGATCATTAACTGGTAACACATCAGGTCTATGAAGAGAGTTTATCATAAACATATGAACCGACCATGACCCAATCCCGTTCACCATTGTTAACATGGTGAACAAAGATTTCTCATCCATATTCACTATTCCAGAATCCGACAAGATCCCATTTTGATATTTCCTAGCAAGATCATGAAGGTAACTCGCTTTACGCCCGGAAACACCGATTTGACGAAGCTGTTGAGGTGTTAAAGGCAATACATTCTCTGGAACGACGCCGTTTTCACCACCGCATAGAGCAACGAAGCGTGTGTAGATTGAATTCCCTGCTTTAGCTGCTAACTGCTGATAAAGAATGCTTCGAATCAAAGCCAAGAACGGAGTATGAAAAGTCTCGAACGTTGGTGGTGGGTGAATGTCAATTAACGACGCGAGCAGAGGATCAGCACTTCGGAGATGGTGAAGAGCTGCTTCAAGCTCGCCTTCACATGTGAGAGACTTTGCGTGGATTCTCGGCACGGTTACAGAGCGTGACTGTGACAATTTACTCTTCACTGCTGGTTTTGAAGTCGTCGCCAAAAGGTTATGCTCTGGATTGAATCCGTCGCTGTTACCGGAAGCGTCGTCGTCGGGTGAGAGTTTCCGGATTTTTCGAGGACGGAGTGGGATTTTGGAAGGTGGAGACGATACATTGCCTAATTCAGTGACTCGTGGTGCTTCAATGGTGGTTGATGAGAGGATTGATCCGGAGACTCCGGCGGATGAGGCGGAGTCGGCATCGTTGGTTACCGGTGGAATTGGATTAGGGTTTTCGGGATTGGGTGATTCTGGTTGATTTGGGGGATGAGTTTGAGATGATGGTTGAGAAGGTGAATGTTCACCCATGTGAAATCGGAATTTCGGATTGGTAAAATTAGGGTTTTGGTCGCTTCAGAGACGAAGACGAAGAGAATCAAAAACCTAATCGGAGAATTAGCCACGACCGAGTGAAGTTGCGTCTCGGGTATTGACGTTAATTCTTCTCTAACGCGCTTATTTACGAGAGTGGCCTTCACGCTCCGACGTCCTCAATATGGGCCTCCCTTAATAAGCCTAATGGGTTGCTTGGGTCTTCAAATTGGGCTCAATAAACCCTACAGTTATTATTTTTCAAGAAGTCAAGAACAACTCTTTGTGTTGTGTGAGTGGGAAAAAATAGATTCACCGAAACAAAAAATGAATGAAAGAAAGTCTTTGATGTAATCTTTTTCATATAAACTGAAGATGTGATTGAGTAATGTTTATGTTTATAATAAAGATAAAAAATAAATATATAATGACGATGGGTGTAGTTTACTTTACATGTGAAAAATGAGGAGACTTTATCAATTATAATTATATGTAAGGAAGATATATTAGTAATGTATAAAGTTGTGGTCAACGAAAAAAAATGAGTGATGAATAGAGACAGTAAGATCAGATCACAAAGACGTGTTTGGTATGATTTGATTTGATTATTGTATGTCTTTTTCTGTCTTGGCCTCCTCTTAGCTCACATTTCTCTCGTTTTGCTTTTTCTTTGATTTTCTTTTATAACTTACAAAAATATTTACATATACATGAAGTTCATTTTGTTTTAATTACAGTTTTTATAATATCTGGCTCATGTATTCTCATGGGTAATTTGAGCAAATGTTTGACAAAATCCATTTTTCAGACAGAAAATTCAAAGTACATTAACGAATACTCCTATAAACAATAAATTGATTGAAGTTGAACCATAATTTATATTTATTGCAATTGGTACGAAAATTATTGATGTACAATTGACTAGTGAATACGAAAGTTATAATATTTTTACAAAAATATCAGCATTAAAAAAAAGAGATCTCTAGGCTTTTAAAAATCAATTAACACCACACCACACAAATCAATTTTATTTAACTCAAAAATATTATTATAAACTTTGATTTTAACTATAATAAAATTCAAACAAATCATTTCGTTTCAAATCTCTTTGTGACCATGCTCTAGAATCACCTAAAATGACCCAAACAAATATGTTGTTTTTTATTGCACTTCCATTTTTTCATCGATTATTATGTCTTCGATACTTTTATTTATTAATGACGTAAGTAAGATGTGGATGTCTTATCCAAGAGAACAAATTCCAAAAAATCAAAAAATTTATATTTTATTACACATTATCCGGCCTTGGAAGTTGGAAGACCTGATATGAATTTACAGAAATATAAAAATATTACCAAAATAATTCCATAATCCCTCATTTTTTAAGTAATTAATTTTTTTTTAGTGAAAATCATCCCAAGTGATAGTAAAAGAGGGAAAATAATCCAAAAAAATAAAATTATCTATTATCCAAAAAAAAAACAAGAAGCAATCTATATTTATTCTAAATCTGGTTAATGCGATGACCGCTACATTAACTGTGATCTAAAAAAAATGTCTGAAGCAGTCTTCTTCCTTCTCCTCTCCAGCAATTAACTACTACATTACAGCCGTATAGACCCAAATTCTTTTTCCTTTTTATTTTCAATAAGACGGCGTTTCTCTCATCCCTTTCTTATCCAAGCTCCGTCATCAAATTCCTTAGATCCTTCTAATTGAGATACAAAGTCCAAAGTCGGCTTTTTTTTTGGCATTTTCCGGCTTAGAATCGGCATTTTAGTCTCAGGGGGTCAAATCTTGAAGCTTTTTTGTTTGTTCTTGAAGATTAGGATTGAGAGTTTAGAAGATAGAATCAAAAGATGAGTTTCAGAGATGATAATGAGGAGGGTAGGAATGATTTGCGACGGCCGTTTATACACACCGGAAGCTGGTATCGGATGGGTTCGAGACAATCGAGTATGATGGGTTCGTCTCAAGTTATTCGAGACAGCTCTATCTCTGTTCTTGCATGTGTTTTGATCGTTGCTCTTGGTCCTATTCAATTCGGATTCACTGTAAGCCATACCAAAATCTCAACTTTTTTCTTTTTTTATTCCTTTTGTAGAAGAAAGATTTGATGATCTTGGGTTTTGATGTAAAAACTAGTTTGAGCTGAATTTGATGATCTTGGGTTTTGTTTGATTTGTCATTTTCCATGAAAATCTCAAATTTGGTGAACCGAGATGATTTTTCAAGTTTGGTGACAGATTTAGAAGACTAAAATTGGGAATTTCTGATTCTTTACTTAAACCCACCATGTTTGACTTTGATCTATTACTCTGTGTTTGGTTCCTTAAACCCTCCATTCTTTTGTTCAGTGTGGTTATTCATCTCCAACTCAAGCTGCAATCACCAAGGATCTCGGTTTAACGGTATCTGAGGTAATAGACCAATCTTTTTCTAGAGCTCTCTGGTTGTTATCATTGCTTGTTTAGCCGTGTTTGACTTTGATCTACTATCACTCCATGTTTCAGTACTCTGTCTTTGGTTCTCTGTCCAATGTGGGTGCTATGGTTGGTGCAATTGCCAGTGGTCAGATTGCAGAATACATTGGACGAAAAGGGGTATAGTTTGTTTGCTGATTCTTGGTTGTTCTGTTTTTTAGCCATTTAATAAACTCTTGTTTCTTCCTTTTGTTTACCTCTTATTGTGTTTTCTTCGACAGTCTCTGATGATTGCTGCAATTCCCAATATCATTGGATGGCTTTGCATATCATTTGCAAAAGTGAGTACTTATTGAGTTATTGCTCTCCAGTTTCTTTATGCTGCTTATTGAAACTCAACTCTCTACATCATTCTGGTATTGTAGGATACTTCTTTTCTTTATATGGGAAGACTTTTAGAAGGCTTTGGCGTTGGGATCATCTCTTACACTGTAATACTGAACTCAGCTAGTTTTTTGCTTTGCTTATGGAATAACGGTTTCCAGTATATTTATGCAACTCGGTTCGTGATTTTAGGTACCTGTATATATCGCTGAGATAGCTCCACAAAATATGAGAGGAGGATTGGGTTCGGTTAACCAGGTTTGACATGTGTAGTGACTAATTCCTGTTTGAATCTTGTGTACTGACTTTTAATGCTAAACAAGAAATGTTGGGTAACTTCTTGTTGTAGCTTTCTGTGACAATTGGAATAATGTTGGCGTATTTACTTGGCCTCTTTGTTCCATGGAGAATTCTTGCAGTTCTGGGTAAAATCTCATTACATGAAGCCTGAGACCATTTTCTGATTATGAATTATTGCTACGCTCTAATCATTTTCTCTGTTCTTATTCTTTATCTTTAGGGATATTGCCGTGCACAGTATTGATACCAGGTCTCTTTTTCATCCCTGAATCCCCTCGCTGGCTGGTAAGCCTTAGAATAGTTTGCTCATTCTTCTTGATTTTAGTGCATATTTTGGTTACTCCACTCTTTTTATTATAACATCATTAATCCTCTTTGATGGGATGCTTGATTTCGTTAAAATGTAGGCAAAAATGGGTATGACAGATGATTTTGAAACTTCATTACAAGTTCTTCGAGGATTTGAGACTGATATTACCGTTGAAGTTAATGAAATCAAGGTAACACTATCACTTAAAATGTTTCCTTCCAAAAGGTACATGAAGACTGATTTTCAAACGCTTATTTTTCATCTTTTCTGCAAATCTGCAGAGATCTGTGGCATCATCTACAAAGCGAAATACAGTTCGGTTTGCAGATCTCAAACGCAGGAGATACTATTTCCCACTTACGGTACAAATATTGAATATCTTTCCCTTGGAGTATACTTTGTCTACCGTAAGAAACATTGTCTTAAAACTCCTTTTTTTTATGTGTGTTTGTGTGTGTGTAACAGGTTGGTATAGGGTTGCTTGTACTTCAACAACTTGGTGGAATTAATGGTGTCCTATTCTATTCCAGTACAATATTTGAATCTGCAGGTAGGCTCTTGCTCTAAGCACACCTGAAGCTTCTTGTTCACATTATTACTTAATTTTACATTTTCCGTGTTTTCATATTTAGGAGTTACATCGAGTAACGCAGCAACATTTGGGGTCGGGGCTATTCAGGTAGTCGCTACTGCAATATCGACATGGTTGGTGGACAAAGCAGGTCGTCGACTTCTGCTTACCGTGAGTATTAATTCATTAGTTTCATATCTTTAAGACTTCTCTCTAGAGAAGAATTTAAGACATATCCAAGCGTAACTAATGCAAATGGAAAATGTTTTCCAGATCTCTTCGGTTGGGATGACAATTAGCCTTGTAATTGTCGCAGCTGCTTTCTACCTTAAGGTACTTTTGAAAGTCCTAACTTCCGTAAACATCATTATATCTTCTGCAACAAACCTGAGATTTGACTTTCTGAGTTTTACATTTCTTCTTTTAGGGATTTGTGTCTCCTGATTCAGACATGTACAATTGGCTGAGCATATTGTCAGTAGTTGGAGTTGTGGTAAGTTAGATATATACTTTCTCCATGCAATGAGCTATTATTTGCGCCTTAACACTGTTGAATCATTACAGGCAATGGTTGTTTCTTTCTCATTGGGAATGGGACCAATACCGTGGCTCATTATGTCTGAGGTAACAAGTTTAGAAGTTAGAACTAAGGTTGTAAAAAACGAAAAGCGAAAGATTTATTAAACTCTAACTTTGCTTGCTTTGTTTGTTGTTTGATAAACAGATCCTTCCTGTGAACATAAAGGGTTTAGCTGGAAGTATTGCAACTCTAGCCAATTGGTTCTTTTCTTGGTTGATCACTATGACAGCAAACTTGCTCTTAGCCTGGAGCAGTGGAGGTTTCTTTCTCTCTATCTCTTCTTTTCTCTTTCTATCATACCATTTGAGACAATAGAGCATTATCTTGATGGATTTTGGGTTACTATTTGGACAGGAACTTTCACTCTGTATGGGTTGGTTTGTGCATTCACAGTGGTGTTTGTGACTCTATGGGTTCCTGAGACCAAAGGCAAAACTCTTGAAGAACTTCAAGCCTTGTTCAGATGAATATACTGATACAACTTCATTCTTTGTCTCCCTCTCTGTTTTGGCCAAGAACCAGAAGAAGCAAAAGAAAATGTCGAGATTTTCCAGCCTTGTTATTTGGGCTGAGAACGTTACTAAGATTTGTTTGTTTGTTGTGTGTCAATAATCACATTACCTTCTCTATCACATGTATATCAACATACCTTCAAGTATTTGTAATTTTATTGAACTTTTCTCAGTTCTCATAGAGTAAAACCACTGGCCAGCATTAATTGTACTAGGGAACAAACAATATGTGGTGATATAGAGATTTGATCAAATTATGATCAACCGGAAGTTTTGTAAAGAAACACTAAAATGCCTCTTATCAACCATTCAATAGAAAAAAAACTCCAAAAGAAAACATGTCACTAGATTCACAAGCTTTTACCAAGTGAAATTGAAATGCAAGTAGGCAAGAAAAACTAAGAACGTTTATAGACACAACGAATAAGCACCAAACCAGACCATTACTTGATTTACTCTCACTGCTATAGAGGTCATTGGGATGAATCACAGAGGAAGAAGGTGAAATTCATGGGACATGAAGTCTTCACTGGGTCTGTAATACTTGTCTGGTGAGTACAAGCGTAGGTTTGAGACTTGGCTTGTGTATAGGCATGCAAATCTCTCTACCTGATGAGATTCAAAGATAATGTGGTTATGAAAATCACCTCACAAACGCAAAACCAACACATATGAAAGCAAAATATAAACTTCATTTACCTGGTGAGCAAATCGAGAACCCTGGTAGCCTGTTTTCATCAGTTGCCCCCAGACCTTGTGAAACTGCAGTTTCCAACACCCATAACATGAGCAGTTACAGATTGAAACTGAAACTAGCTGTTACACCAATACACACTCAGATTAATGAGGCTACATTTACCTTTTGGTGACATTCTCTTTGAGCTTGTTGATGACTCAGTCTTACTTGATCTCTTTTGGACTGTTAAATTCCACAAAAACATGTTTAGAATCACTCATCCAACTATTGAAGATCCAGGAATTATACAAGTTCTATCTTACCTCTAAGTCCTTGAGCGCTGATAACATTTCCTGCTTATCATTCTCGTTGATATCCTCAAACCTGAATGATAGAATTGGTTATGACATTAACAGGTTTTGTGCAAAATGGCTTTAACAATTAAGAATTCTAATCTATGTAACACAGCTTTCTTTGGACCAGGACCTAATTTAAAGACCACTCACTTTAGGGACCAATTCAAGTGGTGAATTTTGTCTTCAACTGAATCACGCTCATTTCTCATCAAAATAAGTTCCTGCAGACCAAAGAAAAATACTGAATTGAAAAGGAAGTTTAATGTATACAATTATAAATTATGATCATTAGCAGTTTTAGATCCAATTTCGTCAAGGAAAATCCGAAGACTCGCCGCACATACAGATGTCAATGGAACTTCAAAAATGCATGAAGGCCTTGGTGTTTCACAAATGAATTGATTATTTAGTTTATCAAAATTCAACAAACTTGATTTTTTACAACTTAATAGATCTCTGAGAATAATAACAGTTATATAGAGAGGATCCATTCACCTTACGCATATTCCTCAGTTCCCATAAAAGTTCAACCTCTTTTTCTAATTCTGGAACTACAAGCATAGTTCTCCAGCCTGAAGAAAGAAGAAGATCAAGATCCAAGTAACTGGCGCAAACAAAGGACACTTTGAATAGTTTCTTCTAATACTCTCTTCATCAACATGCAAGTGCTACTAGCTTACTTACATACTAAGCTCGCCATTCACAAGTGATTAGGGATATAATATACCATATATTTCTTCCCAGAATCCATACATAGTTCAGTTAAACCCATGAAGATTTGTTTAACTTACTTTACACAACAAAATATATAAAAAAAAAAAGAGAGTCTAAACTGGAAAAGAAAACCTTACCAAGTACTTTTTTGCTGCGCAAGATGTCACCGTATATATGATCACCAACATAAAGTACCTAACAAACAGAATAGCTGAATAAGTGACAAATGATGCATAGCAAATATGCAGTCAGTTACTATAGAGTTCTAAGGAATATCTGTCATTTCATAATACTATGATATATCTAATCGAGAGCAAGCAAAACTTTCTTTGCAAAATAGCTAGTGCTCTCTACCTGTGAACTTGACTCAATTGAGAGCAAACTGTGAAGATGCCCGACATTTCCACCTTGAAAAACTCGACAACCTTTATCTTTACTCTTCAGTAAAATTTTTGGTGAAGGATCTCCCACCTTTGAACAGATATACACAAGGATCATTTAAATAAGAAATAGCATGTGAAAGACTGTGAATTGGTGTCACAATTTATTAAAAATCAAACCTGAGCCATAGGTGTTCCATTGTCAGTATTAATAAGCATTCCAGACTGAGGTTCCACCTCAAAAAGGTTAGCACGGCTCTCTTCATGGAAGAAACCAGGTTTTGCACTTCACGAAAAATATCCAAGTTAGAATTCAGATAGCAAACAAATCAAACGAGTTAGGAATATTTCCAACAACATTCATAACCAATAACAAATAATGAGTGTCTAATCTTTTGATCACAACGATTTTGTTCAGAGAGATTAAAGAGACTTAGTAAAGAGAAAGACCTGCCAGTGATCACAACATCAAAATACTGGAGCCAATCAAAGTTGCACGTATGCGGACCATGTACCGTGCGCCCTCCACAGAGAAAGTTCATTACAATATTTGTGTAGTCCCACAAACTGCAAGAATGTTACTCGAAAACATGTGTCTCGACAATATGAGAAAATTGATTATATAAAACAGGTGAGAACAAATCAATAATGTTGAACATTTGTCTCTCAACAACAGGATATTCACTAATGTTTTTGTATCTTCCTTAGTTCCATATTTCAATAACAAGGGCGAGGGACAGGTTACAAGGGTTTGAAGTTGCTTAAAATAACTACAATTTTTTTTTACCTAAATCTATCTGCACAGCTACAAAAGAAATCTCTGCATAAAATAACTTTAGGGGAACACTTTGAAGTTTGTAGAAATATCATCAGCATTACCTATTGGTCACCAAGAATGTAGAACGTCCAGAATCTCTGATCATTTTAATGAGGGGTACTATCGTGGTATCCTCATTGATATACCTGAAAATTTGGCAAGTTAACAAAAATCTTATGCAAAAAAGAAATTTCCAACAGAGAGCCATGGCAGAGTCGTGCTTCTCCAACTTACAAAATACAGTGATGAGCATACCATCAGCCTTACCTATTAGGTTCTTTTGCCACCATCTGCTTTAAAGTTCCGTCGCGGTGGCACAAATCAACAGCAGCACGAACATCTTTGTACATCCGAGCATAACTAAAAGAATTTCATAGGAGGAGGAAATAAATTAGTGAAAAGTACAAACAATAGACTAAAAGAGTAGCAGCTAAAAGAATTTCAATCATAAGCATAAAATTAAAGAGAAGACATTCATGCCAAGTATAAGTTACAGAGCACAAGTTAACAGAACTACAACCATTAGCAAAACATAAACTATCTTATATGCTAATATTAAGAAAAGTAATAAAAGATGGGAAATTGTCTTACTCAACGTCCTTGGGAACCTTTTCTGGGTTATTATCTTTAAAATCAACGAGTTGAGCGAACAAATAGGCTTCGGCCAGTGAAAAGAGAGTATCTATGAGAGCGTAGTCGGGTTCATCAAAAGAATCTCGTACTAGGCTGCTTCCGTAGATGTCAACTTTGTCTTCCTTAGAGAGCTCCCTAAACCCATGGTAAGCCACTTTCACATATTTATGGCGGTCCATCTGCATAATCAAAAGTCGATTAGAAAGAGGCAACAATTATTATGAGAGTCAGATACAAGGTAATCACCTTTAAGATGTTTCCCCTCTTTTTGTCAAGCACCAAGCCTCTAACCATGTAATTCCAATCAAATGTCCACTCTAGCAGCTGGATTTTTTTACCACACCAAGTATAACGATCAGCCAAACTTTTCTGATGGTCACAACCTTAAAAAAGCAAAGAGTATACTAACCTCATTTGGATACCCCAAATCATAAACCAATTTCCTGACAGTTCCTTCATAAGCAAGGGACTCGAAAGTTTCGGACTTGTATTGAGCAAGAGTGTAGTCCATATCAAAGCCTACGGCAATGATATTTTTCATATTCAACGATCTATTGCAGAAAATCTGATTGCTTATATCAATTTTCTTTCCTCCTTCCGGGGAGGACCATTTATGAGGAACTTCGCATCCATCCCTGGAGCCCACAGTGTGAAACTGCAACACATTTTCACTGAGAGCAGTCGGTTTCTGATCTTCCATCGAACTCTTAAAATACAGCTGGCTTGTCCCTGAGAGTTTATCAAGTAAAAAGGAAACATCATTTTTTTCTATTCTTCAAATGATGATATAGCTTGTTGCACAACACACAATACAATTAGCGTAGAGAATTGAAGAAACTCTATCCAGCACATATATGATAAGAATATTTAAAAACAATCTAAGAATAAGCATCTGGTTAGTCAGAACCCACCAAAGCTAAAATTAGATACACAGAAGAAAATGAAGCTACCTGATGACACGTTCTCTACGAGTGGATAAGTGATTTGGACTTTAGTCAACACGAGTCATACAACCATTAAAGCTTTGGTGATCAAGCATGATTCCACTAGCACCAAAAGAAATACAAACCCCTAGAACAAGATAACCTAACATATCTTACCTCGATCAAAAAGATCAAAGCGTGCACCACGCTAACTCCTGATCCTAAAGTTTCTTCCAAGGTATGCTCCAGGCAAGACCTAGAAATTGCAACTTCCACGATTAAAGATACCTAGTAATTACCACATCTTCCTTCCCGATCTACGATTCTTCACTAAGAACAACTCTGATTTCCCGAAAACTAAGCTACTACCAAAATTAGCTTACACGAAATCAGTCATAGGGACGTCACTGAACATGCGATTAACACCATTAGTCTACTATGAAAACAAAAAAAAGCACAAAGAACACGAAACGGTCTACAACAAGAAATCAAGCGCGATGAAGAAGAAAACTAGATTGAAACAAGCAAAACGATGAAGTAGGAGGAAGAGGAAGACGAACCAGTGGTGTGGAGAAATTCTCTACGAGGAGCTGGAAATTTTCCGGGAAAATGATGGAAACGGAAACGAGGAGAGAAAGTAGAGACACAGAGAGAAAAAGGAAGAGAAAGTTGGCGTTTAGAGAGACGCATGGTGGTGGTTAAGCTATTAAATAGGCATTGAGGAGTATACGAATCGAATTCTGAAGAAAGGAGAATAAAATTGGGTTTTACAACTGTAAAACAACTACTTGGGAATGCCGTCGAAAAAGTAGGATTCCTACTGATTAACCACTCAGACATTTACCGGAAATTCGCCGGCGAATATTCCCTCCGTTTCAATTGCATTTATTTTTTTCTTATTTTTCTCCGGCGGAACTAGGGAGGGAAACGAGGCGTTGCTAAAGAAGAAGAGATCCCAAAGAAATATGTGCCACGTGTCACATTAGATCAAAATAAAGAGTACACAAAAGAGATTGCGTGGTTGTGGCTGTTTATGGCTTTTTCTGAACCCAATGGGCTTTATTAAACCTAATTTAAATGGGCCTACAATTCAAGCCCAGTTCTTAAACCTCACACTTTAGTTCTCTTTTCCGTCTTCCCCATTTCTCAGTTCGCGTTCATCTCTCTCTCTCTCTCATCAGCCGATCGCGTGAACACCACGCGCCGCCGAAATCTTCACTATCAAGCTCTAAATCCACCGTCATGTCAACGACTTCCTCCTTACGTGCTCGACTAGCTTTCGTTGCTTTACTCTCAGCGACGACTTTTTACTGTATCCATAAATACCGCCGCTTGAAACGTCTGAAAAACCTCTCGTTAAACCCTAGCTCTACCTCGAAACCCAGCAGAGGAAAGATCTTCTTCATCTCCCAAACTGGTACAGCTAAAGCCTTAGCTCAACGGCTACACGAGCTATGCGCATCTAACGACATAGCATTTGATCTCGTCGATCCACGGAGCTATGAACCTGAAGATCTCCCCAAAGAAACTCTAGTTATATTCATCACGTCGACTTGGGATGGCGGGAAACCGCCTAAGAACGGAGAGTTTCTTGTGAACTGGCTTGGTGAGAGCGCTGAAGATTTCCGAGTCGGCTCGCTTCTTCTCTCCGATTGCAAATTCGCTGTTTTCGGTGTCGGGAGCCGTGCCTATGGGGAATCGTATAATGCTGTGGCGAAGGAATTGTCGAGTCGGATGATAGGATTGGGTGGACTCGAGATGATTCCTGTGGGAGAAGGCGATGTTGATGACGGAGAATTAGACAGAGCATTTCAAGATTGGTGTACTGGAGTTATTAGGATTCTGAAGGGAGGAGGATCTGCTCAAGAAACAAATGGGGTTTCGCAGCAGATTGGTGCTGTTGAGAATGATCTTGAGTACTACGATTCAACAGATGATGAAGATGAAGACAATGATGCTGATGGAGGTATTGTTGATCTTGAAGATATTGCTGGAAAAGCTCCTTCGAAGAGAAATGGCGTAGTTAAAGTGACTAAAGTTGATGGAAAGAAGGAAATGGTGACCCCTGTGATTAGAGCAAGCTTAACGAAGCAGGTATTGGGTTTTGTTGCTTGAGCTTTGAAGCAGTGTTTGCATTTTCTCGTCTTTACTTGAATGAAAATGACTTTTACACTTGCAGGGCTATAAAATAATTGGTTCGCATAGTGGGGTTAAAATATGTAGATGGACAAAGTCACAACTTAGAGGCAGGGGAGGTTGCTACAAGCACTCCTTTTATGGCATTGAGAGTCACAGGTTTAATTGAAACTTCTGATTTTTTTTCCCTAGTCTTATGTTGGAAGATCGTGATTCTTATGGTAAGGTATTCGGTATTTGATTTTCGAATAAACTAGGTGCATGGAGACAACACCTAGTTTGGCTTGTGCAAACAAATGTGTCTTTTGTTGGAGGCATCACACCAATCCTGTGGGAAAGAGCTGGCAGTGGAAGATGGATGAGCCGTCAGTGATTGTGAAAGGTGCTCTTGATCTTCATACAAAGATGATTAAGCAAATGAAAGGAGTTCCAGGTTAGTGTATATGCTTCTCCTTATTTTGGCTTGCAGATGATGAATTCTCGGAAATTCTCTCTCATAGTTTATGCATATCTGTGCATCAAGTTGGATTCTGGAACCTATTTAGGAATCTCATAGTTTATGAAACTGAACTTGATGCCTTTTGGAAGTCAAATATGCTCTGAGTGTTTTGTTTATTTGATTGGTTGTTTCCATCATTTGAATGTCAGATGCTGATTTTATTGGCTGGCTATAATCTTCAGGTGTGACTCCAGAGAAATTACAAGAAGGTCTAAACCCAAGACATTGTGCGTTATCACTTGTTGGTGAGCCGATTATGTATCCGGAGATCAATGCTCTTGTAGATGAGCTACATGGAAGGCGTATTTCTACATTTTTGGTTACTAATGCACAATTCCCTGAAAAGATTTTGATGATGAAGCCTATCACCCAGGTCTGTGCTGTCTGTTTTGTAGCTTTGAAAGCTCACCTAATGGAACCAAATTTACCTAACTCATTTCTTTGATATTTACAGTTGTACGTAAGTGTAGATGCTGCCACCAAAGAGAGCTTGAAGGCCATTGATAGACCTCTCTTTGCTGACTTTTGGGAACGGTTTATTGTGAGTAGTTTAAATAACCTCCTTTATGTAGTGAAATGTGAATCAAGGTAAAGGTATAATCTCTGGACCATTTGTATCCCAGGACTCCTTGAAAGCTCTCCAAGAGAAGCAGCAGCGAACCGTCTACCGTTTAACACTTGTCAAAGGATGGAATACAGAGGAGCTAGATGCTTATTTCAACCTCTTCAGCATTGGGAAACCTGATTTCATCGAGATCAAAGGCGTCACATACTGCGGATCGTGAGTGTGCTCCACTTGTTATTCTCTCTCTCTCTCCACTCTTGTTACACATATCTTTACTGATGTAAATCTTCTGGAAACAAAACCAAAACAGCTCTGCAACATCAAAGTTGACAATGGAGAATGTACCTTGGCACACAGATGTTAAAGCATTCTCAGAAGCTCTGTCTCTGAAGAGCGATGGGGAGTACGAGGTTGCTTGCGAGCACGCCCATTCTTGTTGTGTTCTTCTTGGGAGAACCGAAAAGTTCAAAGTGGATGGAAAGTGGTTCACTTGGATTGACTATGAAAAGTTCCATGATCTGGTTCGTTCACCCAAACACAAAATATGATCGTCTCAAAACAAAAAATTCATGCTGACATTAACGATACTTTTGAATGAATTCGCATAGGTGGCTTCTGGAGAACCGTTCACGAGCACAGACTATATGGCTCAAACACCATCATGGGCGGTTTATGGAGCACAGGAAGGTGGGTTTGATCCAGAGCAGTTACGTTACAAGAAGGAAAGGCATCATCATCCTAAACCACAGGCGGTTTTAGCTTAAGACAGGAGTAAGCTAAGCTTTTTTTGTTTTTCATTGTCGTCTTCGTACTAAACCACAGGCGATTTTAGCTAAAGCTATTTTGCTAGCCTTTAAAGCTTCTTCTTCAAGGTCTAAAGCTTTTTGTTTTTTTGTTATGTCATCTAACGGTGTTAACTCGTAAAAGTTTTGAAATCATATCAAACTCCAGACAGTTTCAATCCTTGAGCTGGGTTTTTGTATTTGATAAGGTTTTGGTGTTTTGGGAATGTTTTTAAGGGAAGATGATTTCGCACGTGAAGGCCTTGCGGGCCCAATAATGTCTTGCATTAAAATAGTCTATCAACATGGATGGAGTCGTCGAGTCTCTTTCTCTCACTGTTCCAAGATTAATTATGTAGTTTGTATAACTTTAATCGACAATTACAGCTATTTGGTTAAAAGATTTAAATAATTGACAGGTTCTTTCTTCTTTAACACTAGCAATATCCATTAGTTTCTTAACTTATCCGTTCACCATGTGCGATGGTACCTTTTATCATTTTTTTTTTTTTTTTTGTAAACCGGTACCTTTTATCATTTATCATATAAAAATTCGAAAGGGACGTAACCATCCATCAATGTTCAAGAAAGCGCCTAAAACGCCTAATCGGGGCCTAGGCGATTTTTAGGCGGTTTAGACGTTTATAACGTAAAACATTATAAATATGATATTATATATCAAAGTTATATAAAATATTTATATAAAACTAAAAAATATGAAATTATAAACAAAAATTAGATAAAACATTGATTTATATTTATATTAAACATTATATGGATATTTATAACCATATATATAGAAATAAAACTTAACTGAAATTGAAAAAATATATTAAATAAGATCTATATAATTTTAGGCGGTTAAGACGGTTATCTAGGCGTCGCATCAGAGCCTAGCGCCTAGTCGGGGCCTAGGCGACCGCCTAGACCGCTTTTTAGAACACTGCCATCCATCAACTACGCAACCAATAAATTAAACAACCTACTACAACTAAAAAAAACCAGGTTTTTTATGAAACAATTCATTTAATTTAGTTTCACCAGCATAATGTCTTAAAGTTATTTTGATGCACCAAAATACAAAGATTTGTTTCTTGTTTTGAACTAACAGATCCAAGAAATTATAAAATCAATTGTTTTTTCTTCCCATGAGGGTTTCAATTAATTTAGAATCCAACAATAGTTAATCCAAAAACACACACAAAAACAAGAACTCCATTAATGATACGGTAATAAAGATTTACCAGCTCTTCACCGGCGTGCTTTTCCTCCTCGACCGTCTAGACGACGGCGGTGGAACCACCACCTTCATCGTCATCTCCGGCTTCTCCTCCTCTTCTAACTCTTCATGTTTCATCTTTTGCTCCTCTTCCATACTACTACTACTCCTAACTTTCTTCTTCTGCTTCTCTCTGTTAATAACCTCAGCTTCGTCGTCTTCTTCTTCTTCGTCCTCATACTCTTCGTAATCCTCGTCTTCTTCAGATTCTTCCTTCTTGAAATCTTCTGGGTTCTCAAGATTCTTCCTTGGCCTTCCTCTTCGTCTCCTTGTAGTCTGAGACTCCGTCGGAGATGAAACTTCTGCTACCGTCGCCGTCACTGACGGTTCCTTTGCTTTCTGAAACCTTCTCTTCCCCATCAGTTTTACTTTTCTCAACAGAATAATATTTTTCGTGAACAGCTTAGCTTGTCTGATTTTTAATATCTTCAAGAGCAATAAATTTTCTTTTGTGTGTTTACAGACAGAAACAAAAACAACAGTCTTTAAAACCAAAAGCCGCCCATTCTTTTTGGTGTACAGATAAAATATCAGAAGAAAAAGTAGATTTTATTTTTGTCCGTTGGTTATCTCTTGTATATTATCCACCAATATAATACGAGTATGACATATATATCCTTGGAATTAGGGTTCATGTATATAGTCTACGTGCTATACAATATACAGAAGTATATATTATCAAAGATTAATATCGTAAAGCTTCCAAGATTAACATTTTAAATCTAGTGATTTGCAAGACTATTGCCACCTTATCACCACCAGGTTGCTAGCGGTAATCAGTGTGTGAGGTTTTTATATAATTCTATCCGATAGTAATTGAAAACCTATATGGACCATTTGAGATTTGAACCGTGACATTCTTTATACACTATTGAATACAATGAATGAGATGACTTACATCAAAATCTATGACTCAACAACAGAAAAACGGCACGACGTTCACTATTCCACTAAGAAAGTTAACAGGCTTGAATTTAAAAAAGCCCAAATAAGGCCCAATAATTTACTGTTTAGAAAAACCAACAACACAATGCACGTCGTTTTACATGTAAACGACCGACGCGGTGTGGTCTCGTAAACAGCGAATGGTTTTGTTTGGTGGTAAAGGGATAAGATCACGTGATCGGAAAGTCAGAAGAGCCCATCACCTTCTCCTTCTTCTTCCTCTTGCCTCAAAAAGACAATTCTATCGACTTCCCATCACTCTTTCTGATTTCTGATTTATTTTTCCTTTTCACTGTAGAATTTTATTTTTAATTTTGGTTTTGTTATCTTCGAAAAAGACATAGTTTTTGCTGGAAATATCAAATTGGGTCCGTCGCCACGCCACGCGCCGAGCTCGCAATACATCGAAAAGCAACGATCTAGGAGGACGATCTTTAAAATCCTACTTGGCCACAAAAAAAATTCTATTTTTATTATTTTCCGTGTTTAAGTTTTGATTCAGACAGGAAGATTAATATTAAGCACTAGTTGTGCAAAATCACAAACAAAAAAAGTGGTTCTTGTGGATGGAAACAATTTCTGGGTGAGCTTCCTTTTCCTTTTTTTGCTTTCTTTCTCTCCTTTCTTCTCTCCGGATTTTTCTAGGTTTTCTCTCAAATTTTTGTTTATGTTTTTTCCTTTAAAGGTTGTTCCTTTGTCATATAGAGAGATAGTTTTCACCTACTTTCAATCTCTGCGATTTCAAGAGAGATTTGTTTCTGCATCTGTAATTTTGATTCCTTTTGACCATCTCTCTGTTGTGTTTGGCAAGTGAGTAAAGTTTGAATCTTGACCTTTCTTCTTTCTTTCATTAGTTATGATTTTGCTTCTTTTATTGCCTGAATTTTTCCCATTTTGGGAATGAATGATTCTCTTTTTCCTTTCTTTATCAATAGGCTCTTTTTCTGTTCTTCAAGTCTCTTTTTTGGGGGTTTTTTCTTCCCAATTCAGGAAAAAAAAAACTGTTGCTTTCTCTTTGTGATTCTCACGTTATTCTCATTGATTCCAAATTTTCTGCAGCACACGTATATCAATCCAAATCGACGACCATTTACTCTTCTCTGATGCATATGTTTTGGATTCAGTGAGAAATAGAAATTGATTTTGGTTTCTTAATCATGGTGGAGCCTTATGAGACACGTAACAACGGTGAAGCTTCCCAGATGGTCAGATATCAGAGTTATAACCATCACAATTCCAGATTACCATCACCATTATCATCGCCATTACTTGATTTGAGAGTGTTCTATGTCAGAATCAGCAATTTCAAGGTGGATCATTCGACACCTGAGGTCCTGACCATTACTCATATTCCTTTGGATCCAGATTCACTTCTGGAGATAAATGGTGTTAGAATGAGCATGTACTCTGAAGGAGTTTCTTCTCAGCTAAGGCGAGATCGTGTTGATAAGAAATCCGAAGTAGCTACTTTTATCAGCACAGACAATATCAGGTTGTCTGGTAGTGTGAAGTTTGAGGTTTATGACAAAGATGAGCTGGTTTTGTCTGGAACGCTTGAGATGTCTGGTAGTAATGGTTTCACTGGTGAATCTAAGCATAGCGTGAAGCGGTGGAACATGAATTGTGAAGCTGAGATCACTGCAGGGTCTGGTTTCTTGAAGGAGAAACATATTGGTGGTTCGGAGTTATCATCTCCATTGCCAACTATTGAAGTCTATGTCACTGGCTGCTTTTCAGGAACTCCCATCATCTTAACCAAGACTCTACAGCTTGGTTTCAGAAAGAAGCACGGTAGAGTGACTGCATTAGATTCGATTCCAGAGTATGAATCTGATGAGCCTCATAAAGGAAACTCATCTGAGCTTGATTATCAGGTAACTTTTTAATTGCTTGCTACTTGCCTACTTCACTGTTTCAAAAGTATTATAATGCATTCTAATAGTTTTATATTGATTAGTTTACAACTTCAACACATTGAATGCTTTTCCTAAGATATGAGTCTTCTTGGTCATGATATTGGCTGTATGAGCATTAAGTTTTTCATGGTTTTGAGATTTCATAGTTTGAGACATGTTTCTTGGTACTCTTAGGAAGATAATTCCTTTAGATATTGAAGTGGACCAATTTCGTTATAAATGATCATGTGAGGTATGGGGCCTGACACATTTTATAAGTCAATAGATATCTCTCTCCCTCTCTCTATCTCTCACTCTCACTCACACACACACTCTCTCTCCCATTTGTCTCTTGTCTCGTGATCTTAATATCTAAACTCTTATCCTCTTGTCTGCTACAATCAGTTCTTATGTGACCCATTGGTTGAAATATCGTGGTTTTCACATGTAATGCCACAATATATCATCTTTAGTTAATGCATAGACTGATGCGGTAAACGCTACCCAAATTAAGAGTCAATGTGAAGAATAGTGTATGCTTGAAGTTTTTATTGGAGGTTCTTGCTGTTGACAGTGTAGATTACCTAAAGGAGATGGATCTTCATACTCACCGTAGATTTAGTTGCATTTAAGTATAGTGCAATGTCTATAAATTCGACCATTAGCTCTACATCTGAAAGAGTTTATAAGATTGGAACAAAAAGACCATTAGCCTCTATTGTACAAGTGATTGAATGACCATTGTATTCTTTATTTGACTATCTCTATGAATGTCTATTACTTATTTTTCTTTTCCGAGACCAACATGTGCTACATACATTGTTCTCTCTGTTGCTGAGTTCTTTGTTAAGTATGGGAGTTTTTTTTTCTGTGCAGGTAACAGAATATGGAAGTTATAAACAAGAATATGAAGGAGAACACAGCGACATGTATTGGAATAGAGAGTACGCAGATGGTGAAGATGGTGAGATGTCATGGTTCAACGCCGGTGTGAGGGTTGGTGTGGGAATTGGTCTTGGTGTCTGTGTAGGTCTTGGCATTGGGGTTGGCCTTCTAGTGCGTACCTATCAATCAACCACCAGAAACTTCAGAAGGAGGATTATCTAGTTTCATCTAAATTGCCTCAAGCTTCTTCTACTCTCTCTCTCCCTCTAACTCCAATCCGTTGCACATCACTTTTGACTGCAGAACTCTAAGCTATATAGTCTAAGCTAATACTGCTGTGTAGTATAATTTTTCTTTATGTATCTTTTTTTCTCTTTGTGCCTTCAAATTTTGAAAGAAATCATTCTCCCTTCTTCTTGTGTTTGTTGAGATTCAGATTGAAAGAAACAAAGCTTGTTGCTGGTAATGCGGATCCTATCGTCTGCTTCCTGTAAATAAAATGCTTATAAAGTGTAAGAGTTTTTGGATTCACTTAAGCCTTGCAAGAGTAATACACACAACTCCTTTTTATTTTAATCAAATGTTATGTCTAAATCATACAACCTCTCTACTTAGCATCAAGAGCTATTAGTACATTTCAAAAGGGTTGGTTATACAATACACTGCCTTCAAAACCGGTCAAGGGTGGGTTTGGATTGGCTCAGGGGCAATCTCGGCTCCAGAAAATCCGTTGCTCACGTGCAGCTGGTTAGAGTTACTGTGACCCAATCCCCAAAAGTTTGCAGTTTTAACATCGTCTTGGTTCATTTGCTTGGAGAATTCTTCATAGTTATACTGCAACAAAGCTTTCCCTCCAAACTCGGTTGGGAGATTTTCCTCGTCGAAAAATGTGCTCATAAGCTCCACGCTTTCTGGGTTCTTTGGGTAAACAAATTTCACCTTGACGAACGTCTTTGCATCAATGAAGTACTTCACAATCTGTGGAACAACCCAAAAGGAAAAACAAAATGAAGAAAATGCCATCATGTTCCTGCACATATATTATTCATTCCTGTGTAGACGAACAAACACAAAGTTGCTTTAATCACACCAATGTCTTGTCTAACTATGAGATAAAAGTAGTGTTTTGTCTAACCTTCCAGAATGCCTCAAAGATTCTTGGAGGATTATAAAGGAAAGCTACAGCTAGTCTCTCTGGGTAGTGATTTTGCAGTATATTTATAGTTTCTCTGGCAGATTTAATAGGCACACTAGTGCTCATTGACCAGTCCGTGAAGTCAATAAGCCAAGACATCTGTTCTTGATCCTCTGGTAGATTCAGAATAGCATTCTCAATGAGATACACCAGATGTTTCATCTGGTTCTCCAACGATTTTGTGTTCTACAAAAGTTGTCAATGAAAATAGAAGTTTTAGCTTGTGCCCTGAAGTTAAATTCAATCTCTAAAAATATTAACTAAGAAAATTGATCTTTAGAAACCTGCAAGCCGGGTCTCAGTATAAGAACCGTTCTTCCATGCCTGTCATGGAATCCAGCTTTGTAAACTTTACCAGTCTCACCTTCACCTGAAACTTCATTCTAGTAGAAAACAAGTCTCAACCAGGTAAGTTTTAGTAGTAATTCTCCTAATGAATCTGAGATTTGTACTTATGATGTACTTACCCATCGGATTTCCTCGGGTTTAAAAGTCGATCTCCATTTCAGAGTCTCCTCGAGCATCTTCTTGGCTTTGCCTACATTCCAATTCCTAGCTTCCAGATATCTCTTGAGACATGCATCTGAACAATACAGTGAACTCCTTCCAGAAAGCTGACCTATGAGAGCCTTAAGCTCTTTCATCTATATCATCAAGATCAGAAAGCATTACCTTCTACGAATCAACTAGGTAATTAAAAGAAAATCATCAACAAGGCCATGAAAGATTTTACCTTTGCCTCTCTGAGAGCTGCCTCATTATGCTCTTGCTCGGTTTGCGAAGAATTCTTCCAACGAAACATTTTGAGAATTGCACTTGGGTCCAATATATCAAAATCACTTTAGTCTGTCAAAATTAAACACAATGAAATAAAGCCATATAGATCATTAGCTTATACTTACAATGGCCGTTAAATCCAAAGCCAAGGAACATGTTATAATACAAAAGGTTCATGTACTGCATGTGACTGGAAATCAAATCACAGACCAAACATGACTCAACCACCTAATGTGTCAACTGCTGATACAACAAACCCAAAAAACTTCAAAATCTAGTAAAGTTTGAGCCTTGTGAGGAAACAGATCAATCAACAAGATTTGCATAGTTGTTCAAGATCCACCCAATTTCTATGAGCTCACTAAAAATCTCGAATGAATCACAGTCCTACTACTTTTCTAGTCGTTAGATAAATAATTCTAGAGATAAAAAAAAGACTGCGAATAAGAAAAATCAAGAGCATGGAATCCAATTAAAAACCTGACATATCATCATCCATCAGAGATTTCACAAACATTTAAAGATCGAAAATTTAAAGAGAAGAAGGAGCGTAGTACCGAAACAGAGAGAAGCTGCTAGGAATAAAGAGAGAATTTTGCAGTGATGAGAGAAGTCGGAGAGAGTCAGCTGAAGAAAGTTGAAACTGATGACATTGGAGAAGAAAAGTAAAGACAATTCACCTAACCGCTTTCAGACAAGTGGACAACAATTACAGAGACAGCTATTAAAATATCTTTTAAAAGTAACTGAACGGTACGGCACGGCACGTGAGATTCACGTATACCTGAGACAGACTAAGCTCACACGTGTCACTATCTTAGAGGCAAGAGTAATTGGAAACAGCCCCAAAAAACAAAAATACAACTTTGTTTCGAATCCATCCAGGCCCAATTACTATATGGACCACAAGTTTAAAACAAATATAAGAGGTTTGAATATTAACAGAAATAAAAAATTTACACTTAGACTTTATAGAGGAAGTGACAAGGTTTATTACATTCAAAACTCTTTCACATTCCAATGGAAATTGAAGAGAACCAATCTGAAGCAACAACACCTTTCTTCTAACTCTTGTGAAGAAACTGCTACGCACAAAGATGAATCTAAAGAACCAGAGTCAAAAACACATTTCTTCTAAATCTTGTGAAGTACGATACACTTGAAGCACCACTTCCTGGGTTCTACAATCTGACAAATCTCAAATGCATACACCTTATTCCATCCAAGAGCTATAACAAACTTCCCATGAACTGAGAATCACAAGACAATCTAAAACAGCAGTCCAAAGCCAATTTTATATTCACTAACATCAAAGAACCGACCATCAATTTGAACAGCACAGTACCGGTTCGCAGTTTCTGACGTATAAAGTTCAACAAGTGTTCAATCAAAGTGACTATCAGCTTATTGGGTAGTGCCGCAGTGTTGACTTATTAATTAGAGAGAATTCATAGTGCGATATGATTCTTCAATTTATTAGAACTTATAGACTTATTCACTTACGATCTGTTGATGGTGATAATAGTTGATAAACAAACGATTTTCAGATTCTTACAACAAACTCAACTTTGAATCAATATCGCTAAATTTAAAACTGAAACGAAATTTAAAGGAGAAATATTTGTAGTCAGCTCAGAAGGTTGCACAATCATTTCAAAGATTGAATAATCTCATAAGTCCAGACATATATATTAGCAACTTCATCATCGCAAAACAAATCAAATCAAAAGTAAAAGATCATCAAATACTCAGAGAAGCTACGAACTTGTAGCGATGGCAGACAATCTACACGGCATCAATTCAGACCGCCCGTCTGCTAATATCTCATCATTGTTTTTGATCACAACAAAAAAAAACATAAAACTAAAATTCGAATGATGGCATCAGATAATAAGCGGAGATGTTTTGTCAACACTGTTCATCAGTGGTTAAGCATAAATTAATCAATTCTTCACTTGCCAATCAAAAACTAAAAAACGATTAAAAAGTATAGGTCGATTCATTTGACGCCAAAGCTGAAGAAATAGCAATGGGTTGGTAAGATAACCTATTCACTATCAGCATCCGTTCTAACTCCTCTACCATTCTTTAGTGATTTTACTCGACCAGTTAGAGGAGTGGGTAAATCAAACAGATGCATCTAAACCCAATCAAAATCGAAAACAAAACAAAAACAAGAGATAAACAAACTACAAGAACCAATCGATATTCGAACAAAATCAAGATACCATAGGCGATTCAAGCGAAGAAGATAACTGCGGAGGAATAGATCGGTTGTTCTCTAGAAATAGGGATTTGTCAGGATATTTATATAGCGGAGAGATTTTTTTGTTATCTCGGAAACTAGGGTTTCGCTCTTAACGGACTTACGTCGGTGTTATTATTTTAGTGGGCTATTTAGTGACATACTTGGCCCATATTTGCCATGGTCCATTGGGTTAATTATTAAAAAAAAAACGCAATAAGATTTTTGTTTTTGTTTTTGGTCAAACAATAAGAACTAATGAAACTCATAAAAACTCAAACAATAAGGTTTAGATTTGTTTTCTGATATTGTTTTTAAGAATCTGTTTGTGTGGATTTCAAAATCTCTGCAATATATCTTTGATTTTGATTCTAATAATTTACTCATGAAACTCCAAAAAGGTTTCGTTTCAAATGATTTAATATACAAAGATTTTACAAGTCTTTTAGTTTTGAATAACACATAAGATCCAATAACACCAGATTTTAAAGTTAGATTTAGAATCATTAGTTGAATAACACTGGATTAGTGTTGGATTTTAATTCTATTAAAATCCATCATTGAATAACACCACCTAATTTGATTAAAAAATAAAATGAAAAATGAAACTCATAAAATCATAATGGAATGTGCCAATGACCATTGATATTTGTTTTACTATGAAAATATTCATTTACACCCTTTCAAAATTACATATTTACTCCTTTTTGTCACAAATCCAAGGTGTATATTTGCTCATTAAGAAACCTATTTAAACCCCAAACAAAACAAAACATCTAAGAGGGACTATTGTAACGATTTCTCCACCGTACCTAATGATCAGTGTTGATATCCGACGGTGGTAAAAAGCTCTCCAAACACAATCCACAAATATTGAAATCCACTTCCTCGATCCGCCATTTCTCCTCTATTCTTCTTCGGTGATTTACAGCTCCGCCGTAACGATAAAGCGTTGTCACAGTTTGACCACCGTGAGCTATGTTTACTGCGTCAACGAATATATAATCGTCGATGATTGACTCCATACTTGTCTCCCAGAAAACGCCATCGCTTTTGCCTCTACCAGATTTGACCCTCACGAGCTTTGTGTCACCGAACTTTACAAGAAGTCCCGTTCGTTGGCTGAAGTAACCCCACACCGTGTGGTGGATCACTTCCGTGTTTGGTGAGCATTGTGCCTTGAGAATATCTGATGGCGTTTCTAACTTTAAGACAAAACAGTCTTCACCGTTAACTGATTGTTCGCCGATGCAAACAGCGTCTAGGAATAGACTTGCCGTGCATCTCGGGTCTAGTCCCTGCCACGTCATTTTAACACGTGAAAAATGTCAAAAAGTCAGATCTTTAACCTTAGGGTAAGTTTGGATTAAAATGTTCAATAATTTAACTTTCTTATTACACTATATAGATTTGGATTGATAATTTTTTTGCCAATAATATGACCAATACACAGCCAAAACTTTGCATTTCTTGGTATATACTACGAGGATTGATTGTTTAATGGTGTTATGTACATTTTTACTGGTTTGCTTTGGCTTAGTTCTAATTTACTATTTTTTCTTGTCGTTCACACGCATGCTACCATGTTTCAACATTGAATATGATAGGGCGATCAAAACCACTATACTACAAATTTTGCTGTTCTTGTTAAGTTTAATCGTGAAATGGTCGATAATATCATGTAGCAAACGATTAACTACTATGCATTTAAAAGTTAAAAATGGGCACCTGAAAAAAGCGGCGGAGAGGACGAGGAGGGCCACGGTGGGCCTGAGAAGGTTGAGTAGAGGATTGGTTCCAAGCCACTTTGCCGTCACTACCGGCGCTAATCTTGAAACCGGAAACCACTAGCTCCAAGAACCAAAGATTTGGATTCTTCTGCCATAAAACAAAACCTCCGACCTCGAAACTGCCTTTACCCAGCCTCACCGGCGTACCCGTCCCTTGGTCCTCTCCAGCAACCATCTCGGAGCCTTGCATCCTCACCTGCCCCACCGCGTACATGCTCTTCACCGCGTTTAAAGCCGCTGGACCTCCGCACGCTGCCACGTACTGTTGCACTATGTATTTAGCCGTCGACGCCTCCTTCAAAATACACCATTACTATCAACATTCGACATACATATATTTGCTTTAGAAAAAAAAACGAGAATCCTATAAATCTTTTATTATTTTTGAATTATTTATTATCTCATAAGGGTTAATAATCCCTACACATTTCATCTCTATACATTTATCTCTGTTTGAAATTGAAAAATTCATAGTCTTCTAATCCCATGGGTTATAGAATCATTGAACAATTGTGCTATTCAAAACATTAAGAATATTAACCAACCATAATTAAAATTGCAATTGAAAGACTTGAATTCTAAGTTTCTAACCTGTAAACCGACATCAAAAGGTTAAACAGAAAAAGATTAAATTAATGATGAGATACGTACGATGGAAGTGTCGTTGATGGGTCGGGATAGACAAAACTCAAGAGGGACATGAAAAGGAATAAGAGGACTTCCCACGATTTTCAACAAGGCCACAAACTCGTTGTCTGATTTTGATTGCAAATGCATATTGACATTACTCATCGATGAAGATGACGCCGGTGTTCTGACGTCAGTCGCCACCGCGGTTACAACGGCATGTGCCTTCATGAGAGCGTGCATATTCCTCCACCGCCCTGCCGCGTTGCTTCCCATCTTGGTAAACATTTCTTCCGGCACTGGAACCTCTAACACCGTCTCTAGCCCGTCTTCTCTGTCCAAATTTGGACAAAGCTTCCTCATTTTCATTTATAATTTTATTTTATTTTTTTTCGTTTTTTTTCTTCTTGATGATCCGAGAGAAAGAGGAGATTAGGGTTTTCCTCTTTCTCCGAAATTTTATTACGGGAGAGAGATCGATAGATTTTAGAGGATCATGAGGATTAACTACGAAAAAAATAAAAACTATTCTTGACTTTTTTTGTTGTTTTTTCTTCTCAATTTTCTGTTAGCCGGCTCTTATAACTAGGGTGCTCCTTGCTCGTAGCTATCGTGAGAACACGATTTCAGGAGGATCCATCTAATCTCTCTCTGTGTGTCTTTATATATAATCTTATACTGATGTGACATATTCACGGATTTACACTTAGAAATATCTATAAACGTTGACAATGTATGTATATTAATTAATTTGCATACGAATATTTGGATACGTTACATTGTGGTCGTGTACTACATATATACGTGGAAAACTTATAGTGGGGAATAAGATCTAATATATACAATCGAAGTGGTTAGGTGGGAGACCAATTGCGTACCGAGTCTCTTTCTTCACGCAATTAGCTCTAGTTGTTATTCTTTTTCTTTGTCTTATTTTTGAACACTAGCTAATTGTTATTTGGTTGGTTTTTATTTATCGTCAGCAACGTAAATTATACGAGTTTAAATTTGTATGTTGCTAGAAATCAAAACATAGCAATATTTGCTAACTTTGTTATTATGTCATCATCCGTGTTCAAAATTATGATTTGTTCATCCGATGTAAGAAGATGTACTGGTGTATACTTGATTTATGATTCTAATGGTTAATACGATCATAATGGTTTTATATGTCAATTAACAAAATAATTTATCCCATATCATATTGCATATTAAGATTTTCTAGTTTTTTTTCAACGTTCTAGTAGCGAAAAAAGCTCACCTTTTTTTTTGCAACGTAAAATAGAGGCGCCAAAATTCGAATTATTTGGCGCGTAAATTGTCAAGCGTTTATTCATTTTCATCCTTTTGGGTTTTGGCATTGATTATTCTTCTTCCAAAAGAACAGAAACATTAGGCACCCCTATAATTTTGACCGGAGATTATTACAATCGGAGATGATGAACGACGAGCAACTTTCTCCTGTCGGAGAATCGAGTGTCCCAGTTCCAAACAGGATGCTTAGGCGATTGAAGAAAGCTAAATCGATCTCAGATTTATGTCCTGGATCTGAAGTACTCGACTCCGAAAAACCCGACGGCGAGGATCTGGGTAAGTTTGAATTGCAGTCTGCGAAGGGTTTCGATGGGTTTGAGGAAGAAGACGGGGTTCGATCTGATCTCGAGGGTTTGGGTGTGGAGGACGAAGTTACCGCGAGGAAGGTTATTGATTTTGATTCTGTGCCTGAGTTTAACCAGACTCTTGAAGATCTGAGCGAAAAACCTGAAGAAGACGAAATCTCTGATTCGGAAACTAGAGATGAAATTAGGGTTTCGGAAACGACGGAAGCTGGAAAGGAGCGGCCAATTAGTGCGCCTGAGTTTGATTCCCCAATCGAGGGATTGGGTGAGAAAGGTGAAGACGAAATCTGTGATTTGGAAATAGAAGAGGAAATTAGGGTTTCGGAAACGAAGGAAGCTGGAAAGAAGCGACAAATTCTGGAGACAAGTGATGGAGAGGGAAAGGAGAGAAAGAGAGATAAGAAGAGGAACAAGAAGAGTGACGATTTTGATGAGCTACCAGTCTCTACTGCTTCCATGAACATGACTAAGAAGGTAACTCTCTCTCTCTCTTCCTTAGTAGTTTCATTTTGAGTTAACTTTGAATTATTCGATTATTTGTTTCCTTCTCCTTGGTTTAATTAGTGTTACTGTTCTTGGTTCGTTTGTAGGAAAGAAGAGAATATCTTGATCAGCTTCGTGCAGAGAATCAGAGACTCTTGCGAGGTATGATTTTCTCAAAACACTTTTCGGTGTTCATTGTAACGTTTTGCAGGGAAATGACCATTGTTTGTGTTTATCTATTCATGATAGAAACTAGAGATGCTGCCTTTGAACCCGCCCCACTTGTCCGAAAGCCGATTTCATCCGTCTTGGAGAAAATTCGAAGAAGAAAAGAGGAGATTTCAAAACAGTGAGTTTTGATATATTCTCCAACCACTTCCCCACCATAATCTCTTTTCTTATTAGTAACCGTTTCTGTGTGTTATCATTTATGCTGTTGCCAGATTCCTTAGCAGGAAGAAATCCAAATCTAGCGACTTTTGCGATGAGGATGATTTTGAGGAAGTTGTAGCCGAAGAGACCAATGAAGAAGATATAGATTTGAAAACTACAAGCAAGCAAAATTCTGGAGGACAGCATTGCTTGAAGGACTCTGCAGGTCCGTCAAGAAACTCAGACAGTCCCTCTAACAAAAAAGCTGAAAGTAACCCTACTCATCAGGTGAGCTAACTCATGTGTAGACACTTTAGATCTCTGCACAAATCAGAAGTTGTTTTCTGTTTTGTTGATTTGATTTTGGATTTTGAGGTCCTTCATCAAAGGCTAGTTTGTAAACTCAGATTTAAAGCTGACTCTCTCAGTTTTTGTCCGTTTTTGGTTAGGATCCATCCCTGCGTCCACAAACGATTAACTCCAGAGATGAACTTCTAGAGAAGACGTCAAGCAGATCTTTGGAAGAAGTAATGACACCGTCGGTAGTTGCCATGAACCTCAAACTAAACCTGTCTCCTTTGCCTGACAAGTGAGTCTATCTTTTTATGTGGAAATTAAGTTAACTATAACATTGAAATGCTCGTCGTCTATCTAATTTTGGAAGCTTCACATAACGCAGTCTTAACATGTTCATAAATATTTTAGGACAGATGTTACTTTCAGACATGATGTGCTTGTTTTCTGTGCCATAATCAGAAAAGCCAATTGTTTCTGTAGAGTTAAGTTATATTGTGTATACTCAGGCTTGCTTTCTATACAATAACTAATTCACATCTGCAGATCTTCTGAAGAAGCAGAGTACATGAAGGAAAATTCTGATCCTGAGACCCATGATTCATCTCCTGGCGACCCTGTTAGAAAATTTATTGATGAGGATGCTGAAGAGGAAGATGACAGCGACAATGATCTACTCCGATTTGAGGATGAGGATGATGATGAAGATGAAGAAGATGATGATCTCAGGGATATGATTGTTAGTCAATTTAAGGAAGATCCAACTGATAAAGATAGACGTAATGAACTGCATCAGAAGTGGCTCGAGCAACAAGATGCTGCAGGGACAGAGAAACTCTTACAGAAGCTTAAACGTGGTTTGCAGCATGATGAAACATTATTGTCTGAAGATGAAGATGAAGATGACGATGCTGATGATGACGAGAGGGCTGAAGATGCTGATGGTGAAGAAGTGCAAAAACCTGAAGCCAGTGAAGATAGAGATGAAGATGAAGAAGATCCAAGTCATGCAAATTCCATGCGAATGACCATAAAGAAAATAAAGGAAATGATCCCTTTAATGTTCACAGATGAAGATGATGTTTATGTGTCATCTGATGACGAGGAAATGGAAAAGAAGCTTCTGCAACAGCGATTGTACAAGAAAATGGTAGGTGATCCCGGTTCGACAGTTCTGTCTGCTCCATATTTTATCATTTGATCCACCATACCTCTCTATATAATAAAAATTGAAAAGCTTGTTTGATGTTTCGCTTGTGCTGCCCCATGAATATCAATTATTGTTGTTTTGAACAGGAGCTAAAGGCCAAGTCTTCGTCATCCACTGGAGATGAAAACTCGGAGGAAATTCTTCGCCACATCAAGAAGCCTGAGATCAAGAAGAAAGCAAAACCTTCTTGTAAGATACCACCCAAGTTTCTCCCTCTATTTGTAATTATCAGCTGAACTTATACACATTGCTGATTGCTTATAACCATTTTCTTTCAATTGTTTTCAGCTTTTAAAGAGAGGGCACTCATGGAGATAAACAAAAACCCTGCGGCATCCAAGGTATAAGCCTTCTTCAGTTACTTTCATATACCAATAAAGTTTGTAGAGAGGTCACACTTTAAGACTTGTTAAAAACAGGACAATGAATTGCAACTTTACTCATGCCGTGAATCTTTTGCAGTCATCGTTCTTGGGTAGACTTACAAAGAGTTCAATTTCAGAAGGATCTCGCAAGCGCGGTTCAAACGTTGTACGTGGCTATATATTCGAACGTGATGACAGTAACAGCAAAAGCTCAAACCCAGTGCCAGATGAACCTTCAGCTCCAGAGACTGTAAAGCTCTTCCCTATAAAAACATATACACAGATTTCTGGTACACGTATATAAATGCCTTCTTCATAACATTTGCAGATTATTAAAGAAAAAAGTCGACCAAAAAGAGCTCCGGCAAAATTCACTGCCTCACAGTCACAAGAGAGATCAGCAACATTACAGGCGACAGCAGTGGAGGAGACGAGCACGAGGCAACGAACTACCTTGTACGAGATTCTAAAGATGTCATCAAAGAAAACTTGCTTCAATTCACGGGAGACAATGATAAGCAGCAACCACACCGAGTCTATATTTGCTGCTTTCAAACTGGATAAGAAACCAGTTAAGACGAATCCACAGGTAAACACCCTCTTCATCTAATTGAATGTTATTCTTGTTCTCCATTTCTCCAACTAAAAATGAATATTTAACAGGAAAAGAGATGAAATCAGTTAAAACAAAAGATAAAGAGAACAGTGGCAATGTGTTTTGGAGGAATTCAGGATTTTGCCATACACACAGTTGCAATGAAACAGCACGTGTGGTGAATGAACGTGAATCACTGGATCGTGTCACTTTTTGTTAATGTGTGGCCACCAAAACGGCGTAGGACCGCACTTTTTGGCATCTTGCTGATCAGATTCAGTCTTTCCGATTCTCAAGTACATACGTTGGTTGCTGTAACTACAAATACTTTAGTAGGAGATTAGATCGTCTGTCGTAGTCATTCGAATCCTTTTCTTATACACTGAGATCAGAATTATTTATTCAAAGTTTGTTTTATACATTGAATGTTTTATAGTATACTATTTCTTTATATTGGATAGAATTTATTCAAGAATCATTCAACTAACATCCATTAACGCAAACAGTTTTTATCACATATTGTAATATACTGAATAAAATATCTTAAACCTCTTGGCACCAAAAAAAAATTGAACTTTCTTTGATCCCAAAAATAAATATCTAATCCATTTTTTCTTCTTCTTCCCTTAAACTTCGTTGAGACTGAAGAAGACCAGAGAGTAAAGAGTTTCGGACACAAGGATCTCAAATCAGACAATTTTATTTTATTACTCTTACCTCAACGTTGGTTGACTTACAAAAGAAAATCTCAGATAGATTATTTTTCTTTCCAGATCCGAATTCTCGCCCTCTTGTAGATAGATCTACATAAATGGCGGTTACTTACTGATTTCAGGAAAAAAAACTAAGGAGCCTTTTTGCTTCTTTTAATGGCGGATACTCGAAACGGCAAGTCCCTTTTCTTCTTCTTTGTCTCGCTTATTTTGCTTTTCCTTTCGCCGTCTTTTTCGGATGTCACAGCTTCCGAGTCCGATCCGATTCCTTACGAGAACTCAGATGCTTCTCCTGGAGTCGTGGCCAGCAGTGAATCCGACAGGCAAGGTGTTTCATTGCATAGACTAGAGGAACTTGTTAGGAATCTTACGGAAGTAGTTGCTAGATTAGATGCTAAGTTATCTGAAACTCCGTTTAAGGTAAAGAAAGAGATCAGTCGTGATGAGATCGAAGAGAAAGCCAAGGCTTTTTCCGTGACAAAGTACAGTCCTTTCTGGTCTGAGAGATTCGAATTCACATCAGCTGTGAAACTAGACTCTGAAGCGACTTGTATCAACGTGTTGCCGTTTCGAGATCACGAAGGTTTTAGCAAGTATTTCGCAGTTGGGGATTCAAGTGGTAGAGTTTTTGTGTTCTTGAGAAATGGGGATGTTTTGGTTGAGTTTTTCACCACCTGCGATTCACCAATCACGGCAATGGTGTCTTACATGTCTGTGTATAAGAACGAGAGTTTCGTGGTGACGGGCCACCAAAGTGGAGTCATCTTGTTGCATAGACTCCGCGAGGGCTCCATCGGGGAAGATTGGAATTCCGTTGTGATGGAAAATGTTGGCAAGTTTGATGGCACGGAGGACGGTTTGCAAGTGACTCTATTGGAAGTGCATCATGTGGGTCGGGTTAGGTATATATTGGCCGCAGATCTTAGCGGAAAGCTCACGGTTTTCACTGAGAACAGGACGGTTTATGGCTCGGTTACCCCAACGAGTAGACCGCTCGTGTTCTTGAAGCAGAGGTTGTTGTTTCTCACTGAGACTGGTGCTGGTTCGTTGGATTTAAGAAGCATGAAGATCAAAGAATCGGAGTGTGAAGGTCTAAACCATTCTCTAGCAAGAAGTTACGTTTTTGATGCGTCGGAACGGTCTAAAGCTTATGGATTCACATCCGAAGGCGAAATCATTCACGTATTGCTTCTCGGAGACATCATGAACTTTAAATGTAGAGTGAGATCAAAGAAGAAGGTTCAAATGGAGGAGCCTGTAGCGTTACAAGCCATCAAAGGCTATCTTCTTATAGTCAACCAAGAGAAAGTCTTTGTGTACAACGTATCGACTCAACACTATGTTCGAACCACGGGTCCTCGGCTTCTTTTCCCGGCTGCATTAGAAGATATCAGGTCAACGTTCTTGAGCCATCGAGAATCATCAAAAACCACCGATCACCAGAAGCTAGAAAAGGTAACTCCTTTGATAGCAAGCGACCGCGAAAAGCTGCTTGTGATGGGTTTAGGAGACGGATACGTCGCTACATACAAATCAAAGCTTCCGATCTCCAAAGCAGAGTTCAACACAATGCTTTGGAGCAGTCCTGTCTTCTTCTTCATACTTTTCTTATTCGGCGCTTGGCATTTTTTCGCCAAGAAGAAAGAATCTCTCACTGCTTGGGGACCTGACGATCCTTTCGCCTCCACGACAATGTCTTCTTCTTCTAGTACTACAACTGCACAAAACAGTTCCGCATTTGCTGAAAGGAGAAACGACGACCACATGGATCTTCGAAGAAGGTACCTTTCGCCATCTCGGTATCCTCCTGGAGCAGCAACAGGTGCATACCGGTCAGTGGGGTCTAACGACCCGAGCTCAAGAGCTCCAGTGGAAACTACTAACTACAGAACAACCGCACAGGAGATGAAGTATCGTGGTGGGTCAGGTCTTGATTCAAGTGGATTTGGTAAAAGAAGAGAGAGTTTGTTTGGTAATAACAAAGCTTTAGAGGACGAAAGTTAGTTCCTTTTTATTTTTTTCATAGTTCGTTATGTTCTTTTTTTACCGGTCAACGCTTGAAATTTTTGTAATGTGTAAAACTCCGGCGAAGAAATAAAATTTTTACCGGTTGCTTTGTTTCTCCGGTCACATCTTGTTAGTTACTGTAATTTTGTTGTGGCAATCTCAAGAGTAAGATCAGATAAAAAATTTCAAGATCCAATAAATGAAACCGAACCAGAAAGAGACTTGAGGTTGAGGATAACACGTCAAACGTCAAAATATGGCAATGTTCTTCATCTTCGTCTTGGTCTTTTTCTTCTTTGTCTTCAGATTCATCTACAGTAACCTATGGGTTCCGTGGAGAACCCAATCTCACTTCAGGAAGCAGAGCGTGACGGGTCCTCGTTACCGGATATTCAGTGGAAACTCCAGCGAGGTGAGCCGACTAACGGCGGAGGCTAAATCAAAGCCGATTCCTTCCGGGAGCAATCCTCATGAGTTCGTCCACCGTGTGGCGCCTCACTACCACGCATGGTCACGTGTCTACGGGAAGACGTTCCTCTACTGGTTCGGGTCGAAACCTGTGGTGGCCACGTCGGATCCGAAACTAATCCGTGAAGCTTTGACGACGGGTGGGTCGTTTGACCGAATCGGGCATAACCCTTTGTCTAAGCTGCTTTATGCTCAGGGTCTTCCTGGTCTTAGAGGTGATCAATGGGTTTTCCATAGAAGAATCGCCAAACAAGCTTTTACAATGGAGAAACTCAAGGTAACAACTTACACACATCAATGTAGATGCTAAGATCTGTAATTCAGACAACATTGTGCACAAATAGCACAAATTGTGCTATTTGGAATCTCAGTCTAGTTTAGTTTAAAAGTTACCAAAGCTGAGATCTTTTTTTATAGAGGTGGGTGCCAGAAATGGTGACAAGTACTATGATGTTGCTTGAGAAATGGGAGGAGATGAGAAACGGAGAAGAAGAGATTGAGTTAGAGGTACACAAAGAGATGCACAGTTTGTCTGCAGATATGTTATCAAGAACAGCTTTTGGGAACAGCGTGGAAGAAGGGAAAGGAATCTTTGCGCTGCAGGAGCGTATGATGCGTCTTTTCTATCTGGTTCGATGGAGTGTTTATATCCCCGGATTCAGGTAAGTTTTTGTGGAAAATCTTTCTAGTTTTGATAGGAACAAGAACCTTGATGCTCATTTTCAAATGCTGGTTTAGATTCTTTCCTTCGAAAACGAATAGAGAAATATGGAGGGTTGAGAAACAAATCCGTGGTTCTATCCTGAAACTGATCGAAAACAACAAAACAGCTGTTGAGAAATCAGGAACTCTGCTTCACGCTTTTATGTCTCCTTACACGAATCAGAATGGTCAAGAAGAGAAACTTGGGATTGAAGAAGTTATAGATGAATGCAAAACGTTCTACTTTGCAGCTAAGGAAACAACTGGTAACCTTATAACATGGGTCTTAGTTCTCTTAGCTATGCACCAAGAATGGCAAAAAATTGCTCGGGAAGAAGTCATACGCGTTCTCGGACCAACAGGGCTTCCCACTCTAGACATCTTACAAGACTTCAAGACTGTAAGTCCTTGAGCCCCAAATCAAAAGAGTTATAAATTCTTAGTAACACATTCTTCTTGTTTTTGTTAACAGCTAAGTATGATAATCAACGAGACTCTCCGGCTCTACCCTCCAGCAATGACATTAAACCGTGACACTCTTAAGAGAGCTAAGCTCGGAAACCTTGACATTCCTGCAGGAACTCAACTCTATTTATCAGTGGTCGCGATGCACCACGATAAAGAAACATGGGGAAGTGACGCAGAGGAGTTTAATCCGCGTAGATTTGAAGATCCCAAGAAACAATCAGCTCTGCTTGTGCCGTTTGGGTTAGGGCCTAGGACTTGTGTGGGACAGAATCTTGCTGTGAATGAGGCCAAAACTGTTCTGGCTACGATCTTGAAGCATTACAGTTTCAGGTTGTCTCCAAGTTATGCTCATGCTCCTGTTTTGCTTGTGACCTTGCAGCCTCAAAATGGTGCTCATCTTCTCTTTAGTAGGATTTCGAGTTAGACACTACCAAGATTGGTTGGTATTATGGTCTCCGGTTTAATCCGGTTTAGGTGGGATTAAATCATTTAATGTACTTCGGTTGGGTATTTTTCCCCCTTGAATAAAAAGGCTAAAATGGTCAAAGCACACAATTATCTTTATCTTCTTCCTCCAAACTCACAAGACTCTGCAACTCCTTAAATCACCGATTTTGTGTCCATATATTGGGCGGGAAAAAAAACTGATTTTGTTTTCCCCTTGACTCCCTTTTTTTTTCTTGTATTCTGAGATATACTGTAATTGGAAAAAGTGGGATAGGTAAGAAAAGCATCAACGAAACACGCACTCAAAGTGTTCGACGAAATTCCGCATAGAGACTATAACTCTATAGGAGATGCCACTAGAACCGATTCGATTCTTGAGAACCACTGCAGGCGTAGCTGTTGGTGGGTTTGTGACCATAACCGCGGTTTCTTCAGCAGCGGTAGGAGCATTGCGATATACAATTGAAGAGAAACGGAAGAAAAACGGATTGGCTTGTAGAACATGTCGTGGAAAAGGGTTTTACATATGCAAACTATGCAAAGGAAACGCAATAATAAAATGGTCACCATTGTATGATCCAGTTTGTATCAATCCATGTCTTTGCCCTACTTGCGATGGTCACAGGTTTTTTTTTTTCTCCTTTTAACTCTTAAGCAGAGAACAAAAGTCTGAGAAGACATGAAAAAGCCATTGTGGTATCTAACATTGTTCTTCTAGACTAAAATTTGTAAACTTTTTTCAACATTGCAGGGTACAAAAATGTCTCAACTGCTTAGGAAAGGAGTACTGGTAGACTCCTTAGGCTTATGATTTGATCATCTTTGTGCTTTTGAAACCTCGAAAACGGTTTGGTTTTTGTACGATTTTTAGTGTTGAATGCTGTGGATTTGAGGGGAGAATAATGAATAATTGGTCCTGCTTTGTAGAATTGTAATAAATTTGGTTGTGCTGAGTTCGGTAATTCTGCCTAAACCTCTCTACCTAGTTAGATGTTAAATAAGTAGCACCAAAACGGGTACGGAAACTAGAAACGAGTACGGAAACGGGGACGGAAAACTGCAAAATAAAAATTCATAGATACGGGGACGGCATGGGTATTTCAATATATATATATAAAACATATAAAGAAATACCCTTAAATTATAAATATAAGTCTCATTACCACTGTTACCAATGTTATCACTTTGTCCTTGAGTATTATTCATCTAATCAATCAAACTGCATAATATTAGATTAACTTAGTATTATTAATCTATGCTACACTAAAATAATACACAAAACAGAAGAGTGGAAGAAGAACGATTTGAATTTATAGAAATATATACTGATATACACATACACATACTTGTAATAGAATAAGTATGTGTATGTGTATATATAAGCTCTTTTATTCCTTTTTAGTTTGGGATTTTAATGAAAAATAGTTAAATGTCCTATTTTTATAAGAGGGGCACATAAAATATTTCATAAATGATTCGGAAACGTTTTCGTTTCACCTCCATCACGTCCCCGTTTTTTGCTTGCCATCCCTCTGTTCCATGAAACGTTTAGGGGACGTTTCCGTATTGTCCCCGTGAAGTACCAGTCCCCATCACGTTTCTGGTACATGAGACACCACCGAAACGACGTCCCCGTGCATCATAACACAGTTAATGTGACCTTTGAACAAGAACAACGTCAGCCGTCAGTACAATCAAGACAAGATAATTAATGAAGTGTTAAAAAATATTTTAAGTAAACCAAATCAATGGTTAAAGAGGCTTATATAAGATTAACTTGCACTACTAGGATTTGGTCACAGAAGAAAGAAAGGGGTTTATTAATTTGGCTACTGCATCTTTTTTCTTTCACTTTCGGAGAAATTCAATTGGCAATGGCGGGTCGTAAAGAGAAAATCCAACCATTCCGCGAATGTGGAATTGCGATCGCCATGATGGTCGGAATTATTATCGGTTGCGTCTGCACTGTCTTGTTACCAAATGATTTCTTCAAGTCCGGATCATTGAAGGTAAACTCTAGAGCTCGTATACTCAAATCATATACATTCTTCTTCTTTTTTTTGAAATTCTGTGGTCTAGAGCTCTAGAGTTGTGCTCTGATTTAGAAGATGTGCTGTGGAAGCTAGCAATTATAGCATTTGAGTTTTTTTATAAGGGGAATGCTGGAATCTCTTTCATGGTGTTGTCTTTATTGGAAATTATAATTCAAAAATATTGATGAATGAAGTTTGAATACTATAGCTGAATTTAGAACTATATTTGGCGGGAGATGGATTTGAAAATTTGAGAATTTAAGTCTCTTACTGAGTCCGTTTGTTTTGAGGATTCATAACCTTGATCGATTTTTGAGTAAGAAGAATTATATATTGCATGTTTAATCATCATCATCTTGGATCTTACTCAAGACTGACATTTTTTACATCAAACCCAAAGTTTAAATGGTGAATTTCATCTCTCTGTTTCTCTTTTCAGATTGCATCGGCTTCATGTGAATCGCCTGAACGGGTCAAGATGTTCAAAGCAGAATTTGCAATCATGTCCGAAAAGAATGCCGAGTTAAGCAAGCAGGTCAGAGAGCAAACAGAAAAGGTACGGTTGGCGGAACAAAAAGCAGAGATCAAGGCCGGGCCTTTTGGCACTGTCACGGGTCTGCAAACCAATCCAACTGTGGTTCCCGACGAGTCTGTTAACCCCACATTAGCTAAGCTTTTAGAGAAAGTAGCTGTCAATAAAGAGATCATTGTAGTACTTGCAAATAACAATGTGAAACCAATGTTGGAGGTGCAGATTGCTAGCGTAAAAAGAGTGGGTATTCAAAACTACTTGGTTGTCCCATTGGAAGATTCCATAGAAAGCTTCTGTAAATCGAATGAAGTCGCATATTACAAGAGAGATCAAGATAACGCGATAGATGTGGTTGGGAAAAGCAGAAGTAGTTCAGCCGTATCTGGACTGAAATTCCGCGTCGTAAGGGAGTTCTTGCAGCTAGGTTATGGTGTTCTTCTAGCGGATGTGGACCTTGTATTCTTGCAGAACCCTTTTGGTCATTTGTACAGAGACTCTGATGTGGAGTCCATGAGCGATGGCCATGACAATAACACGGCTTATGGCTTCAACGATGTGTTTGATGACCCATCCATGACACGGTCTCGGACTGTCTACACAACGAGGATATGGGTTTTTAATTCCGGGTTTTTCTATCTAAGACCAACTCTTCCTTCAATCGAGCTACTCGATCGCGTGACAGATACACTCTCTAAGTCAGGGGGATGGGACCAAGCAGTTTTCAATGAGCACCTCTTTTACCCTTCACATCCCGGATACACTGGCTTACACGCTTCCAAGAGAGTCATGGATATATACGAGTTCATGAACAGTAGGGTCCTCTTCAAAACGGTGAGAAAGAATGAGGAACTGAAGAAGTTGAAGCCGGTGATTGTTCATATGAACTACCATTCAGATAAACTCGAAAGAATGCTAGCTGCAGTGGAGTTCTACGTTAATGGCAAGCAAGATGCGCTTGATAGGTTCTCTGATGGTTCATAGAGGGATATATGCTTGTTAAGCAAGATATCGAAAGAACCAAACTTCTTTTCTTCTCATGTTTTAGGTTATTAAACCACTTTCTTTTCTTTTTTTTGGTCAAATTTAGAACTATATTTGGCGGGAGATGGAATTGATTGAGCCGAACAAGCCCCCACTATATACATTTTTAGGGTTTTCCTTCGACTTCTCTTTTATATTTTATAACGAAAGCTCTGATTCCTTAAATCCGTCAGCCACCACCGAAAAGGAGCTTTGTTGGCCTCTTTTATATTTTGGAATAAGTGATGGCATCTCTGACATCAGTCCGATACTTGTAAGAAGTGTGAAGCTATCCAAATCCATTACAAAACTGTTTCCTTGGGGCGATTTTTGGATAAAGCGTTTCTCCTTTCTTACAACTTGATCGGACTGATCTCAGATATCGCATCGGAACCGTAGTACATACATCGTATACTTGCAAGAAGTGCATGATATAGTTTGTATCAATCCATGTCTTTGTCCTACTTGTGATGGTAACACGTTTGTCTAGCTTCACTTAATTACTCTTGAGCCTTAATTACTCTCGATCCTGCTCAATTAAATATTGAATTGAAGTTTGGTTTGTGGTAGGTTCGGCAAATTTTGCCTAACTTGCACCTAAATGAAATTTTGCCTAACTTGTACATAAATGATCCAATCAAGTGCACTCTTTATAGACTGTGTAGTATAGAGATTAAAACCACTTAATTCTTTCTCTATCACTATGTTATCTTTAATTAATATGACTTTTTGACCAAGGACAACTTCAGCAGCCATCATAATAAATGAATAGAATAAAATGGACTATAGAAGAAACAGTAAATGAAACTTAAGAAAAATAATTAAGAAATAAATACAAATTAATGGTTAAGGAAAGAGGTCCATATAAAATAAACTTGCACAAATACAGTTTGATCACAAAAGAAGAAAGGGTTTAGCTTCAGCGTCTTTTCGGCAATGGCGGGTCGTAAAGACAAAATCCAGAAGTTGCGTGGATCTCGAATTGCGATTGCCATCTTGGTCGGAATTCTTATCGGGTGTGTCTGTTCCGTCTTGTTCCCGAACGGCTTCTTTAACTCGGGATCATCATCGCTGATTGTTAACGAAGAACGCCTTTCGAAATCAACCTCTAAGGTACTTTAGATCTTATGCCTTAAACACAGTACATTCCTTTTTTTTATTTAGAAATTTCTCTGTGGTTCTGAATTAGAGCTATCAATTATAGGCATTGAGTTGATTTCATGGTGTTGTGTTTGTTGGAATTTATAGTTGAATTTTGTAGTCGAATATAGAACTATATTTGTCTTTGAAGATTTAAGTCTCTTGCTGAATTCGTGTGCTTTGAGGATTCAAAATCTTCATCGATTTTTTTAGTAGAATTACAAAATTGCATGGTTCAATCATCATTTTGAACTTAGTTTCAAGTCTTGAACATTTGAGTTCAACTGGTGAAATTTCCACTTGTTGTTCTCTGTTTTTCAAACTGTTCAGGTTGGATTGGCTTCATGTGAATCGTCTGAACGGGTCAAAATGCTCAAATCAGACTTTGCAATTATCTCGCAAAAGAATGCAGAGTTAAGGAAGCAGGTCAGAGAGCTAACGGAAAAGGTACGGTTGGCGGAACAAGGAACGGATAATGCAAGGAAACAAGTCTTAGTTTTGGGATCAGAGATAAAGGCAGGATCTTTTGGCACTGTCAAGAGTCTGAGAACTAATCCAACTGTGATTCCCGACGAGTCTGTTAACCCCAGATTAGCTAAGCTTTTAGAGAACGTAGCTGTCAATAAAGAGATCATTGTGGTTCTTGCAAATTCAAATGTGAAACCAATGTTGGAGTTGCAGATTGCTAGCATCAAGAGGGTTGGTATTCAAAACTACCTAATTGTCGCCTTGGATGATTCCATAGAGAGTTTCTGTGAATCGAAGGAGGTTGCATATTACAAGAGAGATCCAGATAAAGCAGTGGACATGGTTGGGAAAAGCGGAGGTAATCACGCTGTTTCCGGACTGAAGTTCCGCGTCTTAAGAGAGTTCTTGCAGCTTGGTTACGGTGTTCTTCTATCGGATGTGGACATTGTATTTCTGCAGAACCCTTTTGGTCATCTGTACAGGGACTCTGATGTGGAGTCAATGAGCGATGGCCACGACAACATGACGGCGTATGGCTTCAACGATGTGTTTGATGAACCATCCATGGGATGGGCTCGGTATGCACACACAATGAGGATATGGGTTTTCAATTCAGGGTTTTTCTATCTAAGACCAACTCTTCCATCAATCGAGCTACTGGACCGAGTGGCAGATACACTCTCTAAGTCAGAGGCATGGGACCAAGCGGTTTTCAACGAGCAACTCTTTTACCCTTCGCATCCCGGGTACACTGGCTTACACGCTTCGAAAAGAGTCATGGATATGTACGAGTTCATGAACAGTAAGGTTCTCTTCAAAACCGTGAGAAAGAATCATGAACTGAAGAAACTGAAGCCAGTGATTGTTCATCTGAATTACCATCCAGATAAACTCGAACGAATGCAAGCAGTAGTGGAGTTCTATGTTAATGGCAAACAAGACGCGCTTGACAGCTTCCCAGATGGTTCAGATTGATAAAATAAGATGGATGCTTGTTAAGCAAGATATTAACAAAAACCAATCTTCTTCTTCTTCAGTGGTAGATTCTGCTTATATACTTCCTCCAGTAAAAAAAAAGGTAGGCTAACTTTTTTGTCCAGTTTCATCTTCCCACATGTGTGGTTATAATCAGTTCTCCTTTTGGGCTTCTAGTCTTTTCTTTTTCTTCTTCTATAGTATGAATTTTGTGTATCCTATAGCGCAAATCTAAAGAGGCTTCTTCTGTTCTAGGAGAGCCTAACTCTGCATTATCTTCTGACCACAAAAATATTATGGGAAAGACAAAAAGAAAGATTGGGCAAGACAGAGAGAGAGAGATTGAAAAGAAAGACAAAGAGAGAGTGAAGGGTTTGGCTTTATATGTGTTCTATCCACAAAGAAGAGTCTAAAGATTCTCTCTGTAATAACCGGAAAATCCATTTTTTGTGGTTTGAAATCAAATGGAACCCCACTCTTACCTCTCTGTTTTTTGTCTTTTTCTTAAGCCTTTTGTTTCTTCAGCCTTGTGTGTATCATCTTCCTCAGACCAAACTGAAATTTCTGTGCCAAGTTTTATTTGTGTGCTATGCAGACATTACCAAGCTCAGAAACCGTTCTTTTGGGCTCCAACTCAGCACCACCTGTGCTACGTAATCCCGGCGGTGATGACGTGGACATCGATTTCGGTGACGTGTTTGGTGGTCCTCCTAAGAGACGCTCTAAAGTTACTAATAGTAACCAAGTCACGCGACATAGCTTCAGTGAATCCGCTCTCAGGCGTCGTGACGTCATCGTCGACGTCGGCTCTCTGATTCCTCAAGACGAGAAGCCTGTTTTCGGCGAAGAGACATCCGTCCGGCGTCGTTTCACCACTGATGATTTCTTCGACGATATTTTCAGAGTTAATGAATCATCATCACTTCCGGGTTCTCGGATCCTAAGCCCGGCTCACAAACCCGAATCTTCAGGGACTTCGTCTCCTGCACAATTCAGGTTTGTTTTCTTTAAACTAATATCAACGAGAGATTAGTTTCGTTGATTAATTATATAATTGTTGACTTTGTTTACTCAGTCTTCCTGCAAAAGCAACAGAGATTCCAACATTTGGTTTAGCTACTCGTAGTTTGAGCAAGAACAAAGAAACCGTCTCGAGCTCTCCTTTGTCAAGAACTTCAAGCAAAGCCGATATGGTCTCTACTGCTAAATCATTTTCAGAGGAGGATTGTGATGATCCTCCACGAGTTGTTGTTACTGGCAAAGGCAGGCAGTTTCATTTCTCTATCTACAAATGGCCTAATAAAGGAGTTCCTGTTGTTATTTGGGGAAGCTCTAGATTGAGTTCTATGTCTAAAGCTGAGGAGACAACGCCGGTACCATTGAGTGATCATCGAAAAACTTCAGTTGAGAAATCGGATAAAAATGAAGAAGGAGAAGGAGAAAGTGGTTTATCTGGTTTGAAAGAGGAGAAGAAGACCTCACTAAAGCGTCCTGGTGTTCAGACAGAAGAAGAGAAAACAGAAACCGATTTGAAGTCTAAACAGGCCTTCTCTGGTGTGTCAAAAGCTCATGAAGCTACTACTGTGAAGTCTCTTCATTCAATTTTGCATGAAAACGATGAGAGACAAGGTTGGTTTCTGCAGACATATATGTTTGCTACATTTGGTTGGGTTAGCTTCCTTTTGTGGACTGTGCATTTGGCTCTTTGTCATTGCAGGTGAGAAAATAGTATCAGAGAGAGAAGTGAGAAAAGGTAAAAGCAAAGCGAAGAACACGCAAAGTTTTACTGAGGATTCAAGAACAAAAAAGAAACCACAAGGCACTAAAAGTTCTTTGGATAGTAGCCCGATACCCGATAAATCCAGCTTCGCAAGTTCATCCGCAGCACCAGAAGTTGGCAAAGATGGAGTCAAAGGAAAAGTGAGTGACTTTGTTAAGATTTTCAGTAAAGGAGCTTCAGTTGGAGCAGGTGGGGAATCTCTTGGACAAAGCTCTAGATGGAGAGCTAAAGAAACTCCCAAGACTGATATCAATCTTGATGCTGCTAATGCCAAGGAAACTGTAAACATTCCTCATCAACAAAAGAAATCGACTCCAGATATCCCCGCTATGGTACTTAATCTGAGAATCAAGATCTTACTATATGTTCCTTGGTTTATGATTCCTTACCTGTAAGTATTGTTGCAGAATCAGAAAAAGGGTTCAGACCAGGAGAGCATGAACTATAAGGCTCCTGGTGTTACTGTACAAGAAGAGAGACAAGAACCAAGCACAAGTAAGTTCTTGGATTGGTGTATCGGATTTAAATCTTGTTATCACTACACAACTAAATAACACCTTTCTTTTCTTTTTTTCTATCAGCACATACTAACTCAGAGAATATAGATGAGCCCTTCCATGTAAATTTCGATGTAATTTAATGTGCCCTTCAACTTTTCAGGTTTTCAATCAACAAAATGTGTATGTTTCTCTTTATAATTGGTGTGGAACTTGTAATGTGCTGTGCAGGTGGAGGATATAACACAAGATGAAAACAAGAAAATGGAAGAAACCAATAAGGATGCTGAAGAAATTCAGGTAATACTAAGGAGATATACTTTTTCGATTCTTTTACCGGAAAGTCGCCTCAAAACTAAAAGAAAACGGAATCCGAACCTCTGCAGAACATTGATGCTAAAATCCGCAAATGGTCAAGTGGAAAGAGCGGAAACATTCGGTCTCTTCTATCCACGCTGCAATATGTAAGTGTTTTGTTGATGTATAACACATAACATTGTGGGATCCTATGCATTAGCCTATTTACATAACTAATGAATTTGGAAGTTTTACTTAACAGATTCTTTGGTCCGGGAGCGGGTGGAAGCCAGTTCCTCTAATGGATATGATTGAAGGAAACGCGGTTCGAAAATCGTACCAAAGGGCATTACTAATCCTTCATCCAGACAAACTACAACAAAAGGGTGCATCTGCAAACCAGAAATACATAGCTGAGAAAGTTTTCGAATTATTACAGGTTACTGTTACTATAAACATTGGTTTATGACAATTTAAAAAATACTGCAGGATCTTTAAAATCTAAGTCCTTATTTTTGTTTGGTTCAATCATTTAGGAAGCATGGGACCACTTCAACTCGCTCGGACCGGTTTAAAGGAAAAAAACGAGTCTTTAGTCTTTTAGTTCTTTACACAAAGGCTATGTACAGAGAGATACGGTTCTGAATCAAAAGATGTTGCAGAATTTTAGTTGTCACAGGTTTACTTACATCAATTTTTTGTTGGTTTGTTGAGAGATCTATCTGATATATATATCACCACCATAAAAGGCTTTTAAAGGGTTCATTAAGTACGTACGGATAGAGATATGGATGTAGTTAAGGCCATATAATTAATTGGGCTAAAGCCCATTAAAGAGGATTTAGTAGTTAGCCGTTATAAATTAAAGAAATGAGGTTGTGGTGGAGTTGGTGTTGTGTTGGCTTTTACGATTCTTTCTTTTTGTTAACGGTAAGCTACTTTTTTAACTTCTACTTAAAGCTTTTGTTTTCCCTATTTTACCCTTCAAGACCACACACACTTCACCAAATTAGACCCTGACTATCTGCCCACCTCTAATGACCTTTATGCCCTCCGTTAATCATATGAGGTTTCTTTGCCGTCACACATCTAAAGTTTTACATAAATAGATAAAAATGACACAAGTGTAAATGGATATGGTCATATGGGTCAATACTCATTACACTTATTGTTAAAATTTGTTTTGAAAACCGAAATCAATTAGATCTAAAATCTGATTGATCGATTTGCTTTGATATTAGTTTTATCAAGACCTAAATTTTGATTTTATAATGACTACAAGGATCATCATTTCGATTTGCATATCAAGAATCCGACAGAAGATGGAACATAAACAATACACTATTTGCCAATTGGTGAATTTTTAATTTAGAATGAAACAAATAATGAATGAAATGTAAAAACTGTAAAATTCTTTTTTTTTAATGGGTTTTGACGGAAAAAAAAAAAGAAAGAAAGAATTTTACAGTTTTTACATTCCATTCGTTATTTGTTTCATTCTAAACTGTAAAATTCTAGTTCACACTCTATCTTCTAATTCCAAATACCATTAAATAACATAAAAAGGGGTCAAATAATCTTGGTTCATTTACAATGATTGTACTTGCCCCTCTTCGAGAAGCCAAAAGCTGTGATTGAGCACGAGCTACTGAAGCAGTTAATTTTGAGGTCGAAGTAAATAATGTACAGTTGTTTCATTAATTTTACTGTATATGGATGGGTCAAAGTCATAAAGCATGCGGCATTGAGGACTTTGGTGCATTCTCCAAAACATTCTTTAGCTAATTTCTGTAGTTGTTTCGTTAATTTTTTACTGTATATGGTTGAAAGTCATAAAGCATTAAAAGACTTTGGTGCATTCTCCAAAACATTTGTTTATTAACCATAAGTTAGAAAATAATGCAGGCGGCAAACTTTTTAATCCGAAATTAATGACAAAGACGTAATTTTCACGACATGTAATAACCATTTCTTGGTGTCCTTTTCTGAAACCAAAAAACGATTAAACAGAAAAATTAACCGACACGTAAGCAATATTTAACCGGCTATCACCGGTTTACATCCTTTTTTATTTGTTACCGTTCTTCTGTTTTTAAAAACCTCCAAGAAGCTCTATTCCATCTCTCTCTCTTTCTCTCTGATCTCATTTCATTCCTTTTTCTTTCCAATTTTACCCTCACATTACCTTCGAATTCTCCATTTCCTACCACTCAAAACTTCTCACAAATGTCTATAGTCTCTAAGCTTCGCTCTCCGGTTAAACCAATGGTTGAGTCACGAGCCATCCTCGGTTCAACCGGGAACAGATTTAAGGTTACGAAAACAGAAATGACAAAGAAACCACAACAGAATCCACGAGTGACGAAATCTCCGGCGACGGAGAAGCCGGATTCGAATTTCTCAGCCTCGACTGATGATACCTCTTCTTCTTCGTCATCCTCGGAACGTTCCTCGGTGAAGACAACAAACTCTGGGAAAATAACTCCGTCGAAACGGAACGGAGTTACGAAGCTCAATAATGTCGTGGTCTCCGTCGCCGCCGTTGAAGACATTAATCCTAAAATTCCGGGACCGGTCAAGAGATGCCACTGGATCACACCTAATTCAGGTCTCTTTGTCTGACAACTTTTTTTTTCCCTCTTTGCCTCATTTAACTTTAATTTAAATTCACATTTTAGAGAAAATACTGTTTTTTTTTCCTTGAATTTCGTGAATAACGAGGAGATGGTGTTTTTTTTTATATATAAAATGAAATAAAATGTTATTTTTTGGTTTTAATGTTAGAAATAAAACCAATGGAGAGACTTGTTTTCCTAAATTGGATAAAATGTTCTTTTTTAGTTTTATTGTTCGAAATAAAATGTTTTTACACTATGTAGAGACTTGTTGTCCTTGTCGCAACATTTAATGAATCTGCAAAGAATTAAAAGATACTTACCCAATTTTCTTCATTTTGGCCCCAAAAAATATCTCAATTGACTTCAAAATTGATGCCATGTGAATGGCTTTTTTTAGTTTTCGAAATGTAAAATTTGTGATACTGTGTGTAAAGTTAATAAAGGTAACAATCAATTTCATAGATGTCAACAACACATTAATTGATCCCAGCAAAACTAGGTGTATTGTAGTTGACAAATAAAGACAAAAAAATGTTGAAGATTGACGGAGTATATAAGTTTCTCGGTTAATAATAACGATTGTGATTGATGAGCAGACCCGATCTACGTGTTGTTCCATGACGAGGAATGGGGTGTTCCAGTTCGTGACGACAAGAAACTCTTCGAGCTGCTTGTCTTCTCACAAGCATTGGCTGAGTTTAGCTGGCCTTCAATCCTACATAAAAGAGACGACTTTAGGTAAATTTAGGCCAAAGAATTATGCTATTTTGTGATTTCGTTTGGTTTATTATCTGGAGTTTTGGTTTCTTTTTCGCAGGAAGCTCTTTGAAGAGTTTGATCCTTCAGCTATAGCACAATTCACAGAGAAGAGGTTAATGGCTCTTAGAGTAAATGGGTGTCTAATTCTATCCGAACAGAAACTGCGAGCAATTGTAGAGAACGCCAAATCGGTTCTTAAGGTAGGCACTGTGTGTTTTGATATGAAATTGTGAAATATTATGTGTTGGAAACTGATTAAAACTGAAAACAGGTCAAGCAAGAATTTGGATCATTTAGCAACTATTGTTGGAGATTCGTGAACCACAAGCCATTAAGAAATGGCTATCGATATGGTCGTCAAGTACCGGTTAAGTCCCCAAAGGCAGAGTACATTAGCAAAGATATGATGCAGAGAGGGTTTCGCTGCGTTGGTCCTACAGTTATTTATTCCTTCTTGCAGGCCTCTGGCATTGTGAATGATCATCTCACAGCTTGCTACCGGTACCAAGAATGTAATATTGCGAGTGAGAAAGAACCAAAAAGCCCTAAGACTGAAACCAAACTGGTTCTGCATTCTCCATTACTTGTTTGATCAGCAGCATGGATTGGATTATTATGAAGATGATGATGACAAGTGTTTTTATTCATTATGGAAAGTAGCATTTGTAGCTAGGTGTTTCCACTTGGTTGTGCTTTTCTTCTAGCTAGCTTTGTCTAACTAGATATTTGATGATATGGGTTAATGTTTGACCAAAAGATTGATTGCAGGGAAATAAAGAATTTAACATTTTGTAAAAACAAATGTTCTGCAAATTTTGGATTTTGATGCTAAGAGGTAGAATATGGGCACAAGAAATGATAAATGACCAAGCAATTTGACAAGACACAGAACAGTTTCAAGCCACTAATTAATATAACATTTGTAAGGAAGCAGATTCATCATACATTTTAAGATTTTTTTTTATCTACAAATAATGCTTTTGAAACCAAATTCACGAATTGAACAACCACTCTAATACTCCAATGCTTCCATGGAGAAGGCTTTGTGCAGCGTATTTGGATAGTAAGTGAAGAACATATGAGATTCCATAAAGATCCAAATACCTGGAAGAAAAAGAAGAAGAAACTCAGAAGGATTGTTTCTCAAATTCCATCGACATGCCATTCGACTTTGTTGAGTTGTTTATGTCAACCACGAGCCTTCCCGTTTCCAAGTGTAAGCTCAAGATCCTCCATACCCACATCATGTATCCTCTCTCCTTCCCACGGCTTAACTTGGCTATTCTCAAATTTGAATTCAGAGCTCTGACCAATCTCTTGGAACGCAGCAGTATTTGGAGACATCTGCTGAGGCGCAGGTTTCACAAGATTGAAGGTAGGAGAGGTTGGCACCATAGAGGCAGAGAATGGCTGTTGTTGTGCAAACTTTTGGAAGCTTATCCAATGACCAGAATCAACAGTGGAAGAGTCAGACTCATCACATTCAGGTATAGTAGCCGGGGTATGAAACTGGCGATGTGTCGGACTAGCAGGTGCAGAAACCGCATAGAAAGGATAGTTAAAAGACGCCATGGATTGTTTAGCAATGGCCATGGATTGCTTAGCAATAGATTCCCAGTTGGGCAACGGTTTAGGGTTCTTGGAAGTCGGTGATGAGACCGGTGGAGTGACAGGGCAACTGTTTGAGATTCTGAGGGAAGGAAGAGAGGAAGGAATGCCACCATTTCTGAGGAAGGGGAAGAATGTAGAGGAGATGTTGTTATTTGGTTCACCGCGAGAAGGACTTGGGAAAGACGAAGAAGACGGGCTAACTTGGTAAGACGGGATGGGGCTTTGAAAGGCCGATGAAAGAGGGCTCTGGTTCTGTGATGAGTATGGAGTAACTCGAGAAGAAGTCCCAGCTATCTCACCAGGTAAAGGCTTGCATCCCTGTTGCTCCAACAAAACAAAACAATACCCAATCAAACATCACAATGTCATAATCAAACACCAATGCAATGACTTTGGATCAAGTATCATATATACATATTAAGACTTTTAACATACTAATAATAGCTCAAGGAAGCAGACCTATTGAATTACAAATGTTGAAGATTTGAATCATCAGAAAGTCTGATTAAATCTCCTTAAACACATCACTCTAAAATTAGTAAGAAAACCCAAAATTCACTATGAGAAATTAGATCCATCCATAGTTTCTGATGATTCAAATTCACTTTGAGAAAACCCTTAATTTCTCAGATTCAAACCCGATTAAACGCAATTGAAATCAACGAATTCAGATTCAAACATCAAAAACATGAAGAAACAAGCTCAGATCTGGAAAAATTGGAGAAATTGTTCACCTTGCGATAAGTAGTACCATCTTCTTCAACAACCCAACCAGCTTCAACACAAAGAGCTTTGAGTACTTCATTATTATCACAATGTTTAGGCAAATTATAATCACCTTGAGCTCTAAGCCCAGTATATATCTTCGCAGCTACAGCTCTTCTCCGTCTCTCTCTCCTCCGATTATTCTCCCTTTCCCTCCACGACGGCTTCCTCCTCGCCGCTGCTGCCGCCGCCGCAGCCGCAGCTGCTGATGTCGACGTAGCTCCATCCGACGTCATCAGAAAACAACCAACCAAGCCCCTCGAAACCTCCGAGAGAGCTTTTAATAGGTGGGTGAAAGATTGTGTGAACGTAGACTGAAGAAGAAGATGAAGAAGAGGAGTGAGAAGTTAGTGCTCACGAGGAATACGCTTTTCCTTCGCTGGAATCGAAGCAGAATCTCTCTTTCTTCTCCAAAACCTTTTTTTTTTTTTGCTCAAGTATTATTGGGTCGTGTGTGTGTTCAAGTACGTTGAGTTCACATGACGAATCCGTGTTCTTGTTATATCCATCGTCCACGTGTACTAACGTTTTTTTTAAGGGTGAGATTTGGTAAGGTGTGTAGAAGAGGTATATGGTTGGGTGTAGAGGATAACTACGTATAGTAGCGTGTGGCGTATTCGTCGAAGCAGTACGTTATTGTTTTTTATTTTTTTAATCATTTTGCTGTGAGTAATGACCAAATAATACAGAGAAGAGAAAGGAGGAGACAAAGTGGGACCCGTTTCTTCAGTGTGGGTCCCTTACTTGTGTGACCGAAAAACACACCATTTGATTGGTTTTATTTTTATATATATTTTATTTTATGCAATGAAATACTATTATTCTTATCAATACCAAAGTGTAAGCCGTGTGATTAACAGCATAATGATATATTCAAATGAAATTAGCACTTTTCTTGCATACAAATCTCACTTTTGAAAAAGAATTGACCACTTTTGTCCTGATTACTTGTATGTAAACCATACATTTTAACTTTTTAACCTTCTTCTTACTTTACATATAATATAAAGAAATAATACAGATTTGTCATATCTTCTATGTTTATACAGTATTTACATGTTGATTTTAAGCTTTAGTATCTAATTTACTTCCAAAATTTGGATTAATTGTTGGGTCCATAATTATTTTGTATTCATAACCAAAAAAATGTATAGTTCATTGAACATAAAAGGAAAAAGGAGTTTACGAGTTTGTCCTACAGCTAGGCCCGACGGCATATATGATATATGATATATGATGTATGATCTTCAACGAATGCAAAATGGATTACATGGTTTTATCAAAATAATAAGAACATGTGACTTAAATCCATCTTTTTAATCTCAAAATGTCTCCTTTTTATGTCGTAAGCTTTTTTTTTGTTATGCAATGGCAGGAAAAGGAAAAGGCAGAAGTTGTATAGCTCTAAGTTGTATGACTAATGAGACAGTACAGCTCTCTGAGGTAGACTGCTAGTATAGATGTAATTAATAATTAATTTATTTGTAATTTTTTTAGATTATGACGCTTATTTTTGTAGAAAGTGCAGGACCGTGTAACAAATGTCTTAAAAGCAAGGAACCTTCGCGAGTTGGGAAACGTTTGGACTGGATCAGAGGGTTTTACAATGAAACAGGCAAAAAAAAAATTAACGCCGTTGCCGGGGATCGAACCCGGGTCACCCGCGTGACAGGCGGGAATACTTACCACTATACTACAACGACTTTGCTGATTAATGAGCGAAAATATTTATACTATATCGTAATAACTTTTATATTATCAGTTGAACCTTAATACCAGCTTTTGTTTCCAGCATTAAGAGAAATAATATGTTTAGGGTTTCTCTTCTTTGGTTTGGCACTAGTCACCTACAGACCTACTTGTGACAATAAGTAGATTCTGTGTTTAAGTATGTTTTAAATCATTGTTTTACTTTTGAACATAACTAGATAAAACCCATAATAGAACTATGTGTTACTCGTTAAGTACAAGTCATCAAAATCTACAAGTTGAATGACTCGTTGCTAGTAATTTGGATAGATATTTACAAGTTAATGAAATATAAGGTTCCAAGTAAGATTATTCAGTGTATTGTAACATCGATTGCAAGATAAGTTGAACACTTGAACATCATATTTGGCTTTTAGACAGTGGTGTGCGCTTCCCATGGAAAGCTTATCCGTCCCATACAGAGCTAATTAATAAAACATGATATAATGGAAATTGACTCCAAAGTCCAAACGACTTAGCAATGTCTATAATGGTATGTAATTTGTTTTGCTGGTATAATTTGTTTAACGACATTTACAATTTGTCTCGTTAGGGTTCACAATCAAATTGCCGTCATAATCATAATGTATGTTACATGGATGATGTCGATGAAACTTGATAAGTTTTCTCTTCAATTATACACAGGTCTGGTCATACCACTTGTTTGTTTAGATAGAATATGTCTCTTTAAGATTTTTTATTTTATTTCATTCGGTCGCTCACAGAATACAAGAGTCCAAGTTGTTCATACTATTTGAATGCCAAGCTTATTACTACAACTTGTGGCATACATTCAAATGCTATTGCTCATGACATAGATGATTTTGAAGAGTCTGGAAACTATGTCGAAAGTTGGTGATGCAAATATATCAGTTAGATTCTTTACTTTGTTGTTGAAAAAAAAAAGATTTTTACTTTGTTTTATTAGTTGATTATAATTCATATTTAGGCCACAATAATATTGACTTTTTTTCTTTCTTTCTGAAATATGTTTTGCTTTTCGGATTACCTCCATGTTACCTTGTTAACTCTTTTTCTAACTTTATGTCCTGAACAAGAGAAAAATGTTGTCTTAAGAATCACTCTATAAAAAAAGAAATAATTGGGTGAGAAGTATCAGATCTGAGTCTAATTAAATTTTCGGTTTTATCTTTTTGATCACAAGACAATGATAATTTCAACCCCATTTTTTGCCTCCTTTACCCTCACTCGCAAGAATAGAGCGACCCAAACTTATCTTCATTTATCTTCATTTTTGTCTCATATTTTCTCTCTCTGAAAACCTTTCTCTTAGTCTCGTCTTCCTCTCATCGAAAACTTGTTTTTGCTCCAACGAAGTACATGATTCCCGTCGTTGTCACTATTAAGTCGCCGTCTCAGAGCGTCTTCCTCTCTAATTCGGTAAGCCTGAGCGTAGAATTTACATAAAGTTTTGTTTCCTGATTTCTTTTGTTTTTTCCGATCTTACCACCCGTCGTTTCAATTGTTTCACTCTAATTTCGACTGGTGTTTTCCAATCTTAAACTCTATCTTTTCTGTTAGGCCTCTCCGGATCCACTTGAATCTCTACTTATTTTACTTAGATCTACATATAGACACTCATAATTTCCCGTGGATCTCCATTTTTAACTTGCATGTTGTCATCTCCCCTACGTAGATCTAAATTTCTTGCAGGATGACTCCTACGGAGCTTCCTTCTTGTTTATTTGCCGAGAGAGAAGAACCTGCCGGTGATACGGAGCAGTTGGTGATAGAACTAAACCAGAATCCGACGATGAAGATGTGTTCCCTCTAATTTCTTTGAAATTAGATAAAGTGTGAGAATTAGATGTAGGAGATCAAGTATGTTAGACCTCTATGCGTTTATATAAATGTCCATTCAGTTTTTGTCAAGCGACATTTGTTTAGATATACAACTACATCCCTTTTTAATTTCTATAAACTGTTGTTATAGATAACTATATTTATAAATACATGAATACTTGGTTATGTACAACTACATATTCAATTAGTTTTACTTTGGTTGTTAACTATGTAGACGTATATATTAAAATGTGTATGTCTAAGCAGATCTTATGTTGGACATGCACAGGTATACCGCATAAGGGTCAGTTTAACTTGACAAGCATTTAATACATGTCAGTTCAATTGTACTTTTGTGTTAAAAGTCAAACCCGCTTCTCCCACGCGCAAGACCAAAAGTGAGACTGGTTTTCTTGTAAATATTTTGAAATCTATACCCAATTGTATATTTTATTTGACCATTGTTCCCTACAAAAAGCCACTAATGTCTATTACCTAATTTACTACCCCAATAATACCTCTGCACAAATTCACTCATAAAAAAAATTGTTTAGTTAAATGTTCAATATGGTTATATGGACAATATATAATGACGTATTTAATAGAGTCGTGATTCAAATTCAAAACTCCATGCGAGAGGAACGAAAACAAATAAACCATAGGGGTATAATCGTAACTTTACGCATGCATGGGCCCATTATGCCTGACTTTGTTTTTTGAAAAAAACAGTCAACCATTCAGATTCACGTCGATCGCGTGTATACATAACACAAAATTTACGAAGTGTGGCCCTCGTTTTCCTTTTTCGATCATTTTAAAACCCTCCAAAAGCATCAAACTCAGATTCCAATACAAATTAGTACCCAAAATGTTTCTAAGGATTTAACCAAACGTATCCACTCTTTTTTTAGCTGAATTTCGCTTTATAAAATCTGAATCTTCCACGACCAAGACAAGACAAGACAAGTAATATAATGAATAGAGCGCTTAGCTTAGCTATCTTCTTTATCAAAAAAATAAGGAAAATAAATTATGTTTTAAGTAAAATATGGTATCATTCAATTCGGAGAATTAACAAGGAATATAAGCTCTTAATCAATTTTATGTTGGGCAAGTTTTCCAACAATGACGTCTCCATCTTAATCTTATTAGAGAGTAAAAAGTAAAAAGCTCTTGGTAAAAAAAGACAAAAAAAAGGTTTTGGTACCCATCCATGAAAAAACCGCTCAATTTCCATAGTGCAAATGATAGAAGTACAAAACACACGTGTTGGTTTCTCATTGGTCACGATAGGAAGGCGGTCGCTATCGTCCCTTCCCTTCCCTTCCCTCGTCTGTATCTCTCTCTCTCTTACTCATAATACTCTGCTTTTTTCCTCTTTCTCTCTCACTCTTACTCTGTCTTTCTTCATCAGACCAAAAAAAACCCTAATTTCGTAGCTCGATTTCTCTCTTATTTCATCTCTCAATCCTTTCCAAAATGCAACAACTTCCGTTTGGAAGATCGTGAAACTCGATTTGGTTGTTTCTGATAATAGAGAAACAAAAAAAAAAACGAAAAGAGAAAAGACAAATGCTGGAAGCTGCGAAGAACAACTCAAGCATCCTCAATGGAGGAGGAGGAGGATTCTCTCAGCTACAAAGTTGCTTCGGCGATTGCAGTAGCGAAGAAGAATTATCTGTGTTACCACGTCATACCAAAGTCATCGTAACCGGAAACAACCGTACCAAATCCGTACTCGTCGGTCTTCAAGGCGTCGTTAAAAAAGCCGTCGGACTCGGTGGTTGGCATTGGCTGGTGAGCAAGATCAACTTGGCTTTCTTCTTACCTGGTTTTGTCTTATTTGCATCTTTGTGTTTTTCCCCTTTTGTTTCTCGAAAGAGAAGAGTAGATTGATTAACAAAAGATCCAGAATCATTAGCTCAATAATGCAACAAAATCAATGGTTGTTCTATATTACCGATGGGATTAGTTGTTCTAAAAATATCATAACTTTTTTTTTAAAAGTTCATCATAACGATCTGCACTTTTTGTATTTATTTTTAACTTTTTTTTTGTATCTTTTTCTCAATCAATTTCATGAGAATCCTTATCTCTTTTACATCTTTGTGGGTTCAAGCTGGCTTTTAGATTTGTTTTACTTGTAGTCACTAATTTTGATTACTTAAATTAATTATATTTAGGGTTTTTGTTCTTTCTTTTTCAGATGGGTCATTTTCATCCACTTCCGAATTTTTTTCTCCTTTGGTTTGATGTTAACTTTTTATAGATGTTCTCCGTTTCATTAGGCTTCCTAGTTTTATACTATTATCAATTTACTTTCTTTGATCCTTTTTTGATCATTTCTCTAGCTATACACTAAAAATCAGTATCTTATACGATTTCCTCATAACCCAAAGTCCCAAAGCATCATTTTTTTTTTACTAATATCGATATCAAGTTCCACCACTTCTTGTCTCCAAGCCTTCCCGTTTCTCAAAAAGTCCCAAACTTTACTTTTGTTTATGGAGTACGCTTTTTAATCTTAGTCCTTGTGCTTTTTAATTTTCAGGTTTTGACTAATGGAATTGAAGTGAAGTTGCAGAGGAATGCGCTTAGTGTTCTTGAACATCCTACAGGGAATGAAGAAGACAATGATCTTGAAGTCGACCATACTACACAGTGGAATAATCCCTCCGATATGAGTAAGTTTGGTTCCTTGTCTCTGTCACTATATTGTCCGAAATCTTACACTACAGATTTAGTCTTATCAGGAATAAGGAACTATATCGAGAATAGGAAATTCTCTCTTGTATAAATACTTGATTACTATGTGAATAAGAAAAGCAAGCCTTTCTGAAATATTTCATTAAGACTGTTCTTTGATTGTCTTTTGCAGCAACTGAGGACACTTTGAAGCCTCATAAGTCGAAGCAGAGAGGACACAGATCATCGCGGTTATCTCAAAAGGCTTTGTGCAGGGCAGTTTCTTGTGACTCACACTCAAAAAACTCGAGTATTACTCCTCGCATGAACATGGTAATGCCTCAAATTTCTTCTACTTGTTGAGGGGGTTTTCATGTTAATGCTATGTGTTACTGATTTGGGAATATGGTTTTTACGCAGAAGGTTGATCTTACCAAGTTGGATATGGCTGCATTACTGAGATATTGGCGACATTTTAACCTCGTGAGTTCAACAGAACAATCTCAGTAATTGTGGAAGAGAGTATTTTGTTTCTGACAATAGGTGATTCATTGTTCTTTTCTTGTAAAGGTGGATGCTCTTCCAAATCCAACAAAGGAGCAACTGATTGACATTATTCAGAGACACTTCATGTCTCAGGTAACATTAAAGCTATAATATGTTTGTGAATTTTGTCTTCTGATTTTGACAACTCTGAGACATGTTCTTGTTTACAGCAAATGGATGAGCTTCAGGTTATTGTGGGATTCGTTCAGGCTGCAACAGGAATGAAGAAGGCTTGCCAAGTGGAAGCCAAAAGAAGCCAGAAACACTGATCTTTAACTGCATCAGCTAAATATCCTTCAATAGACTAACAAAAATCTGTCGAATCTGCGCGGGTCACATGTTTTAACCATTCCGCTGCTTAAAAAATTTGAGTATAGTAGTTTAGCTCTCTCTTTTGGGTAAACACTAGTTGTTATTGCTCTCTCATGTAAGTAAGTCCATCAAGAACAAAATGACATGAAAGAAAGAAAATCTCTAATGAAGCCTCCATCTTTGTTTATCCAGATATTAATATGTTAGGATGTATATAGGTAATGCAAAATCAATACTTTGTAAAATATAGAAAAGATACAAATCAAAGCAACAATGCAAATGAAATGAATGTAACAACTGAGTACAAGAAAAATATTTAAAATGGAAGAAGATGAAACAAAGTAATAATCTTTCCGTACATAATAAGCAAAAGAAACGTGAGAACCCAAATCTAAACCGGAGCTCCGGTTTTTAAGAACGGGTGGGGCAGAAAGAGATCAAGTAGTTAGATCCGGTACAAGTGAAGGTGCTTGTGGCGTCGTCATAGGCGTAACTGTAAGCGCCAGGGCAAGCGCTTTTAAACATCGCCGAGTAATGCGTCGGAGAGCAAGTTTGCGGCGTCGCGTGAGCACCGGTACAACAGAATTCCTCAGAATTAAACGCCGCACAAGCGCTTTTACACGCCGCGATGATACCTGTATGTGGATCCATGATCCGAAGCTCGTTAGGACAAACCGCGTTGACGTCGGCGACACAGCCGGCGTAATGGCAATCACCGGAACCTCCTTGAGGTTTAATCCCCATCTCGACATTGTAACCGTCGACGAGGCTCACGTCGTAAAAATCCTTGCCGCCATCGCCAACGAGTGTGAATTCAGCAAGAGTGACTGGTGGAACTCCGCCGCCGTTACATTTTAGAACACCACCGCAGTCTCCGGTGACGCAGTTACCGTGGCCGGAGGCGTCGAAGTTGCAGCCGGTACGAGCCCAGAACCGTCCAGACCATCCAGCAGGAGCCGTGAGCTGTACGGAAGCGCCAGGAGTCAAGGGAAATCCGCCGTCGCCGAGGGTGTTGTCGTTACCGGAGAGAATTCCCGGCCAAACGGTGTAAGGACAACTGTTCTGTAATGTGAAGACGGTGGCGGAAACCGCAATGCCGCCTGAAATTCCAAAAAAATAACAAAAAAACTGTTAAATCCGAAAGAAAATAAAACACGAAATGTTTTTGAGAATTATGATTTGAAGACGATGAACGAATAAGAGGAGTTTTAAGAAGTAGAATTAAAATTATTCTCATTTGTAAACAGATGAAACAGAGGAGAAACGAAAACAGAGTGTGTTTGGTCTTACTTGTGATGAAAACCAAGAAGAGAATGTGAATACTTGAGTAATTCGCCATTTTGTTGTATGAGTTTTTTTTTTGTGTGTATGTGTTCTGTGAATGATGATGATGAATGTCAGTTACTCGCACCGATCCTCTATTTATAAGTGCTTTTTCAAGGTAGTCTTGTCATTTTTAACTAATTTATAATTTCGGTGAATATTTTCATTTCACAGTAAAAAAAGAAAGTGCTTTGTGCCGATTGTTAGCCCATGTTCTTTGGCTCTGTGAAGTTTATTTGCATTAATGGTTTTTTATTGCGTCAATTTACTATAGTTTTTTTCTTTCTTAAGTTGACGGTTAAAAGAATATATCGTGGGCCATTATTACGGTCTACGGATCCATGAATCAGTAATGGTCAAAAGAGCATTGTCCAACAATCAATGTTTTTCTTTTTTAACTACCAAAAAAAAGAACAAAGAGACATGAAGAGCGCACGTGTACCATTTTACACACGTTCGTATGAGGTTCCGCTAAAAAACAACCCATATTATCCCGCGCAAGTAGAAATGGTCTCCCATGATTCCATAACTTGTATTTTTTTTTTCCTTTCTTTTGTTTTGAAATTTCTAGTTTCATTCTTTCTCACTTTTATTCTTTCGTAGATTGTTTTTTTTTTTTTTTGTCAAAATGGCATATTGTTTTTAAAAATTGTAAAATTTAATGTATATTTTTGGTGTGAAAGCGTAGACAACTTAAGATGTCGACTAAAATTCGTGTATTCATGAATGGGCTCATAGAGGGAGAGGACTTTGAAATTTAAAAGGTGAAAAGACTGACTTAAACATATAATCTAGTTCATAAGTTGACTTAATTGTGTGTTGGAGAAAATAGTAAAGGGATTTATTAAAACCTGTCGTGACGATGGGTTTCCTTGAACTTTTCATCATTTTCATTAATGGCTCGCTCAATGTTAACTGACCAGAATTCTATTATTTGTCTCTTAATTAACTCAGAGTTACATCGTCCACACCACACGGTTTTGATCTATATATGCGGCCATGGCTGTTATCAGACATTAATATATAGCTGTAAGATTTCTAAGTTTTCTTTTAAGTGGGTTGATGATCATTATGAGAATGAAATTTTTTTCTATATACATTTTTTTGGTTTTGTGTTTCTCAAATCTTTCCCAAACAAAAAGGTAAAGAAAGTTCGAACAACACTAACATGATCTCACTTTCATTTACCCAAAAAAAAAAAATGATCTCAGTTGCACCTACTTAGATAAGGAAATAAGATGACATGATAACAAACAAAAGAATGTAAAGAAAACAGGAGACGTGAGAACATGTAGCAGTTGAAGAATGCGAGCAAACGGTCTCCTGATCTCCTCGCTCTCTCATCACCTGCAAAAAAAGAAGGTAACATCCTTTTGGGACAAAGTGGGTTTTATGCGTCTGCGATCAGATGGAAACTTCATTTACTGACTGAATCAGAAGTTATAACATCTTATGATTAATTAAGACACAAGTCAAATGAATATGTGAATGTCAATAGAACAGCATGGATCATGCAATAGATAAGTACTAGTAAGTAGTAACCGTATATCAAATCATTTTGTTTTATTTCTTTAATTTGTATGCAAATCAGCTGAGTGTAACCACTGAATACTTAGTAAAAAAGGCTTATAAGTGGAAGAAGATGATTCATAGTCATCATCTTTCATTATTTATCTTTCCGTATATATAACAAGCAAAAGAAACGTGAGAGGTAATTAAACCCGACTCGAATCTAAATCGAAGCTTCGCCTTTTTATGGGCAGAAAGTGATTTCGTAGTTAGCTCCAGTACAAGTGAAGGTGCTTGTTTCATCGTCATAAGCGTAGCTATAGGCGTCAGGGCAAGCGTTCTTAAAAATCCTCGAGTAATCCGTGGGAGGACAAGTTTGCGGCGTCGAGTTAGCTCCACGGCAGCAATATTGATCCGTATTAAACCTCTCACAGGCACTCTTGCACGCCACGACATTGTTCTGATCCATGACCTTAAGCACGTCAGGGCAAGCCGCGTTGAGGTCGGCGACACAGCCTGCGTACTTGCAATCTCCGGATCCTCCGGATGGTCTTATCCCCAATTTGACATTGTAACCGTCAACGAGGCTCACGTCGTAGAAATCTTTGCCGCCATCGCCTACGAGGGTGAATTCAGCAAGAGTGACTGGAGGAACTCCGCCACCGTTACATCTTAGACCGCCACAGTCTCCGGTAACGCATCTACCGTTGCCGGAGGCGTCAAAGTTGCAGCCGGTACGAGCCCAGAACCGGCCTGACCATCCGGCAGGAGCCGTGAGCTGTCGGGAAGCACCTGGAGTCAACTCAAATCCGCCGTCACCGAGCTTGGGTCCTTGTCCGGCGAGAGTTCCGGCCCAGACGGTGTTAGGGCAATTGTTCTTTAGTGTGAAGTCGGTGGCAGAAACAGCAATGCCGGCTGCAGTTTTAAAACACAAAACCAAATCAACAAAAGACGAAACAATTTAGAGAATTATGGTGCTATATGTTATAATCGAAGACGATGAACAATCAAAAGGAAGCTTAAGAAACAAAGAAGAAACAAAACAGAGTGTGTTTGTTGTTGTATACCTGTGATGAACACGAAGAAGAGAATGTGAATACTGGAAAACTTGGCCATTTCCTTGATTGTGTTTTTGTGTTTTCTTTGATATGTGGATGTTGATGATGATAAATGTTATTGGCACCCCCTCTATTTATAATGCATGTTCGAGGGTATTGACGTATTGTTAATTTGTTATCAATCAATTATGATTTTTTGGTTTCTTGGTAGATATTTTCTTAGGCCTCTGAATTTTATTTACCTCACTGAATTTTCTTCTCTCTGAATTTTCTTTGCCGTAATGGTTTTTGTTTGCATTAATTTACTACATAAACTGGTAAAAAAATTCGAGAATTTCTAACTTAAGACTCGGGTTTGACCCGGCCATGGGCGATGCGCACTGAAACCTTAAGGTACATGAGTGTCATGTACTCATGTTATGTGATATGTGATCAGTGGTATAAGACCTAGGTAAACGTGTTTTAATTGTGATACGTGATGTATGAGATCCAAAGAGATGTGTTTGTAGTGATCCACGAGTATGAACACCGACTAAATGCTTTTTCTTCTGTTCCTCGAATATAAGACCCAAATAGATGCGTATACAGAAGAGTGATTTAATTTGCTAATTGAACGCGTGAAAGTTGGAATACTAGGGTTTTAGATCATATCCGCCACGAGGCACGAGCCATCTAGATATGAACCTTAGAAAATGTGATAGGCAGGGACGTGTGCAAATGAGACACGCAAATTAAATCATGGCTGAGACATGATGACGCGTTAACTCGTGAGATCAAACCATTTTTGACACATTCACGTCAAATTCCGTTAAAAAACAACACACAATTCCCGGCAACTTCATAATTAACGTCTTTCTTGACACCATCACTTCTATTTTCTCCTTAAAAAAAAAAAAGTCTTGTTGTAAATTTATTTGTTCATTCCATTTTCACCAGTAGATTTGGCTTTTGTAAATTTAATGTACCTTTTCCGCTAATTTCACCGAATACGTGTCCAAAGATCGATTTTATAAGCAGTAAAATTTGGATATTCATGAATGAGAATAGAAATACTTCATACATTTTAGATTAAGTGTTGCGTTTTTCACACAATATTCTACATAATCTTGTATTTCCTAATATAATGGGGATAAGACTAGAACCTAGCTTAAAACACTATATTAAACCAATATTTTGATGAAATAAAATTTAAGTGATATATAACAATGAAATGGAGGGAATATAGTATAGGGGGAGAGACTTTGAAGATTATGAGTTACGTCGAGAAGACTGACTAAGACTTAGAAACAGGTTCATAAATTGAACCAACTTTGGGTCCGAGGAAATAGTAATTGGCTTAATTGAATCCTGCGGTGACTATGGGGGTTTCTTTGAACCCTTTCATTAATGAGTCAACGTTGTTAGGCAACAAACCTGCCGTGTGGCCAAGATTAACGACGGATTTTTCCAACAAAAAATTATGTCGTTTTCGAAGAAATCCAGGAATGGGTTTTGTATTTTTGTCCAAATTATTGTACTAGTACTATGTCAAATCCCGAAATAAAATCTCCTGTGACGGGGAAGAAGATGGGCTCTTCTTACTAAGACATCAAACATGGTTTCTTTTCTCTTTCACCCTAACAAAGCAGTGGTAAAAGATTTTGGGGCATTGCATCAACTCCTATCTTTTTAGAATTGATTTTACTCATCTCTTTCACTTTTGTTTGGCCAATCGAAATTGTGTCACGCTTTGAGTCCACTAGAAAATCCGATGAGCAAAACTACTAGATGGCAACACTTTTGTTATTAAAATAAAGAAAAAAATCTGTCGTGACAAAGTCCTTGAACTAATACATACTACAGAGCTTAGGACCCTTCTATTAACGGGTCAATGTTAAATAATCAAAAATCTAGTAGTCTCATTCAAAGTTGCATGGTCCACACACGATTTTGAAGATTTTATGTGGTTCGGCAGTCGGTAAATTAGACATTAATAGTTTATAGTTGTAAGATTTATAAAACACAGGTTATAGGTTTTGAATGAATTTCCACATGTCTCATATTAATTTAGCTTCATCCAGTTTTCAATGTAAAATCTTGATTTTCCTCCAAGATATTATAATGGTTCTTAACGTCTATTTCAAACCAAATTTTACTAGGACCAACAATAAATCCTACACTTGGACCACCTTACATGAGTCAACAAACTTGCATCTGATACCATGTAAAATACCTAGAGCGCGTATTAAAGATTTTATGTATATGATTGAATATGCAAAAAGGCTACATCTTATAATGCATGCAAGTTCTTAAACCTAATTATTCAACTAAATGATGCTAATTTACTTTTGATTACAAAAGGATATATACAAGAAAATTTAAACTAGTCAAGATATTTGGTATATTCCATATCTTAACAATTATGACAGTCCAAATGTGTCCATAAACATTTTTGGATTTGGGTTTCTCAAGTCTTTCTCAAACCAAAAAGGTAAAGAAAGTTCAAAGTTTGGTTCTATCAAAACTAACCTGATCTCACAGCTTTCACCTATACATCAGATAAGGAGAGAAGATGACATGTGAACAGGCAAAGGAATGTAAAGAAAACAGGAGATACTATGATCTACCTGAAAAGATGATCCAACATAGCAGTTAAAGAGCACGAGCAATGGTCTTCTTTCTCTCTATCTAGTAGAGAGTCTCTACCATCACCCGCAAAAAGAAGGTACATCCTTTTGGGACAAATGCTTTGTCGATCACCGGCAAAGTTTTTTTCAGATGGAAACCGACTGAATCAGAATCTGAATACCTTCTGACAATTAGGTTAATGACCTTTCGTTGTTTTTAACTCAACGACCACAACGGAGACGACAGTTCCAACTGTCCAACATCAACTTTTCCTTACTAATAAGTTCTGTTTCTCGATGACAGTTTGGAAGGATAGATTGCTAACAGTGGCATTTGCAACTTGCAAGACACAACCAAAATACGACTAAGACACACAAGTCAAATGAATATGTTAGTTTCAAGAGAGAAACATGGAATGCACTTAATAAGTAGCTTTAGAATCTCTAAGAACTAAAAAAGTAAGAGGCAGCTCATAAATATTTTCTGCCTGTAAAGTCTTGATGTCTGTACAACAGAGTTAATATTTTACTTCTTTACTAGAATCTCCTCTAAAACAACCAATAGATGGTGAGGGTCGGAACTTGTAATAAGTAGCAAAAGATAAATATGTGCAGCTTAGACCAGCATATTCTTTGAAACAGGCTATGTGAATACAAGGTCAGTTCAGATAAATGAACAGTGCTGTCAAAGATATTACCAGTTCAGATGCACTTCAGAACAGAGAGTTCTTCTTCTGGTCTTTGATTGGGGAACTGTTCCTGAGCACTAATAGAAAATTTATAGCAGTCATTCCTTCAACTGAAATGAACCAAGCGGACGATTTTGCTTAGTTTGCTGAAATCTCATTTACTTGAAGTCGCAAGCTATTAAAATGTCATCAAAACTGTGATTGTTTGCAGAAAATGTAAGTGAACATATACACAACCATTTTCATCAAATTTTCATGAACCATACCTGCGTCCAAAGACCTATGTAACAATGTTGGAAGACCAACTCCGGCTGCAATATCAATTTAAGTGAGGTCTCAGATATATGAAACAAGATAAGACTAAGAGCAGCATTTCACACATTCAGGCATTACTAATTAGCAGGCATATCCTGAAAATGAGGGTTACTGGTTTATCATATTTGCAAAATTGATGCTTATAAGTCTGAGACATATATTCTCTGGTTGCAGGCAATGGATGAGCTCAGGTTATTGTAGGGTTCGTTTAGGCTGCAACAGGAATGAATAAGCCTTGCAAATGGAAGCTTAAAGAAGCCAGAGACACTGATCTTAAACAATTCCGTGGCTTAAAAAGTAGTTAGCTCTGTCTCTTTTGGGGAAACTAAAATTTGTTATTGGTCTCATGTAAGTAAAGTACATCAAGAACCAATGACCTGAAACAAAGAAACCGTCTAATCTCTAATTAAGAATCCATCTTACTTTATCTAAATATCGACATGTTATGATGTATATAAGTATTGTTAATCAAAGCAAATGAGAAAAGAACAACTCTCATCACCTTTACTTATTATCTTTTCTTTATTTCTCTTTCCGTACATAACAAGCAAAAGAAACGTGAGAGAGAGAAACCCAACCCAAATCTAAACCGGAGCTCCGGTTTTAATTAAGACTGGGTAGGGCAGAAAGTGATCAAGTAGTTAGATCCGGTACAAGTGAAAGTGCTCGAAGCGTCGTCGTAAGCGTAACTATAAGCGCTAGGGCAAGCGTTCTTAAACATCGACGAGTAATACGTCGGAGAACAAGTTTGCGGCGTCGCGTGAGCACCAGTACAGCAAAATTCCGGCGAATTAAAAGCCGCGCAAGCGCTTTTACACGCCGCGATACTTCCCGAATTCGGATCCATGATCCTAAGCTCGCTAGGGCAAATCTCGTTGATGTCGGAGACGCAGCCTGCGTATTTGCAATTTCCGAATCCTCCTTGTGGTTTTATCCCCATCTTGACATTGTATCCGTCGACAAGGCTCACGTCGTAGAAATCCATGCCGGCATTGCTTGATCCGACGGTGAATTCGGCTAGAGTCGCTGGAGGAACTCCGCCGCCGGTACATTTTAAAACGCCTCCGCAGTCTCCGGTGACGCAGGTACCGTGGCCGGAGGCGTCAAAGTTGCAGCCGGTACGAGCCCAGAACCGGCCTGACCATCCCGTAGGAGCCGTGAGCTGTACGGAAGCGCCTGGAGTCAAGGTAAATCCGCCGTCGCCGAGGGTGACGCTGTTGCCGGAGAGAGTTCCTGGCCAGACGGTGTAAGGACAACTGTTCTGTAAAGTGAACACGGTGGCGGAATCAGCAATGCCACCTGCAATTTCAAAACTGTTAACAACCAAAAAAAAAAAACTAAATATTTCTGAGAATTATATAAAAAAAACAGAGGAGAAACAGAGGATAAGATAAAGACACAAGTCACATAATAAGTGAAAGAGAGAAGAAACAAAAACAGAGTGAGGTTGAGGTTGTTACTTGTGATGAACACGAAGAAGAGAATGTGAATACTGGAGATTTTCGCCATGGATTTTGTGTTTATGTGAAGTGGATGATGATTTGTGATGATGATGAATCTCTGGCACCGATTCTCTATTTATAAGTGCTGGAGACTCAGAGGTTTAGGTTTAGGGTTATCAACTTCAATTATTTATAATTTTTTTTGTCTTCTTGGAAAATATTTGTAGTTTGCAGATAAAAAGGAAATAAAAATCTTTGTGCCGACTGTTAGCCCATTTTCTTTGTCAGTGTAAAATTTATTTGCCTTGATGTTTTTTTTCTTGCGTTAATAAAAAGAAGATTATGTCTCATAGTTATCAATTATATAATTGACTGGTTCTACATGTGTCTTTGTATGTTTAGATTTAGAATTACAATTCTACTTCTACATGAGCTTTTGTGTTGTCCTAAGAAAAATGTATCAATAGACATTGTTTGGTTTTGTGTTTCTCAAATCTTTCCCAACCAAAAAAGTAAAAGAAAGTTCATGAAAGTTGGTTTAGTCAAAACTAACCTGATCTCATTTGCACCTACTCATACAAGGAGATAAGATGACACGTGAACAAGTTATAGATAGGCATATAAAGAAAACAGGAGATGCTATGCAAGATGATCCAATATCTTAATGCATCCAGTTAAAGAGCGTTGAGCAACGGTCTTCTTACTCTCTCTCTTTCTCATCACCTGCAAAAAGAAGGTAACATCCTTTTGGGACAAAGTGGGTTCTACTATGCTTTGTCCATCACCGACAAAGTTTTGCTCAGATGGAAACTTCCTTTACTGACTGATTCAGAAGTAAGAACACCTTTTGACAAGAAGGTTTAGTGACCTGTTGTTGTTTCTAACTCACTGAACACAAGAGTTTCACAGTTCCAACATATCAACTTTTCCACAGTTTCAACGTATCAACTTTTCCTTACAAATTCTGTTGCTAGATGACAGTTTGGAAAGAAAATTGCTAACAGTGGCATTTGCAAGACACAACCAAAATGTGACTAAGACACAAGTCAAATGTCTATGTGAGTTTCAAGAGAACAACATGGAATACGATTAGAAACTAACTGTAGATGAAACAACTTACAATGAAAAAGGCATCCCAGAAATCTTTTCTGCCTGTAATATTATTTCTTTGTATACAAAGAAAGAATTGTATTTACAACAAAGTTAATGGTTTTTAACTTCTTTACAAGAATCTTCTCTAAAACAGCCAGGTGAGGGTCGGAACTTGTAATATGTAGCAAAAGTTAAATATGTGCCGCTTAGACAAGCATATACTTTGAAACAGCTATGTGAATACAAGGTTAGATAAATGAATAGTACTGTCAAAGATATTACCCCAGCAAATGTTGCGATGCACTTCAGAACAGAGAGTTCTTCTTCTGGTCTTTGATTTGGGAATTGCCCCTGAGCATTGAAATCGGATAGCAGCTTGTCCTTCAACTGAAATGAATCCATTAACCAAGCAGAAGATTCTGCCTCGTTTGCTGGAATCTCCTTTAGTAGAACTCGCCGAACGTGGATATGTACTTCTGAAGGATCCGTCCCGAATACATTGTCCATGAAAGATGGGCAACGAGGTTTATATGCGATAGTCAAATCATATACTGCATTTCAAGAATATGACGTTAGAACAGAGGAAGATAGGGTTCAATAAAAGGAAATGCCTTGTTCAGTAAATTGTGGTCATGAGGTCCCACATGCAATAAGTGTTTGCATAACATGTGGCTTGAGGTACTACTATATATACCAGGGAACATTTTTATCAAAGTTTCATGAACCATACCTGCATCCAAAGAGTTATGAAGAACTTCTAAGCAAACGCCAAAACCCCTTGTTTTTGGTAGAAGTACGTTTGATAGTGCTGGAAGACCAACTTCAGCTGCAAACTTTTGGCTTCTCTTGCATTTCTCTTCACTGCATATCAAAATAAGGAAGGTCTCAGTAATATGAAAGAAGATATATTAAGAACAGCATTTCAAACATTCATGCAATAGCAAGCAAATTTTTGAAAATGAGGGTTACTGGTTTATGAAATTTGCAAGACAGATGCGCAATGGTGTTAAATATCCTACCAAAGAGAAACTGAAAGATATCTTTGAAGATTCAGATCAATTATGAATTAGCTAATATATCTAGAGCAGTTAAAGATACGTTGCAACATGTTCTTAATGTAGGTTCATACGTGAAATCGGTTCCTTCCGGGAATAGAGCAAGCCATAAGGGTTCTTGAGGATCCTTAAACGATGAAAGCATTTGAAGCAAAACAGGTTCGTCGACCTCCCGCTTCCTCTCCACTGGTATAAACTCCAAAACATGAAAACCCCAGCCAAAAATAGGTAACCTCATCAAGCTGCTCTTGAGCACGTATTTGATGTAACCAAGGCACCCTTTTCTTAAGGCAATATTCCACAAATACATCCAATCCACCTCCGTCCTGTGATTTGCAATAAGCAAAACACGTTTCTCAACCGGAATGATGTCTCCAGAGAACAACACGGTTGTCCCATTAACCGTTTCAAACAGGTAAGGCCACAAAGCTAACCAGAGACCAAAGATTAACGAAATAACTCTCCTAGATTGATGCACACTCAGAAGCCGTAGACCTAGAGCAGCTATTGGTGCAAAGTACAGCAGGAACATAAAAGCAGTAGCGACAAACACCAGTAGAATCATCAAGCCCCTCAGAATCCTAAGCGGAGTCAAGGGGCGGTTCTTTAAGTTATCAGAATTCAGATCCCCGCAAACTTCCATCTTATTCCAGATAAACCTCAAGACAAACTGCAGCAATGAGAATCAAATATTACTCAGTGCCACCTAAAGTTCCCCATAAAGATTGAATTTTTTCTTTATGAAGATCCCTAGTCAACACATCCATGGAGAAATTGAATATAAAGACCCAATTTTTCTTTAATTTGTATGGAAACTTACAAAAGTAGAATTTTTTTTGCAAATTTGAATCTCAGGAACATGAATAAACCTCTAAAAGCAATAATGAACAGAGAATTCCGTATCTATGGGCTGAGTGGAAGATTCAACAAGCGAATAATGATAAAGATTCGTCATTTTAGTTTAGTATCTAAAGCAGTAAAGCTGCATAATTTCGAATCTATAATCATCAATATTCCAAAACAAAAACGCAGAAATCACGGAAAAAACATCCTCAAATTGGGAAAGACTTGTGAATACCGCAACTACAATTCAGATCCCACGTGATATATAAGATCAAAGAGACAGAGCAAGAGAAACACTTCTCACGTATCTAAAGCACGAGGAACTCGAAGAAGAAGATAAAGTACCTGGAGAAGTATGAAGAGCGCAAGAAGTTGGCGAAGACGAAGAAGAGGATAATTGTTAAATGGTAGAACAGAGGAATGCGAATCTCACAGCGAAGTTTCAAAGAAGGATCCGTTTCGGGTCGGATCTAATTGAGACGGTGCGGTGATCAGAGACGGTAGGGTGCACTGTACTATAGCGATCTGATTCGCTGAATGCGAAAAAGGTCAATAGTTGCAGCGAAGACAAATATCCAAAGCTGACACTTGCGACCCTATAAAATTCTCCTGGCGTCGTTACACTTTTGAAACTCAAACGTGAAGCAAACTCTAATTAATACTTTTTCTCACTTATTATCATTGGTTGTACCAAACAAGAATAAAATCCAAGCTTTTAATGATTTATTTTTTCATTTAATACACTATAGCGCTGGATTTTTTTCTTCTAAATTTTGAATCTGAATTTCTTTTTATACGATTTACATGGGGACCAGATGTTTTTCTCAATTATTTATGTGACATTTATTTTTTATTTTTACAAATTTTAAGTTAAAGTTAAACAAACTTAAAATGCCGAAGAAAAAACCGTTTCTAGTTGATTTTTTAAGTAAAATTTTTCTCTAGTTGTTGTTGATAAAGAACTGTTTAGTAAATATATTGGGTTCATTATTGTAGAAGAATAAAGATAAGTTCTTTCTTTATTATAATAATGAAACCATTTGATTATAAGATATAGCATTGACCAAGAAAGTAAACTATTTAAAAGTGATAGTAGACCAAACATGAGGATGTAATTGATCGGTTCAAAAGATATTTCCGCCACCGATTCGTCAACTTACAGTAAGGGTACATAAGCAATAAAACAAAGAAATGGGATTAAAACTGAAATAAGTAGCAAAATATGAGGGTTTATGAATAATTTAACCAATTCACGGTGCCGTCGAACATATGTTTCTCACTCTCCTTGAGAAATATCGGGAGAACTTCAGACATTGCTCTGCTCCGACCGAAGCTCATCATCTATCAATTCATGTGACCTAATTCATTGTCTATTCTAAATAAGTGATTCCGTAGGAGAAGAGCAATGCCGATTTCTATGGAGCTTCCAGTTTTCTCAACTCTCCGAGTACCATTGTTCTCTCGTTTAGCTCTAGTTCCTACTTTTGGAATTCCGTTTTCGTCTCATGGTGCTACGACGCAATTGAATTGTACCGCTCGAAAGGCGCGTCGGATTTGCGTGATGTGTTTGGTGAGAGATTCGGCTCCGATGGAGACGTGCGAGAGAGCTGGAGAAGATGGGTCTGAGTTCATTGAGGTCGTTGTTATCGGTAGTCGAAAGGAGTCTATCATGGATTCTTGCTTGGATTCTCCTTTTCCTTCTCTTCCTCTCCGATTTTGGTATATATTGTTTATTTTTGTTCTTCTTTTGATTCTGTTTTATCTACTAGCCACTTTTTCGAAATCTGATGGCTTTCCTAGTACACTGTTACACTCCTAAAGTGTGTAGCTTTCTTCTCTTATGGCTTCAATGGATTATCTATGTTCTGTGTGTTCCACGAAAGTGAACAAATTTAACTGAAAACTCTACTTTTTCAGGAGTTTTAGCAAGGACAGCTCCGGAGATTTAGTGTTACAGCAGAGGCTCAATCACCAAGGTCCATAATCTATTTTTTTTCATGTTTCTTCTTGCCTTTTGAATCTGATTATAAACAGGTTCTTGAACAACTAGCATATATTTAGCTAGTTGTTCAAGAAGGTAAGAGGGATACGCTATCTTTCTTACTTATCGCTTCTCTTTTTGTGTTTACAGATAATGCTTCGAAGACCATGAATCCAATTGAGCTGATACAATCACGTCCAAGGGCCTTCATCCTTGTTTGTACTTTTCTTGCCTATCATTGTTTGTGTTCTGTTTTCTGTTGTGCAATTTGCAGTTCTATAACTACTTATAGGATTCTAGCCTTCTTTATAACTGAACAAGATACTAATGGTTTTCAATTTTTCCCAAATATTTATTTTCGTGGAACATTATTGGCCGAGCATCTGATTCTGCTTAAACTGTTCCCTTTGCCAGGTGGCTAGTGCTGGATATGGCTCTGACCAGGCTGAAGCTATTAATATTCTTAGTGCAGTAAGATCTGGGGGTAACTTAGCTGTTGCTGTGCTATTAAAACCTTTCAGCTTTGAAGGCCGAAAGCGTCTAGAAGAGGTAGTTTTTTGTTGCTTCTAAAAGTTGTATTTGTTTGGTATGTACCAAAAGAGCCAATCTGGAATTTCATTTTACTGTCGCAAAGTTTTGGTAATGGGACTATCAGTCTTCAGAGTAGTTAGTTATGTCTTTGGCCTGTTTTCCTGGAGCTGTTAGTAGAACTTGTATACCTGATTTGATATAGAAGAAAACTAGGTGGAGAACTTTCGAGTGGCTTAATGTTTTTCCTACAGTGCACCTTCCCAAATTTCCGGCATCTCCATTTGCTGTCAACATTTGTTTATTGTATACTATTTCATATAACAAACTAAAAACAGCCCATCAAATGACATCCCTATCTACAAACTAGTTCAACTACAGTTAGTATCGCTAGTTAGAGACTTTTCTCTTTTTCTAATTTCCCAGGTTGTGTGCAGGTTAACGAATTGGCTAGAAAACTGCAGCAAAACACCAATTTCTGTATAGGTAGGTACGGCTATTACCAGTGTGAAACATTTCCTGACACAATAGCGTCAGAAAAACTACCTTTTGTTCTAGTAGTTCTGCTGGCCATGAAATGACTTTAATTTGGGTTTTGTAGATATCGACATAGAGGTTTTACTACAGAAGGATTTGGTAACTTTGGACGAGGCGCTGAGAAATGCAAACAATGCTGTTTCCATGGCAGTAAATGCAGCTTCCGCTCTGATAAGTGTAAGGTTACTTTTCTCCTGTAGCTGTCTCTCATATTATACTCAATTTTTTGTCATTTTCATATATGGGTTTATTCAGGGGATGCATGTAAACTTCATCGATGTGATGCATAAAGATCTTCAAGAACTTGAAGGTTCAGAAGTTAAAACGGTAAGTTTCTTGGCATTCTTTCTTTTGGGCTTAAGTGATAAAGATCTTCATAGTCTTACCTGTTCTTGAGATTTCATTTGTCTGTATGGTATACTCACCCTTAGTTTGAGCTTGTCGTCAATCCTTCAACTCTCTAATGTCCAGATTCTAGAAAGCTACAAAGAGGCAAAGGTTGGTTTTGGAGTTGGTCACAACCTTAAGACTTCGATTTTACGAGCTATATATGACTGCCCATTCTTTCGCCCTGGTCTAAAGGTATTTCTAATCTCTTAAAGAGCATTGCATAGAAGATTCATCCGTCCTATCTCGGTTTGATTTTTTTCTCTTCTATACATTCTTTGTTGAGTTGTTTCCCTCTTCCAAGAAGATGAAGTAGATTGGTCTAAGAATAATGTAAATATAAAAACATTAATTCGAGGATTTTCTGATAGTTAAAGAAAAACATAGTGACCTATAAACAAACCGTTAAAACAGATTGCATCACTCTCCCGAAAGAGCAAGGGTATTTGAAATTTTTGATTGTGTGTATTTTGGCATTTTTACTCGAAATTTATGCTCCTTGAAACTATTTACTTACAAAATACGTCATTCAAGTAACTTTTTTTATCTCAAGTCTCAACCATGCTTTTTCCAACATGCAGGATCTAAACGCTATTATATGCATTGTGGCTAGTTCGGCACCTCTTCAGAAGAAGGACGTGAAAACAATTCTTCGTACTTTACGTCAAACAATGGAGTACACTGGAGATATTATAGTATCTACTGTTCATGAGCCTGATCTGGAGCCTAAAGTGCGTGTCACAACGTTTTTTATTCTAAGGTGGGTCTTCATGTTTAGTGACAGCTTACAATTTCAAGCTCATGCATGTGGTTCCATATTTAGCTGAAAATCAACAAAGAAAAGTAATTAGAAGGTTTCAGCATTTATACCATATATTTTTATTTGTTTGATTAAGATCTATGATGCTTTTCACCAAGACTCAGACTCTATTTCTCGTGACCACTTTTAAGCATTAATGCAAGTCTCATATGTCGTCACAGTTCTTCAGAAGAGGAAACATCCAACAAAGGCAACATTTTTTCTGGTCTTGTTCCTTTTGTTTTAAATATCTTCACGAGATACCGTTCACAGCTCCAAAAAGAAACAAATAGTGGAATTGGAGAGACGCCAGTTTCAATTAAAGATTCAGCAGACTCTACTGACGTAAAAAGTTACAATCAGAATGTTGAAGAATTTGAAATTGACTCTGAGGACCTCGTGGAAGTTTCTGAGAACGGTGATAGTGAATACCCATTAAAAGAGGGGGAACCATCCAGAAACAGTCGACTGGATCTTGAGGAAGGTACAAAGTTTGAAGACTTATTTTTGTTGCTGCTGCTTATTTTTGTATGTAGTATTGGTCGAAATGCCTCATTTACTTGTTATTTATAGATTGCTGAAACAGTGATCCCTAAACTACTTTAAAAGTGATTGAAAATCATCTTTTGTAGATTTGGGTGCTATCCAGAGGGAGCCAATTGCCAATTGGAGTATGGATCCGGGATATCAGATTGAGCAGAAATGGCCAGCTGATTCTGGAGACTCTGCAGTGCTTAGCCTGGGCATTGTCAACCTTCCTGTTGGTGTGAGACCTTCAAAGAAGTTGAACAGTAATCTCAGTGTTGCCAGTCAACCCTTTCGAAAGGCTGATTCCAGAGAAGAATCATTTTTCAACCCTAATGGCTCGACAAAAGACTCTAGTGATACTGCATCTACCCTGCTATCTGAGAAATATGCTGATTTTACAAAGCAAAGAAATCTATCCGCTCGAGCAGCGTCTATGCTGGTAAGGAGCAATGTACCAGTCTATGAGGTTGAGATATAAAATCATCTTCTTACTAGTGGGCTGATTTATTAAACCATAATGCATATAGAGGCAAAGTGGTCTCTTTGGTTCAGTCTGCAACCATGATGAAGATTCGTTCTGTAAAAACATCGTCCAAGTCGATGCCAACTGACAGAATTTTCCATTTTTAATTCTTAGGAAGCTGAACGAGATTCATCAAAGAGATGGAGCCCTATTCTCGAGATGCAGTACAGAGGAGGACTTTTCAAGGGAAGATGCCAAGGAGGCCTTCCCGAAGGAAAGGTAATCCGTCTTGTTGGTTTTATTCATTGAAGCCTATTCATCAATGGATCCTTTTCTTATTTTTGAGACAGGCTTCTTAGTTAATCCGAAAGTAACTGCTTCATATTCCCACCAGGGTCGTTTGGTACTTGGAGATGGAAGCATATATGATGGAATGTGGCACAACGGCAAAAGATCTGGTCTCGGAACATTCTACTTCAAGAATGGAGACGTGTTCCAAGGCACATGGAGAGAAGATTTAATACACGGAAAGGTGAAATAGTCTTTTGACCTTTTCGAATTTTTATTAGCTTATTGAGACTACACTTTTGCACAAACTGCTTAGTTTCACCAAGTCCCTAAGACTTTGTCAAGCTAGTGCCATGTAAAATGCGTTTCCTACTTCCCCAATCTATCGAATAGGTTTGAGAAAGGAGTGTACAAAAAGATCTCTTATTAGAAAGACAAAAACTTGTTCATTTGTCTTGCAGGGTTGGTTTTATTTCCACAAAGGTGATCGATGGTTTGCAAATTTCTGGAAAGGAAAAGCCAGTGGCGAAGGCCGGTTCTACTCGAAGTCCGGTGAGATATTCTTTGGACATTTTAAAGATGGATGGCGACACGGACAATTCCTCTGTATAGATGTGGATGGAACAAGGTCAGTGACTCTTCAAAAAAACTCATCTACTTCTATCTTAATCAGAAAAAGAGCAACCCCAAGTTTATTCAAAAATTGTTGATGGCTATTTTCTACAGATACTCTGAAACTTGGGACGACGGTGTTCTTATTGACCGGAAACAAATGGACGCCGGAGATTGATATCGTCCGGCGATGTTGTAACTATATATATAGTGCATACCGATTTTGTCTTTTCTCAGGTTATTATTATGACAAAACGTAATTCACAAAAAGTATTACTTTGACTTGACTACTTTTCTTTGACTAGATATTAACAAAGAAACGAATTCAATTCTGAAGCTACGTGACTTTTCAGTACCTTGCAACCTGAGAAAAGTGACGAATCTTGAAAAGATCAAAATAAGCTACAATAGTCCAAAAATATTTATATTGATTTCGTTGATATACATATTTTGCGTCGGAGAGCAACACTATTCCTAATTATCTATCGTACAACAACAACAGAATAAAAAAAATCTGATCTCCAGTTTTCATATTTTAGCTGAAGTCTGATTTTTTTTTTCCGGATGATTTCAATAAATACAAAAAATGATTGGGTTTATCATTTATGTGGTGGTGTGCTTAGCCTTGGTCATCATTGAACGCGTCTTGCAATAAAACTTCAAGTAGAGCAACGTGATAACGGCGTTTAGAACAGAGTTAAACAACCAAGCACCGATACCGTTACAACCGCCGCGTTTGACCAGGTGTATACAGAGTACGCCTACGTGGCAAATCGTCATGCACCCTAACAGAATGGCTTGACAGTTAACGACAAACGGAAAACACGCGCCACGTAACCCTATCTCCGTCCAGAATCTGTAACCGTATACAACGGCGTACGAAACGGTCGTTAACAGTATCGCTACTACCTACAAAAAACCAAAAACACGAAGAACGGTTCAAATTTATAAATTCGGTTATTGATTCCGGTTTGGTAAACCGAACGAAGCGGTTAATTTATACCTGAAAGGATTGGGAATATTCGAGCCAGAGGAAGGAGATACAGAGAAGAGAAGACTGGTTAATGAGCTGGAAGAAGCTGAGCTTACGACGTCGTATCACGGAGAAGAAAGTACGGAACAAGTGAAGAAATCTTGAGAGGTAAAACGCGTATGACCAGAAGAAAACGCGCCCCGAAGCGCGTGTACCTACGGGAAAACAGAGGAACCATTGGAGAGCCGTGGTGCGAGTGCGACGCCATAGCCAGCGCGTGTCTCTGATCTCTGCTGCGGCGGAGAGGAGGATTCCGACGAAGATAACGGCGGAGATTATGGAAATGGTTAAGCTGTGAAGAGCTGGGATTGGACCGAGGGAGAATCCGCGGCGGCGGTGACAGAGGGAGAGGATTATGAGGAGGAGGAGGTGGAGAGTGACGGCGGCGATGACGTAAGATGAGACGGCGGTGAAGAGGAAAGACCACGTGGAGGCGTAGGATTGGGTTGGACTCCAACGGAAGTTAACGATCGTTGGATGCTCCGCTAGATAGTAATTCAGGGTCATTGGTATCAAATCAAGATCACAGTGGTTGTGTTGTGTGATGTGAAAGAACAAAAAAGAAGAAGAAGCAGTTGAGAGAATGAGAGGAGGAAAGAGAGAGAGAGATTCTTGAATGTGACTCTTTATTGTGTTCTGTTTCTGTGTTTCTTGTTTTTTCTCACCGGCTTTGCTCTATTTTTATACTGTTTTCGTATTTCCACATTTTTTGTGTGTTAGGAAATAAATTTTGAATGCGATCCATTGAACATGTCACGGTCAAAGTTGACATGTCTAAGAAGAGATTAAGGATACATTTGTTCCATCAAATAATTTCATTAAGTTATGTTTGCTACTCTCTCTCTCTTGTCACGTAAAACGTCGATTTCGAGTTATTTTTTTGTTATTAAATTTGTTATTTTTAGTGCAAACTTTTTAAACTAAGAAGGTGTATTCAATCTACTATTTGAAGTGATTTGTGTTAAACTAACAAATCTTAGGTTATTCAATCATGGATTTTAAAAAGCTTTCTAAAATCTAATGTTATTGAACTAGTGATTTGGAAAAGAACTTTAAAATCTACTGTTATTAGAAATATTTTAAACATTAGAATTAGATTTTTAATGACTTTAAGACATTGCATGAGATTTCCTTACTTATAAATATGTGTTCAAATTTTTAATTTTAAATAAATCACCAATCTTAACAATTTACGTGACTTGACTTTTCGTGCAGGTCGAGAATATGATACGATTGTTCATTTGTTTGTTTTCTTATTTTGGTAAAGGATAATGAAAGTTGCTTAGCCGCATTGCGTACATGCAGGAAATAAAGGCAATGCAACATGACTTTATAACCAACTATAATACTTCCAGAATCAATATATATATAATTTGGACTTCAGCACAAATTATATGTGAAATATGTTAATCCACGTATCACGTATGATATTTGTTGGATCATGTTCCATTTCGAACATTCCTATAGTTCCAGTCAATTTGATTCGTTGTACTAAGTACTCGATAATATTAATAATACCGACATACCGTCGTCTAGAACGATATAAAAGTTACAACTATATATTAAGGTCTTAGAATATTTTTATTTTTGTAGGCAGGCTTTTGTATCTGAAGTCTTAACCATAACAATAAAAAGCATTTTATATGTGTAAAAGGTTTAAGCTTCATTATCTAAAAACAACATTAGTTGAGTGGGTTTTCTTTTCTGTATTATTTTTGTTGATATGTTTAAAAGTGTACGTCATAACATATGTTACAGAATTTTTTTTTACAAATATTTAACTGCTATATCAAATTTCTAGCTATAAAAGGGATAAAATAGGATTGATCTCTAAATTATTTTATTCATAATGTATAATTATTTCTTTGGGTACAAGGTGACCAATGATCATCAACATCTAGAATCCACGAACCGTCAAAATCGAAAGTTTTATGCTCACACTATCGTAGACATCATTTTTATGGATTGTTTGACTTTAATAAATGGTTAAATATATGTAAACAATAATTGACAGTTTTAAAGGAAAATGAGATTTCCAAAAATTACATTCTTTTGTCAACCACATTCCAAAACTTTACATTAGAAATTTAGAATCATAAAACGATATCTGGAAACAAAAATATTAGTCAACAGTCAAAACCGACATTTAATTTGATTTAAAACCGACGAAAATATACTAATTTGATGTAAATTAAGTTATTAAGTCTGAGAAAATCAAATAATCATCGAGGAAGCTTCGTCAGCCATAGGAAGAAAAATAACAACTGTTTTTCCTTTTTTTTTGTTAATCCGTTAGTATATTAACAACAAGATTCTTCTTCTTCTTTTTTTCATTCACCGACTCTTTTTCTTCTCTCTCTCGCCTCATATCTGCGATCTTGCATCAGGAAACCTCTCTCTCATCGCCGAGGTAAATCTTTCCTTAAACGCTGGAAAATTGACTTTCCCTTACCGTAAAAATCGAAACTTTGTATTTCTCTGCATGTTTGATCAATTCTATAGGAAACCCGAAACCGTTTAAGGGTTTTAGAGTTTTTCATCTGATACCTTATTTCATTGCATGTGTATAGGAAAAAAGATCTTACAATGGCTATCAACATGACCATCACGAACGAAGAAGATGCATCGAGCAACTTTGGATGCAATATCTGTCTTGAATTGGCAAGAGAACCAATCGTGACTCTATGTGGTCATTTGTTCTGTTGGCCTTGTCTCTACAAGTGGCTCCATTACCATTCTCAATCTAATCATTGTCCTGTTTGTAAAGCTTTGGTTAAGGAAGATAGTTTGGTTCCTTTGTATGGAATGGGTAAGCCATCTTCTGACCCGAGATCGAAACTCAATTGTGGTGTTACTATCCCTAATCGACCAGCTGCAACTAGGATTGAAACAGCTCGTCCTCGTCTTGGACAAAGACATCATGGGTCTAGTTTCTTTGGTGGGCATTCAGGTTTTGCTGCGATGCCAACTGGTACACGGTTTTCCAACTTCTTGTTGTAATGGAATGTATCTTTTGATGAATCTGAGTAGACCGTGTTCTGTTTTTTGACAATGTTTTTGAAACTATTATACATTGTCTACGATTTTTGTTATTTTGACTATTAATGTTTTGAGCTACATTTACAATATTTCATTTTCTTTGTAGTGTTGCATCAGCTTGTAATATTTGATTCTTCTTTTTTTGAATTTAATGTTAAATTATATTCAAAAGAAAAAGTTCACGTTTTTACAACTAGTGCCACGTTTGTTTGAAAAAACCGAGTTTAGAACTTAATTTGCAAATCTAAACATGTCCGCGAGAGTGGAGCCACAGTTGATACCCTTCGTCATATCGCTTGTCGCCCATTCACCGAATTGCTGAAATTTGATTTCGTTTTTGCCTATCAATCCAGCTCCGTAATATTTGATTCTTCAATCTTCCGGTTTGCGAAAAGTCATAAGCGTGTTCTCATGTTACATCTGCATTTTGATCAATATTAATGCTGGTTACATTATAGTAGACTAGATACCTTATGCACCGATATGGCAATATGATCTTCATAAAGATGTTGAAGCTTTACATTTAATCGTGTAACTGGAGCAGATGGCAAAAGAAAATATGGAAATTAGCTAAATGACAATGATATGATGTAAACATTTTTTGACCATTTTTCATTGTATTCAACTCTTACGAAAAATGTGATTTTTTTTTCCTTAAGATGTTATTTAATGCGGCCATCTAATTTGTGAAATGACAATGATTCTATCTTGTAACATGTTATTTTTAATGTGGATTACCTACTTTACCAAAAGGGAGATAGAATTTAGGATTTGAGTTTAAAATTTTGTTTGGTTAGAACACCATGCAATAAAAGAGAGTTATGTGATAAATTATACATCCACTTAAAAGAATACGTTGTTGTAGAAAAAACCTCATCTTTCCCGTAACAGTTAGACCATACACATTGGCAAATGTGTAATTGTGGGTGTAAGTAATTGTTTATTATTATAATTAAAAGAGAAAGAGAGAAAAGAGAGAGAGATAGAGAGAGATAGAGAGAAGAAATTTTTTTCTATTTTTATAATGCCTCACACTTGATTGTAAGTCTACACCCGGTTTTTGTTGAAAAGGTAACTTTTGCAATATTTCTCAATTGTTTATAACTAACACCCGAGCATCTATTGCTCCACTGCGTTTGCTCTTAAGCAAAGAGAAAACTAAACACTATTTAAGGACAATATGTCACATACATTGCTGGTTTTCTAGTTTTCACCTCCGATATATTGCCATTTGGAAAATTGTCCCCATTTAAACTATCTTTGACTTCTAAAAACAAATATTTCTTCCCAAAATTATGTTGCACCAAATAGACTCTATTGTTCTATCTACCAGATGAAGCTATCTCAACGCATGATTGGTGATTAGCCAGAAAATAACGACTTCTCTAAGTAGAGGATTAGTTTGTTGATGGTTCTGTACATTTGATCTCCGAGAGTTGAAAATTTATTGGACAAGATACACTTATTAAGCCCAAGACACATGTCACGAACCCACATATATTATTCGGGTTCCTGTTAAGCCCAATTAAGGTTTTAATGGGCTCTAATGGGCCTATTCATGAAGCGATAGGGACCTTGCCTAATCTCATCTTCTTCACTCTGCTCGTTATCTTCTTCCTTTTACCTGTTGGACGAAATTCCTGAGCTCAGCTTCACTTTACTCGTTATCTTCTTCGTTCAGCGACAATGGCGTCGATTTCAAACCTCGCCGCTTCTCTCTCTACACTTTCGTTCTCCTCCCAAGTTTCTCAGAGACCTAACACCATTTCCTTTCCCCGCGCGAATTCGGTGTTCGCATTACCGGCGAAATCCGCTCGCCGCGCTTCTCTCTCGATTACCGCCACCGTAGCTGCTCCACCGGAGGAGGAAGAAATAGTTGAGCTAAAGAAATACGTCAAATCAAGGCTTCCCGGAGGATTTGCTGCTCAGAAGATTATTGGCACTGGAAGGCGCAAGTGCGCAATTGCTAGAGTTGTGCTTCAGGAAGGCACTGGGAAGGTTATCATTAACTATCGTGATGCCAAGGTAAATTATTTGAATCTGTACTCTTAATCATTTCTAATTCCATTATCTTATTGGCTTGTGCTTGATGTGTTCGCTTAGGCCTTGATTTTGGGGTTTACACAGCTGAATTGACTGATTATATGTGGTTTATGTTCTTGAGAGATTGAATTTTGAACTTTGGATTGGTATTTCAACAGCAAAAGCTATGAAAGCAGCCCACTTTGCCCCGTTTAAACATTGTCTGGGTTTCCATGAATACCTGAAACCTACCAAAGACTGACATTATGCAAAGCGTATAATCGATTCAAGCATTTTGTAGGAGAGAAAGTCTTGACCTTTATGAAGACATTCTCTGTTATGTAGGGTATACTAGTCTTGTGATCAAACTGTATCTTTATGTACTTTTTTTTGTGAAATGGGAGCTGTACGAGCACGTTACAGATTAAGTTGAAACTGGAAGAACTTTCTGAACATATAGTTTATATGATGAGTTCTAGGCTGTTTAGTCTTAAGACTAGGGTAAGTGGCTGAGAAAGTGATCAATCTGTATCTGTATTAGTCTTGTAATCAAACTGTATCTGTATGCAGTTCTTTGTGATCTGGGAGTTGTATCAGCACATTACAGACTAAGTGGAAACTGGAAGAACTGTCTGAACAAATAGTTCTTTTGGTGATTTCTAAGCTGTTTAGGCTGAGGAAAGTGTTAACAAGGAGAGATTCTGATAAAGTTAGGAAGTTATAACAAGCTGTTTTGTGAATGTGAAAGATTTGAATCCATACGCATATTGCTGATCATCATCATTGTAAAACACTTTTCAGGAGTACCTTCAGGGAAATCCACTATGGCTTCAGTATGTTAAAGTCCCATTAGTGACTTTAGGGTATGAGAACAGCTACGACATATTTGTGAAAGCCCATGGAGGCGGTCTCTCAGGTCAAGCTCAAGCTATTACCCTGGGTGTCGCACGTGCACTCCTCAAGGTAAGTGCAGACCACAGATCGCCTTTGAAGAAGGAAGGTTTGCTCACTAGAGATGCGAGAGTGGTTGAAAGAAAGAAGGCCGGGCTCAAGAAGGCGCGTAAAGCACCACAATTCTCCAAGCGTTAAGAGGTTTTATATCATTGGATCAACTCTTCAAGTAGACTCCTCTGCCTCCATTCTTTTTTTTAAAACTCTTCTGGTCTATTATGTGTGTTTTGTTCCATGTTAATGTTTATGTGTAGAAGAACCAATACAATCTCTGTTCGTTTGAATGGAACGCAAAGTTGCTATGCTTTTGTAACAAATGCACTTATGAATTGTTTATCAGTTGGATTTCAGGTGAAAGTGAAAACTTTGCTTCTTTCAAGAAGGATAGTGGATTAGCAGCATGACCTGAACACACTTTGTGTATCTAATTCCTTTGATATTGATGTAGTAATGTTGCTTTTGTTGGGCTCATACCGACGAATCAGAAATCGACACGTGTGAGATAGTAATGTATGTGATGCATAAAATAGGCTGGTTTAGCTGAGAATGGTGATGCGAAAATGGAATGTTAGGTATGAGAGAGCTTACCCACTTTGACTCTTTCCATGCATTTTCTCTTGCTCCCCTCTTTCCTGCTTCCTCTGTTTTCTATTATTCCATTTCCATCACTTAAAAAACAAAACAAAAAACCTGAACTCTTGGGTTGGATTCCAAACCAACATAAACCAATAGTCTAATACAACTTGGTTTTGATACAATATTAGAGCTACTTGATGTGTGTGTAATGTTTCGAGGAAAAACAAATCACGTGTATCCTATCAAACTTTTGATTACATACACAAGTCAAAAGAAGACATTAATTGTATGAATTTAATGAATTTGAGGGGTCTATTATATTTATTAGTCAGCTTTAACGTATCAAATCCATGACTTTTATCAATGTTTTTTCTTTCTGGATCTACTAGTATCAATGTATCATCACCGGACCACTTGATAATCTTCCTATTTATGAACACTACTAGTCGTAAAGGTATGTGTAAATACTTATACGTGTATTTCTGAACATTAGTCTAAGAAATTATGAGAGTAATAATAAATGTTAAAAAAAAACAGTGGCTGCTTTGCCATATCGCTATCCCAACTCTGCAACACTACTTCACTGCCACAAAAACAAAAACAAGTAATCCAAAATAAAATAATGATTTTCCAAGTGTCCTTCCTTCGATTAAACCGAGGTCACCAAATCTGTATGCAGTATGCACTTGTGTAAAAAAACATTGTAGTGGAATCATATTGAATCAGCGTTACTGTATAATTTATTTTTTATTATATCATTAATTCAACATAAATTATGATTTCCTGTGAAATTACTGTTTTCAATTTTTGTGATATGTACTTGTAAACTACTAAATTGCAAGCTATTAAAAGAAAATAAGTTAGGAAGATTTTTTATTTAGTTTTGAAAAAGTGGGGTAATTTTTTCCTGTTTTTTGATAAGATGTCATCAACTTTAACAAATATAGATAAAAAGGTTGGAGTATATATTTTTAGTTACAAAAAGTTTTTTTTTTTTTTTAGTTACAAAAAGTTATTACTAATTTCTTTTGAGATTCAGAATAAAAATGAAAATAAAAATAAAAATAATTCTGGTCATCGATAATTTTGAGATTTGAAGTGTCGATTGGTATTTTTTTTTTTTTTTTTTTTTTTTTTGTCGATTGGTATTTGTATAGTGTTGTATCTCTTTCTCTCTCTCTGTGTTGTGTCTGTTTGTTTGAGAGGAGGATATTTGGCGTCTCCACGCACGATTTTACGCATCGAAGCTCTCTGCACGCTTCCTGAAAGAGAGAGAGAAGAGAGAAGAGAGAGATCGCAGATCGATTCCTCTTAAATCTCTCGTGAATCCCATTTTGGCTTTGTCTCTCTGCTAGATTCTCTCTTCACCCATTTCTCGCTTTCTCCTCTGTTCTCTCATCTGGGTTCTTTTCAAGCCTCTTCCTTTTGCCATGGTGGGTGCGTCTTCCTCTTACGCATCTCCGTTATGTACCTGGTTTGTTGCAGCTTGCATGTCCGTCGCTCACGGCGGTGGAGATACCCGTCAGGCTGTTGCTCTTCAATCTGCTGGGCGGAGTCGGCGAAGGAGGCAGCTTAGCAAATGCTCTTCCGCTTCTGGATCCGCTAGCATTCAGGCTCTTGTCACTTCTTGTTTGGATTTTGGTCCCTGTACTCACTACAACAACAATGCATTGTCTTCTCTCTTTGGATCGAATAGTGTTTCTTTGAATCGAAACCAGAGGAGATTGAATCGTGCAGCTAGCTCTGGTATTACATTTATCTCCTTTTTTTATTTTGTTTTTCAATCTGGGTTTTTTTATGTGGCCAGCTTTAGTTTTTCTTCGAGTTTCTCGTTTTTATGTCACTTAGTTCGATGTTGCTATGGGTTTAAGTTATTGGGAAAGCAGCTCGCATGTGAAAGTTTGAATTTTTATTTGTGATTCCATGTATTTTTAAGGACATTTTGTGAGGTTAGGCTCTAGATGAGGAATGAGTATACAGAGCTTTTAAAGCTGAACAAATGGCGGTGAACTTAATATATAAATTTTGAAGTTGCTTGTGATGCTTTTGTTTACTATGCCATTGAGATGTGGTTTGTGGATAGTAGCTGATTTTAGTTCATCTACCATCAACTGTAACGTCTTTGTGGGTTTTAGGTGGAGCCATGGCAGTGATGGAGATGGAAAAGGAAGCTACGGTTAACAAGAAACCGCCTACGGAGCAGCGTCGAGTTGTAGTGACTGGCATGGGAGTTGAAACATCATTGGGTCATGACCCACATACCTTTTATGAGAATTTGCTACAAGGCAACAGTGGTATTAGCCAGATTGAGAATTTTGATTGTTCTGAATTTCCTACGGTAAGCATTATTTATATCAGGATCTCTTCGTAGCTTTTTGGTTTGCGTGATTTCTCCGTTTGCTTTTGTTTTGTACTTGAATATCTTTCCTTGTTTTACCTTTGTCAAGCGAATTGCGGGTGAGATCAAAAGCTTCTCGACTGAAGGTTGGGTTGCTCCAAAGCTTTCTAAAAGGATGGACAAGTTCATGCTCTATCTTCTCACAGCTGGCAAGAAAGCTTTGGCTGATGGTGGGGTAACTGATGAAGTAATGGCAGAGTTTGACAAAACCAAATGTGGAGTTTTGATTGGCTCGGCAATGGGAGGAATGAAGGTACTTTCTCGATCCCGGGCTTGAACGTATAGAAAGTATGAAAACACTTTCAATCTAAGGTTTCTGTTCAGTATCTCACCTGATTGTTCCTTCATATTAACTATGCTTTCACTAACAAAAGAGTCACATGAATATTGAATCTAAAGATTAGGAAGTCTGTTGTTAATCGTTGCATTTCTAATAATCTAATATTAATACAGGTCTTTTATGATGCTATTGAAGCTCTGAGAATCTCTTACAAGAAGATGAATCCTTTTTGTGTACCTTTTGCGACGACAAACATGGGTTCTGCTATGCTTGCTATGGATCTGGTCTGATAAAATTTGAATGTTATGTAATATGATTTTGGATGACCACTAGCAATTTCACACTGACTTTTTTTTTGGGTGATAAACCAGGGATGGATGGGGCCAAACTATTCTATTTCAACTGCTTGTGCCACAAGCAACTTTTGCATTCTGAATTCAGCAAACCACATTATTAAAGGTGAAGCTGTAAGTATCCTCCATCCACTTGGAAATTCGACAGTTTGGTAGACTTCCTCTGCTTCTACTTATAGACTGTCTGTCTTTCCACTAAACTTTTCAGGATGTAATGCTCTGTGGTGGCTCAGATGCAGTTATTATTCCCATAGGTGCTAACTCGTTCTCTTATATTACATTATTCCCTCTATTCTTGAAATTTAAGCTACATGAAATCTTATCGTTGTGTACCAGGGTTGGGAGGTTTTGTTGCATGTCGGGCTCTTTCACAAAGGAATAATGATCCCACAAAAGCTTCACGTCCTTGGGATACCGTAAGTTTTAACAATTTCTTGTCTTGTCTTCTTTTACTTTTGGTACTTGCATGTTTTAAAAGGAAGTACATGTTCAAATCATTGAATGGTTTTGTTTTAATCTTGGTGGATGCTAGGAAATTCCCTTACATATCTGTAATGTTGTAGGAAAGATAGTGTGAGGAAACGTGTGTATTATGTTTCGAGATTCTTCTTGTTTTGTTAACCTGGTCTTGATTGCATAACAGAATCGAGATGGTTTCGTGATGGGAGAGGGAGCTGGAGTTCTACTTTTGGAAGAACTCGAGCATGCTAAGGTATATAACTTATCCGTTCTTTTTGTCATTCCTTGTTTCCCATTGTTATATCCAAGCTTTTTTAATGCTTGCTATGGAACGAGCTGTGAGAACACAAGTATCCTGCTATTCTTTCAGAAAAGAGGAGCAACTATCTACGCAGAGTTCCTCGGTGGGAGTTTCACATGTGATGCGTATCACATGACCGAGCCTCACCCTGATGGTAGTTTCATTTTCCCCTAATTCATAGAAGTCTGCTAGTCAACTACAAATTTTAAATCTCTTTTTTCTATAAATATTTTGTCATTATCCCATGTTTCTTATATCCGCAGGGGCTGGCGTCATTCTCTGTATCGAGAGAGCGTTAGCTAGTGCTGGGATTTCCAAGGAACAGATAAATTACATAAATGCACATGCGACCTCAACACACGCTGGAGATATTAAGGAGTACCAAGCCCTTGCTCACTGTTTTGGCCAAAATCCTGAGGTAGCTTCACTTCTCTGTTACAAAACTCCAAAGAGGCTTTTTGTGTGCTTTTCCTTACTTGATCTTTCACGATGTGGCAGCTTAAGGTAAATTCCACAAAATCTATGATTGGACACTTGCTGGGAGCTGCTGGGGCCGTGGAGGCTGTTGCAACCGTGCAGGTAACACATTTGATATTCGAGACATCAGTTTATCTACAAGGAAGGAAATGTTGTTGAAAGTTGAAATCAAGTTTTATAATAGAGCGAAATTATTTGCAGTCTTCGCATTTTTGATGTTAATTCTCTGTTGTTATCTACAGGCAATAAGAACTGGATGGGTTCATCCAAATATCAACCTTGAGAATCCTGACAGTGGAGTGGTATGTTTGTAAAATTGTTATTCGAAGCTGTTCGTATGAGTTCAATACCGACACAAAGACCTTTAATGTTCGTAAATAAACAAAAAATAACTCTTGGGAGATTTAATAATCTTCGTGTGAAATGAAATTGGAGCAGGATACAAAGCTTCTGGTGGGTCCTAAGAAGGAAAGATTGGACATTAAAGCAGCCTTGTCAAATTCTTTCGGGTTTGGTGGTCATAACTCCAGCATCATTTTTGCTCCTTACAAGTGAAAGCGAAAGCCGTTCCTTGTACTCCAAACCTGATTGTATAACTTGCTGTAAGGTAAACATTACACCCATTGTACGTTGATGCATCATCAGATTTTTAGAGGATTCAAAGGACAGTTTACTCTTTTGACCTTAACATATCTATCACTGCTTTGACAATAATGAATTGAAGTTTGTTTTAGTTCCCTTTGAAGTATTGTCGGTCCCGAAATGCATTCAATGATTTGGGATGGACTAAGATTTGTGATATTTTGTACTGTCATGAAGCTGAGTGTTTAAATTATGTGCAGTGTTTACAAGAAGTTTCCCATGTTATGCTAGTGTTACGTCGCGGGAATCAACAGAGTTTGTTCAACTACCAAGAGCTAAGCTAAGTTTCTTAGGATCAAGATCTGATGAGCCAAAGACTTGGACAGAAGCTAAACGTGCCAGAGTTTGGATTCGCCATTAAAATTCTGTTTCTTGTGATACCTTCTTATTGGAAATCTTTGTAGTCTTTTCGTTTCTATTGTTTAACATAAAATCTGAAAAAATGCCAAATCAATTCTCAATTTAAAATTTAGTAACTCTTGACAGTTTTATGCCTTTGTTTATTACATATATAGAAAACCTAAATTATCTTTTGAAAGGGAAAAAAAAGTCTCTCCAAGGGCCAAAATTTCTCACTTTCATATGCAAGCTTTTCTTCTGTTAAATATGTGAAAGAAAGCAGATACAAGAAGAGGAATCATCAGCTGTGAAAACCAAAATCAAGTCTTTAAAAATGGCTAAAAGGGTCTTAATCAACCTGTATAAGAGAACCATAAATAGATAAAGTTTCTACAGTAAAGCCAATGTGGACTACTATTCCTCAAATATCTTAAGCTTTATGTTCTATTCTTCTTGTGACCTCTCTCTTGCATTTTTGTGACCATCCCACTTGCCTTTTTCTTTTTGGTTGCATACTCTCTCTAAATAATATCCACACTTTGATGTCTTTAGAGCAACATTATTGGGAGGTGCTTAGTTTTGTTTCTTAGTAAATTTTTTGGTTCTTAGCCCAATTTTTGACTCTTAGCTAAGAGTCATTCCTTAGCAAAATCATCAATTACACCTTTAATTTTAATCTCTTTTGAGCTAAGAACCAAGTTAAGCACCTCCCAATAAGGATGGTCTTATGCGCTCTTGGTTCTTCTTGTGACCCCTCTTCCTTGTAACTGTGTTATAATATGTACCTTCTTCGGATTGAACCTTAGATTATCTCGATATAGCTATAATGAGTTAGCAAATACAATCTTCTAAGTCAATATAATAACAAGTGAGACGTTATAAAAGAAAATCAAACTAAATACGCATGGGATAATAACAAAAACTAGTATAAAAGACAGAGTGATAGGATCAACGGCTATAGTCCGTAGGAGAACACAGTTGCTTTATAAGCCGCGTAACAGGTGATTGATCACTGGCCAATGTCCTTGTGCGACACCAACAAGAAAAATTCTCTCAAATGTGTGCAGTTAAGTTCGACACGTGTAAGGTCACGATTTGTAGAGGAGACGTGCGCTTCCCGCTTCTTCTAATTATTTTATTACTGTTATAAATAAAATACTAAAAATTTAATAAAAAAGGAAAATTGTAAGACCCACACCGTGTTCCCTCTTATCTAACGCCGTTAATCCTTTTCTTTCCCTAAATAACGCCGTTAATCCTTTTAGTGCTAAAATATCACGCCGGTCTATGAGATTAAAATAGTAGACTAATCATTAGTGCTAAAACATTTACATAAAGTAATTACAAATGATGCCAAGAGATTCATCTTAAAAAACAATATATAACACAATTACTTTTTGTTTTAAAGAATATCATAATCGATTCATTGATTGCTTTGAAATGAATTAATTTTTGCATGAAAATATTATTATTTTTTTTCTTTTTACCATCTGGTAAGGGTAAAATGGTAAAACGCTGGAGTAAAGAGGGTGAAAAATAGTGATATCAAGTCTGAAGCGTGGATTGGACGTGGGTGACGGTGGTGATCTGAAACACTGGTCTGCCGTTAAAACATTAAACTAAAACACGTGTTTTAAATGTCTCTATTTTATTAATACTATAGAGTAGTAGTACAGTATAATTTACTATTTTTGATATCTGCAACCAGCGAAAAAAAAGTAATAAAGAGGTCCCCCATTTCTTCCTCGTGACAAACGCACTTGGCAGAGAGATAAAGAAGAAAGAACCCTAGTTTTTTTTTATAAAGATTCGAGAAAATTGAACAATTCAGGAAGGAAGATTATTTTGCTTCGATTTCTCTATCGAATCGATTTTCAATTTCGATGTCGAGTTCTGCCGAGTTTTGGGACTTGTCTGGTCGGAAACCGAGCTTTTCACAGACATGTAGTCGATTAAGTCGTTATCTGAAGGAGAAGGGTAGTTTTGGAGATCTGACCTTAGGGATGACATGCAAGCCTGACCTCAATGGTAAGCAACCTTTAGATCTGTTCTATTTCGATTCTGGATTTTTTTTATTTTCTTGTTCCGAATTACGAATTAAGAATCGATTACTTGTTGCCTGGAAATTGAATCGTAGATGAGAATCGATGAAGACCAAAATATTTGGAAAACCAAAATCATGTCATGAATATGTGGAGTTGGTTCTGTGTTTGGTTTTAAACATAATCCTCTGAAGCCTACTTTAGTCTTTAAGTAGAAACTATTATTGATTTTGTTTCGTAGTTGTTTGAGAGATTGGAGAATAACAATCTTTTACTTTTGGATCACTTTTGCAGGAGGTGTTGCTGTTTCACGTCAGCCTACAATGATGAATCTGTTCCCTTGTGAAGCTTCAGGAATGGATTCTTCTGCTGGTCAAGACATTAAACAGAAGAATGTGTTTCCCAGACAATCAAGCTTTTCTTCTTCCTCTTCCTCTGGGACCAAAGAAGATGTCCAGATCATCAAAGAGATTAAGTATGTGTTTTATGTATATAGTGAAAAGAATCGTCTCATATACTAAGGACTATGTTTCCATCAGTTTGACTAATGTCTGTGTGATTTTGAACAGATCTGTGAAGCCAGAGTCTCAATCTGCTCCGTTGACCATATTCTACGGTGGTCGAGTTATGGTCTTTGATGATTTTTCTGCCGAGAAAGCCAAACAAGTTATTGATTTGGCTAACAAAGGAAGTTCCAAAGGTTTCACAGCTGAAGTGAACAATAGCCAGAGTGCTTATTCTCAAAACTTGGCTAAGACTCAAAAAGAGATTGCTTCTAGCCCGAATCCAGTTTGTAGTCCTGCGAAAACCGCAGCACAAGACTCAATCCAGCCCAACCCGGCCTCTTTAGCCTGCGGTAATTGATCTCAGCCTCTTTTGTTTGGTCTAACCATCTCTGAGCTTGGCTTATTAGTCATATTTCTCTAACTTGTTCCCTTTTTGATCTGTAGAACTCCCGATTGCCAGAAGAGCTTCGCTTCATCGATTCCTAGAGAAGAGGAAGGATAGGTAAGCAATTCTTGTCAACACGTTTTATCTTGTTATTCCATAATTTGTTGTTAAGAGAAATTCTCAATATCCTATATGTAACCTTTAACAGGATCACATCAAAGGCACCATACCAAATAGACGGTTCAGCTGAAGCGTCTTCAAAGCCTAACCCAGCTTGGCTCAGTTCGCGGTAAACTTCGAGCATGTTCGGCCCAGAAGGCACAACTTGAGAGACCTTCTCGTAAGAAGCTGCTCCTCTGTTCATTTTTTTCTATAGATTAATTTCACCCCTAGTAGATTTGTTTGTTTAACTCCCGGAAAACTCATTATATTTGTATCAAAGTAATATTTTTATAGCGTTCAATGTTTGCTTCTGGGGTTTAAGTTTAAGACATTGTGTATATCCCTTTCCTCTGCTGATCTCAACATTAGCTTGCAACTTTTGTAAGAAACATCACTTGTGTTTTTGCGTTGATGGCCATTAATATTATCTTAGTTTACTTAATCCAATTGTTTCTTCTTCACTTATTGAGCTGAAGTTCCTCTTAAGGAACAAGAGTACTTAAAGATTCGAAAATAGAGAAATATCTAATAGTATAAATGATATTTTTCTTTTAAGTATAGTCGTGAATGTTATGTGAAAGATTTTCTTCAATAAGTCTACTATATATTGTTCAAAACACGTTTGTGTTAATGATAAATCATTAATCCATTAGTATTAGCATTTTAGTTTCGTAGATTAAAATGTTTGAACAAACTAAAGTATTTTGATTGAAAAAAAATACAAGCCAATTACGATTTTTTCAAAATACTAGTTCCAACTTTATAAAATATCCCAAGTCCATACAAAATAAACTTCATAAAATATCCAGTAAGGTAGTGGATTCGATCAGACCACTAGACCAGGCTTGGTAGGCCACGGGAATTCTGACCCACTATAGCTTTTTTTTGTTCGGTCTTGAAAAATGATCCAACTAACAAAACGTAAATTCGGTCCAAAGACTGCTCCGAAATTTGTTATGACTTATGACTAGCTCAAAGAACCTAAGACCCAATTACATCCGATTTGGAAAAATCTGAATTTTTCAGCATTATAAACAAATCGCCAAGACTACGTAATTTGGATCGGACAGAATCGGTCCCGGACTTCATCTAATCAAAGTTGTTCAAAATGGTAGGGACTATAGTGTCACCAAAATATCATTGTTTTCTTAGCTGAGAAAAGGATCTTTTATTAATTTCTGACAACGGGCCCCGATTACATACAACAAGTTGCATATTTAAGGGCCCACGTGCATACATTGCACTTAAGAATCCTAATGATTTAAAACTCATAATTGTGTTTCTTTCAAGTCTTAAATTTATTAAAACGTTATTTTAGTTTCTTCATTAAATGATAGTACGTTCTCTATTATTTTTTCAAAGATAATTTGAGTTGTAATCATGAATTGAAACTGAACTAGCGTAATAACAACACATTACATTTTTAAACGTAGTTGTAATTCTGAAACCTCTATAATAGTATAATTATCTTGATTGGTAACGTTTTCTTTAATATAACCCAGAAGCAAACCCATAGGAATTTGTATTTTTGACCAAAGAGTGTAAAAAAAACATTCAATCAATTGTCTAACCACAAAGTTATAGACATGTGTCATGCGCAATCTTACATTTTCATTTGATTCAATATTTTGGATACATCTGACATCATACATGGATTGAGAAGTTGGCATATATACATACTTGTTCCACAAAATTATTTATAGTATTTTTATTGGTTTATGTGATTCCGAGGAAAAGCCATAAACATTACTCGGTATTAAAAGTTAACAAAAAGCAAACTTCTATACAATGTGCTTTTAACCTAACCAAAAATTTCCCTTTTTTTGTTCTTTTCTAACTTTTTTTCTTCTATTAAGGTAAAATGGAATGATGATCGCTTTTTTTTTGTTTTTTTTAATATACTTCTCTTCGAATTATTGTGAATTGTGATCATACTAAAATACGAATATCCCGGCAGATAATCTCTGTCCGGCGGCGTAAGGAGAGCTCGAAACGTCGACGTTTCTTGAAACTTGCGTCTTACATTGCTCTTTTCGTTCGTCATTCATTATTTGCACTGATCTGCATTCAGCACTACAAAATCCCATCTCTCCTCTGCACACAATCCAATAAAAAAAATATCAGTTTCTAGAAAAAAACACGCACAAATATATTCGAATATTTGGGGATGTAAAATCTTCAATTTGCCTCCAATTTAACAAAGACCCAAGAAATAATGGAATGCGATGAAACTTACTTGTACATGTATACGTCTTTGCCTTGAAGTTTCTTCTTACACAAGCAACACGAACTCAGAAACTCAGTCGGATCCCTAAAACTCTGTCTTTTAATAACCGGTGGTTCATCGACAATCACCATCGGTTTATGCACTCTCCGATAATCATTATCACACAATTCAAACCCGTCGTCGTTGTAATACACTTTAGTCGGTCCGTTTGGGCTCGTGACATAAGTGTATTCCTCATCCGACAGATCTATCTCGGGACACCTGAATCTCCCAGAGTAACGAACCGGATCGTGCCGGTTAATCCCGTTGCTAGTTTCCTCCAACGCAGCAACGATACCCAAACCGACACCACCGGAACCGAACCGCTTCGAGTTAACCGGCGAGGGGAAGTTCAAATCCAAGGGACTTCTCGGACTGGCCGTGTACTCCTCCGGTTTAATAGCAGCAGATCTGCTTCTTGGAACCAACATCTCAGACAATTTACGGATCATTAGATGAGGTCTCTTGCTTAGAATCATAATCAAGAATTAAAAACTGTTCTTGATAATAAAAAGGAAAGAAGTAAACTGTTCTTGATTATGAAAGAAAAGAATTGAGAGGAAAATAAAGAAAGAGTATAGGAAGAAGGCAAAGGTTATAGGAGGAAAGAATCTGATAGAAGAAGAAGGAGATGGAGAAAGGTAGAGAGACTTAAGAGTTTAGCCCACTGATTTTATTTACAAGTTTGGAATTTTGTGTGCTATTATTAATGATTGAAGTTTATAGAACGGCCCACCATTTATTTTATCACCATTATTGTTTTTGTATTTATTTATCTTGTTTGGTTACTTTTATCGACATCATATATATAAATTTATACACAATTATTGATATGAGCAGGCTCAGATATTATTTTATTTTTTATGTAATTATTCTTTTTTTTTTTATTATTCATTGGAGTGTGGTAGGACCGCAGGGACCCATTGTTTATTATCAAGATTCAAATGTCTTTTTCTGATATTTGTTTTATATTATTGGGAATCCAAGACTTTCTCTAAGAAAAAAAAATCTATTCTGTGATGTACCTGATATAATATTTTTAAGTTTTATGTAAATTTAATTGTGTAATATACTAATATTTAATTCACTGTATTTTATATTAATAGACCAATTCATCTATACTTGAAATGTGGATTGTTTTCTACTATTTATTAGCACCTAGATTATTAATAGTTTAGCTAGTGGTTTTTTTTTTTTTGGGTCTCTAATGAAATAGTGGTTTTACTTTTTTGAAAGTGATTGTTTCTTTTTTTATTTAAGCCGAAAATCAGGTGGCAATTTGAAAATGATTGGAATCTTATCCACCCCAATTTTTTTTTCGATTAATGATATTTTTTCTGATATTTTTCTCGACTCAATATTATTTTCTTGGAAGACCGTTTCTCTTCCTTGATTTCCAATCCTATTTTCTTGACTTATTGATGTTGAACTTTGTATCTGTCATCAATAATATCGAAATGCTGGGAAGATATTTTATCATTTCATTTCATTTCATTTAAAGAAAACCCCTAGTATTTAATTAGGCTAAAAGGGAACATGTACTTAACGGGAATTAATTCATTTTAAAAACATGGGCTGAACAAAATGATTATTGATCAAGGCCCAACTATAAGATTTTGGGCCGAATAATATAAATCTTCCCAAAACTCATCGGATACGAAACTACGGGATTTCACATCGAATTAGAAAGGGACATAAACATTTATTACTAACAAAAAAAAATTGAAAAAATATAGGAATGAATGAATGATTGGTAGATGACAAAAAAAAAAAAAAGAATGAATGATTGGTATGATCCACAGAATATTCGGATCCGAAACGAAAGAAGTTCCCGGGTCATCGGAGCTCCGTGTTACAAAAATCTCCAGGTTACTCCATGACTCCAAGGAAAACTTCAATTCGCTAAAAAAAATTAAAAAATTGTTTGGGAATTCAAAAATCCCAAAGAAGCAAAGATTCATCTAATAGACTCTCTCCTCCGTAATCTTCGATGGGTAAAATCTCTGTAAATCGATCACCGGAGAAGCCAGAGAAGTCGTCGGAGAAGTAATCAAACCCGAAATCCATCGGAAGCAAATCGAAAAACGAAAGGTCATAATCCACCGTCGATGTAGCTAAAGATGCAGAGGTAGAAGGAGACTCTGGTCGGATCTCGGATCCGGGTACTAAACCCGATTCTTCTTCTTCTTCTCCCTTGACAACAACAACACTGTCTTGGGTAGCGTTGGCGAATCGCGCAGCCGCTTCCTGAATCTCCGGAGGTGTCAAAGACCTTCCTCCGGAGATCGACGGTGGATTATCTGGGAAATTGAAATTAGCTTCTCCGCCGCGGAGACAAAATTGAGCGGCGTCGAAAGCACGCGCCGCCTTCTCTGGAGTGTCGTAAGAGCCTAACCAGATACGTTCTCTGCTATGTGGAAGTCTGATCTCCGATACCCATTTTCCCCATTTCCTCTTCCTCACTCCTTTGTACTTTGACTGCATCGCCGTGTTTCTCTTCTTCTCCTCTTCCTTGATCGCTTGCTTCACCATTGCAAAAAAACACCCGGTTTGGTTCGGTTTGGTTGAATTGGATTCTGTTCCGGTTCTTAACTCGAGTTTCAGTTGTGTAGTTAATTCTGTTATAATCTGGTTGATTTCGCGGCTGTGTGGATTTATATATGAAGAGTGGAAGTGACAAGTGAGGAAGAAGATCAGCGCTGACTGGCGCGTGAAGATGGGACACGTGGCGGATTGTATGGAGTGGCTAACGCGGGAATAGTGAGACTGTTCTGCTTTGTCGTGTTCCTTGTTTTCCACGTGATTTAATTTCCTCTCTTTTGTCTTTTTGCGTTGTATCTAAATGATTATCTCTATTTGTTTAGGCACGTTTGTTTTAAAAAACTGAAATTTTCGTCGCGACTTCTGTTTCTAGAATTTAAAGACTACTTCTTCTTCTTCTTTTGTATTGTAGAGATTATTGGGCGTTGAATCGGACATACATTACACATATGGATTGTTATTATAATTGTTTGTATCATCGTTAGGCTCATGACATTCTGATGCGGACACTAATTAATTAAGAAGTCTATATATATGTTGGTTCAGAGACAAACTATGTTATTGAAATTGTGCAAGGAGTTCATGAAGAAGCAAGCGAGTCTGTTGATCCGAAAGCGAAAACTATATTGTCCTCGATTTTTGCTTAAGCTCTCTTTAGAGCATCACCTATATCTTTTGCCTAAGCATTCTGTTTTCCCGATTTGAAAAAAGTAAGATAGCCACTACTAGAGATCGCAACTAAGGCTCCATTAGGGGCGGCTACCCTTAAAGTGTGGGATTTTGTTATATCCGACTCGAAAGCTATATGTACATTTTTTCGTGTCATATACGAGTTGGGTAACAGATCGAGGACAAATAACAGAGGAAGACTTTTCTTCGAAAAACATCATGTAATTTCACTTCTTTTATTATAGATCTCGATTATTAATAACTAGGCAACCGTATGTACTCAATGGATTTGTATAAGGTTTTTGTTTTATCTGTTTTGATTACAATATGTAATCTTTAGTTCAAAGTAATATAACAAAGACTAATATACGGCAAATAATTGATGGAGTATGAATAACTTAAGTCTATGATTTAAAAAGTGGTAGTGTCGATAAGGAATGCTTTATATGAAACAAGATATAATGTTTTTGCTTTGAGGAGCAGCGACTCCTTCCCGGAGAGCAAATTGACATGCCGGTGACTACTCTTTTGATCTTGGTCTGTTTGATATTTTCCTCAAATAAAATTAAGAGTCCATTAAAACCTTTAATATGAGTTAGAGACTGATCCAAGAATGGACGGAATCAACAACTTGATAGTGTCTTACACTTTCTTCAAAGTGTCGGAGGAAAATACTACAGAGCCGGTCAACAATAATAGCCCTGTTCCAGTGGAGCTATTGTGTCTAGTTTGTTCAATTTGTTGTATACATGTCTTTTAGTTTCGAATTTAGTGAGAGCCGAATTTTGATCCAAACTTGAAAAGCTATAGTAAACAAGATATACTAATTAAAGAAAGCCAAAAACCATCATATTATATAGAAAAAGAAAAGAACATAAGCATAAAAATAAAAAAGAACACCAAAACGACAACGTGAAGGAGGATGTTTTATCAAATTAGCTAATCCAAAAACCAAAAAGAAACGAATGCTTCTTAGTGATGGGGCTGTGGTCTGAAGTTCTGTAACCACTTGATGAGGCGATCCAAAGGTGACAAGTTCATCTTCTCAGGAACAACTTCGGGTAGTGGTTGCACAACCACTCGAATTAAGCTTAAGCCCAGCCTCACAATTAACAGTCTTTGAGCTTATAAAATAGTGGATTCCTGGTTTTGTGAGCCTAGCTAATGAGTTCTTGTCCCTGATTGTGCACGGAAACAGGAGAAGTCGGGTCGCAAGCTTTGAACTCAAGAGTCAAGATCACCGCTGATTTCTAAGACGTCGTCGAGTTCGTAGTCGTAGTAGAAAAGAAGACTATCTCCCACATGAAATTGTTTTCACTCGCTCCACTTGTAGTAGAAGTCAGCAACTTCAGGAACCCTCCATTCATTGGAGTCACCAACATTGTAGATGTTTCCAAAAGGAAGGATCTTCCTCGGTGGTGGTGGAGGAATCAGACGTGATGGATCATGGACGACAAGAACGTCGAGTCTCTGTCCGTATTCGCATTGAACATGATTTGTGGTGATGAAATAGTGATAACCTGGTTCCTTAAGAGTCACGACATCATGCCCTGTGTTGTAGACGGCTTTTGGAGAAGAAGAATCGCAATATTGGTATTCCAAAGCGCTGGAGACTTGAGTGACAACGTTTACGTTGCGGTCGTATTCGAATATGAGAGAGTCGCCAACGTGGAATTCCTTATCCTCGAGCCAATTGTGATAGGTTTCGTCCTTCGTGTCTCCAACTTTGTAGGTTTTCGCTGAGGAACAACATCCCATTAGAACGGTGAAGCTCATCATCATGAGCACGAAGGAGAAGATTCTTGTTGTTGTGGTCGCCATAATCGATCGAAAGATCACAAAGATAAATAGATAATCGAAGAAGAAAGGTTGAGGATTATAAGTCGATTTGAGTAGTGATGAGGAAAAAAGAGACTATTCTAAGTCAGCGTTGGAAAATATATGTTTATTTCCTTTTCCAATTTTGAGTCACCTCTTATCCTGCAAAAAAATCAAAATAGTGACGTTTAAAGATCTCTAATCCTTTTCTAATTAACCTTGCGTATGGTTTTTACTTTTTTTTTTTTTTTTTTTTTTTTTCTAATTTCATAAAAAATTTATACATATTGTTTGTTGATAATGATAATTTGATTTCTATTTTACCTCTTATCTAATTACTAGATTAGAAACTGTTTATTACACGAGATAACCAATATATGTTTATCTTTTACAAATTTTGTAAAATTTGATATTTCAAAATATGTTTTTAAAACTCACTTATAAAAACATACAATGTTTCAGAATCAAAGATTTTAGTTTTAAACAAAACGTTTTACTCAAAATGACTATACTTAAAAAAAGGTTGATCTCGTGAGCGTCAGAGCCATACTTTGATCGACCCAAGGTTGGTGTCAGCAGAAAAAATAAAATAAAAAAGGTTGAAGTGAAAGCTTGAAGTGCGTGCACCACGAATCCACGATCCAGTGAGCAGCAGCAACTCCATCTCCGGAGCTCTAGATTCAGATAAGAACAATGGCGATTCCGATGCCTACTCGCCAGCTATTCATCGACGGCGAATGGAGAGAACCCATCTTGAAGAACCGAATCCCGATCGTGAATCCGGCTACTGAAGAGGTTATTGGTAAGCCCTTTCCTCACAATCTCAAGATTAGATCCACCATCTTCCAAGTCAAAATCTCTACTTTTTTTTTTTACTCCTAGTTCGATGTGGAGATATTGCTTGTTCTAACCATTCATGACCTGTATCGACTTCTTTCTTTCCATGAATTTTCGTTGACGTTGATCCAAGGATTTGTATGTGTTGGATGAGGTAGGTGATATTCCTGCAGCTACAACGGAGGACGTGGAGGTTGCAGTCAACGCTGCTCGAAGAGCATTTTCAAGGAATAAAGGGAAGGATTGGGCCAAAGCACCTGGAGCTGTTCGTGCTAAGTATTTACGTGCTATTGCTGCTAAGGTAAGTCATCTGATGTTTGTGATTGTGATGCTGTGTTGAGATATCTTCAAGCCTCAGTTTTGTTTGGACCTTTGTGTGATCAGTTTTATTCTTTTGTATCTGATATGTGTAGGTAAATGAAAGAAAGACGGATCTGGCAAAGCTCGAGGCGCTTGATTGTGGTAAACCATTGGATGAAGCAGTATGGGATATGGTACTGTTGCTTCCATTTTGTTTTTGTGAAATGTAGGTTTTTCTTTGTAGGTTTGATCTTAATGTGTTTGTTTGATCTTTTACAGGATGATGTTGCTGGATGTTTTGAATTTTATGCTGACCTTGCTGAAGGGTTAGATGCTAAGCAGAAAGCACCAGTCTCGCTTCCCATGGAGAGTTTTAAGAGTTATGTTCTGAAGCAACCTCTTGGAGTTGTGGGACTTATTACACCATGGTAACTACTAGTAGTTTCCTTTTTGGGGTTAACTTGTTCGAATCTATATGGCACCTATTCTGTTTTATCTGACCAGGAACTGAGTCATGGACCTGGTTTGATGTTATAGGAATTACCCCCTTTTGATGGCTGTTTGGAAGGTGGCTCCTTCACTTGCTGCAGGGTGCACTGCGATTCTCAAGCCATCAGAGCTGGCATCTGTGTACGTAGTTGTGTATAATCTGTTTTGCTGTTATGCTTCTGAAGTGGTCCTTCTTTGAGCTCTCACACTTGTCATGGTTTTAATTTCAGTACTTGTTTGGAGCTTGCTGATATTTGTCGAGAGGTTGGTCTTCCTCCTGGGGTCCTCAATGTTTTGACTGGTTTAGGTTCGGAAGCTGGTGCTTCTTTGGCATCACACCCTGGAGTGGACAAGGTAATGGTCTTTGAGACATACATTAAACACAAGTCCCAACGCAACTGACTAAACAGGCTACTGATTAGACCATCACTTCAGTGTAACGTTTGTGGTTCTTAGAAGCTAAAAGGAAAAGCTATGGTTTTTTGGCAGATTGCATTTACTGGAAGTTTTGCCACAGGAAGTAAGGTCATGACAGCTGCGGCTCAGTTGGTGAAGGTAATTCAAATTTCTGAAAATTGTATAAATTTCTTGTCTTCTTTTTGTTTCTTCAATGACACATCGCTCGTGGCATTGTGCAGCCTGTTTCTATGGAACTTGGTGGGAAGAGCCCTCTCATTGTGTTTGATGACGTTGATCTTGATAAAGGTGAATGTCACAAAAAGTAGTGTAGTGGATTTGGAATTTTCTTTAGATAACTTTTCTTGTGCTATATAAATATTCAAGTTAGTACTAAGGCATTTGTTGCTTTCAGATGAGTAGACATGACATAAATATGGTTAATCTTAAAATTGAACTATTTGTTTTTTTGATGCCGTTGAATGATAGCTGCTGAATGGGCTCTCTTCGGTTGCTTCTGGACAAATGGTCAGATCTGCAGTGCAACTTCCCGTCTTCTTGTTCATGTAAGTGCCAATCTTCAGCTTGCTTTAAGATTGAACCTGAACTTCCCAATACTACAGGCGGTAATATTTATCACTGGAGAAGTGAATGTTCCAAGTTATTTTGTAAGATGTTTCCATGAATGTCAATGACAATGAAATTTATCTGAGATCAAAACTTCCGGGTGGATATGCCAACAGGGATAAGTCACTGATGGATAGAATTGCTGACCTTAGTCAAATTATGTTGAATGTGTCTATGACATTTTATATTTTTATTTTCTATCTTAGGAAAGCATCGCATCTGAATTCATAGAAAAGCTTGTAAAGTGGAGTAAGAACATTAAAATTTCAGACCCCATGGAAGAAGGATGCAGGCTTGGTCCTGTCGTGAGCCAAGGACAGGTAAAAGCCCAGTGATCTTTTTTTTCTGATTTCCTATCCTTTACCATTTTATCAGGTTGCTAAACCTATATGCATTACCAGAACCAGGACAAAAAAGGAAAAGATAATTGTTGAGAGTCTTAAAATAAGTTGGAATCTTTCATAGATTGAGTTCTGTAGTACAGTGATTAACTTTTGTCCTTGTAAATCTGAATCGCTCAACCTGTAGAGAATCAGTCAAACGACATCTTGCATATGATGCTTCATCAAGCTTGTCATGTTTTTACTTAGTAGATGTGCTCCAAATTCTATAATCATATAATCTGAATGAGCTGACAAACGAAAAAATTACAGTACGAGAAGATAATGAAGTTTATCTCAGCAGCTAAGAGTGAAGGAGCAACGATCTTGCATGGTGGTTCTCGACCTGAGGTATTGTATCCCCCTCTCTTACCTATCCTTGATACAGTTTCTTCCAGGCTATGATGATGACCTTTATATCATATCTATATCTCACAGCATCTTGAAAAGGGCTTCTTCATTGAACCAACTATCATAACTGATGTAACCACTTCAATGCAAATCTGGAGAGAAGAAGTTTTTGGGCCTGTTCTTTGCGTGAAAACATTTGCCAGTGAGGACGAGGCAATTGAGCTAGCAAATGACTCCCAGTAAGAAAACGTTTTTCCAGAAAGTGAAATCTTATCAAAGCCCATCCATTGCCGGTGTTTTAATCAAATTTATCAATTAAGATCTTATGTGGCTGAAAACATTCATTGATAAATGACAGTTACGGACTAGGAGCTGCAGTGATATCTAATGACACAGAAAGATGTGACCGTGTAAGCGAGGTTAGTACCGGTTTCTTGAACCATTCAGATTTTTTAAATGCCTAGCAAGTGAAATAACAATACCATCTAATAACACAAATAATTGGTTCTACTTTGTTAGGCCTTTGAAGCTGGCATTGTCTGGATTAACTGCTCGCAGCCATGCTTTACCCAAGCCCCATGGGGTGGTGTCAAACGCAGTGGGTTTGGACGAGAACTTGGAGAATGGTACATCTCTTTTTCTGTCACGAATCTTTTAAAAGACTGAACCTTGATTGCTTGTACTGAACAAATCTTGGTTTTGGGTGGTTTCTTGTGTGCTTCAGGGGACTTGATAACTACTTGAATGTGAAGCAAGTGACTCTCTACACTTCAAACGATCCATGGGGATGGTACAAATCCCCCAACTAAGTAATGAAAATGGAAACCAAACCAAATGTTGTGTGTTCCATCTTTGTGCCTTTATTGACAGTATGTCTAGTTTGGTCCTGAAACTCTATTGTAAAACCCTTTTGAGTTTAGGAAAAGAAAATGAATAAAAGGTTATATTGTTGTTCTAAAAAGGCCAGTATTGAGGCACCATTTCAGGCTCTGGTGCAGCTGTATCAAGAACATGCACCATTTTATGTCACCTTCAAGTCACATCAAAGTTAAAACTCACATGGCAATCAAATTCCAAATCGGATAATTTTTTACTATAATTGCTTGAAATAAACATTTAACGAGATCTCAATACTTGTGGGATTTTTTTCCATTTTTAAATAGTAAAAAAATGTTTGGCAACCAAATCTGAAAAAGAGGTAAAGACGAGAGGTCTCGCGCTTATCCTTAAAGGAGTGTGGTGAATGGTGAGTGTGACTTGGAGGACCCATCACCGCAACGATACAGCTTCTTAGATCTCGATAACCACAACTTATACAGTTTCGATTAGATCTTCTCAAAATCTTCACCTTTTTTTTTCTTCCAAATTCTCCGGCGAGATCTTCCTTCAAAGCTCAAATCTTTTTGTCTGAATTGTGATACTGCTATTCCCCATTTTTCTGCAAGTTTGGAAATTTCTGTCGAAGTTTTGTGGGTCTGTTAAAAGATCTGAGCTTTGAAAATGGGGAGCTCAATGGAGGAGAAAGTGGTGGCTGTGATCATGGTCGGTGGTCCAACCAAAGGTAACCGTTTAAAATGTTTGCTTTTGTTCTTCTTTCTGATTCCTCCTCAACAGAAAATAACTGTGAAATCTCGATTGATCTGAATATGATTATATTTGAGTTCTGATTCTGTTTAAATATTGTTTATTGCACAGGTACTCGATTTCGGCCATTGTCTCTGAATATTCCAAAGCCTCTGTTTCCTATTGCGGGACAACCAATGGTGCATCATCCTATTTCAGCTTGTAAAAGAGTAACTTTCTTCACTCATGATTTCAACAATTCAGATCAATGGAGAGAATGAGATGATGATACTAATCTTCTTTGTCTGCAGATTCCTAATTTAGCACAAATATATCTTGTTGGCTTCTATGAGGAAAGGGAATTTGCACTTTATGTCTCAGCCATCTCTAATGAACTCAAAGTTCCTGTTAGGTTTGTGAATCTCTCCTCTTTTTGCATAAGCTTCAGCTCAACTACCTGTGGCTCATTCATGTAGCTCTCATCTTTGTGCTATGATTCCGCAAATTAGATATCTGCGAGAAGACAAACCACATGGTTCAGCTGGTGGGCTGTATCACTTTAGAAATCTTATTATGGAAGATAGCCCGGTTTGTCTCCAAGGATCTTACTATATTGAATCATGCTTCTACTTAATTGTTTCTTCTCACATTTGAGTTCTTGTATCTACTTTCTTGCAGTCTCATATCTTCCTGCTTAACTGTGATGTTTGCTGCAGTTTCCCCTTGCCCGAAATGCTCGGTATGTTCTTTTTTAGTCATCTTATGGTTTTGAAGGTCTTTCTTACTCTTGCTACTTTTAATCAACAGAGGCTCACAGGGGATATGGTGGAATTGGAACTCTTCTTGTGATCAAGGTTTGCGATTGCATATGATTAGTCTGGTTTTTGTTTTTTGGCGGGTTTATCAAATTTGCTTGGTTTTAGGTCTCTCCTGAATCAGCCAGCCAATTTGGAGAATTGGTAGCAGATCCAGTTACTAATGAGCTGCTTCATTACACCGAGAAACCCGAAACTTTTGTATGTACATATATCATTGAGCTGACTCTATCTTTATAGCATCTTCAAGCTTTGATTATATGTTTTATTTTGGAAACACAGGTCAGTGATCGTATTAACTGTGGTGTTTATGTATTTACACCTGAAATTTTTAATGCCATAGGAGATGTTTCTACTCAGAGGAAAGATAGAGGTAAAGCAGTACATAGATCTTACAACACAATTTGTGTTCTCTTGTCTTTGCTTCCATCTTTAAAGACTCTTCTCATATGTTTCCTCTGTTTTTTTGTTTGTTGTAGCAACTCTAAAACGTGTTTCCAGCTTCGAAGCTCTTCAACCGGCAACAAGGTTTGTCGATTGCCTCTTTGCCCATAAACTGAAAAATCTTTTGAATCATCTTCTTCTTTAAACTGAAAAATCTTTTGAATCATCTTCTTCTTTAAATGATTTGTTTACTTCTTTAAAATAGGATCCCGACAGATTTTGTAAGACTGGATCAAGACATCCTTTCACCTCTAGCTGGGAAGAAACAGCTATATACTTATGAGACTATGGATTTCTGGGAGCAAATCAAATCTCCTGGGTATGTATGCCTTGCCTCGTGTTTTCATTTCTTTTAAGCCGCAAGGATACAAAATGTTTAGCGTCAGCTGAAACAGGGAAAGTGTTTATGGCTCTGACTTATGGGTTGATTTTTGCGCAGAATGTCGTTGAGGTGTTCGGGACTCTATCTGTCCCAATTCCGCTTGACCGCTCCCCAACTGTTGGCTAGTGGTGATGGAACAAGGAGTGCCATTGTGATTGGTGATGTTTACATACATCCTTCTGCAAAAGTACACCCAACTGCAAAGGTACTTACATCTAGTTTTGTGCCTCGTTGAAGCAACTTCTTCTGATTCCACTTTCATCCAAAAGCATTAAGTTTCATCTATTAACAGATTGGTCCCAACGTCTCAATCTCTGCAAATGCTCGTGTTGGACCGGGCGTCAGGCTTATCAGCTGTATCATCCTTGACGACGTTGAGGTCATGGTATGTCTACTTAGTACTTATAAAAGACACTAAGTGAAAACCAGGTAAAATTTTCTCGAGGTGACCCTTCAGTGACTGTTTGCCCAGGAAAATGCAGTGGTGACTAACGCAATTGTTGGGTGGAAGTCTTCTATCGGGAGATGGTCCCGTGTCCAGGCATGTTTCTTCTGCTCATTTTTTTGGACCTTGAAATGTTTCTGTTTGATTCCTTTACAATCGTGAACCTGAAGTTGTACTTTGTTGATCACAGGCTGAGGGAGTTTACAATTCCAAACTCGGAGTTACAATTCTCGGTAAACTGTTCCTCCATTGTAGCTCCTTCTCTTTACAGACAGACAGCAAAATCTCCTTATAGACAGATAACTAACCTCAAACATAATGGTTTCAGGAGACTCGGTTGCAGTTGAAGACGAGGTTGTGGTGACCAGCTGTATTGTTCTTCCAAACAAGACACTGAACGTCAGCGTTCAAGACGAGATCATTTTGTAATTGAAAAATGGAACCAACCCAGTGGGGCCACACCATCTCCCACTGATTCAATATCTACTGGAGAATCACAGAAGCAAATATTTGGGAACTAATTCACATGTATCATTTATTTACACCAAGAATTTTCCAACTTTGTATCAATTCCATTTTCTATACTCACAATCACAGCTACTGTAAAAGGCACTGAAATTTTGCCCATAATAATAAAGCACTTGTGTAGTTTGGCATTGATAATAACCTGTTCTTGCTATATCCCATGAAGCTCTTTGAACAATGTATCAATGCCTTTTCCTGGTCCAGTCTCCATTAACTGCAATGCAATGTTTGGGGCAGGTATTGATTGATGTAAACATAGCAAGAGTCTATCCCCTATCACATGCAGATTAGGAACTTCATAGCCTGAACTTCCGGAGAAGCCTGCTACCAGATTTACTCTGTAATCGCAAGATCTCCTTTGCGAAAGCTTGATTCCCTGTCAAAAGAAGCCCATTCAGAACTCGATTAAAAGTGAATTTCCGGGGTATAAACCCTCTCTCAACCATCTCAAGCAATAGTTTACCAGCGACCACCATATCTTCTGATCTTTTTCTCACAAACATTCCACTAATCAGTATGTTGTAAGTATCTAGATTTGGCAAGCAATCGCCACTCCCCATCTTCTCAAACAAACCCAATGCTTTCTCAACCTCGCTGCATTCCGAATAATAGCGTATCATCATATTGTATGTCTGGAAGTTAGGTTCACAGCCTTCATTCTGCATCCTCTGCATCAACTCCTCTCCGCGACTGAACTGTCCAGCGTGAAACAACCCTCTGATCAACACATTATAAGTCGTCACATTCGGCTCATAACCTTTCCTCACCATTTCCTCAAACATGACAACCGCATTTTCTACGCTATCTTTCTTACACAAAACTTGAATGAAAGCATTGTATGTCGCAACAGAAGGAAGCACGCCTTCTCTAATCATCTCATCGAAAACATTCCTCGCCCGCTTTATCTCCCCCGCAACACCAAACCCGTGCACCACAGTAGTATAAGTAACAACATCGATTTCACAATTGCGTTTCTTCATCTCCAAGAAGAATTCCCAAGCCTGTCTAATCTGGCCAGCTCTGAAAAAACCTTTGAGCATTGTGTTATAAGTAGTCAAATTAGGGTTTATCCCTCTATCAACCATCTCTTTCAAAACCTCCAAAGCCTTAGGCGTCCGTTTGATCAAACACCAACCATTAACAATCACATTGTAAGTAACTGTATCAACACTAAATCTTCCCCTAAGAGCCCTAAACAACTCATAAGCTTTCTCAACGCGTTTAGATTTACACAACACATCGAGAATCGTATTGAAAGAAGCCAAATCCTGAAAACAACCATGTTCGTGCATATTCAGAAATAGCTTAACCGCTTTATCGGGTTTCCCGGAGGAAGCGTACCTCTCGGCGACGATAGCGAAGGTTTTGGGAGAAGGACCGATGCGGAGAGAGCGCATACGGTGAATGAGTGACCAGACGGTGGGGTGGAGGTGAAGACGGGCGGCAATGTCGATTGCGAGGTCGAAGGAGGAAGCGTCGTGGACATACTCGCGGTGGTGATTGTCGAGGAAGTGGAAGAATTGGAGAGCTTTAGGGCCGTGATTCCAGAGGCGCTTGAGAACAGAGTTCACGAGATTTGGGGTCCATGGGGTTGTTTTGGTGGAGAGTAGAAATTGATCGTCTAGGGTTTGGTGAGTTGTGGTGGGAGAAGAGAGGATGAGCTTAGCTATGGCGGCGGGATCTGCCGGCCCCGGCGGTGGTTTTAGATTGGCTCCGGCGGCCGATGTACATAGCGATTTGCTAAAAAGACGTTTCATCGATTGGTTCATTTTAATTTGTTTTGAAAAAGTCTTTTTAAGTGACTTCTTGGGTAATTGGTGAAGTTTTACCGCTAATTTTTTAACCGTTTTATCGAACGTTTTCTAGAGTGGCCTTCCTTCCAAATTGTAAAGACTTGGTTATGGGTCTAATTGAGGAGAATAATTGGGCATTCTTTGGAAATGGTCTCACAAGACGTTCTAAAGTTCATGAGGAGTTCACGTATTCTCCCTTTCTTACTAATCATGTCAAACAAACCAAGTAGCGGATTAGATTGCTAACCAAGTCCTTCCATTTACAACATATTGGTTGTGATTTGTAACCATATACCCCTGCGGTACAGGGTATAGCGTTTCCGCTGTAACCAATCGTAAACAAAATTCAAAAAATAATACAAAAAAATTTCAGTGTTTTTTTGGTACCGTTCTCCCCCACTCGTGAACCATTCCTTTGTAATAAACTTTGTATTACCAATTAAACTCATTGTGCCATTATCTCTTCTAAGGTACCCGAATGGATTTGTTTTTTATTTGGTAATGGTGCCTACCAAACACTATTTTGAAGTAATGAAAGTATTTGAGTTACAAAAATAAATATATTCTAAAGTTTTGAAGAAGAAAAATCATGTTTCACTCCAATTTTCAATCAATACACATCATGGAGATCATTTTATAAGTTCTATATAGATTTTGTGAATCTACAAAGTACAAATATATGTACTCTTTTTTCAACATAAATGAATTGAATTTTATTTTTTCTTTAAAACCAAGTGAAAGTAATTAATAGACATCACCTGTAATTTACTGAATACGAAAATAAAAAGAGAGGAGAGTAGTCATTGTCAGAAGGAAAGAAAGAGCAGACAAAAGGATCGTAAAATCAAGAAATTGGGTCCCTGAAAAGATTATGACCGTGAAGACGCAATATTACGTTATCTGACAAGACATAAACACATCACTCATCGCTTTAGATTCTCTTCCGGCCCTCTCAAGATCTTGACAACATCAAGATCCGATCCTCCAGATTCTCTCTGTACTTAATAAATCTCTTCCTTTCTCTTTCCTATTTATTTATGTAACTCACCGCTTCTCTCTATCTATCTCTCTTATTTATGTAACTCCTCGTCTTCCCTTCTCACATTGATTTCTGCGTCCTTTGACGTTCAACCTTATAACGCTTCTTCATCTGTTTTCTTGTTTCCGTTCCCAAGAGAAAACAATGGCACTCGGAGACTTATCTTCTTCTTCTTCTTCTTCTTCACCGGAGTTACATGTTCTCGCCGTTGATGATAGTTTCGTTGATCGTAAGGTTATTGAGAGATTGCTTAAGATCTCTGCTTGTAAAGGTGAAAGGCAAAACCGTTGCTGTCTATGTTTTCTGCTTTTCTTTTGTTTGGTTTCTGATTTTGTGGGTTGTTTATATAGTAACGACTGTTGAGAGTGGGACTAGGGCTCTTCAGTATCTTGGTTTAGATGGAGACAATGGATCTTCTGGTCTTAAGGTATTTATTCATTCATTCTTTCTTTCTTTAAAATCTAACTGTTTTCTAGCAAAAACAAACCCTAAAGATTGAAAGCCTTGAAGTGTTTTTTTTTTTTTTTTTTTTCTGGTGGTTTGGCTCCCAAGAAATCTAAGGTTGAAAAATGAAGATCAAAAGTTTTAACACTTTTGTATTTTTAGAAGAGGATGATTTATTATTTGTTTATTTTTTAAAATTGATGTCGTTTATACGAAAATTCTGTAAATTTTGATAACAGGATTTGAAGGTGAACTTGATAGTGACAGATTACTCAATGCCGGGATTAACAGGATATGAACTCCTCAAGAAGATCAAAGTAACTTCCTCTTTCTGTCATTATACTAGAGCAAGATTTTAATTAGCTTTTTTCTCGTGCTTTACTTACAGAAACTCTGTTATTTATATTTACCAGGAGTCTTCAGCATTCAGAGAAATACCAGTAGTGATAATGTCATCTGAGAACATACAACCTCGTATAGAACAGTAAGTCACTGTAATACAAAAACTGAATCTATGAAAATCCCAAACATTCATTCAGCATAATCTGATTTTATGTCTTTTTGTTGTTGTTGTAGATGTATGATAGAAGGAGCAGAGGATTTCCTGCTAAAACCGGTGAAATTAGCAGATGTGAAGCGGTTAAAAGAACTTATCATGAGAGGTAGTGAAGCTGATGAAGGAAAAACCAAAAAACTTAGTCCTAAGAGAATCCTACAAAACGACATTGATTCATCTGCTTCATCTTCATCAACATCTTCATCATCGTCGTCTCATGATGTTTCCTCTCTTGATGACGACACTCCATCTTCCAAGAGGATCAAATTAGAGTCTAGGGATTAATGATTGAGGTCAACCTTTTCTCAGTTTTCTCTTAATATCCTTCTGTAATTTACATTATTCTTGATTTGATATATGCAACTATGCAAGTGTAGACTCTAATGCTCATCTCATGGCTCTGTTTTTTTTTTTTTGGTTAAAACAAAAGGAGATCAATGTAAATATGATTTAAACAATTTTTAAAATTAAAATACTTTGCCTATATTGTTTCCTACTTCATTACCAGATCAGTTAGATTCTATAATGTAACATGTAATTAAAAAGTACACGTAAAAAGATTTGTATATGATCTTCCATATGACATACACGATTTCACTTGTATGTATATAATTCATAAACTTTCAAGCAGATATAATTTTGTTGAAATACATGATCTGTTATCTATATATATAATAATCCTAGTTGTATAGTAGAGGAAAGTTGTTTGTACTCACGTGGCACCTAATGATTGGCTCAGTGGTGCCTGTTTTAGACCGTTGAGACTTGGAGACCATTGCGGTCTTATCTCAAAACTCCAAGAACACAGAAAATTTCTTGGTTGTCTTTCCAATGGCTTTCTCAGCGACTCTGTCTCAGCTTTCTTCTCTCTCTACCATCTCCTCTTCATTACCACTTTCTTCTAGAAGATTCCCTCATCGATCTCTTCCTCAATTCATAGTCAAAGCAGAAGCAGAGAAAGAGAAACAGAGCACACAGGCCAAATCTGAAGGGGAAGCATCACCAGCTGCAACCAAAACCCCTAAAACACTTCCCAAGAAACCTGTTTACTCGAGTCTGTTTCCTCATTTCGGTTTCAAATGTTAAATCCAATTATAACAGGTTTTTGATAAGTTTTTTGAATTTTTGTTTGTGGTTGATGAGAAAACAGTGAAGAAGGGTCAAATAGTTTGTGTGGACAAAGAGAAGTATCTCAACAGCATCAATGTATAGTCGAAATCTTTCCCAGTTTTGAAGCTTCTACTTTGAAATCTGTTTTTGAAACTTTAGTCTTTGTTTGTTGTGATCACAGTACTTATCAGTTGGACATCCTCCTTTCTACAAAGGACTTGATTACATCTACGAAGATCGCGGCGAGGTATGACCCGAATTCAGTCTTTTTAAAATATATATCACAAGAGATTCCAAAGCTTATTGAACAAGTATCTAAATCTTGCAGGTCTTGGACCTTCGTGTCTTTGAGACAGGGGAGTATGCACTTGTAAGTTTACACACAAATTGTTTATTCTGTTGCATAAGAGAGACATATAAAGCTAATGGGTTGTGAATTTTGGAGATTTAAGGTTGGATGGGTTGGTATCCCCACCGCACCAGCTTGGCTACCAACAGATATGCTCATCAAGGTACTCATAATTTTTTCAGTACATCAACAGTAAATAACATTTGTCTTGATGTCGTCAAGTCATGATTGTTTTCTGTGTTCTTGGTTTCTCCCGCAGTCAGAGAAACTTGTTTATGAACGAATGTAGAGTCCATAGGCTTCCAAGAAGAATCCTTTGGAATGCAACCGATACCAAGGGCTGAGTGTTAAGCTGAGATGAATAATAAAAGTGGCACCATCATGATCATGTCCTCAAGTGTTATTAGAAAGAATCAATGTTACCATAGTCACAAATCTGTTCTGGAATGTAGAGAATATGATCTGACTGAAAACAATTATAAGAATGTGTGGCTTCGGTAGATGCAATTTCCTTAACCAATTCCCACTCTTTGTTTCTGTTTTTTCTTATGATCCATCATCTACTTTATCCAATGGTTCTCGCTTTCTTTGGTAACATCTTTGTAAAGGCTCATTAACTTCCATGGGAAAAAGAGTATTTGGAGAATCCAGTGTAGGCATTTCAATAATCATGATGGTGTGATTTTAGTGGGTTTCCTACGTTTTCTCCTTTTGAGTTCTCCTATTGTTGAACTGTGAATTATAATCTATGGTTTGGATTTGTTCTCCATACAAGGATTAATAATCCCATTATGTCTTTCTCCTTTTGTTTTAAAGCTTTATCAACTTTTTAATTTTTTTTTTTTTGGATTATTCTTAATTAATTTTTGTATTTCTACTTCCTTACCATATTAGGAAAAGGAAATCTAAACATTGTTGTAAGAACCGGAGTCAACAAATCAAGAGAGACAATTCTTTCAATCTTAAACATTGTATCTTTTTTCTAGAATTCCCAAATGACTGTTTCTGTTTCTCTAGATTCTCTACCTGAAGACCTTCTTGTAGAAATCTCTTCATGTGTTGCAGCTTCATCTCTATCCGAGATTAGCAATCTTCGATTAGTTTCGAAATCGTTTAAACGTATCAACAACGATGGATACATTCTGCGCCGGCTTTCCCTCAATGAAATCCCTCTTTTTCCATGGTTTCGCAACCGTGAAAATTTTCAAAATTTTTTCAAAAGATGTCGCAAGAATGGAAACCCCGAGGCAATATACCGTAAAGGACTTGTCGATTACTTTCATCGGAATAGTTCTGAACGCCAACGAGACAAAGGACTCAATCATATAGCAAAAGTTGCAAACAAGGGAAATCAAGAAGAAGCACAATATGTTTATGGATTGATCCTAATTTGTCTTGGTGGCGAAACAAAACAAAAGGGTTTCAAGATCTTGTCTTCTTTAAGAAAACCTTTGATGTCAAGTACACTCGAGGAGATGGAAAAACATCGGAAAAAGATCAGAGATGAGATGTGGTGGTGCGGCGAACCGATGATGAGACATCTCAAAAGAAGCTATGTTCGTGAGAACTGCAATTGCGATGGCCGAACCGAGATGTTCTTTGTAAAGAATAGTGGTTGGGATCGTTATGGTGAGCACAACGACATGATTACTTCTTCTGCTTGTGAGATTTGTTTGTGGCATCATGAAGTCAAACTTTTCTTTGCTAATATTGAGGAATGATCTTTTGATGTATCTAATAAAAGACTAATATTGGTTTATGTGTATTATATGATTCACAAACATGAATGAAAATTTATTGCCGAGATGACAACAATCTAAGCAAACCACAAAATTGATGAAACTGAGAAACTAAGGAAAAAAGTAGAAAAAAAGTTTCATGAAACTCTTTCTCTATCTTAAGCTCTGTCAAGTCCTCTAAACGACGGAGACAAGCGAATTTTGCCACCACCACGTTGCTGGAAACCTACTTCTCCACTACTATTACTCGTCGGAACATAATCCTTCCTGCAAACTGGACAACGTGCTTCGTTTTCACTGATCTTCTTATGGCAAAAGAGACAAATCCTAAACCCACAAGGACATGGTTGGAATTCTAGATCCGTTGCATCCATCAACTCAGAGCAAATAGGACATTCTTCACCATCATCACCTCGTTGCTTCTCAGAGTTAGACCTCTTCTTCTTTTTACTGTTTCTGTGAATCGTCGTGTTTGCAGGCGAAGCTTCTTTCTTGTCTTCATGAAAAAGCTTCTCATGGGTAGACTTCTCCCTCCTCTGGCTTGTATCTGGAATCGGATCTTCTTCTTGCTCTAAATCTTCAGTCTCAAGTCGAGGACTTTCGTTGTCAAAGGAGTTTAATGCATCTCTAAACCCATCCCAGTTATCATAAGCATCGTCAAAAACTTCTTCCTGATCTTCCTCAGTCATCTGCTTAGAACAACAGAAGCAATCGCCACTAACAGAATCTTTGCTCTTGAGAACACTCGTGGGGCTACTAGCAGATGATGATGTCCTTTCAAGATCAATCTCATCATCATCATCCTCATCATCATAATCAATCCTCCAAGCTTTTTGATCAGTAAGTTTCTCTAGCAAAGATTTCAGTCTACGCCCATTTTCCTCTTCACCAAGATTTGCTCTCTTCCCTATCATTCACAAACAATGAAACAAGTCATCATCAACATCCGAAAGATTCAACAAAACTTGAAATTTAAGATTCGACGATTCTTACATTGATAAATCCATTGTTTGCGACGAGCATCAATCTTCCACTGCTTCAGTTTACAAAACCAATTCGCCTGCAAAAGAAGATTCGTTCCATATATCAAAAATTGACGATTATCAACCCTAAAAATCATCCTCATCACAAGGAAAAACACGATCTTTGAATCAATTATACTCTACTGAGAAAATCACAGACAGAAACTGGGGATCGATTATACTTTTCTTTTGAATCACGCATAAAAACTCAAAGAAACGATCGCATCAAAAAGGAGCGAAATTCGAAGAACGCACCTTGCTTTTCTTGGCGAAATCTATTGAAATCGGAGAGCCATGAAAGAGCTCAGAGTCTGTGATCGAATCAGCAACCATGATGATAATCTTCGAGCAACAACACACACAGCGACACAGAGAGAGAGAGTAATGTCGCTAAAGAGAAGAAAAAACCCTAATACTTAAATCCGGATTAAGAAAGAGAGAGAGAGAGAGAGAGAAATGGAAATCGGAAACTGCTCTGCTACGCTCCTTCTATTTCTCAGTCTCGGAGAACCAAAAGCTTGTGTGTGTGTAGACACGATATATATATAAAGGATCTCCTTTGGGAAAGTATCCCTGGTTTGACTGTGTATTTACGAAGCTATACCCTTGGTGATTTTTGATTGGTAGAAACGACGTCGAATTACTGCAATGTTTAGTCTATGGCTTTTTTGCTCTATCGTTCAAACGTGGACTACAAGGTATATTACTGAGTTTTTCCATAACAAGATTACGAAAATAAGGATGCATTTTGAATAATTAAGCAAACTATATCTTTCTTAATGCATTTTGTATTGATAAAGCAAATAAACATATGAATTTTGAATAATAAAAGAAATATATACAATAGTTCCCATTGATGCCGTTGATTATATATTTTTTTGGTAAACACTGGCTTTAATTTCTATCAACTAAAATGATTTGATATTATTTTAGAATACCGTTTTAGTATTTAGAATAAACTAGGAAGGTCTACTGTGTTTAAAACACAACTCAACAATTTATTTTAGGTGATTTTAAGGTTTGTGATTCTTAATTTGATTTCAAATATTAAGGATTGTTCTTTTTAAAAAAAATATTAAGGATTGTTTAGAAAATATATCATGGTTTTCTTAAAACATCAAAAATATTATTTGTCATCAATCTAAGAATATTATGGATTATTTTGTAAATATATCATGTTTCCTTATACTATATTTATGATCATAAATTTTCTTATATTTTAACAAAAAAAATTGAAAAAATAAGTGCTCCTTAGTCTTCTTTAGTCTTTACATAGAAGGAAATCCCTCTATTTAAAGCCGGTAATAATTTTTTTTTTTTTTGGTAAGAAAAGCCGGTAACTATATTGAAACGGTCTTCAACTTTTAAAACAGAAGATTGAACAAAACTCGCATTTATAGATATCGTAATCTCTTGACTCAAATTAGTCCATGATCCATGGTCTCAACTCGCAAGTCCTAATTTCCATGAATAAGCTTTGACCAAGTCACACAATTAAATAAGACTTCTTCGTTAGATTATTTACAATTTTACATAGGTACGAAATACAATGATAGCTCTTAGTCTTACACCATCCAGGTGTACGTAAGAATTTTGAAGTTTCCACCTATCCTTGTCACATGAACTTTAATTTGACTCAAAATCAAATGTATCTTGAATATTTTTATATATTAGATGAATTCTTTACTACTATAATCATTTTGCTGGAGCATCCTACTGGTTGATTAGTTCTGCTGCAAATCTTTCCTCTCCGAGAATGGTACAAGCTGTGCCCAGTAAAATACAATAAAGAAACATACAACATTCAGAATCTTGGACATCATATATATATAAACCCATCACAATGGACAAGAGTTTACACCCAAAAGGACACTACTAGTGATATCAGTTTTTAGTCCAAAGGCAAGAAGGAAACATACAACCCAGATTCTCACAAGTTTTCCAGAAACTTAATATGATATAGCAAATTAGATGTATGTTGATATTTACTAACCTTCCAAGCCACCTGTGCTAAGCATAGACTACATCCCGAGATGATTCACTGGTAAAGCTAGGCTTCAGAGATTCCAAATAACCATCGTCTTTCTCACTAGTCTTCTGTTTCATGTTTCTGCTCTCCTCAAACGAGGAATCTCCTTCAAGATTGCTTAAAACCTCCTTCTTTCTCTTCCTCTTGAACGTGTACTTGATACACCGATTTTTACTAAGTGCTAAAACTGGAGTTTCTTCGCACAAAGGAGATGCCGAAACCTCCATATTCTCACAGCTCTCTTTTTCTTCCTTCCTCGCCTCTGTTTTGCTAATCTCCAGCTTTCTGTCATTTTCATGTTCCCTCGGAGGAGATGTTTTCAAGGATACAAGAGTGCCGACATCCTTCTGAGAAGAGTTTGGAGACACTTTCGGGGCTTCTCCATCTCTAACAGTAGATATGGAGTCAGTAGCATCAGCACAACCAGACATGTCTAAGGTCTCTACAATTTTACAAGACGAAACTTTGTGAAGACATACTCCATCATTCACATCTCCTACTTCTACAGAGGACGACAACACCCCATTGGCCATACTGCTATCTACTGCGTGGATCATCTGAGCTAAACCTTCAGCTTCCCTGCGTTTTGTCAGTATAGATGGAAGAGTGTGGTGACACTGATCCTTGTTATCTTTATAAGAACACCGGTTAATACTATTTATGCGAGTCAAAGATGGTACTTTTATCCCATTAGCCACCACAGATCCACTTTGTTCCACTGGGATGCAAGAACCTACAGCTTCTGTGCTCTCGTGACTGCAAGAAACCTCAGGCACTACAGAAACTGCAGCATCGCGGTTATTCCCACAGGGGTCTTCCCCATGGTCACTTTTAAGATGTGTCTGACCATTCGTAAGTTTCTTGAGCTCATTGTGGAGTACTCTCAACTCCATCCTCAGCTCTCCTACAATATCTTCAGCTTCTCCAAGCTGAGCTTCAAGTTCCTCAACCTTCTGTTGCTGCTTCAAGGATTGCATCTCCGTCTCTTTGACCTATATAACACAAAGCGGTTTATTAGAGTTGAGGAGGAAACGCAAATCCAGCCACAAAAGAAAGATATAGCCCTTTAGAGAAAGTTCATCCTTAAGCAAAGGTGATACAGTCTCTAAGATGAAATAGCTATATCCCCACATTGAGAAACATTTAACTTAAAAACTGCACGAAGTAATGAAGGCATATGGCATGAATATGTGTAAGCCACTAAGCCTCACTACCAGAAATTGTAAAACGGATCAAGAACTTGCTGACGCTAAGCTACTCTTGGTTACACATTGTTAGGTTTCATGAACAATGATCAATGGATGAAGAGAAAAGCTATATCAGCTTAAAGTGTCAGTGTAATAGTCTCAGGCTGAAAGTGTCAAAATCATTGGCTTGTATCGACGTTCATAGAGATGAATCAGCAATTTCCATGTAGTGAAAACACATAGCAAAAAAGATGGTGCCCAAGCATATCATTTGCTGCATGATGGAATAACTTAGTTAATTGAAATGTCAAACATTGAATAAACCAAACTCACACTCACTATGCATAAAACCATGTAAGCAAGGCTAAAAAACTTGATTTCAAAAGCCATCTTCATATGAAGCAAGAAACAAAAGAAATGCCTCAAGACCTCAAAAACATAATCAGGCACCAACCAAGAACTCATAAACAAATGAAGATAAGAAAACATCTAACAAAGTGATTGTACCTTGGAATCAAGCATCTGTTTAAGCCTAAGCAACGTCTGAAGTGCTTCATCTCTAACCGTCACAAGTTCTTGCTGATACCTACGCGCCTTCTTTTCAGAAACCATCACACGCGCCGCCGCTTCCTTCGTTGTGTTCAGTATCGTATCGGCGTAGGCTCTCTTCAACGCCGCTAAGGTCTGTGTTAACCCAAACAAAACGAACAAAAAATCATCGCAAACCCCGAAAAGACAAAACCCATATCTTGAAACCCAAAATTTAAAACAAAATTAGCAAAAGCGGCAACAAGATTCTGTCCGATAAGAGAAACAAGGTCTAGAAGAAACAGAACGAAACTATAAACGAAGAAAAAACCCGAAATCGAAAAAATGAACTCGTGAGAGACGGAGATTGAGGGGGTTATAAGGTAATAGTACCTCTGGGTCAGCCATTTAGCGCCGATAATGCGATTACAGAGAAGCGATTGTTGATTTTCCGACCAAGGTCGCGAACTCGCCAAGAAGAAAGAAAAAGCTAAAAAGGTTGGTTTTCTTTTCTTTTTTTTTTTGTTCTTTTTGTTTTCCTTGAAGCGTCTGTCTGTTAGGAACAGAAAGAAGTATAAAGACTTATTTACCCCTAGCAACTCGATGTTATTTCTAAAACGCCACACCACACGTCACGTCAGCCTCCGCATTTCAGACTGCAAACGGCGGTACGGTTTCCCGTTTTTTCCGTCACTCTTTTCGTAATCTCTCTTTTGCTTTTTACATTTTTCGGTGCTAAATGTACATTTTAAAAATATATGGACTTTTAATTTTTACCTCATTTTAGACCACTAGACTTATCGTAGCTTTTAGCCTTTTATCCCCCAAAAAAAAAAAATTTATTGTAGCTAATTCTAATTAGGGATTATTAAATTTTATTATTCAATATAACAACTTTTTTTATAGTAGTCCATAGTTAATTCATTACGGAATTTTAATGTTCAAAAATTTGGTAGACCGCTAAAAAAAGCTAGTTCATGGTCATGGGATTAAACCAAAATTAAGAAATAATTTTGATCACCTATAAGATGCATGGACGCTTAAACCACCCACATTTAGAACATTGTTGAGTTTACAACATATATTATCAATGTAATTGTTAGTACTAGTGTACTTAAAAATTATCAGGCGTACATTAATACTCCTTTTCTTGCAATTCTAGGCGCCAAAATTGTTCGACCGAATAATATCGAGTTAACCAATAAAAACCGGGTAAATGACCGGTTGGTTCCTCGAGACTGTTATCCACAATAAGAATCCACGTGTCTTCTTCAAGCCCCTTCTTCTTCTTCCATTTTTCCGCCATTTCACCGAGAGAGATAGAGAGCTTTTGGGTGAGAAAATCTCTTCTTCGAAACTGTTCTACTGCTAATCTTAATTCGTGCGTCTTCTGTCTAAAGCTTGGTGGTGACTAGTGGATAAGGCGTTAATTTTAAAACTCCGAGTCAATTCAAATTGAATTGCGATTTTCCCGAGAAAATCTCGTTTCGCTTGCTGTGTGGCTGAGGAATTTCCCGGAGGATTTTTGAATCCTTATGTGAACTCTAGTTACCCAAAATGAACCTAGCAATTCCAAATCCCAACTCACACCAGCTCTCCTTCCTCATCCAGAATTCCAGCTTCATCGGAAACCGGAGATTCGCCGACGGCAACCGTCTCCGTTTCCTTTCAGGTGGAAACCGTAAACCAAGCTCCGTCGCAGGTAAAATCAAAGCAAAGACGAAAGATCTCGTTCTGGGAAACCCCTCCGTCTCCGTGGAGAAAGGAAAGTACAGCTACGACGTCGAATCGCTAATTAACAAGCTGAGCAGTCTTCCACCACGCGGGAGCATCGCCAGGTGCTTAGACATATTCAAGAACAAGCTTTCGCTGAACGATTTCGCACTCGTGTTCAAAGAGTTCGCTGGTCGCGGCGACTGGCAAAGGTCGCTTCGTCTCTTTAAGTATATGCAACGGCAGATATGGTGCAAACCAAACGAGCACATCTACACTATTATGATCTCTTTGCTTGGTAGGGAAGGTCTTCTAGACAAATGTCTTGAGGTATTCGACGAAATGCCTAGCCAAGGTGTGTCACGTAGTGTTTTCTCTTACACGGCTTTGATCAATGCTTATGGTCGAAATGGACGGTATGAGACCTCTCTTGAGCTTCTTGATAGGATGAAGAACGAAAAGATATCACCTAGTATTTTGACTTACAACACTGTGATTAATGCTTGTGCTAGAGGTGGTTTGGATTGGGAGGGTTTATTGGGTTTGTTTGCAGAAATGAGACATGAGGGGATACAACCTGACATCGTGACATATAATACACTGCTTAGTGCTTGTGCTATTAGAGGTTTAGGTGATGAGGCTGAAATGGTTTTTAGGACTATGAATGATGGTGGGATAGTTCCGGATCTAACCACATATAGTCATCTAGTTGAGACATTTGGGAAGTTAGGCCGGCTGGGAAAAGTGTCTGATCTCCTGAGTGAGATGGCTTCCGGGGGCAGTTTACCGGATATCACTTCTTATAATGTGTTGTTAGAGGCATATGCTAAATCCGGGTCTATTAAGGAGGCAATGGGGGTCTTCCATCAGATGCAGGCTGCAGGGTGCACGCCGAACGCAAATACATATAGTGTTTTGCTGAATTTGTTTGGACAGAGTGGGAGGTATGATGATGTTCGGCAGCTTTTTCTTGAGATGAAATCAAGCAATACAGATCCTGATGCTGCTACATACAACATTTTGATAGAGGTTTTTGGGGAAGGTGGGTATTTCAAGGAGGTGGTAACTTTGTTCCATGACATGGTGGATGAGAATATTGAACCTGACATGGAGACATATGAGGGTATAATATTTGCTTGTGGGAAGGGAGGACTCCACGAAGATGCTAGGAAGATTTTACAATATATGACAGCTAACGATATCGTGCCAAGTTCCAAGGCGTACACTGGGGTCATTGAAGCGTTTGGGCAGGCTGCTTTATATGAAGAAGCACTTGTTGCTTTTAACACCATGCATGAAGTAGGAAGCAATCCAAGTATTGAAACATACCACTCACTGTTATATTCTTTTGCAAGGGGAGGACTGGTCAAGGAGTCTGAGGCGATTTTGTCTAGGTTGGTGGATTCTGGTATTCCCAGGAATAGAGATACGTTCAATGCACAAATAGAAGCCTACAAGCAAGGAGGCAAATTTGAAGAGGCTGTGAAGACATATGTAGATATGGAGAAGTCAAGATGCGATCCTGATGAAAGGACGCTTGAGGCTGTTTTAAGTGTGTATTCTTTTGCGCGACTTGTCGATGAGTGCAGGGAGCAGTTTGAGGAGATGAAAGCTTCTGATATACTGCCCAGTATCATGTGCTACTGTATGATGCTAGCTGTGTATGGAAAGGCGGAGAGGTTAGTGCCTTTGCTAGTGATACACGTTTTCTTATGTTTCTTTTGCGTGTTTTTATATAGCTCATACCTTACTATGCCTTATGCCTTAGCCAAAATGATGATTTATTCCATCATCATAGCATTTTGCTCTTTCAGCTGCCTTGTGTTTCTACATGGTCAGGCATGGAAGAGATATGCTAGCATAATGTCGCACCCATGTTAATTTTCTTGCAGCTAATTTGAGTGTTCTGGATAAGTAGTATTTTAAGCCAATGTTTAATACATTATTTCTTTAGTTTTATAGCAACTCTTCAAATTTTTTGGGTTTGCAGGTGGGACAATGTCAATGAGTTACTGGAGGAGATGCTTTCAAATAGAGTGTCAAATATTCATCAAGTTATTGGGCAAATGATCAAGGGAGATTATGATGATGACTCAAATTGGCAGATAGTGGAATATGTGTTGGACAAACTCAATTCAGAAGGATGTGGTTTGGGAATAAGGTTTTACAATGCACTTCTGGATGCTTTGTGGTGGCTGGGCCAGAAAGAGCGAGCTGCAAGGGTACTCAATGAGGCAACAAAACGTGGACTTTTCCCTGAGTTATTCCGGAAAAACAAACTTGTGTGGTCTGTTGATGTACATAGGTAGCTTAAGTTCCCTACGCTGGCTTCGTTTCAGGTGTATGAAGTGGTTGAGTACCAGTCAATCTAATTCTTGGTTTTCAATGTTCTGCAGGATGTCAGAGGGTGGCATGTACACGGCACTATCAGTTTGGCTAAATGATATAAATGATATGCTTTTAACGGGAGAGGATCTTCCTCAACTAGCTGTTGTTGTTTCAGTGTAAGTACTTTGATACTGGGTACCTCATTGCAAGATGCCTCCAAGCTTTTTGTTTTTATCTTGTCTTTTGCCTTTTTTAACTCTTTGTTTCTAACCTCTCAGACGGGGACAATTGGAGAAAAGCTCTGCTGCAAGAGAATCTCCTATCACGAAAGCTGCTTTCTCCTTCTTGCAGGATCATGTCTCGTCATCATTTTCCTTCACGGGATGGAATGGAGGTCGCATTATGTGCCAGAGATCTCAGCTCAAGCAGTTACTGTCAACAAAAGAACCAACTTCAGAAGAGTCCCAAAATAAAAACCTAGTCGCTTTAGCAAACTCGCCAATATTTGCTGCTGGAACAAGAGCTTCAACAAGCAATGACACGAACCACAGCGGTAACCCTACACAACGAAGAAACAGGGTGAAAAAAGAACTAGCAGGGAGCACAGCTTAATCGGTACGCCTAATTTCTGTTACCAAGTCCAGCAATCAAAGGCCTCTTCTGTCTTCCTCCATATAGACTGGTTGGTGAAAAACTGTGCGCTTATGGTTGTATCACTTAATCACTAGCACTGTCCATGATAACTATGTTATGGTGTCAAGCGGTAGTGTCAATCTCTGTTTGACAGAAGAAGCTGGAGAAGAAGATAAATGGTGATCTTAGTTTATATGCAGAAGCGTCATACGAAAATGTCAAGTAAGTAGCCAATTAAGTATTTTGATGGTATTGTTAGATCCATGATTTTGCAGCCATAGGTTTTTTTTGTTTTTGTTTTCATTCAACTGTCTTTCTGATTACTATGAAGATAAATGCTAGTGTAAGATCAAAGCTCCAGTTACATATAAAGGATCTATTATTCAAGATTCTTCAGAGAAGCTCTAGTTTTTGCTTGTGACCTCATCTGGTGAACTCTCTCTATTTCGAAATCTAACTTATTACATAGCAAATGACCCAGTTATATGAATTTTGACTTAGAACGCAACAACTCCACCCAGCATATCTTTTTCTCTCTCTCTCCCTCAGATATGTGTTTGTTTTCTGATTAAGGAAAGTCACAACAAGTTTCTCATCCAAAATGGTAAAAAAATAAGAAAAACAAAGGTGAAAGAAAGGATCTTTCTATAGTGCTTCACACATTACACTTTAAGATTCCACTTTTTGTGTGCGCATAAAAGTAATGGTCGCTTTGCTTTCTAACCGATGCTAGTGCGTTTGTGTGATTTTGCTGTCTTCCAAAACTATTTACCAAATTTTGTTTATACTTTTTAGGATTTTGTTTTCTTACAAATCCAAAATAGATAAATAATATTAGTATATGTGATCATTTTCCTTATAGTCAAATCACACCCTAACATTCTTTAGTAAAACTATCACCTTTTTGATTAATGCTATTGTTGTGATCAAGTCTGGACTCTGGACATACGATCATGCTGTTTATACTCGAATTTGGTCCTAACAGCGTCTTCAAATTTAATCTCACCTATAAAACGATAAATTGGACTACACTAACATATTTTTTGTTGATAAATTACTAATTTATATAAATTTGGATTCCTGATATTGTAAGTTTTTGTGTTGAAGTTCAAAGTTGTAATTTCCAAAAAGGATTCACCTGTCTGGCTGTCTCCATGATTTTTTTGTTATTGTTATAATGTACTCATAGATCGACAAGATATAGTTCTTTTTTATTTTAAAAAAGTACAAGGATAGAGCTGTAACTATATAATTATAAGAGCAGAGTACAGAATCATTTCAGAAGCTGACTATTTTTCTAAGATCAAGTTTCATGCGCTTAGGGTTAGGGACATTGCGTTGACCAGATTCGTTTAATACTACATTATTTTTTTATGTAGTAAAAATACATGAGGGTAACGTTAAAAAAGATAAAAATATTTCCTCTTTATACTAGTACAATTTTTGTCGAGATTAGCGAAATACTTTTAGGATAACATTTATTTAACTCTACTTTGTCATCCTATAAGATCAATTAACTAAAGCTAACAAAAAAAAAATATAGAGAGACCTAATAAATCTAGTCAGCCAAAGAAATAAAAAAGTCTATCCAAATGGAAAACTGTGTACAGAGACAGGAAGGTAAGAAAAAGAGACAAGAACAGACGAATAAAAACAAGACACGTGTCATATGATACCATCGCTAACAGACAACAACTACAACATGTAATAGTTTAAGAAAGAACTCACGTGGCTTTTGGCTTATAAAAAGTCCCCAAAGAAGCTCAGATCTAACTCACACCACTCCATTGCCCATTGCTCTGTAGTCTGTACTTTTGCTTTCATTAGAAGAAAGCGCAAAGGGCAAAATCGGAAATATTATTATGGCCGACGGTAGTACTAGTTCGTCGGAGTCCACCAACGCCTGCTCCGGAGGCGGCACGAGAAGAGAGATTATGCTGTTCGGCGTCAGGGTTGTGCTTGATCCGATGAGAAAGTGCGTGAGTTTGAACAATTTGTCTGAGTATGAGCAGACGGCGGAGACTCCAAAGATCGACGGTGAGGATAGAGATGGACAAGATATGAACAAGACCCCCGCTGGTTACGCCTCGGCGGATGAAGCTCTTCCGATTTCTTCTTCTAACTTAAACCGCGAGAGGAAACGAGGTACTCTTCGATTGAAACTGTTTTGATCTTTCAATAAATTTGGTCACTTTAATCTTTCCAAGTTTAGTTAGGGATTTGTTAGGGTTTTTGAAGATATGGTTTATGAACTTTACTTTATGTTGATCTTGGATTTAGAAAGATGGCTAAGTCATTGGTTTTTTCATTTTTTTTCAGGAGTTCCATGGACTGAAGAAGAACACAAGCTGTTCTTGCTTGGGCTTCAGAGAGTAGGTAAAGGAGATTGGAAAGGAATATCCAGAAACTTTGTCAAGACCAGGACTTCTACACAAGTTGCTAGTCATGCTCAGAAATACTTCCTCAGGCGAAGCAATCTTAACCGTCGCCGCCGAAGATCTAGCCTTTTTGACATGACTACTGATACGGTAAATCTCTAATCCTCTGTGACTCTAGTAATTTTAGTGGTTAGGTTTAGTTTTTAGCTTATTTGTTCAGAAGAAGTAATTGCAGTCTGGAAATAGAGAACCTTTGGTGATTGTTGGATAACAAAACATTGAGTATAACAAACTGATCTTGCTTGGTTTGGTTATCAGGTCATGCCCATGGAAGAAGATCACGTGCTTATGCAGGAGAACACATCACAATCATCTTCTCCTGTACCTGAAATCAACAACTTCTCTATACATCCGGTTATGCAAGTCTTTCCCGAGTTCCCGGTACCAACAGGGAATCAATCATACGGACAGCTTACTTCCTCGAATCTCATCAATTTGGTTCCATTAACTTTTCAATCAAGTCCTGCACCACTCTCTCTCAACCTGTCACTAGCTTCATCTAATCTTAATGAACCATCTCCTTCAATGCATCCAGCATTCAACACGATTGGAGTCGCTTAGAGCATATCCGAAAGGTGAAAATCTGCAACACACCCTGTTTGTTTCTTTGTTGTACAGATAGGTCTTGACTTTGTTATATAAATTCGTCAAACTCATGTATTTGGCTAAAAAGAAAGAATAATAAACAGAGTTTGGAGATAGGACTTATGTGGGTTTTTAGGGTTCATGATCATCTTGTTTTTTCCTTCCATGTTTGGAAGTTGTTGTAATACTCTCTAAGTTCATTCGTGTGGATCTATCAAAACTTATATATCATATTAACGTTATGTTTTATTCATGATCTCGATCATAAACAGAGTCGTACTTGCTTCTCATGTGGCTAGCTCAATCATGTTTGATGATTTATGGGTTTTATAATATATCTGATATCCAAGGATAAGATATTGTATGTTTGTAGAATAATGTCATTATCTTTAATGATGCCAATAATGTCAAATTTTATTGGTCACTTCCATTATAGTGGAGCTTTTTCTTTTCCCATCAATATCCAGATGCTTTTAATATTTTTTAGTGTGGGATGATTAGGTATATTACGTGTTGCGTAAGCAATAATCTTCCAATCACATAACATGATCCCCATTCATTTAATCAACCAATCAAACAGCATCATTTTTATATATGATGATGATGTATATGTATATGTCATGTGTGTGTTGGCATGTCCTCTGTTTCTGTCGTGTATGGTTGTATTCAGTTTTAGCGTCAACGACAAAGTTCTCCTCACGTCTAAGCGGGAAAATAATTACACGAATCCCATTTGTTTTTGTTTTTGTATCTCTCTGTCTCTGACATTCTCTCTAATTTTATCAATTGCAAATTTGCGATTATCCTTTGTTTTTGGGTACATTTATCTCCTAAAATTCCAGCCCAAACTAATCTGTTTTAGACTTTCCAAACCCAGAAATAGAAACACAAATCACAAAAGAGAGAGAGATAGATCATGATCTCTGTTCTTTGTTGATCTTTGACCAAAAATCGATTTCATATGTTTATACAATTGCTCTGTTTTTTCTTGTTCTTGTTTCTGCTTTTACAAGCCACAATGTCTAAACGTTCTTTCAAGAAATTTGTGGAACAAGAACTCGGATCTCGTCCTCATTTCCTCATCTACACTGTTCTTGAATGGAGCCTCATCGTTATCCTCTTCATCGACGGCTTTATCGCCTTTCTGTCAAACCAATTCGCCAAATTCTTCGACCTCAACATGCCTTGTCTTCTCTGCACCAGAATCGACCACATTCTCGTCCCTAGAGACCCTCGATTCTATTACAATGAGTCAATCTGCGACTCTCACAAGAAGAAAGTATCTTCTCTTGCTTATTGCCATGTCCATAAGAAGCTCTCTGAGATCAAACATATGTGTGAAGGATGTCTTCTCTCTTTCGCCACCGAGAAAGAATCTGACTGTGATACTTATAAGTCTCTCATTGGCATCTTACACAAAGATCTCGAGCTTCTCATTGACGATGAACGAGAACTTCCCTTGGCATTCAAGAAAGACGACAATTTTGTCCAGACAACAAAAAATCTGGTGGATTACAAGACCAACATTAAAAATGATAGCTTGAAGCAACATTGTTCGTGTTGCGGAGAATTATTGAAGATAAAATCTGAGAAGTTGCCGAAGAACAACAATTCTTTCCTTGCTCCTGCTCCTTCTCCTAGGGTTTCGCACAACAAACTGTCTGAAAGAGAATCTGAGTTTAAGGATCTGGATGTGGACAGAACACCGAATTTTGTAAGAGGAGGTAACAAGTTTTTTGGGATCCCTCTGTCTGATTCGGTACAAAACAGTCCACGATGGTCCGTTCGGTCTCTTAAGAAGTCCCTTTTGGATAAGACAGAGAATGCTTCGGACACGGCAGATTCAAACGGTGAATCCATCCTTAATCAGCTCAAGAAAGAGGTTCGCTTGGACAAGAAGTCACTTATTGATTTGTATATGGAGTTAGATGAAGAGAGAAGTGCTTCAGCTGTTGCAGCCAACGAAGCGATGGCTATGATCACGAGGCTTCAAGCCGAGAAAGCTGCTGTTCAAATGGAGGCTTTGCAGTACCAAAGAATGATGGATGAACAAGCAGAGTATGACCAAGAAGCTTTGCAGTCGATGAGTAGCGAATTGGCAAAGAGGGAGGAGGAAATGAAGGAGCTTGAAGCTGAGTTTGAGGCTTATAGAGAGAAATATGGATGTTTGACAGATGAAGAAGATGCAAGAGAAGAGTTTCATGAACAAAACGGCAATGCTAGTCAAAATGATGATTGCCAAGAAACCAAGCCCGTCTCGGATTTGACCGTCTGTTATTCAAATCAGGAGGAGAATGGCGAAAACATCGATCAAAATGGTTCAACTCAATCAAAAGATACAGGTTATGTAGCACAAAGGTCAGAGGAGTCTACCGCGGAAAAGGATGTCTCTGCAGATGAAGAAAAGGGTATGAATTTTACTCGGGGTTTGATCATTCTGTGTTGTTGAATCTGATCCTAAAAACCTTTTTTAATCTTGTGTTGTTGTGATGAAATTGGGCAGGGACTGAAAGCAAAGAAGGAATAGTAAGAGAGCTTTCAGATATCACAGAGAGACTAAGTGCTCTTCAATCAAATGGTGATCTGTTAAAACATATTGCTGATGTTTTGGATGTTAGTGAAGGAGAAGCAATTCTATTGCAGATCTCTCAGAATTTGCACATGCTTCGTAGTTTTGTTGCCATGCCTTCAGAATCCATGAACTTGTAATACATCTTTTTTTCGTTTTCTTAGAGAACAAGCAAGCTTCCACGCCTTGTCTCAACTTGAAAACATTTCTTTTATTCTTTCACACTAAAAAAGTTTCAGTTTGCTCCATGAACCTAACCTGTAAGTTTCAGTTTTGCATTTCATACCCAAAAAGAAAAGTTTTAGTTTTGCATTTGTATTTAGATGTGATTTTTTTTCTAAAATGTTTTCACAATTCTATAGGCATAACATTTTGAGTTTGTATTTAGATGTGATTTTTAATTATATTCTAGATTTTCACATTTCAAATAGGTATAACATTTTCATTTTTCATAAAAATTTTGTTCGAGTGTATATTAATCTTAACACTTATAACACAGAACACAAACAAATTATTTCGTTTAGGATTAAAGGTTTAGCACTTTTTTTTTTACAAATTTTAAATGCTAATGCAAAATACAAACATAAAGAAATTATATCATTTTCGTTTGTAATTCGAAATTTTAAACTAAAATACTATATATTTATTTATAGAGAAATACAATAAAATATTTCAACTTATAAATGGAGACATTCACATTTTTAATAATCAAGGAGTGAGAGCTAATTATACCTAACTTGTTTCAGCCATATATCATAGCTCTAGCCACTTGACTAGGTCTCCGTGAGCTAGGGTTTATTTTGAACCTAGTTTATTTTGGCATAGCCATATATGCTTTGCTTGAAAGCCATTAAAGAATTGCATAAATTTAAACCCAACACTCATAAAGATTTAATCTTTTCTTGTGTTTTCCTTAATCCCATCTTATTCTAGTCTAATGAAGCTATAAGGTCGATCCAAAAAAGCCTAATCTCCAATGCTATATAATCTACCAATTAACATTGTCATTTATCATCATCAACCATCATCATCTCACTCACTAGCAATGGCTCATATTTCACAAATCTCTTCTTTTCTCTCAAGAGTTGTAATCTTCCTTGCATTATGCATCACTCTCTTCACGAACCCTACTCTCGCACTCCCAGCCCTAAAACTTAACCCTTTACAAGATTTTTGTGTAGCTGATCTCCAAGCTACACCAACCAACAGTGGCTTCCCCTGCAAGTCACAAGTCACCTCTGAAGACTTCTTTTATTCCGGCTTGAACACTCCTTTAAACACTTCGAACCCAAAAGGTATTGCCGCTAATCCAGCCAATCTCTTGACCTTTCCGGGCCTAAACACTTTGGGAATATCCATGTACAATGTTGCAATTGCACCTGGAGGATACAACCAACCTCACTCTCACCCTGGTGCGACCGAGGCAGGGGTCGTGATCGAAGGTTGGGTCTTGGTTGGGTTCTTGACGACAAACAACACGTTGTACTCGAAGGTTATTGGACCCGGTGATATGTTTGTGATTCCTCCGGGACTCATTCATTACGAGGGGAACGTTGGGAAAACGCAATGCCGTCTTTTGACGGTTGTTGCTGACGACTTGCCTAGCGAGGTTGGTGTGCCTCACACTCTGTTTGCTACGAAACCCGCGATTCCAGACGCAGTATTGATGGCGGCGTTCAAGGCGGATAGTAAAACAATCGACATGCTCAGGTCAAAGTTTACTACTTAACAAATGTTCTATAGTTCCTCTAAAAATGTAACTTTTTTTAATGAGTTTACTTAAATGAATAACAGACATCAATGTTTTTTTTATGGAAGCATCATAATTTTATTTTTATTTTTATCATAATAATTCGTTTTAGTTCACTAACATATAGCCTCCCAACCAGTTGGAAAAATTTTTAAAACCAAAAAAAAATAAGTTAATATAACGAAAAATACAAGATAACTGATATTTTGACAAACAGGTTTATTTAGGAAAAAATAAAAGCCACATATCAGCTATGTTTTGCACATGACCACCATCATGATCTATACTTGCAAAATTGGTCTAGACCGTTATTGTTAATAGAGATCACTCTCTCGAAGTACTCATGTCCACATCCCCTACTTCTACTATCTCCTTGGGGTATATCTGCAGGTTAACATAAGTCTATGAAATTCTTTTCACAAAGTTAAAATTTAACTCAACGATCTATATAGAGATTCTTTACCAAACAAAAAAAAGAATTAAACCTGGTGGCCTTTGTCTTCGTTATGACCGAGCGTACGGACTTTAAGCTCGCCTCTGCTCGTTGTTAACTCGTCTAGAATCTCCGCATCACACTCTTGGACGCCTCTTGCCGAGTTAGTCGACTTTAAAACATGGTTAAATAGACAAATCTCAATATCTGAATCTACTCTAGAATGACAAGAATAAAAAGAATGTACATATTATATTGACACTGACTCACCCTGAAAGACAGTTCAAGCGGGTTTCTAGGAGTTCCAGGGATCTCCTCGTACTCCGCGGCATCGAGTTCCCGGAGATGGGCTTGTTTAAACAGCTTAGGAAGAAGGTACTGCCTGATGGCTATTAGGAGGAAGAAAAGAACTGGAAACATGATTCCGGCCACTGGAATCCACGTCACTCCGTAGCAAAGCCCAAAGTAGAGTATCTGAAACAATGTGAATGCAGCCATTGACTTATATGGAACTTTTTCTACGAACGATGCATGCGCTCCCTCCAAGACCCTAACAACAACAAATCACTCTTTGAAGGAAATCTTTAAAAAAAAAAAACAGAGCATTTTCAGAGCACATACTTGAATCTCCGGCTTGGTGGGACGAAGAGAAGTACAGTGCGTTCGAAGAATTGGTTGTCTGGGAGGCTGTCGATAGCCATGTAAGCGAAATATCCCCATAGAAGTGAGGTAGGTATGAGCTTAATGGCCGGTATAGCAAACACTGCACCTATCACTAGCAGTGATTGCAACAGGTTGCTTACTCTCTGCTCGTTGACTCGAACAGGCAAGTAAGCGTCAACATGCTTCTCTGGATCGAAACCACTCTCGTCTCCGGTATCTCCATCGTTTTCGCTCTTCTTCATCACTGCCTCTTTCAGATCTTGCAGCTCATTTATCAGTGTTGTGTGTGTCTCAGCCTGTAGATTAAAATCCTGAAAACCGGATTATTGAACTATGAGTCTATTACTACAGTACTACTTACAAGTGGGCTTTTGTCCATTTCTATGAAGACTTGTTGCATATCCTCGTACACTTGGGAAGACGTTGCTCTCTGTCTGATGCTTTCTTTGGCTGTCATTACCATCTTCTTCCTCATTAACTGAATAAAAATTAACCACCAAGTTTCATAAGACCAGCTTAATCTGAATATTTGAGTGCTGATCAACTAAGTATTGATTAGACCTGTCGTTTGAAAACAGCAAGGCTTTTGGTATGCATAGGAGACTGCGGGAGGACTCCGTTGGAAGGCGGCAGACCGAGCAATCCACAGATCAACACCTGAAAATCCACACAGTTTTGAAGGTTTTAACCTGAGATTCAAAGTTAGCTTGCAGAGAAAGAAACATAGTTTGATTGATTACCATGAAACCTAACAAGAGAATGTCGTAGTGATAAGCAGAAGGGTTCTTGAGGTTGAACTCCTTCTGCTGCGCGAGCTGCGAGACAACGCTGTGGTCAAAGAAGTAGAGACCTGCGATCATCAATGCGGGTATAAACGCCACAAATATGTATCCCGGAGAGACTTTCCCCATGTCCTGTACAGAACAAAAACAGATCTTTAAGAGGTTTGGATGATGAACCAAAATCTTATAATGTAGTTGTGTTGTAACCTTGATGACAGTCCAATGTTTTAAAGAAACAGAGTCCCATGGAAGAGGACTAACGAGTCTTCTCGGGACACCAGAGGGTAGTTTTGATGGCGTACCGAAAGACAATGCTGTCCAAACCACTACCATCAACGGAACTCCGTAGTCTGCGAGGAAGCTTCGGCACCACCCTTGACATATAATCATAATTTTAAGGCCTTGTAGCTGTTTTTACAGAGAAATGATCACTAAAGCATGAGAAGATAAATCTCTCTTACCTGTTCCGTATCGCCAAGACCTTGCTTTTCTGCTCTTCAAAGCGGTGTAGACAAGACCGTAGGTGAAAATAAGGCCGAGAAGTCCGTTTGTGTAGAGCCATTCAAACTGATACTTTTCAAGTTTTGAGTCTTCACCTTTTGGAATCCTGAATTCACTCAACATTCCCTACCAATTTCATTTTGAAACATATATAATAACTTTTGACCTATCATTAAGTGAGATGTTTGTTGAGCCTTTTGGTATTGATACCTTTATGGTTTGTTGGAGAAACAGAACAGCGATCAACATACCAAACAGCTCACCAGCGATCCTCGTGAACCGGTTGATGATATAAGCCATGTTGAATATCGCCATTAGGAACAGTAACAAAGCCGTCCATACACAAACCCTTCAATTTAACAGCCAGCAAGACCATAATAACTTTACAGGAAAACATTTAAAAGAACAAAAAGATTTAGAGTTTTGGAGTGATTACCAAGCAACCCAAGCTAAGTAGAGTTGTTTGCCCAATTCTGGTTTTCCTTTAGCGAAGTCGTACAAGTATTTGTACATTAAGACAGTTGGTTCTGCAACTCCAAGTATCAACAATGGTTGTCCTCCCGATATCGAGTGTATCACTCCACATAACGCTGTTGATGCTAACGTCTCCACTGTACTCAAAGATCCCTCTATAATGATCCCAAATATGAATTCAGAGAACTTAGAACTAAAACCAGACCAAAACGTGTGCAGCTTGAAAGACCGTAATAAACCATGAAAACTAGACCTGTGTCGTGGCTGAGTTGCTCGCCAAAGGCGATAACAGGAAGTGCAGAGGCAAAGAAAACATATGTCGTCGGTGCTAAAATCCTGCAAGACCACCCAAAAACATATAATCACAATTTTGTTTCTCTTTTTCTTTCTTAATAAGAATCTAATTCTGAGTACCCGAAACCAGAACGGAGACCAGCGATCCAGTCTTGCTTGTAACACAAGGCTCTTCCTCTGACATCTCCTATGATACCTCGAAATGGCCTCTTTGAGCCTTCCACTCTTTCTCCCTCCATATTCCAAATCACTCGGAGATTCCAAAACTCGTTCCTCTGTTCAGATGTTAGCCTTTGCTCCAAGTTTATAATGCCCTAACCACACAAAGAAGCTATATATATTATGCACACAACATATATAAATGACTTCATAATCTTGCAATTTTTTTGATGATGGAGTCTTTTCTCCATCAACTATGTAGACAAGAATTTCAAAGTATTTACGTTTTTGGGTATTTATTAGTAGCTGACAATAGGAAAACGCTATGTGCTTATCTCAATTAGAGACATCAAAATGCACAAAACAAGCAAAAAGTAATGATATATTTCTTTTTATGACAAAGAGAAATCTGAAACTGCATATGTACCAAAAAAAATTAAGAATCTAATTCTTCCATTAAACTCCACGGATTAAAATTCGTCGTAATAAAAAATTTCTAATTCTTTGACATCGCATGAAAACAAAATCAGACAAAGAAATAATTAACTTGCAATCTATATAACTATATACCCGAAAAGAAAAAACATTAACATGAAGAGATGTTGGAGTGGTACAGAGAAACAAAACAAGTGTGACGGAAGAGAGAGCGAGAATCACCGGCGCCGACGATCATATGTGGCAACGGTCAGCTGATATATAGGCGACGCAATGGACACACTTTTACACGTCTTCTGGTGGTCCTATTGCCACGTGTCAGTATTCGAATGGTGGATTTTTACATCCGGCAATTTTCGAGTTAATTTTCCTTCTAAAATGGTCGTACTATTTGCCCCAAAAAAAAAAAAATGGTCGTGCTACCGACAGCCAAAAACTTGTCTTTCACCAACAAAATTATGTTTTGGAAGGCTCAATATCATCATCTCACAAACAAAATTAAAAACTAACATTTATTTTGTATGAAACTACATCTTATATTTCTGTTCGGAATTTTATAAACCGTTGAATTTGATCGTCGTGAGAAAATAACTACTGAACGTAACTCGAGAATTAAACAAGTGTATAATTCAAGTATTATAAAACTGGACAATATAATGATTTGCTTTACTTTTGATTTTTTTTTTTTTATGATCACGATTTTACATTTGATTGTTTGAATTAGGTGTCATTGTTTATGTCACTACCAAGATTCAGTTTCTCATATTGACAACAGTTTTATTTTTCTTATATAATAATATCTTCTTTTCAAGTATACGCGTGTGTTAATTTTTTTTTGTTTTTTGTGAAACAATATCAACGTTCCCTCGAATGCGTTGAACATAAGTCATGATTTAATTTTTATGGTTTTGAACCCACATGTGATATCCGAGTAAAGTATATATCATTCTATAAAATGTAACTAAACTATATATCATCGAGTGATGAATTATAATAACGTAAATGAAATACTTAAGTGAGATAATTACATACACATGGGTGGTAGATCATCTCCTTTTGAAAAACAAAAAGGAATTATAAGAATTGAATAATAAAATCATTAAGTGAGATAATTACATGCACATGGGTGGTAGATCACATAATAAACACCGTACGATGGATGAGTATTGAAAAACAATGAAAATCCAGCTTTGGAATTAGAACTCGATATTCAAAATCCAACTAATGTTAAATCTCAAGTGATTAAGGCATTAATTTAAAGTTAAGATCGTTGTCAGTAGTATTGAATATGTAGCCTTTTATTAATGCTTAAAAATATGTTAGGTTTTCTTGTTTCTTAATTATGATTTATGAACGACAACAATCGTTGTATCCGCGAGTTCTTCTCTGCGTTTAGCAACATATTGGTCAAGGGGATCTTAATTGTGCGCAGTGCACGTAACAACCATCGTTGTTTTCTTCCCTTTAATCATTTTCTTCTGCTCTCACTTTTCTCCTTCCGTACGTTTTTTCTAAATAAAATTAACGTCAAGGGGATTTGAACGTTTGACTTGTGATATCATGAGGAATGGGGAGACTGGTGACTTAGAAAGTTGTTACGTTGCTAATTAACTCCCCTAGGATTTGTGGGAGAATCCAAATCACGATTGATTTTTGCTCAAAGGAGCTTGATAAGATGGATAGCAAAGATACAAATAAAATAGCTCTTAAGAGCTTTATTTAGTGCAAGGGGAAATAAAGAAAGAGAACTTAATTAAAGAACGCTAAGCTTAATTAGTAAATCTTAGACTCATGTCTTGAAATGATGAAGAAGGAGAGTTGCACAAAGTGGCAACTTCCCAAATTAGCTACATTGATGCTATAAGTTATAACAACATATTTATGCTAGAAATTTCTAATTACATGGTTTGTGGATTGAATCATTATTGGGCTTCTTGTGAATTCTCTAAATGCTTCAAAAGGAATTAGGATTTAACAACTGTAAGCAAACAAACCTCAGCAAAGCCGTACGATCTAGCATTTTAAGGTATCTTCAGTGCAGATTGTGTATACACTGGCTGGCTGTAAGAACAAGAAATTTATAATGTAGTAACTCCAAAAGTATTAATCAAGCTAAGGAAAATAATCAATAATGGCATGTCTTGTCTACTTCTTCAAGCCCATTGAAGAAGGCACGGATGGGCCCATACGAAAAGATTTTTAACAAGTCTAGCCTTCAATTTTCCTAATGGCTAATTAATTAATTAATTTGATAGTATTCATTTTGGGTTAGTATATTATATACAGTAGTGAGACATGGGCTTATGTCACATACACTCACATGTGTCACTCATACACCTATTTTCGATTATTTTAGTCTTGTTTGTGTCCATTGGACCTCGAGAGAATCTTAATTTATTATCTGTATCCTGAAGATTTCAGAATTTATATTCTGCAGGACTATTATTACTCAAAAAAAAAAAAAAAAAAAAAAAAAGCAAAAGTGAGAGATATTGATTTGAAAGAAAAATAATTTTGAAAAAGAAATAAATATAAGAAAATATTTGTACTAACATACGCCCAAAAAATTCCACTAAAGCGTATCCCAAGATTCAAGATCTCTTCTTCAGCTCTCGTCATCATCATCCTCTGCTTATTTTCATTTGCTCCTGTGAACATATTTGCAAACTCTCTACCATTTTGTTTATCCTTCTTAATGCAAAGGTAGGTTTTTTATTCGTTTCATTGCTTGGATCCTAAGAAAAACAACAGAAATGAAAAAACCCAAATTGTCGAAAGTTGAAAAACTCGACAAGCTTGATCTGTTCTCTTCACTATGGAAGCAGAGATCGGTTCGTGTAATAATGGCAATTGGGTTTGTCTATCTGATAATTGTCTCAGTAGAGATACCTCTCGTATTCAAATCCTGGTCCAGCAGCTCCGTCCCTCTTGATTCTCTTTCCCGACTCGAGAAGCTCAATAGCGAGCAAGAGCCCCAAGTCGCGATAATCCCTGATCCTCCATTGAAGCCAGTTTCGAACCCGGTTTCTGACCCGACCATTGTTAACCGGACGGACCAGAACAAGGTCCGTGAACATCATCGGGGTCTTCTCTCAAGTTTGAGATTTGATTCGGAAACCTTCGACCCGAGTAGTAAAGACGGGTCAGTGGAGCTTCACAAGTCGGCTAAGGAAGCTTGGCAGCTAGGTCGCAAGCTATGGAAGGAGCTTGAATCAGGAAGGCTTGAGAAACTAGTGGAGAAGCCAGAAAAGAACAAATCAGATTCATGTCCACATTCTGTTTCGTTAACCGGGTCGGAATTTATGAACCGGGAGAACAAATTGATGGAGCTGCCGTGTGGTTTGACATTGGGTTCGCACATAACTCTGGTGGGGAGGCCGAGGAAAGCTCATCCCAAGGAAGGAGATTGGTCTAAGTTAGTGTCTCAGTTTGTGATAGAGCTTCAAGGTTTGAAGACTGTTGAAGGAGAAGACCCTCCTAGGATTCTGCATTTCAATCCGAGGCTTAAGGGAGATTGGAGCAAAAAACCGGTGATTGAGCAGAACAGTTGCTATAGGATGCAGTGGGGACCTGCACAACGTTGCGAAGGATGGAAGTCTAGAGCCGAGGAAGAAACTGGTGAGGTCTATTCCTTTGTTATTTGGTATCTGAACTTTGTAGGAGAGTTTTAGATAGTTTATAACTGGTTTGTAAGCTAGCAAATTAACGTTCTTGTCATCTGTTGAGTAATACTTTAGTGTGGCTGCAGTTGATAGTCATGTGAAGTGTGAGAAGTGGATTCGTGATGATGATAACTACTCAGAAGGGTCGAGGGCAAGATGGTGGTTGAATCGACTCATAGGAAGGAGAAAAAGGGTCAAAGTAGAATGGCCATTTCCTTTTGTGGAAGAGAAGCTGTTTGTTCTAACTCTTAGCGCCGGACTAGAGGGCTACCATATCAATGTTGATGGAAAGCATGTGACATCTTTCCCTTATCGCACTGTGAGTATATATCCTACTCTGTTTCTACATGATTGTGTCCAGATAAATGGTTTTTATTCATGTGATCCATAATAGTGAAGATCGTAGAACGAGTCGGTTAGTAATTCGTTGTTGTATATAATATAGGGTTTCACGCTCGAGGATGCAACAGGGCTAACCGTAAACGGAGACATTGATGTCCATTCTGTTTTTGTTGCCTCTCTACCAACATCACATCCTAGCTTTGCTCCTCAAAGGCATCTCGAGTTGTCAAAGAGATGGCAGGCCCCTGTAGTTCCCGATGGGCCTGTGGAGATCTTTATAGGCATTCTTTCCGCAGGCAATCATTTCTCTGAGCGAATGGCTGTGAGGAAATCCTGGATGCAGCATGTTCTTATTACATCTGCAAAAGTTGTTGCTCGTTTCTTTGTAGCGCTGGTAAGCTGGATTTTTATATGTTTATCAAGTCTTAAGTCATGAATGCTTGTTTACAAAAAAAGAAAGTCATGACTCATGAGGGCTTAATAGTACAGAGATAAAATTTGATTTGAGCATCATCAAAATGCAACTGTTACCTGAACAGAGTTTGTTTTGTTTGTTTTTTCCGTGATGTGCATTTCACAGCATGGGAGGAAGGAGGTGAATGTGGAATTGAAGAAAGAAGCGGAGTATTTTGGGGACATTGTACTTGTTCCGTATATGGATAGCTATGATCTTGTCGTGCTGAAAACTGTTGCCATATGTGAACACGGAGTGAGTATCATATTTTTTTATATAGGTCATGCTTCCACAGAATCGTTCCTGATTTAGTGTTTCTGCCGAGTTGATTGTTGAAATTTTTTTACTTTGATTGCTGCAGGCTCTTGCATTCTCTGCAAAGTACATAATGAAGTGTGACGATGATACATTTGTAAAACTTGGCGCGGTGATCAATGAAGTGAAAAAAGTACCCGAAGGTAGAAGCCTGTACATTGGTAACATGAATTATTACCACAAACCTCTCCGTGGGGGTAAATGGGCAGTCACATATGAGGTACATTTTTCCTGCATCACACTCCATCTTTATATGCAGCCTATTGGATGTAATAGTGCAGCGGTTTTAGGTGTCAGTTCTATGAATACTTTAAGATTGTCACTCATTATACATGTATATCTTGTGGATTATATCAGGAATGGCCAGAGGAGGACTATCCGCCCTACGCAAATGGACCCGGATATGTTCTATCTTCTGACATTGCGCGCTTCATCGTGGACAAGTTTGAGAGACATAAATTACGGGTAAGCAAAAGAGAGATTCAAACCAGTTGTATCATCTTCTTTTACACTTCTCATTCTCTGTTGTTGAAAAAGTCTGTTGTTCACATATACCAGCTGTTCAAGATGGAGGACGTTAGTGTGGGAATGTGGGTTGAGCATTTCAAGAACACAACAAACCCAGTGGATTACAGACACAGTCTGAGATTCTGCCAATTTGGTTGTGTTGAGAACTACTACACAGCTCATTACCAGTCGCCAAGACAGATGATATGCTTATGGGATAAACTCTTAAGACAGAACAAGCCTGAGTGTTGTAACATGAGATGATACTTGAGGAAACAGTTGCGTTTTCTGAGATATAATATGCCTTCAAGCTTGCTGTAGAATGCCAGGGCAAATTAAGAAATCAATTTTGCAAGCTCACCACACACAGCGAGAAAGAGCGAGCCTGGACTTGTTCGACTGGTCTGCAGCTTCAAGCCTTCTGATCTGTTGAAGTAAGGGAGAGAACAAGTAGGGAAGAAAACATAGAGAATAGTTTATTTTTTATATGTATAAACCCATTTCTTAATCTAAATGGAATTTTGTTCTTTCTTTGCCTTTCGACTTCACAACACGATATATGACTGACTGAACAATACATGTTCTTTTTGGTTAATACAAAGTGTTAGACAAAAAGATAATTCTACACTAACTCGGAGATAACATTCAACAGTAAAACATAATCTAGATACCTCTCAGCCACAAAGACGTCAATCAAGTGCTTGGATAAGTTAGCCCCAAAGATGATTCTGCCTGATAGAAAGCCAAGGAGCGCCTCTTCGTCTGAATTACGTGTGAATATGAGCATATTGCTCTGTTTTATAAATTGCTATAAGTTGCATACTATGTACTACGGATTTGTGTACATATAAGACCTTGAATATAGTTATGAACATATTTGTGAAAGAATATCTTTGTTCTCATTCATCATCATACATGTATTCCCTCAAAACATCCCCAACATACAATTCCATAATAATTCTTCAACACAAACAAGAAGAAACAACTTTTGAAAAACTAGTTTAATAAACCTAGCAGAATCAAAGACAGAGACACAAATAAAACCACCAAGCTTCCATGGAAACCATTTATATGCTTATAACAAGAAGACGACGAAGAAGAAGGAGAACTCGAGGGACCGGGTTTTCTTCTAGCTGCCGTGGAGTTTTCTTTGGAGCAAGTCAAGTTGCAACGGCTCGGCCTAACCACTCTATAGACACCATTGCTTGTAAGCAAGTAGATGTCTTTGTTGTTATCCTCACCAAAGGAGAAGACATATCCTAGAGATAACCCTGAAGTTCCCGGAGAATCGCTGCATTTCATGGGTGAGTCACCAGCGCAGCTGAAGGTTGTTCTGTTGGTCACAAAGTTCCCGCTATTAGCAGGACTTTCAATCCCCGCCCACACGCCATTTCCATATAGATCAGCATACACGTACCTGCAAAAGAAAAACATTATTTTTGCAAGATGTTTTGTTACCATATAAATGTGAGAGGAACAAGAGAGAAGGAAGCAGAGAAAGAGTGCGTGTTAGCTCACATTCCAGCTATGCAAGGATCAGTCTCTGATCTATAGAAGTATCCTCCTGTGATCGAAGCTGATTTTCCGCTTGAGTCAACTTCAGAGTGGTTGTAACCCATCACAGGAAATATCGGGTTTAGTGATTTAACAGATGTGTTTCCTCCAGGGGATGACTCAGGATGGAAAAGATCCGGGCCTTCGTAAACACGCCAACCGTAATTTCCTCCTTTAGTAATGAGATCCACCTCTTCATATGTGTCCTATTAACCAAAAAAACATATCAAGAACAGTGGAAGAATGCAAACAAAATAAACAGACATGCTCATTGTCGAAACAAGCTAGTACCTGTCCAACATCAGCACACATAAAGTAAGAAGGCCTAGAAGAATCAAAACTGCATCTCCAAGGGTTTCTCAATCCAACAGCCCATATTTCAGGTTCCAGCTCTTTGTCTTCACGAAAAGGGTTGTCTTTTGGTATAGAGTAGTTTCCCCATAGACCCATTTTGGAGATCTCAGAAGCACCTGAAGACATTTGTGGATCTTGGTAAATAACAAAGAACATTCCTATAATGCTGTGTTTTTTTCATCACATGTTTCAGATTCAGTTACTACAAACAAAAGTCAAAGTATACCCACTAGGAATGTTATCTACATCAAGCCTCATGATCTTTCCTAGCAAAGATTTCTTGTTCTGTGAGAAATTGTACGGGTCTGCGCCTCCACCTCCATCTCCCATCATAAAGTAGAGGTACCCATCTGGACCAAAGAGAATCTGTCCAGCATGGTGTGATGTGAAGGGAAGTCCCATTGTGAAAATCCTCCTGACTTCTGTTGGCTTAGCGTTCTTCGCCTGATCGATGAGAAAAAAAAACTTAATGCTCTATGATAAACGCAAAAGTTTAAGATGCTGAAGAGAGTTCAAGAAGAGTATATACCTTAGAAGGGTCTGACGAGGTACCATTGGCTGTATACTCAGCTATTACGGTTTGGAATTGGCATGGTTGAGATCCACTGTCAGGAGTTAGTTTGGAAGGATCACAGTTCACATCGGAGTTACATGAGCACCTTCCAGTACAGCCCGGCCACTTGGACTTATCACAGTTAAAAGAAGCGAAAAAACCGCCCATTTTGAGCAAACTTTGGATGAAAAGCCATTCCCATCATCCCAAACTCAGTATCAAAATGAATCTCATCAGTCAAATCCACAAATGGGCTAGATGGATCCACATCCAATACCCCGCCAGAATCTTGATCTGGTATACCAGCCAAGAATACTACTCCAGGTTGCGTAGAGAAGAATGCACGGTTGGAGCCATCAGGGTGAGGAACCATGTTGAGGTAAGAACCGTTCCCGATTTTCTCAAGACATAAACCAGAAGGTGCCTTGTCAGGAGTAGTGTCTTTGTCATTAAGAGCAACTGGCTCACCGCTGAAGCAAACAGTTTCATTGGAGCTAGCTCCACCAAAGGCACTGCAGAAATCGGTTTTGGACTGCCATAGATCAGCAAGCTTGGAGGCATTGTTATTCGCTGGTGCTCCAGCCCTTCCTTGCAATGAGGCAGCGAAAAGAGAACCCGATATGGAAACGTTTTGACATGTCTCCCATGTCTCAGAGCAAAAATCCTTTGTGGAATTTGCTGAACTGGTAGAGTTGCAGAGGATTGGAACAGACTGCTGATCTGAGTTATCTCTGAATAAGTCCGATGAAAAAGGATCGCATTTCTGTAACAAAACAAAAACAAAAAACTTAGAACACAATTCCTCTTTTGCAGATTCATTTTCAAACAAAAACATTACAATGGTTCAAAACAATCAGGTAAAAATGGTTACAGCTCGAATCAAATTATGTTTAAGTATTTCTTAATGAAACACTTGCAGAATCTTTAAAGATAAAAGACAGATTGTACTACTTACAGCACAAAGGATTGATTTTACAACAGAAGAACAACCCTTGTCGGAAATGTTCATAGCTTGAAATTGCTTCATCAAATTGGAATCTTCCATTGTATTGCAGCATGTTTTTCCTTTGTAAGGACAAAAGCTCAATGTTGAATTCACCTCCGAGGGAGCTCCTGAAAAACCATCAAAAAAACAAAATGTTGACCATTGTATCAATCTACAATAGCAGAACTACTAATACCAAATCAATAGCAGAACAAAAAAAGAAAAAAACACTCACTTGAATCGGAACAGAGAGGAAGAGCCCATGAAGAAAGAGCAAAACATGAGAGGAACAAGAAGAAGAACACAAGAGATCGATGAAGCGTCATCGAGTCTCACAAGAGACAAATCTTGAGGATAATGACAGTGGAAGATAGAATCAAGAGAGAAGAAGAAAAGAAGTCTCTTTTTTATACATCTGATCTCAGAACAAGACAAGACAAGACAAGAGATAGGACTGAAAATCAAATAATAAAATTAGTTTGTTTGACTCTGCAGACAGAATAAATGCAATTGCGATGGCGTTTACTGTCTTCCCATGACAACCAACAACCATATCCCCAGAAATCACTCTTCTCATATAATAATTAATGAATATTATCATGTTCATTTGAATTTTTCAACTTTCTCGTGTCACAGAGACAGACGATGAACAAAGGTTCTGTCTTTTCCTTTGCTTTGCTAGCTTTTGATTGTTTTTTCAACTCTTTTCTCATCCACGGGATTATTTGTCTTCGGTTGTGAAAGTCAAAGTAGTTGACTTTATACATTTGGGTTTTGGATTTCTAGGAACTTATTGGGGTTCGAAAAGTAGGTTTGAAGTTGGTATAAGAAAGAGAAAAAGGACTTGTCTTCTTCAAGTTCACTTCCATTTAAGACTGCAAAACTACTTTATAACTTAGTTTTGATAATAAAGTAAGTTTGTGGAAATGATCAAAAGTATAATTGCAAACGCATTGAATAAGAGTGTTGGTGAATGGTGATTGGTTTTGTGGATTAGTTTGAATAATGAATGAATGAGACCTGATGGCCTGCAAATTATTACTACTATATTTAAATGCATCGTAATCAACAATATGAATTTAAAAAATTTCAACATTATTGGGAAGTATGAGATGTCTATACACTTCACAAAGAAAAACTCACATTTTTGGAAGAAACTACAAAAAAGAAAGAGAGACAATGATCTCAGCTTTCTTTCTTCCCATCTCTAAGCACAGACATTTGATACAAACATAACTTACAATCAAGTAACAGGTAAAGTAATTGATGTGTACCTCTTGGGAAGCATAAGCTAACCATGGATGTAGCAAGAGAAGCGGTATTCGTTTTTTCTCAAGTATAGTATTCACAAGAACTCTTATCGGCGATGCAATCTCTTTACGAGAATCTGACGATAGAGCGTCTTTGTCCGAAAGAACAGTACAATGGCGACAAGAAACCCGAAGAATGCAACAGAGGCCATTATAATAAATGACAGCCTGAAGCAGTGAGAGCCATAACATGTGTTCCCTTCCCCAGAAGCAGTCTTGTCATAGATATAACCGATCAATTTTACAGAGAAGATATAGGAACCGATGGGACTAGCCACAGATATGGTGTTGAAGATGGTTCCCATGTGCCGAACCCCGAATAGTTCAGAGGTGATTGTAGGCATCAGAGACCATTGTGAACCATAACAAACGCCAACTATAACAGAACCAACATAAAGGTTTCCTTGGAAACCAGAGGCTATAATTAGATGGCCTATCGTCATTGTTCCAAGTGTTGCAGCCATTAGCAATGGACGTGGCCATCCTTTTTTGTGTAGCAATGCATCTGAGGCATAACCAGCTCCAAATCTACCAAGAAAGTTCCATATACTCCACAAGGAGACCAATGAATTTATCTCAACAGATGAGTATCGAAGAGACTCGCCTATTTGCCGAATGTTGTTTATCGTCGAAAGTCCAGAACCCATTCCACAAATCATGGCAAGAAACAACAACCAGAAGCTTAGGTTTTTCATAGCTTGCAGAAGATTCAGGTTCTCACTCAGACCAGAATCTATTCTACTGTCGCCTTCAGAACTTTGGTTACCGGAGGTTGTTGCCTTTGGACTGCTTATGAGAGGGGAATAATCATGTGGTACTGTTTTCTCCATGCTGTCTCGTTGTGCCCTTCTCGCAATAAGTAGAGGCAAGGCAAGCAAAACGAGTAGACACACAAGTGTGACAACATTGGCCCATGATGACAAACCAAAGGTGTTCTTCAATATGATAAGGATCATAAGATAAGCTGCAATGATTAGAGATACAGCTGAAAGACCATTTAAATGCTTTTTATCATCGGCTACGCTTGTCTCATAGATCCTGACCAGAGGCATGACCAAGAGTGAGAGCACTGTTGGTGTTACTGCCAGTAAGAGAATGAAGCTCGCCGGATCTCCAGCGCACAATGTCTCGTACAGTTGAATTAGTATTGCTCCACTTAGACCAAGAAACCCCTGCAAAGAAACAAGTAGAGATAAGCTTGGATGCTTCACTATGATCATAAACAAATTGAAAACGCAGCTTGTAAGAAAACTGGCCAATTTTACACAACAACATGGTCTGCTCAATTGAAAAATATCATATTACGAAGTACCAACTGCAATCCAATCAATCCCAGAAAGTAAATTTACAGAGATAAGACCCCCAAAACCTTCTTAGGCATTTTAAACTGAGCCCATCCAAGAGATAACCTTAGTTCTCATAAATTAACTAGAAACATAACCCAACAATTCTGCAAACTTCTGTCAAGATCAAAGATCCCCACCAAGATGGAATTAACAGAACATGATCTCAATCCCAAAAGTTTCCAGCTTGCATCAGTTAGCTCCCACAACTACCACACTATTTAATAGAACAGATTCCAAACTTGAAACCATGAACCTTCCAGTGTTAATATACTGAACCAACTGGGGTTTAGTGGAAGCTTCTGCTCTCAAAAGTATAGGTAAGTTAACCAGCAAATAAAGAATCAGACATAAATCACAAAATCTATCAACGAGTGGATATAGATCTCGATTGCTCCCACATTCAAGTTCAAAGCATCTACCTTTACCAAAGAGTCCCCATTTATATTTACCAGGATTCAATCATTGTCGAATATTGATCATTGGGTCCCAAGGAAACAAATTGAGACCGTGATCCATCCAACAATACAGATCCATTCAAGACACCAAGAAATCGAAAAGAGTCATCAAAAAGTCACCTTCATAATGCCAACGGCTGTACCACCATAGTCAGCGAAATTCTCAACGGCACTAACAACATTAGCCGTATTGAAGAACGTTTGCGACTGAGCTGCTAAGAACATAAACAGACACATCAGCGGCACCGGCGGCTTCTTAATAACTCCGGTAACGGAGGCCCAAATGAGAAAATACCCGGCGAAGCACTGAATTGCCCCAATAGCAAGCACCACCCAAGGTCCTCCTGCGCCTCCAATTCCGCCTCCCCGTCCACGGCGACGATTGGAGGTAGCGTAAGTATATAAAAGCCCAGAGAAAACTCCGGCGTTTGCTCCGATGTCCTTGAAGACGGAGACGGTATCGAGGGTGGATTGATCGTACGATTGAGTCGATTTCAGGACAGCGGAATAGATTCCGAAGGTGTAGGAACCGCCGCTTGTGCATTGTATCCATATACTAGCCGCCATAGCCACCCATTTCGTCCTTAATATCTCCATCGCCGCCGATTACAACCACCGTCCTTCCTCGCCGGAAAAAGAGAAAGTCAGACCCTTTTTCCCTCCTGAACGGCGAAGAAGCGAACACGATCGCGAAACTTTTGTTTTTTTTTCGAAATATTTGTTTTTTTTTTTTGGGACAAATTATTAAAACTTAATGGGCTCAAAAATGTTTAGATGGGCTCAGATAGTCGTAGTTTTGATTTTGTGAGCCCAATAAACTGGAATGACACGTGGAGTCAGAAGGAGAGCACACGACAGCCACAAGACGGCTCGTGGGGGTTACAAGACGGAACGGGGTTAATTAACGGAATAAACTAACAAATTCGACATTGACTGGTCAAGGAGGATGGAGACAACTGTACGGCCGGCCAAGGTCACGCCACTCTCTCGACCAATCGTTTTATAATCACGAGGCTGACTCAGCTAATCTCCCGCAAATCACGAGATTTTTCAGTGTTACTCTATTACAAAACATCAAAACTATTAACAAATCAAGTACTGTTTATTTACATATGTCAGATCACTCGTTAATTAAACATCTAATTAATGTTTTTTCATGCATTATACTATGATAATGAACGACATTGGAGATATAAATTAATGTTGAACAGTTGACAACAACCAAAATATTGTTTTTTCTCTCTGATAAAAAAAATTAATGTTGAAGAATTGCAAATGATCTATTATATCAATTCGTGTTTGACTAATTCTTCTTAAGAAAAAACTTCAGGATATGAGTTAATGTTTGTTTATTTCAGGGTTAAAAAATCTACCCGTTTAAATTTTAACAATCTAAATTCCTAAATGAGACAATAAAAATAAAAGCAATTTAGTTAGTTACCAAAGAAACAGAGCCAAAACAGATATTTAAATTAAAATCCCGCCACAAATATGATATAAGCTATGGTTGGTTTTCAGCTGCAACGTCTCAGTCACTTCTAATATAATAAAACTCAAAATCCCAAATTGATTAAAAAAGAACTGGCTTCTGCAGAAAGAGAGTGACGACTACGAAGATGTATCAGGCCTTTAAAATGCTTCTCTATTCCTCAACTCGGTTCCTTGTTCTTTCCCTTTTCTCCTTCACTTCACGACTACGACGACGAAAATTTTGATTTCAATCACGGTTGTTGTTGCGGTGGATGGGAGGCGGAAATCTTCATTCCCTTCCGCCCGAAAATGCTTCTGCGGTTACCGTTGGAAATACCAAGCTTTCTGATGCTCCGGTTCTTTTCTTTGTTTACTGCCACAAGGCTTTCCGTGCTCAGCTGGTGGAGCTCCGGCGTTTCGCTACTGACGCTGCAGAAGCTGATTGCTTTAGCGGGGATCTGGCGGTGGAGCTCTCCCGGAAATTAGAATTTTTGAAGCTTGTATATAAGTATCATAGTGCAGCTGAAGATGAGGTTAGATTTTTTTATCACTTTTTAAGTTCTGATTTCTCTCTGTTTTTAATTTCTTTACTAAACAGTAAACAGACACACGAGCTTAAGTAGTCATCATATTTCAATTAATCTTGGTTTGTTTACGATTGGTGCTACGAGATTTTGGAACAAAACTGCTTTGATCTTAATTAGACTAGGTTTCTAGGGTAAAAGACCTTGTCCAAATTCGTGTTGCAGTAGTCTCTACTTTCAATTTGTGAATCTTTAATGAAGTCAAGAATCTGACTCATACATAGATTGGAATCCTTATCATGATATATAATTAACAGTGGCTTTTGAAATGATTTTTTTACTGGCAGGTTATATTTTTGGCGCTTGATAAACGAGTAAAAAACATAGTTTCTAATTATTCACTTGAGCATGCTGGCACAGATGATCTCTTCACCTCAATTTTTCGTTGGCTACATGTTCTTGAGGAAGAAATAGGAAGCACAAGTGATGTTCTTCGTGAAGTTATATTATGTATAGGCACCATTCAATCATCTATATGCCAACATATGCTTAAAGAAGAGCGTCAGGTATATAATAGTTGAGCTAGTTATACTTCAACTCTATTTTGACAAATACAAGAGTTTTCGATGGACACAACATTTCAGTCACAGATAATAATCACTTTCCATAGTGAAGCCTAACGAGTCATGTTTTATGCAGGTCTTTCCTTTGTTAATTGAGAAGTTCTCTTTCCCAGAACAGGCGTCACTTGTGTGGCAATTCATATGTAGTGTTCCAGTGATGGTGCTTGAAGACTTTTTGCCATGGATGATGTCTTATCTCTCTCATGAGGAGAAAATTGAAGTTGAGAATTGCATTAAAGATGTTGCCCCAGCTGAAGACTCAATGCAACAGGTATATATATCCCCTTTGCTGAGATATGTTTTTCTTCTTTCATACTCATCATTTTGATAAGATAGAATTTTCTGAAGGTCATAAGCTCTTGGCTTCTTGACGACAGTCAATCTTCTTATGGGACTCCTACAGAGATCATGAAAGGAGTCCAGTATGTTAATGTGTCTAAAAGTATGAAGAAATCACCTGAGTCACATCCGTCCAGCGGATGTTTTCAACGGTTTTGGGAGTGGAGTAAAAAGTCCCTTTCTATTCCAAATGTAGGACGCAGCCCGATTCATGGTCTTCGACTTTTTCAAAATGCAATTGAAAAGGATTTGAGAGATATTCAAGAAGGATTATGCAGAGCAAAATTCTCAAGCCTTCTTGTAGACCTTGATGTACTGATGGCTCGATTAAACTTCCTTGCTGATGTCCTTGTTTCTTATAGGTAAATAGTTTGTTCGATAACTCCATATCGGTATGGTGCCTAGTCTATTAAACCGTTTCTTGTTTATTTTTCATCCTACTTCTTTCTCTGATTGGGTTACAAAATGTTTTTTTTTGTTTTTTTTGATGTAGCAATGTATTTAAGAAGTTCTTTCAACCAGTGTTAGAAGAAATGACAGCTCGCCGCTCTTCAACTGCCAAACAGTTCAACATAGATGGTTGTCTTGAGAATTTTCAGAGATTTCTGTACAAAAGTGCTGATGATAAAACAAGAACGAACAATTTTCTATTGCAGCTTCAGGAGGAACTTGAGTCCCTTATAATCCAAGTAACAAAGCAATTTGCCATACATAGAACAGAGGTAAATTTTATGTTTCTTTAATTGCTATTTGCCATACATAGAACAGAGGTAAACTTTATGTTTCTTTAATTGCTATTTGCCTTGTATGTATATTATATTCAATTATTGCACTCCTTGTTGTTCAGGTATTCCCAATCATCAGCAAGAATTGCAACCATGAGATGCAGAAGCAGCTCCTCTACACAAGCATTCATGTCTTACCTCTTGGATTGCTAAAGTGTGTCATACTTTGGTTTTCTGCTCATCTATCAGAAGAGGAATCTCAATCTATCCTTCATTTCTTAAGTTTGGAAGATTCTTCTCCTAAAAAATCATTTCCACGCCTCTTACTGCAGTGGCTTCGCTTTGGCTACTCAGGAAAAACCTCTGTTGAAAGTTTTTGGAAACAGCTGGCCGTTATGTTCCAAGTAAGATGTTCATGCCAAAAGGAACACACTGAAGAAGCGTCAGGATCATTTTCCAACCAAACACAGCTGCAACAATGCAACAAGAAAGATAAGTCTTCAACCTGCTTCATGTCAATGGACATGTATGAGACACCTTACTCTAGTCGAATGAATCAGCAAATGATTTTCTCGGGAAATCATAAGCCTCCTCTCCATCTTCCAGAGTTTTTTGGTGAGAAGAATATGGATGATCCATCGATTATGGATGTAAAACCAATTGACCTCCTTTTCTTCTTCCATAAGGCAATGAAGATGGATTTGGACTACCTTGTTTGTGGATCAGCAAGATTGGCAGCCGACTTTCGGTTCCTGACGGAGTTTCAACAGCGATTCCATATGATAAAGTTCTTGTATCAGATACATTCGGATGCAGAGGATGAAATTGCATTTCCAGCATTGGAGGCCAAGGGACAACTTAAAAACATTAGTCACTCATTTAGCATTGATCATGAGCTAGAAACTAAACACTTCGACAAAGTTTCATTCATTTTGAATGAGATGGCAGAACTGAACATGTTGGTTTCTACCATAAATACCAATGCAGTGGACCACCATCGAAAGACGAAGTATGAGCGGTTATGTCTGAGTCTCCAAGAGATTTGCAAATCCATGCACAAGCTATTGTCTGAGCATATCCAACATGAAGAAACTGAGCTCTGGGGTGTATTCAGGAACTGCTTCTCTATTGAAGAACAAGAGAAAATCATAGGATGCATGCTTGGGAGAATAAGTGGGGAAATATTGCAGGATATGATTCCTTGGTTAATGGAATCATTGACTTCTGATGAACAGCTTGCCGCGATGTCCTTGTGGCGCCAAGCAACAAGGAAAACAATGTTTGTCGAATGGCTAACAGAATGGTACAACGGTCATGTTTTACAAGAGGAAGCAGGAGAAGCAAACAATGATCCATTTGGGGATTCAGATCCACTGGAGATTGTATGGAAGTATCTCTTTGAAGGAGATGGTCATGGGGACAGAGGGATAATTGGCAGCAACCTTGTCGAACTTTCAGAGACGGAATTCACGGGTATTATGTATCAGCCACCTCCTAATTACAAGGTTGAAGTAGGCAACAAAGAGGAAACAGATCTGGATCGCTCAGAAAGTAAAAAGGTATGTAGAGGAGCTGACCAAAAGGGGGACAAAGAACAAACTGACAACAATTGCCAGACAAGAAATCCAGGTCAGACTTTTCAAATGTCTCAGATGGCTAGCCAGTTTGGTCAATCCAAGAAATATGAACAACTGTTAACAATGAGTGAAGAAGAACTTGTGGCTGTGATTAAGAAAATATCATGCGACTCTTCCTTGGATCCTCAGAAGAAATCCTATATCAAGCAGAATTTGTTAATGAGGTAAGCCATGTTGTAACATATATAGATAAGCAGAGAAGTCTATTTACTCTTATCTATATCATATTAAGTTTGTCCTTATATTGAGACTAACACAATGTCAGGTTCTTCTTTCAGTCGGTGGAATATCTCACAACGTACAAATAATTTGGAACTATCATCTCTCTCAAGCAACATGGATACAGTTCCTGGTCAACATCCATCATATCGAGATCCTCATAGTTTGATCTTTGGTTGCAATCACTACAAGAGAAAATGCAAGCTTTTTGCACCTTGTTGTGACAAGCTCTTCACATGTATACGATGCCATGATGAAGAAGCTGATCACTCGGTGGATAGGTAGTAACATCTTCTACTTTCATCCAAAGAGCTTCGAAAATCTTGTTGTGTCTTCCTTCAACCATCTCTGGCTCTCTTGAATTTTTATGCAGGAAACAGATTACAAAGATGATGTGCATGAAATGTCTCTTGATCCAGCCGATTGGTGCAAATTGCTCAAATACTTCATGTAAATCGTCAATGGGAAAATACTTTTGCAAAATATGCAAATTATATGACGATGAAAGGTAACTTCTCCCCTGTTTCACCTTTTCTTGCAAGTTATCAAAACTATGAAATGAAATATAATTCTTGTGCTTCCTTTTTCGACTAAATATCGGAAGTGGTTAACAAAAGATTCTTCCTAACAGGAAAATTTATCACTGTCCTTACTGCAACCTCTGCCGGGTAGGGAAAGGATTGGGCATTGACTACTTCCATTGCATGAAATGCAATGCTTGCATGTCACGTACCTTAGTAGAGCATGTTTGCAGGGAAAAGTGCTTAGAAGATAATTGTCCGATTTGCCACGAGTATATCTTCACCTCCAGTTCTCCGGTGAAGGCTCTTCCCTGCGGTCACTTGATGCACTCCACATGCTTTCAGGTACTTGTCAAAATATCTTTTTGGGTAATAATGAAAAAGTAAAACACATAGTAATGCTAAGCTTACTTGGGCTTTGTTCTTTGATTTTGGTTGTAGGAGTACACATGTTCACGTTACACATGCCCTATCTGCAGCAAGTCGTTAGGAGATATGCAGGTCAGTTACACCTTTTTCAAACAGAGTGTTGTATTCCCTGTAAAAGATTAGTAAATGCATCAAAGTTCTTCTGAAGTCCAAATAGTAGTCGTTATTGGAACACTGCACATCACTAAGCAAAGAACTTTCTCACACAGGTCTACTTTAAGATGTTAGACGCATTGCTTGCAGAAGAGAAGATGCCTGATGAATACTCCAACAAAACTCAGGTTTAGATCTCTCTCTTTCTATTGTTACATAGTACAAAGCATCTGTTTCAAGAATAAACCGAATGGAACAATGGTTTGGTGCAGGTGATCTTGTGTAATGATTGTGGAAGAAAAGGAAATGCTCCTTACCATTGGCTTTACCACAAATGCACAAGCTGTGGCTCCTACAATTCAAGGCTCCTTTAGATCTCTCTCCAATTTTCCTTTTCCATTGACATTATTGTAGAATCAGCCGTATGTGTACATGGCTGGTAAGAAAACATTTTTGTAACATTTGATGTTGTACAAAAATAAAACATACAAAAAATATTCCAAATGTAATAAATTTGGAGTCGTATCACCCTGAAAGATTGAATTCTATACTCCCATCACAACCCATTGCAAGAGGAGTTTATGTCGACATGAGAACAAAATTCTGGAGAAAAATTCCAGTCATCACTAACCTTAAACTTATGACCTACAAAACCAAACCATTGCGATTCCGCCAAAAGATATAAAAACTTTTAGAGACCTTAAAAGAAGAAATCAAAACAACTAATCTACAACTAAAGCAAATGCATCCTCTCAACATATGATTCAAGCAACCACTTCTTGAGAGGCTCTCCGCATCCTACAAAACAGCCCGAGTTCCCGTTCTCAGTGAAAAACGGGAAGTTGAACATGTTGAGCAATTCCTCAACTGCTTGTCTAACCATCGACGTGCCTGTGACTCTACTTCGTCTTCCCCAACCAGTTACTATATCAATCCGTGAAGGACAGTCTCCTGAAACCAACATCTGCTTACGGAACCATGCAAGTGTCCTAGAAAGTGCGATGACTGCAGTTCCTTCCGACATTACATGGAGATTTATAAGCCAGTAGCTGCAGCTTTTCTCCCTCAATGCATCTGGATACACATTCTTAACTGCAGCCACTTCCCATACCGAGCCAGCCTCTTCTTTTAGACCTGACTTGTGGAGAAAATCCACTACCGCGTCCATGAGTCCTCGCTTGCTCTCTCTGTCCTCGCTGTGCATAAAATCAAGGAAGTTGCTGACATGATCACGCACTTTTTGGCCATCAGGACCTGCAGGTGGCATTTTGAGGAGAAACATGTGAGCCGGATGACCTGAGACTGCCATTAGCTGGCCACAAAAGCCCATGTCAAAGTTTGAACGAGCATCTGTGCAACAACTCAATAGCAATGTGTATGTCTGCAAAGAAGGATGTAGACCAAGCGCCAGCATGCTTTGTAATAAGTTATAGGCTTCAGACATCCTGTGAACCCTAAGGAAAGTGCTGAGAAGGGAATTGCATGTGGGAACATTAGGTCGCAGACCGGCGTGAAGCATTGCTTGATACCACTGCCAAGCTTTTTCCACATTGCCAGCTTTTCCCCACAAGTCCACCAAAAGACCGTAAACCGGTTCATCAGGAATCCAGTTCTTACGTTGCATCTCAGCAAAAACACCCTCTGCTTCCTCGAGATATCCACAGTGTCCAAGTACCTCCATAACAATACTGTATGTCACTTTGTCAGGTTGAAACCCGGCATTTTGCATGTCTCTGTAGAGCTTCAACGCAGTCTCATAATTCCGCGCCTTGGCATGCAAAGCTATCATGATGTTGAATGTGACCAAATTAGGGGTACAACCTTGACCAACCATTTCACAAAAGAGCCTATGGGCAGCAGGTAAATGGCCCGCTTTTCCAAGACAATTTATTATAACACTGTAGGTGAAAGTATCAGGAGAAAGCCCTGCTGCTTGCATTCTTTGGTACATGTCCATGGCAATGTCAAGAAATCCAGCTTTAGCATGGATGTCTATCAGGGTACAGTAAGTTACACGGTCAGGCTCACAACCAGCCTCTTGCATCTGCTTAAAAACATTCATAGCTTCATTGAGGTAATTTGCTCGGCCGTAGCTATGGATGAGTCGGTTATATGTAACAGTATTTGGCTTACATCCATCTCTAACCATCTCATCAAGAAGCTTTTTTATCGCACCAAATTGCTTTGCACGGCCAAGATTACCTACCATAGTGGTATAAGTATGCCCATCATGCTTAAAACCAGGTTGCCTTTTCAGCCAATAGAAGAAACCAAGCGCATTCACATAATTATCCATCTGCTTAAGAACTTGATTAGCTTGGTATGCATCCATCCTGAAACCGAAATTGTGAAGGGCCTCTTCAGCAGCATGTCCCCATTTGAATCTCCGCAATATACTAGAAACATTTTCTACAACGTATCCAGAATTACAATACTGCGTAGGTGTTGGAGTAGTCCCTGGAGTCACTCTCATCATTTCCCGTGAGGGTTTACTGAAACCTTCAACAGAAGATATTATCGTTCTGTCATGCACATTATAGTCACAACCACCCGATGCATACCTGGTTGAATCAATATAGGTTCTTTGTGGCATGCTTTTCCTCTTTCCAGAGGCAGTGTTCGAGTGTAAATCGGCAGAGTCATTTGAAGCTTGCTTAATACCTGGAGAGCTGTTTATAGGAAGTCGGTCTGATGAATCTTTGGAAGCGGACCTATTGTAGACTTTAGCAAGGTGCTCTCTTCTGATGACTTTCACATTTGAAGACTTTACACTCGAAATAGGCCGAGTAGGATCAACCATACAGCTTTTAGGCAAACCGACAACTTCAGTTCCATCGGATAAAGGGATCTTATAGTTTGCTATATCTGACAATAAATTTACAGTTCCAATACCATTACCAGCCTTGAATATCTGATCACCAATAGGTGCCCCCACATCATCTTTAATAATAGCAGAATCTGCTTTCCCCGGCAAAGCAGGAGAGGAAACATGCTGCGGAAGAAGCAATGGTCGAGTGAAATGCTCAACCGACTTCGGGACCACCGGCGGTTTACAAGCCTCTACTGGTAATATATTTCCAGCTAGTCCAGCTGCTAGATTAGATACTTTCTTTCCAGTTTGTACAACTTCAGTCCTAATTTGTTGGCGTTTTGAGACGCAACTTTCATCCTCAGCGCATGTACAAGAATTTCCATCACCAGCACTAGGTCTCGTTCCACTAAGAAAAAAGGATCTTGCTGAGCTAGAAAGATTACTAATGTGCTTTGCACGAATCATTGTCTGCAAGAAAAAAGAATCACACGCTCAGAGAAGACTCATAAAGATACAAATATCAAGAACTGAAAAAAGTGTTCCCTAAAACTATCTTAGCAACCTATTACACTACCTGAAATCTCTCACCAGAATTATGTCAACGGAGCCACCAAACGCAGTAATTAAGGTTCAACACTTGGTCGTGTAAGTGTAACCAAGCCATGAATTACAAAGGAAAATTACATTTTATTAGCCAACTAGCTCTCTTGTCCACAACTCTTTATCCCTTAAAAGTTACAACAAATTGAGAAACTTTGTACATTACTTATTCAAAGTCACTACTTTTTTATATAAAACTCATGAGTAAAAACCATTAAACAGAAGTAAAAACTGGGCTTTTCCATTTTTCTTTCAGCTTCTCCATAAAGTATCATCCTTTTACACACCAAGAATCCCAAAATGGCCATAACTAGAATACACAAAAAGTCTATTGACTGAACTGAAACAGACCATCCCCATTCTCGGAATGCATTCTCTAACCAGTTGCTCAAAAAAACATGTGAAGTGAAATTGAGGCTCTTTCGAATCTCACCCCCTGATTCACATTCAAATCTTAAAAATATTGACCAAATCCAAAGAAAGAAAAACAGAGCTAAATCAGAGTCAACAATTAGAACGTACAGTCAAACATTTTGAATACGTTCAATCTCAAAATTAACTCTCATCAAAAACCCGAGTTCCAAGCTCCATATCACCAAAAAGCAGAATAACACAGGAGAAACCCAGAAATCATCGATATTTATTGCTAAGAAAGAAGCAAAATTTTCATCGAAAAAGTTAAGAACAGAAGCGAGATCACGAGACTACGAAGTCACCTTAAAAACGGTGGTGTTTGACTTCCTTGGTCTGCTTCGTTTTCCACAGACAACAAAAAAATAAATCTTCAGGAGAAAATGAGAAAGAAAACGAGAGAGGAAGGCGAAATTGCCTTCTCCCTCTGTGGCCGTCAAATATGGAAGCTTCAAGTTTGTTTTGCTCTCCAAGCAAATTGGGTACAATCTCTAAAGTTACGACCTTGCAAAAAAAAGGTCACGACTTTTTTTGCTTTTACTGTCTTTTTTTTTTTTTTTAATGTTTTCCTTTGATCTACCTACCTTTTTCGACTATACCCCTAAATCTTTGTATTTATTACATAACATCACCATAAATGTTTTTTCCTTTTATAAATTAGGCAACTCTAAATTGTATCTGATCGATTCGATTCCATCATAAGTTTCAGTATATTCTTTAGAATCCAATATTGATTTGTTATATGTAAATCGCTTTTACCGATTAACTCTTAATGAATTCTGTGTCAAATTGTTACTTTTAAAAGTTAGAGGTTGATTTGTGAGAATAAAAAGAATCTTTGGAGTTAGCTGTAAAAGCGGCCGAAGTTGGACCTTTTTTTTTGGGATACTTTACTTTGTTTCCCCTTTGAGCAAACGTTTCGGGTTCTGTCCTCCTCAAGTTTTGCTGTACCACGTGGCGTTACTTTCATGTCTTGAATATGACCGTTTTGTGACTTTAAAATTAGAGTTTAGATAGAGATTTTCTGGATATTATGATTCGATCCCAACTAAATTTCCGTGGCCTCTTTAAAATTTAGAACGTTCTTAATCCAAAAAATAAATAAACAAACAAGATTCTTAAACTGTGTAAATATAAAATTTTTGGAACGATGAATTTTCCATTTAAATAACAGAGCGATTTAATCTATTGAGATATATATATATATAGTTACTTCACCTTTTACCAAAAAAAAAAAAATATATATATATATATATAGTTATTATTTTTTAAAACTAAAATTTTGTAAAATATTCCTTTGCCAAGCATTCCGTTTGAAGCTGACAGAAGATAATGGGCTTTTCGTAGAAATTTAGTCTTACTAGTCCATTTAAGATATTTTGTTTTTGAGCCCAACTAGCTGACGAACTGGGTTGGCTTGATGGTAATACCATCATGGTAAGAGTTAAGTCTTACTAGTCCATATTTCGAGAAACTCTTATTAGAACTAAATAGAAACCCTGTAAAATCTTAAACTAAACCTAAGTTATTCACTCCTAAGCAGCAATTAGCTACCGAGATTTTTTACTAAGATTTTTATTTTTGAATGAATATTGCTAAGATATCATTTTGTATACCGTAGTTGCGATGGTTAATATGGATGTATGGTAAACAACCCATGCCGCCGGTACCTCTATTTGAAGCCAAAGGCATGGATTCATTCGTATTTTTATAAGATATTAATTATCCGATAAAATATATATATAGTTTTAGGTTGTAGATAAGAGTTTTTATGCAAAAAAAGTGATGGGACTTCAATAAATCGAATAGTTGGCATGACAACGCCACATACACATGCAATCTCAAACATTTGAGTTGAGCCCATCATTTCATACACAATCTCATGTTTTTCCTTCATTGACGAAAGTCCCTTTTTCGAATTAATTGTTAGTTTCTCTTTAAATTATTTTGCCAGCTAAAAAGTTGCACAAGATAAAACATGGTCCATCATTTCCTCTTTTTTTATTTTTAAGGTGTGAAAATCAATCTCATCGATACTACTCTATTCTTTCTTAATTGTCCTTTTTTTTTATGGAATATCATAGCTTAAGAATTCATAACATATTACTGTATGTAACTAAACATAATTAACAAAGTTTTAAAACTCCTTTTGGGGCTTATATGTATCTAGTTTTCTCAAAGTAATGTTTTGATTTACAAAGACTCGCTTTTGTTGCACGACTTTCAACTTTTTCACTCTCTTTTTGCCAATTGCAATAATTGTTAGTTGAAAGTATAACCGGGAAATAAATATAAGACCTTCTTTTTACCTACTAATATCAGTTTTATATGTGACATCAAACAAAAACATTTCTATTCATATGCACAAATGTTACCGTTTATACGATGTGATCAAAAAGAGTTTCATTTTTGAACTTCCATTTAGTTGTTGATAGGATGATAGAGAACGATATGTTGTTTGGAACTTGGAAGAAATAATGTGAATGTAAACCCGATTTATAGAAAGCAAACGAATAAGATCCCGACATGGCGACACACTTGTCAATTACTAGTTTCGAATATAAAAGTGAGAAACTTATTAGAGAAAACAACGAGACGTTCGCATTTGTTTGCATTTTTGTTGACTTTGATCAATGGTATCTTCATATATTTACTTTTGATTACTTGTTTTTTTTTCACAAAACAAAGTCAGACAGTTAGCTCCTTACATTGACAAAGTCTACACCTAATAATATCTCTTTATCTTAATTACAAATCTGATAGCTTTTGAAATTATCTTCACCAAATCTTTTGGTAGAAACTTTCAAATCACACATAACTACTAGGGTTTTATAAACTATTATTCCAGTGCCAGTTTTAATCTTGAATTTGACAACCCGAAAATCTATTAATATACATATGTATATTGGTAAGAAATCAGTTTTTACATTTATTTTAGGTAATGGCGTAATGCTAAACAAGACAAGAAAACTCTCTCACAATTAATAATTACTACTCAGTTTTAAAACAAAACAAAAATATTAAGCAGATACCAAATCAAATGAAACCAACGTCACACTTTTTGACAATGTCACCGTATCCACTTCTATGGTCAACAACTTCATCAAACTCTCCCCTTCCACGTAAGCTCCATCTCTGCCCTTCATTTCACCACCTCTCATCAGATCGACGGCTATTATTTTTCTATATACTATGTTAATTACTTACCCTTTTTTGTTAAAGAAGTTACTTAACCTTTTAGATACACCAGAGAGTAAAACTTGTTCTGTAATACTACCATTAATTACCTGCTAAATGACTGAAAATATTCTACAATTTTTTATAAATTATAGGTTAGAAAATGGCTCAAAATTACAGTTTTCTATGCAATTAATTTGTTTAATTATTATATAGATAGATCAAGTTGCTTTAACTTTTTCTTTTTGATATAAATACATTTTTTATATCATTTCGATCCAAATTGAAATTTTACGAAAAGGTCGAAACTTTCTTCAGCTAAGCCCGTGTTTCATCTTCTCTGCAACTCACCGGTTCGCCGGAAAATAAATCGCCGTCGCCGGAGTTAACACTAACGAACCCAAACTTCTTCAAACTACTCTCTTTAATTATTCTTCTGCTGAGTTTCAAAACTCAGCCATGGGTAATTGCATCGCCTGCGTCAAGTTTGACCAAGAAAACTCAAAACCAAACCAGAAGAAGAAGACTCCACGACCACGGAAAACTAACTTCTACGAAGATCCCGATGGTTTAAGATCTCACGCACCGTTACGTGTGATTCCTATGAGCCATCAATCTCAGATCAGCGACAAGTATATCCTCGGACGAGAACTCGGTCGCGGCGAATTCGGAATCACCTATCTTTGTACAGATAGAGAGACTCGTGAAGCTTTAGCTTGCAAATCAATCTCCAAGAGAAAGCTCCGAACCGCCGTTGACGTGGAAGACGTCCGCCGTGAGGTCACGATCATGTCAACTCTCCCGGAACATCCAAACGTTGTGAAACTCAAAGCGACTTATGAGGACAACGAGAACGTGCATCTGGTGATGGAGCTTTGTGAAGGAGGTGAGCTTTTTGATCGGATTGTTGCAAGAGGACATTATACAGAGCGTGCGGCGGCTACCGTCGCGAGAACGATCGCGGAGGTTGTGAGGATGTGTCATGTCAATGGTGTTATGCATAGAGATTTGAAGCCTGAGAATTTCTTGTTTGCTAACAAGAAGGAGAATTCTGCACTTAAGGCTATTGATTTTGGTTTATCTGTGCTTTTTAAACCTGGTAATTGCTAAATTTAGAAACTTTGATCTTCATTTTGCTTTCAGGTCACATTGTTTAAGAGTTGACATTTGAACCTGCTTATGAAATAAACTTAGAAGAGAGATTTTGATGCATTTTGCAGGAGAGAGGTTTACAGAGATTGTAGGAAGTCCTTATTATATGGCTCCAGAAGTGTTGAAGAGAAATTATGGACCAGAGGTTGATGTGTGGAGTGCTGGAGTTATCCTCTATATCTTGCTCTGTGGTGTTCCTCCGTTTTGGGCAGGTTAAAGCAAGCTTTGATTCTTATTACAAAGTTGTATGTGTAGACCTTATAATAATCAGAGTAACTGAGTGGTTCAAGGTTTTGATTGCAGAGACTGAACAAGGTGTGGCTCTTGCAATCTTGAGGGGAGTTCTTGATTTTAAGAGAGATCCTTGGTCACAGATATCAGAGAGCGCAAAGAGCCTTGTTAAGCAGATGTTGGAACCTGATGCCACTAAGCGTTTGACTGCTCAGCAAGTTCTTGGTAATAATGATGATCTTGTCTCACTTGTGATTTTTTATCTTCATTTTTCATCTTCTTTGTTACTTGTTTCTTGTGTTGGATTTGACATTGAGAAAACGGCATTTAAGTGAAGACGGTTTCTGTTTCCTTCTCTGCAGATCACCCTTGGATACAGAATGCTAAGAAAGCTCCAAATGTTCCTTTAGGGGATATTGTTAGGTCAAGGTTGAAGCAATTCTCCATGATGAATAGATTGAAAAAGAAAGCTCTGCGCGTAAGTGTTGTCTCTTATTTTTTCATATGAGTTTATAGTTTTGTTTGAAGCTTTGATTGGTTTTACTTACTTCCTCCCTTTTGATGCTTCCAGGTAATTGCTGAGCACTTGTCTCTTCAAGAAGTTGAAGTGATCAGAAACATGTTTACACTGATGGATGATGACAACGATGGTAAAATATCATATCTAGAACTCAGAGCTGGACTCCGGAAAGTCGGGTCACAACTGGGTGAACCAGAGATCAAATTGTTGATGGAAGTGGTAAATTTTTACCAAATACTCTTCTCTTGTAAAATGCGTGAAAGATTATAAGATGTTTGTCCTCTCTGGTACTAACATTTTAGGACATTGATGCAGGCGGATGTTAACGGAAATGGATGCCTGGACTATGGAGAGTTTGTAGCAGTGATAATTCACTTGCAGAAGATGGAGAATGATGAACATTTCAGACAAGCTTTTATGTTCTTTGACAAAGATGGAAGTGGATACATTGAATCAGAAGAACTACGTGAAGCTTTAACCGATGAGTTAGGTGAACCAGACAACAGCGTTATAATCGATATAATGCGTGAAGTCGACACTGACAAGGTTTTTCTAAAGCTCTATACATAATCTCCTTCCGCGCTATAAAGACCCTTCCTATAGAAAGTTTATCAAATACTTAGAGGTATCATAATGTTTGATTTTGCAGGACGGACGAATAAACTATGATGAGTTTGTGGTGATGATGAAAGCTGGAACTGATTGGAGAAAGGCGTCAAGACAATACTCAAGAGAAAGGTTTAAGAGCTTAAGCTTAAACTTGATGAAAGATGGGTCAATGCATCTACACGACGCACTCACTGGACAATCTATTGCAGTTTGATCTTTACACTTGTTTATTACCAAAACAGAAGCAATCTGATGGCTGCTTTTTTACACGTTCAAGAAGGTTTTTTTCTGGGCTTTTTTCAGATGTGATTTTGGCTTACTTCACTTTGCATCTAGAGATTCTTTTTTTTTTTTTTGGTTTTGGGGAAGTTGGAAATTTGTAATTTGTGGGCGTAGTTAGGCTTTTCATTGGAGAATGAATGTATTTGTATGTAATGTTTGTTTAATTGTTATAAAAGCTTCTTTCTGACTTAGATTTTGTTTTTATATCACTCAGCTTATGTCTTGGACTAACCATACAGCTATAGTATCAACAACTGACAAAAATCAATTGGACAAATGGTTTTTTTATGTTTGGTTTACAAAGAAAGAATCAGTCAGCTTCTTGAAGTCCATCCAAAACAACAGATCCAACCAACAAAACAACGCCTGTAAGCGCAAGAGCACTGGCCAAAACCGCCTGAGCAACCACCAGAGTAGTTGAGTCATCCGGGATCAACACCACGGCTACAATAGCAGCCGTGAGAGCCGGTAATGCAGCCGAGGCTAAGACCGCAGGGGATGTTCCGGCTAAGTTTTCAAGAAGACTGAGAAGACCAAGATCCTCTGCTTTGGAGAAGACTTTAAGCTTCTCAAGAGATGACAATGTGAGTCCCAACTCCTCTGCTTTTGAGAGCAGGCCAGATTTCTCAACGTTGCTCAGAACTTTTCGCTTCTCCAACTTCTTGAACACGTCGACGTTTATTTGCTCACTCCCTTCGAAGAACAATCCAGCTCCGTACCACTGTTTCTTCCACTTGGCGTCATACTTGTTCACCTTTTATTTACCCGATTCAGTGATCAAGATTACACAAATTAAAAACGGTATATGAAACTCTGCTACAATACTATATATACAGAGACTTCAAAAGATGTAGTAATGTCTTTGTATCATTAATGAATTGTCGAAATTTGGACCTAATATTCAAAGATCTATACATCAATTTCCAAAAGATGTACTGCTTATTTATGTTTCTAAGGATTACTCTCTAGTTCTATATTGAGAACCAAAAAAGATTCATACTTAATGAAGCTTTAATAGTGATTCATGAAAGGGCAAAAATATCTCAGAACTTGAAAATGAGATAAAAAAAGAGATAATTAGGAGAGTCAATTACCTTTTTCTGGGGAGCCATAGCGACGACGGAGAAAGTTGCTGGTGATTTCCCGGTGGAGAAAGACCGGCGAAAGCGAGGGAGAATGGGATTGGAGATAAATCTTGTTTGCAGGTGAGTCGCCGGAGACGATATCGGAGCGCCGACGACAGCCATTGAAGGAAGATCAAATCGAAGCGATGCAAAAAGTTTTTGATTGGAGATTTTTTCGTGTCTTTTTTTTTTTTTTTTTCTTCAGATTTTTTCGTGTCTTGTTTCGCCTTGGCACACTATCTGAAACTCTGGGAGACAGAGAAACTGCCACGTCAGATGATGTCTTTGTAATTTCAACCAATCATATTCGTTAGCGCTTTATCTCCATTTTTTCACTTGTTTAGATAAATCAGACAGACAATGGGATTGTCCAAAAAGATTATAAAATAGTGCAAGTTTAAAGTTAACTACATAGATACCAAAAGCAAATCCCTGGTCAAAACATTACTGACAAATCTCTTCTTTTTTCACCTCTGAAATATCTCTAGTTTGCTTCAAAATATTATAGTCAGGTCAGGAGGTCTCACGCTCATACCATGTGATTATAATTTCCGACAGAATCCGAATAATAAAATAACGAATCATTTATAATATGATAAAAATCTTAAACCCATAATGAATCTTTATTCTATCTCCTCCTCAGCTCAAGTATCATAAGAAACTGTTGGATACTCAAAAACACCTAACTTGGTAAATTTACTCTCTTGACGTCCTTCTCTCCTTAGATGAGCCGATCGGACAAGCTTGGCAACCGCCGGAAAAAATTGAGACTCGCCGTAGGCATTGTGTCTCGGAACATCGGATGCCGAAGATAATAAAACCCTAGCGCCACTGCCACCATTTTCGCAGGAACTGCATACAGAACTATTGTGATCACCAAACAGATTGCTATGAACAGCTTTGTCGCTCTCGGATCTCTCCAGCTAACCAACGCTTGAATCCGTTCGCCTTGTGCTGCAAAATCGCCTAGAATGGTCTGAACCCTCACCGCTAAGATCCTTAACCGGTCATACCTAGCTCTGATTACTTCTGGTCGCCTTGAGCTTGGAATGGTATCGAACTCTTCATCTAGCTCATCAGGATCGACGGTTTCGGCTTGTGATAAGCGGATATCCATACCAGCCGGTATCTTGGGTCTAAACCGGTAATACCAAACTCCGATCATCACCACGTATAAGAATGCAGTCGGGACTACCAAATCAGGATACCAAACAAGAACCAGATATAGAATATGGACTAGCACCGTTGTCACTGGATTCCTCCACCGCCGGATATTATCCAACCATTTAGCTAAACCCACTGCCCAAGCTAAAACACCAACAATTCTATACCAATTTGCTTTGCTCTTTCTCATGCTCCACGCGTGCGAATCTGCATCTAACATATATCGAACTACCTCAGGTCCCAATGGTGGTTCTGCTCGAGCCAGCCAAGCTGCTACCATCTTTGTAGCGGCTCCTCTTAATGCATCTTGTTGTGCTACACCTAGAGGCCTTATGTAGTGCATCCGAGGCAGAAGCGGCTGTCCATAAGCTGCGCAAACATCAGGCAGCAGCGACGGGCATGCGAACCGGACTGCCACTTCAATTTCACCCATTTTTTTCATACCGCTAGGTAACAAAACCAACAGAGGATATGAATTGGTGTACACTTTGTTGCTCTCTAAAGTCGAAACCCGGATCCGTATCTTCCCAATCCGTGTGTCGGGTCTATCATCGGAGACATCAGAGAACATCCTCCAATTGTCGAAGACTCCAACGGTTAGCACGGTGCAAGGATCATAAACCTGCCACGTATACTGCTCGTGCCACCTCGGGTCGAAACTGTCTGTTATAGTTCGAGTCCTGACCCATTTCTTGCCGTACTTAGCAACACAGTAAGCATCAGTGGAACCTTTCCCTCCGTTTTTTGCCTTCATCGGCAACAACCCCCGAGCTCCAAGAATCCCCAACTCAAGTATTCCAATCGGCGGTTTCCAGAGCTGCTTAGCTGTTGGACGGAAATCGCTGCACACATGTGCCGCCTCTTCAAGCACGTGATACCCACCTTCAAGACAAAGTCTTAGGCTAATCCTTCCACAATAAGGTCCACCGCCACCACCACCAGGTCCTCCTCCACCTCCACCTCCACCTTCTCCTTCCAAAGAGTGCCATTTCGACGGCACAAAACGCTCATCAATTCGCTGCTCGATGGAGCTCACTGGGATCATGGCATGTCCTAGAAGTGTTGCTTCTTTAGTCGTCCGGTCTTCCACCATCAAAACCAAGCAATCTTCCAACGGCTCTCCAGCGACGAAGATCATATCCTCATGCCAATGAAACGAACCACTGTGGTTATTCATTGAGCCTCGTCTTGTCCGCGCCGACTGAAACCCTAATTGAGCTTTCACACGAATCTCAGGCGCAGTCAATGGCGGAAGATTAGGAGCAATGTGTAAATCCTGTGCCTCAAGAACCGTCACTCTCAAGTACCAAAGCTTCGGCGACTGATACACCTTCGACCGCGTGTGAGCTACATGCGGAGCATCGGAGCTCCACGCCTCCGGAAATGCCTCATCAACCTGAGTACCAATCCAAACAGAGAGCTGAATATCACCGGAAATTCTCCCAGAGTTCTGATCCGCGCCGGAGCCTTCAAGCCGATACCACTGAGGAGCAAGCGGACTATCCGGCGGGTCACGAACCGGAACCTCAGAGAGATCAAAACAAACTCCTCCGAGAAAACTCTCCGACGAAGCATCCCAAGCAGAGATCTCAAGAGTCGCACCGGTAACAGCGGAATCAGACCGGTTATGACCAAGCGCGAAAACCTGATTCCACTCCGGAGAATCAACCGATTCGCCGGGCCGGTTAACGGCCGGTTTAGACCTGACGAAATGGTTAGACGTCCGTACCTTAACATACGCGCTTTCGTTTGGTGGTAAGCCACGCGCCTTCACAATCCGAACGAAGAGATACTGCATTGGCTCAACAAGATTGTATGGATGATGAGTCTTCTTCTCCATCGTCGTCTCTCCTCCTCCAATCTTGCTATTGATAACCCTAGGTGAATAATCCCCATTCGGTGGTCTCTTCGTAACCCTAATTCTATCTCCGCCGGGAGGTCTTCCTACTTGCATCTTCCTCACCTCCGGTGGATAATAATGTACTTCTCCCGCCGATGGAGGTGGCGGCGGAGACGGTGGCCGTTGAGGATAGTTATCATTTCGTTGAGGATGGTTATCATTTGGACCTTGCATTACCTGTTGCGGTTGTGATTCTTCAACAATAACCACCGGAGGTTGCTGATGAGTCTCCGGATAGCTATGACTCTGAGCCGATTCGAAAACCCTACCTTCTTCCACCACAACTACATTAGGTTTCTCCGGTGGTAAATTCATCATCTGCTGCGGCGGAGGATGAAATTGTTGTTGTTGTTCATCAGCTTCATGTTGCGACGGATGAAATTGTTGTTGTTGTTGCTGGCCTCCGCCTCCAACCGCCGTGTCTTCGTCGGCGGCTTCGTCGTAATAGTAGATTTTGAGTCCAATCTCGCCGCGAATCCAGCTGAATACACTCTTCTTCTCCAAGGGGAAATACACAAGACCTTCTTCACCTCTTCGCGAGAACTGACTTCCATAGATCTTAACCCTACCGAGAAAATGATTTTTCCGGCCACCTCCGTTACCAAATCTCTTATCGTTATAAACCTCGACATCGAGCTCGTCGTAGTCCATGTTTTTGGGATCGGAGACGGTGAAATCAAGCATCTCGTTCCAAATAGGGTTAAGGTCACGGAACTTAGTGGAGGTTCGTTTCTTCTGAGCATCGAAATCGACAACGACGTAAGCGCTTGAGCTTCCTTGACCATCTTTAGGGAGAATATTACGAGCTTCAACAACCTCGACGACGAGCTTACGCTGGATCCTCGAAGGCGGAGGATCCGAGTGAAACGGCGTCGTGTTCATCGTTGCAGTATTCTCATATCTCGAGAATGTCTTCTTCTCTCATAAGACAGTGAGAGAGAGAGAGAGAGAGGGTTTTGTTGTTTGTGACAGAGATTACGGTAATCGCGGAAGAGAGATAATAGAAAGTCTTTTTTTTCGAGGTCTTGCTTTATTTATTTGAACATATTCCTCTTTAAAGCATTATTTCATTTACATGTTTTTAGTACTAATTAAATCTTAATTTCCGTTAATAACTAAAAACAAATCCTTTGAACAAACACTATTCATTCCAATAATTTTAATTAAAACTTACTAAATATTAGCTAAAATTATTTCTGACAAGAGTGTAGATAATTAGGTTCATATTTGTGTAGTTTGTGACAAAGTAAAATCTAGGTAAAACGTAAAGAGGCCAAAGCAGCATTGTGATTAGTAAAATAAAAGAGATGAAATGAGTTGGTTAATTAATTAGAGTGTTAATTGAGTATGATTAATAAACCTAATTGTGGTGGAGGGTATAAAGGGAAAGGAATATATGGCGTTAGAGTGGAGATAATGGGAAATCTGATTCCATTCTCTATCGCCAAGCCTTCGTTTTATTCCTCACTTTTACATGCTCTTCATTTTTAAATTGTACTATCTCATTTTATTTGTGTTTTTTTTTGACGTGTTGATTCTTCATTTTATAATATGGTACTTTTAATGTTCCTATAAACCACTTACATGTAAAGATTTGGCCAGGAAAGTTGTTGGATGGAGTTTATAGTTATTTAGTAAAGTAGTTTCTTAATCTGCTATAGAAAATTATCCTAACGCTAACTACAACGGAATATTAATATTTACCATTTGCATAAAAGCAGATTCCGTTAACCTGTCCTACACCATCGTTCTAAAGCCCAAACATCCCGCGGATTTTTGCTTGTCTTGTTAATCGAGGTAATAAGTATAGATTACTTCACCAAAACTACAAAAGAAACCATATTTAAAATATCAATTGTGCATGAAAAAATTAGATTTATTTTTAATATAACATAATATATTTATTTGTATTATTAAATTAAATTAAATAATGCATATATATATTTGACAAAACATATATATTTTTATTTAATGTTTAATAAAATAATACATAAAACTAATTCCTGATTAAATTTTGTATAATCTCCGATTTTTTCGTTAGGTATTAGGTCTACATTCGGTGCCAGATAAGTGTCTAACGATTTTTTAAACAAGGGTTATTTCAGTTTAGTTTTAGATCCATATTGAATATATCTGCCTTTTAATGAAAACACTATAGAAGCTCATTGACAATCATAAAAGCTAGGCCGATTAACATTCATAAAAGGACTGGCCTAGTTACAACCATAAAGGCTCGGCTCATTAGAAATCAGATAAAAGCATATTTTTTTTTTTTACAAATAGAGACAACATTGCTTTCTATTGTGAACCCCTTTATCCCCCATACAAACAAAACAATTAAATACAAATGTTACTCTTTCTTCAATTAATCGCCTGCAGAGATGTTGTTGCCTCATATTCAATTGACTTAGTGAACTGCATAAACAACAACAAAAATAATAAAATTAGGATTTTGGTAACAAAGAACCGTGATGTTACTATACATTTTCTGAAAAAAACTCATACCTGAGATATCTTAAGATCAAGCTCATTCCACTCTGAAGATGGGTCACTTCCCGCTACTATCCCTGTCCCGGCATAGATCAATGCCCCAAGACCCTGTAAATCAAAAAACAGTTCAGCATTTTTTACAAGTTGTAGCAAAAACCGCAATGATCGATTTTGCTAGAAAACTTAGTGTTAGTGTTTCTTTTTTTTACAGGGAGAGAGATCAAATAAGCTCACCTTTTCAACTAGAGCTGATCTGATTCCGACTGCAAATTCACTCTCCTCGCCACCAAAAAACCCAATAGGTCCGGCATACATTCCTCTATCGAATGATTCTAGAAGAAGCGAAAATGTTTGAGTAAGCATAATTGTTAATCTCTAAGCAAGAATAGGCATCTATAGCTACTAGGAGATAGTTGAACCAAGACAAATATTTCACCTATTTCCTTAATCAAAAGCCTTGCTTCTTCTGCTGGAAGCCCACAAACAGCTGGAGTTGGATGCAGAGCAGCCAAGATGTTAAACTGTAGATGAATACAAGACAAAGGGTTAAATCAAAATTTGAAGAAAATATGAGCGTGGAGATGTAAAAACTATTCCAAAACTATTTTCTCACCTCGTCATCTTCCTTCGTAAGTTTCCCTGCCAATTGAGAATATAGGTGTTGCACTCTTGCAAGCTTCCTCACAGTTTTCTGGGGCTTAACAACGACTCTGTCACATATACCCTGCAAAGCAGAAGAAAGGATAATAAGAAAAATATACCAAACGACTATCCAAAAAAGGAAGGATTAAAGCTGCAGGGCATCAAGATTGAACTTACGTTTAACTTTTCTCTTATATTCTCTCGTACAATAGAGAACTCAAGGTCGTCTTTCGGACTGCACAGTTTAGCAAAGCACATCAGTATGCATATCCAGAAATTTCAATGAAATAAGAATGGAGAACTGGATTATAAAATTTGTTCAAAGCACTTGAAGCAAAAATTGACCTGGTTAGTAAGTCACGCTCTATCTCCATATCACGCGCCCTTGAAGCAGATCTAGGCCTAGTTGCAGCCAAAGCTTCACTACAGACACCTAATTGATTCCTTTGGAAAAGTCTCTCAGGCTGTTTCAGAAAGATGTATGTCAAGAACATATTTATTAGAATGGAGTAACGAAGGTGCACATATCTTTATCAACAGCACTTGTTTCATCCAAAAAAATGTAAAATCAAATAGAATGTATCACAGACTACTTATAAAAACATACCGTGTTTCCAATAAACGCTGGTGCACCAGGTGGTTGAAGACAGAACTGATATGCATCATGTCCTTCACGCTGTCACACAATAATTTGAGCGAGATGTAAGTCCTAACATTACTTTAATCTGAAGTTATACATACTCAATAATATCCAGAGACAAAAACAAACCTGTAACTGTGCTAGCCAAGCAATGGGATCAATATCGGTATCTGTAATAATCCTGCTGTTGCGAGCAAGCACAACCTGATTTCGCGAGCCGAAAACATCAGTTAAAGCGAAACCCATAAAAGTGTTTAAGAATAGATACAAACACGGTCTCTAAACTACCTTGTTAAGGGATGAACTTTTTAGCTTAATCATCTCCAAAGCCTTTTCTACAGCAGGGAAATAAGCCCCTTTGGTAGGAACATGATTCTTGCTTAAAACAGATACTCCTAAAGATCTGTTTCTTAACTTCTTTACAACAGAAGAAACCTGAAGCATAGTCTCCTGAAGAGCTTCAATAGCATTTTCCAACGTCCAAGAGAGTTCATCATCCCAAGCAACAGTTGCAGCCAACATTGAACTTCCACCAAACTCATTAAACTCAACCTGTGAAATGTATCAACCAGTCACACAACAACTCAAACTCCAAAATTCTCTTAAAAAAAGAATCAAAATTTAAGCTTTACCTGAGGCACTGAAAAGTAAAATGCACCAAAAGGTTCCCATTCCACAGCGATCTTGCCATTAGGATCAAAACGCATACCACCGTAAGCACGAATCAGAGGTGAAGTTGAAGACAAAAACCTCCGGATGGATCTCCAATCATCATGAGAGAAGGGATCAAGGTCACGGAAGAAAACTGCAGACCCGATACCAGCAACGCTAACCAGATTACGATCAGAAGACACTGATCCGTTTCCGTTCTCATTCTCGTTAGCTAGATCGAGGAGGAGATCGGGACGACCAACGTCACTGCGGCGAGAGAAGAAACAGCGAGGCTGAATCTCATTCTGGGCTTGAAGCCAATCGATTGCTCCGATTTGCTGGTCAATTGGAACCTGCACCAAATCCAAATTAGGGTTTATCAGATATTGCGCGGGAAAATTCGACTAGGATTTGGGGTTTTTTTTTTTTTGATAAACTCTGCGTGTTAATGTGTGAGTGCCTGTATCTGATCGCTGCCTTTACAAATTACAACCAATGGGTCCACAAACGTAAAAGCATTACTCTTCTAGCTAAATTATTTTTAGTACTTACTAAACTTTTGTAATAATTCTAGAACTTTTATCTCGGTAATACTAAACTCTAAGTTATAACAACCATATCTTTTTGTCTCGGTAATTATTAGTCATCTTGTAATAGTTTATGATTAATTTAAGTTGTTGACAAAAAGAAAAGAAAAAAATAAACAAAAGAAAGCAACAACGATTTTATTCTTGTGAGCATTATTAGATTCTTAAGTCTTATGCCATCGACCTAAGTCATCCAACCAATAGAAATCACTCGGCCACTTAACGAATCAAGAAAACAACTTGGTATGTCAATAATCACATGTATTCTTCTTTATTATCATCCTAAGTTGTTTAATTCATTTGTTGTATGGTTAAGAAAAAAATTATTCATTACACCCACACAAAAAAAATGGATTAAGAATTTTTTTAAAAAAGTAAATCCATTAGTCGCAAAAAGACTTGTAGCCTAGTGGCAAAGTTCACAGACTACCAATTCTCATTCCGTTAATAAGTTATGATCGTTCTTAAAAAAAAAAAAAAAAAAAATTCCGTAGTCGTGTTTTAAAAACCTCTCCATAAATAAAAGTTACTAGTAGTATTTTACTCTTCTTTATATGTTTTTTATATTATCACAATGATTAGGATCTATTTAAGAAAATAAAACAAATGATTAGGCACAGTCATAGACGAGAGACGATACAGCAAGCTAGAGAACGATATCACCACAGACCAATGTAAAAACACCACGTGGCGTGATCTCATTCTTTCACATATCGGATTCTGTCTTAAGCAAAAACAGAGGATGATGTAGTCATGTACCTGTAACCGGACGACGCCGGAGGAAAACGGCGGAGGTTGAGATTTGAGTTCAGAAACGGCGGAGATTAGCCTTTCAGTGGCGGCTGCCGGAGATAAGACAGCAGTCATAGTCCTTGTCTCCACTGTACCTAGTGGGGTCTTGAAATCTCCCTCACAACCATTCATAGACATGGAACACGACTCATACTTCTGAAATTATCCAATAAAATGAAGTTAATCATTATGGTCCTCCAAAAAGAACAGAATTATAAAAACAGAACACAAAACAATAAAGACCTTGCGGGAGAATCTAGTGAATGGGGTTGGAGAGTAACTACGAGAGATTGAAATGATGGAGCTGTGTTTTTTAGTGTTTGAGCCCAGAAACTGGGAAGAAAATTGAAGCGATGCCATTGGAGAAATTCTTAGAGAGGTCTTGGAGATTTTGTTTAATATTTAAATTTGGTGTTTGTAGCAAAGGAGACTATAGTATAGAGAGATTGCTCTTTTATTTTTTGGGTTTGAGTTGAGAAGAGATTTGAAGACAGATCATATAAATAGGGGATTGATGTAGCAGGGGCCCACTAAAATTAAGGATTTTCATTTCATTTTCACATAAATTTCTCAGAACTTCTTCAGTAAACTACTCAGAAATTTTAGTGTTTTTTCTAATCCTACTTTTTCTTCCATTCTATCTTTATGTATACAAAGAACCATTTTTCTAAAGTTAGTCGTGCATATTATATTTCATAAATCATTTTACTTGGTCTAAGAATTAAAAAATAATAATTTATATCAGTTAATTGATTGGTCTATTATTTAGTTACACACAAGTTAAAAGTAGAAACTAAATAAATTTAAAGCATAAAATCGTTTTGTATTAATACCTTGACAATTTGAAATAGTCAGAAATGAGGTAGTGTAAATTACATACACCCAGTCAAGTATCATCAATGAATGTAGTGTAGCTAAATGACGCATGGACAACATTTTCAAGTGGATTTTTTTTCCAAGCGGTTCCGCTCGTGTGGATGTTGTACGATAGGCGACTCTTCTCGCTTGATTCGGAAGCGGTTTGCACTTTAAACTATCGTAAAAAAACATTTAAGTTACATGTCACTACAAATTGCAAACGCATTAGAACTTCTCGTACATAAGGCATATGGCAGTAGACGCATGCTCCGTACATAAGGCATATGGCATTACACGCTTGCTCCTTTTAATTCTGACACATTTCTGAATTGATAGTAATAACAATTCTCAAGTGAATAGAAGTACTTTACATGTAAAACAAGTTTAGAAAATAGTAATAGATTTTTAACCTTATAGTTTCTTGGAAAAAAAAGTTCATTAGACCATCTCCAATGTAAATCTCTATTTTTTACTCTAAAATAGAGTAACTTTAAAATAGAGCATGATTTCTCTCCAATGTGTCACTCTATATGATACTCTAAAATAGAGGTAGTGTAGAAAAAAATAGAGTTACTCTATATATAGAGCAATTACATCTTTTACTCTATTTTAGAGTAATATATAGAGTAGGGTTGGAGAAAATATATACTCTATAATGGAGTTTTAGAAAAAAAAATAGAGTAGAATTGGAGATGCTTTTAGTTACACCCATCTATCTCCTTGAGTTTTTTTCTTTCTAGAATACCTATTTTTTTTCCCTAAAATGATCACAAGTTGAAAAAAGCTTTTAACATCCCACAATTTTTACATTAAAATGTTCCACAAGCTTATGAGCTTTTTAACATTTTTACCGGATTTGAATAAGATTAAATATGAGACTAATATAGTATTAGTGTAAACAATAATGGTATCAGATTTTTAAAATTAACAAAAAATAAAGATTTAAAATAGAAATATTGTGATGGGTCGTAGACGCGTAATTTCAAGATATAAGTAAGTTTATTGACCCCATGCGATGATGAACTTGATCTCTCTTTCACTAATAAGACAGATTCTTGTTCATTGTTGATTTAAGGATTAAAACTTTAAATCTTATAAAATAATCCGGAATCATATAAGATACTGCAGGATTACCCCACCGTTAATTTATTGCAAAAACGATTTATTAAGTGGACACATATAGATCATTTTCATTAAAATATAAAAATGCCTAAAAGTAAATAGTAGTACTACAAAAATATGTAACATAATAGTCTAGTGGTTAGTAATTTTGTATTAGTAATTCAAATCTGATACAAACTAAATTTGTAAAACCCAATACTATTTGAAAAAACCTTCATCAGATATATCTTTGCATTATTTTGAGGAGTCAATTACTTCTTTTTTTTTGGGCAAAAGCTTGTTTTCATTCAATCACTCAAATGTAGTACAAGGCTTGGGAGAAATAAACATTCTCAATGATACAACAAGATTAAAAGGATAAAAGGAGAATAACGATAATCCGAAAATAACGATAAAAGGAGTCAATTACTTTAAGTATCATTTTTGCTAGGAAACCCACTTTGGCTCCTTGAGACCAATTTTTATCATTTAAAAAATATTTTTTAATTATGAAAAAAAGGAACTTAATTCAAATATAAATTTTGCTTTAATTACATGTTTTTCATTTTGAGTCAATTACGACCAGACGAGACTGGAAGAACTAAGAAGAGTGAAGAAGTGCAACAATTTCGGTCCCCAACAATTTCCCCAAAATTTCCCTGAAATAACCACCAAAATACACATTTTATTCCCATGTACATATGATGATTAAGACGTGTCACCAAACTATTTGAGAAAACGATTATTCTTTGTCTTAAGATTTTTGTCTGATTGAATCAGCGTGGTCAAAATGAATATTATTAAGACTAGACTTGAGAAGTCAAATTGTTATTTTATCATAACGAGCTATTAAAATTAAGAAGTCCTTCTAATAGTCCAATTCCAATAGAATGAAACCATAATTCAACAAGCATTGCTGTTGTAAAACTGAATAAACTGTACACGTTCCGAAGATATTATAGTACGACTTTTACGATTTTAAAAATGTTGGACGCGGTCTCAGCTGAAGATAATTTTATTGTTATTCAAGACTTTGAATAATGTGTGTTCTGGATGCTACGAATTTTCTTAGTTTCGTAGAAACAGTTTAGCTTGTTCTCATTTCCGTCATCCTTTGGACAATCGGACTTAAGTTTAGTGTCGTATGCTTTAGTTCGAAATCTTGAATTCTATATGTAAATATGACTCTATGAGTGTACTAAACACTTTTTATTTTCTTTACGAAAAATTGATTTGGTTAGTCAAATAACTAGAAAAAATGTAAGTTAGTATTTATTGTTTTCACACTGACGCTAACAATTTTCTTCTAACATTATCATTCGAGTTCTTAATTACGAATGATGTAGTCCCGTCAAATTTTATTTAAATTCCTGCATGGATATATATATTTTTGTGTGTGACAAAGCATGGATAATTCATTGCAATGAGGAAAAAAGTTGGGAAAAATAAAGTCGTTATCTGGAGTTTGAGTTCCTACGAAAGAAAATTCTACTTGCAAAATTATTACATGTTTTAATCTTTACTACAAAGTCCAAAAAATCTACGAGTTAAAACAAAATCAAAAATGGTTATTTAGCAAGACTAATTTTAGATAAACAGAGCATAAATTTTGACAAAAAAATAAACAGAGCACAAAGATCAAGAAAATTAACCAATAAGGAAAACAAAAACTTAAAAGATGATAAACACATAAATCAAGAGTTAACAGAAAGTACACATAAATTAGGAAATAAGGTAATAATATAATTACTCTACGACTAAACCTATAATTCAAATGTTCACACACCATTAAATAAATCCAAACTTTTATATTTGACAACTTAGAACATAAGGCTAATTAACTTCTATTACAAGGAGAAAGACTACAAGGGTTGAACCCTAGACATGTTTAGACAACTTGGGAAATAAGTCCAATTAAACTACTATACAAGTTGTCCAAATCCCATACTTTTGATCACGCTGGTCAGAATAAAAATATACATGAAATGGGCATTGCGATTGATTAGTTTACCTTACGCGGCACAAGCTTCAAATCAGACAAAAATAATTTTGAGTGGCGATCAATCATCATATGGGACAAAAGGTTATACGTATAAGTTCGCATAGCAAATTTTTTCTTTTTTTTCTTATAATAAATTCTGGTTTAAGTATGGTTGCAATTTAATTATTTTAAAATCAATTAACATTTGAAAATATTATGTAAAAATATAACCAACAACTTTCTTTTGCAGAAATCAATTTTCTTTATTTTTGTTAAAAGAAAATTAATAATGAATATGGGATATTATTATATTAATACAAATAAAGAAAATTGATTTCTGCAGTCAATGATTTTACATATCAAATCTTGGGAGATGGTCTTGTACACAGAAATTTGATTTTCCAAAATCAATGAATGATTTACATAGCAATCTTGTTGCAGAGAAATAATAAGATTTTCCCTGAATTTATCTGATTTCGGTGTCCTTGTCTATATTCTCTACTTCCACAGTTCATTTTTTCTCTTATTTCTCGAGATAGAAGAAATCTTAAATTCAACAAGAGAATACAATGTTTACCTGTGCAATACAAAAACTTGGCCAACAAAAACAAAAGTGTGTAAAATCTACAAGAGTGTTTACTGTTTAGAATCCTTGTGTTAGTGCAAACACACGTCCCTCTAAAGGTGGAGGCAATGCAGAAACCGCATCTTCGATTTCCTGTGAAAACTCGCAAAGATTAATGAATTACCACTACAAGGACAGAAAGTTACTAATTTTTTACTGTTTCATAACCAGGTTGGATAAAGAAGACACACCTTCACTGTATACCGAGCCGAAAAGTGGATTAGCAGGATTGCTTTGTTTTCAAACTTTTCAGCATGATTAACTATCTGCAGTTTAAGGAAATAGGAAATCTTTTATGAGCATCAAGACAGAGAGTAACAAGGGATTTCAAAGAAAGGAGGATCCTGACCTCAGATAAATGGATATGTCCATAATCTCTCGCATGCTCTATGGATACCGAATCATCAAGAAATGTGCTCTGCACAATAGGAATTAGAGAACCACAGCTTCTCTTTAATACAAAGCCAGGAAAAACTATATATCATTATAAATCACGCACATTGTCCTAATTCATATCAGCAGCAAATATTCACCTCCATAACGAGAACCTTTGCCTTGAGAGCATCAACATTACTTTCATCAACTACAAAATCTGCCGTTGTATCTCCCGTAAAAGCGACTTCAGGAGTTGTTATGCTGTCTGTAATCTACAATCCAAAATCCAAACTAATTAAACAGGCTTATATTTTGGAAAGACCATTGCAAAATTATTGAATATGTGATAGACAAACATAAGAAAAATTTGATAAGCAATATAAGGAAGTCAAAGACAAACCTCAACACCTGAAGCCTTCAAATTCTTAATTTCATTTCCAGATAGGCCAATATATTCCTGCTTGAGTTTATGTTTAGTTGAATACACTACATAACCCTGCAAAATATCACACGAAAGCATGAATTCAATGAAGACACAAAACAGTAAGATATCGAAAATCTCATGTGAAAGAAACCTGGCTTTGGATGACATGGTATGTCTTAAAGGCTTTCACTTTAAGATCTTTCCTTATAATAAACTCCTCTCCTACACCAAGAAGTGCCCAGGGTTATAAAACAAAACCCAAAATCCTCTGTTGCAATGAATGCTAGAAGCTGAATTACCTATGTCCAAGCCAACAAGATTGTGCTTTAGCTCTGAAGAATCTAACTTCCTGTGAACTTCGAACAACTCTCAACAGTTTCTTTAATGGATTTGGGTACTATAATGGTTGGAGGCTTCATTTTGTATAAGCCTCTAGTCGCAACATACATTGGTAATCCACCCTAGCATAACAATACGAACAGTTTAGCTCACAATCTGAGAATGTGACATCAAAACAGTAACATAAGCTAATGATAATAAACACATGGTGGCTCAACAAGGGGCTTATCAAAATTGCCCGCATAACAAAAAGTCAAAGAACAATCTTTGCAAAACCTAATCAGAAAGTTCAAGTCTTTTTTCTCAGAAAATGATTCTTACGATATGATCCATGTGAGAGTGAGAGATAAAGAGGAAGTCTTGAGAAATTGCGCGATGTGGGCAGCGACCAATATCGAAAGCTATCCGAAGAGATGGAAATATGATGCACGTCTCGTGCCCACCAATCGACAATCCCTCGATTGGATAACCTTCGATTTGCATTGCTTTCTTCTTCTCCATCTCACTGTTCCTTAGGGGGTTTATCGAATTTTGGCTGTCTTCGTTCTACTGACTTTGAACCTCTCGTCAAAAATTGAGCACCAAGTGTTCGATGAAATGTCTCGCAATCACAAACTTTTTCTTCCACGATCAAATTATTTAGTTGGCGAAAAAAAAAACAAATCAAATTATTAGTTTTTCTTTTTCGGATTGGGCTTAGGCCCATAACGGTTAACGAGACTTTTTTGAATTGGGCTTCGGCCCATAACGGTTAACGATACTTCACTAGAGCGGGAATCACTGGCTAATAAAATTCCCACGTGCCTCACTGGCGCAAAAGTTGGTCTTTCGCATTCAACGACAGTGGAAGGGTATGAATGTAAATTTACAAGAATGCTTCATTAGAACGTAGCGGCATTCTTACACTTGTTTTCGAAGTTATCTCGACGACTATTACAAAATCTGAGCAATTTCAATTAAATATCTGTAATCTTTTATTTTTTAATTTAGGCATACACTAATTCTTAGACTAATAATTAAGTAATTATCCTTTTTTTTTATCTAACGCATTTAATGTTTTTCAGCTTTTTTTCTTTATAGATTGCTCTCAACTCTTCTTTTATTTTCCCTCTTTCGAGTTCTGAAGTTTTCTGAAAAAAAAAGTTAACTAAATTTCGGAGATGATCCAACGGTTAGAAATCAACGGCGTAAGATTGGAGTTATGGAGATTCGTTTACTTTTTTAGTTAAAATTAGAAATATATGTTGGACAAAAAAAAAATTATATATTCATTTTCTCTTTCCGTCTGGTCACTGAAACCACCACCGAAGAGAAACAGTTCTTTAGAGCATCAAAGCTCCGAGGAAGAGAGAGAGACGCTAATGGAAGCATTGAACTAACAACTCTAAATTTCTCATTTTAAGGTATATATTCTTCTTCTTTGTTTTTGTTTGGTCTGAATCGGACTCGGATTTAGAACAGAGATCCGACGGTTACTCGTACTTGAAACCGATCTTTTTATTGGACATTGTTCGAGTAGTGTTGGGTTTTAGAAGGATCTCACTGTTTGAGATTTGTTGTTTGACTCTGTCGGTGTTTTTTGTTTGTTTGTTGTTGTTGTTCATTTGGAAAGTGGATTTTGAGTACTTAGGGTTCTTCTTTTTCAGTGTGAGTCCCAGATCTGGTCATTTCACTTCCTAAGTTTTGATTAAAATTCCAAAATTTGTTAATTTATTTATGGTAATCATTGTTTATCTATGTTCTTTCTTGATTAATGATTAGGTTTATCTTTTAAAGCTTATTATTAGACTTGATTAGAACAAAGTAATGTTACTCTCTTTTTTTTTTGCCATAACTAAATAATGAACTAAAAGATTTCTTCAATTTGAGTATTGGTAATAGACTAAGAGTAGCCATATTGACTTACTAATATTGGCTTGTGTTGTTTCTTGCAATGCAGGTGTGTTTTAGTTCCATATATTATGGGGAAGTCTACAAAGTGGTTGAAGAATGTATTGCTTGGAAAAAAAACATCTAAATCTAGTGGTTCCAAAGGAAAAGAGGTAAACGCTTTCGTAAGAGTTTTCTATAATATGTCTGATGATTGCTAGTCTAAATATGTGGAATTTGGATCAAAATTGAGATTTTGTATGGAGGATAACAGTGGTGGTTTTAGGCTACTAATTTGCTTAAGAATGTCTTTTTTTTTTTTTGGTTTTTGTTCTAATTATTGTTTTCATGTGCAGAGAGTTGTGAGTGGAAATGAGGTACTGGTTACTTCAAAGGTAGAAGAATCTGATGTGGTATCAGATCTTCCTTCTTTCGCAGTTGCAGAGACCAATACAGTTGATAGAAGCACTGGTACATTAGAGACGCAAAATGTAGAACCTGAAGAGGTCTCAGATGATGAAATAGAGCTTCCTGAGGGAAAACCAATAGATTCTCAGAATGTTGCACCAGTTCAGGATAATTCACTATCTGATGCAGAGAGAATCCAACGAGAGATTGCAGCAACGTCTGTGCAGGCTGCGTTTAGAGGTTACTTGGTAATATTTAGGCTTTGCTCTCTTGATTGCAGCTTTTGGTGTGTTTTCTTTTTGTAAATCCTAACATGAGCTCATTGTGTGAAGGCTCGGCGTGCTTTTTGGGCACTCAAAGGCATAATAAGGCTACAAGCACTTATCCGTGGTCACCTGGTTAGGAGACAAGCTGTTGCAACTCTTTTCTCTGTCATGGGAATTGTCAGGTTGCAAGCATTTGCTCGAGGAAGAGAGATCAGGAAGTCTGACATTGGAGGTCAAGTTTATAGGAAATGCAGATTGCAGCTACTTCAGGTAATGATACTTTCATTTCTTTGTCAGTTCAAGTTCCCTTGCTAAGTGTGAGTGGTGGCACTTATATACTAACTTAGTCCAGGAAGATATTCTAGTTGGGATTGGTGGGGAAAAAATTGTTTATTTTCTTGTCAAATTAGAACTGGCTTTTCTGTTTATCAGGGGAACAACAAGCTTGCAAATCCTACAGATGCTTACCTTGGAATCAAGAAACTAACAGCCAATGCTTTTGCTCTGAAGGTACGCTTGTTGATAGAGCTATTTATTGCAATGAAATTTGGAGAAACAAAAAAGGAGCCAAAGTTCACTATATGGAATTTCTCTTTTATATTATGGAGCCTCTAGTTTTATTTTAAGATCTTGATGGATAATTTTGTTTACAGCTTCTCGCTTCATCACCAAAAGTGATACCTGTACACGCCTATGATACATCCGATCCAAACTCAAACTTGATCTGGTTAGAGAACTGGTCAGCCTCATGCTTCTGGAAACCAGTTCCTCAACCAAAGAAAACGATAAGCAGAAAACCTCAGAACAAGCTTTTAGTCGAGGCTGAATCTGCTAAACCCAAGAAGAGTGTCCGTAAAGTTCCTGCTGCAAACTTTGAAAGTTCCTCAGTACAGACATCTTTTGAGTTTGAGAAACCCAAACGCAGTTTCCGGAAAGTTTCAAGCCAGTCAATAGAGCCACCTGCTGTCGAAGATCCTCAGATTGAACTTGAAAAAGTTAAACGTAGCTTGAGGAAGGTACATAATCCTGTAGTTGAGAGCTCTATCCAACCTCAACGATCCCCTCGTAAGGAAGTCGTGAAGCCAAAGCTTGGCATTGAGAAGACAACGGAAACATCATATCCGTTGGTTCATGAAACTGCAGAAGAACCTGTTAATGTTTGTGACGAAAAGAAAAAGCAAGAAATGCCTGAACAGCCTGAGGAGTTACATATTCTTGATATGGAAGTACATACTCCTGGACCATTAGAAACCAATGAAGCGCTTGATTCCTCACTGGTCAATCAAATTGACAGCAACGAAAAAGCCATGGTTGAGGAAGAACCCTCAATGGAAAAGGATACTAAAGAAGAAAAGACTCCCAAACCAAACAATAAAGAGAATTCCGCTGGGAAGGAGAACCAGAAATCCAGGAAAAAGGGTTCAGCTATTAGCAAGACCGAGCGTGAAGAGAGTAATGGGCATCATCAGACTAGCCCATCAATCCCAAGCTATATGCAAGCAACTAAATCGGCGAAAGCAAAGCTGAGGATGCAAGGCTCACCAAAGTCTGCTGAGCCAGATGGGACTGAGAAAACCAGTGCTCCCAGACGTCACTCTCTACCATCTCCAGGTAATGGCAGGATCACCTCTCAATCTCCAAGAACAACGAGACTCGCAAACTCAGGTGACAAAACCAGGAATAAGAAGGAGAAACCTCTTCTGTCGTCCCAAGAAGGAAACGGTTAGTGCCAAAAACCAATACATGCTTAATGAGTTAATGAGATCAAACTACATTCTCCAAATCTCTCAAAGTGCTTTCTTTGATTATCTTACTGAAAACCACTACAGAAATTACACATTCTCTTGCATCTAACTGCTCTAAACTGTGTTGTTGGCTTTGCAGCCAAGACAACCCCGACAGAGCGGAAGAGGTGATTGATTCCTGCAGGAAGTTGAAGCCTTTATCGTTCTTGATTCTATAGTAGCGACAATACCAAACATGAAGAATGCGACCATCTTATCTTTTTAAAAGCTAGATTATGAGTCTGTGATTGTGTTTTGTGTGTGTTTATGTTGGCCAAGTGTTATCGTTGGCAGCTAAGTTTCTGCAATTGTGAGTGTGTCCCGAGCTGATAATGTTACATCACAAGGCTTTTTGGATCATCTTCTTCTTCTGGTTTTATCGTAACATTACTTCGATTACTTTTGAATTATGTTTATATGAATCTGTGATTACTTTACAATGGTCTCCATCATTTATATGTTCGTACTTCTTAATCCTTCTAAGTTTAAGCTTACAGACAAAACTGCAAACTTACTCCTCTGTTTTGGGTCTGAATTCTGGTCTATGTTCTTCAACTGAAGAAAACGGAACATACATGAAGCATAAAGAGAATGGTTTTTCTTCAAGTGGTATCTTTCTTTCACATATATGATCTTAACTCGATCGGTTTCTATCAAACATTTCAGATCTACGGTACCGATTCTTTCTATGAACATCAAACTGAAGTGAAGAAAGCTTATGCGAAACCGCAGACCAAATCATATTCACAGAATCTCCAACTTGCGAAGGAAAGCGATACTCGAAACACTCAGCAACCTCTTTCAATCTCCCCCACTTCTTCTTCCACTGATCCTCTGTTATCCCTCTGAGAAGATTCACCAAAAACCCTTTCTTTACAGCTTCAGAAGCATGCACAAACACGGAGAAACCCGAATAATCTAGAGTATCTTCAAACGGAAGCTCAATCTGATCACTGATTATAACCGGAACACAATGGCTCACGATGGCATCGAAAAGACGGTTTGAGGAAGGAGTGTCACCCGCGATATTGAGACAAAACTTCGAGGAAGCCATTCCTTTACCAGTTTGTTTAGTCCCATTCCCTCTAACAGTTCCAAATGCAAAGTGAATATCTTTCTCATCTTTAAGAAGGTTATACAGTTCTTGACGAATAGTTCCACCCTAAGACGAAAAAATTTGATGGCTGAGATTAGAATCAGTAAACAAGATTGATAGAATAGAGAGGAAAACTCAAAGTCACTTACATCTTTTCTGTAGATTGCTCCTTGGAAATATGCCAATACAGGACGCTTCTCAAACGGAGCTGACTCATTGTTAGAGATAGTCTTAACGACGTGCAAGTAAGGCGCAATGATATCTTTCTCAAGATTGGCAACCGCGGATGAATACCTTCCGAAATCCGAAAGAACAAACATTGCGGATCCAAGAAAGTTTCTTGCATAGAGCAAACTGTTAGGATGATGAGCTATTATCAGATGATCTTTCCCATCAAATCTTTTCCATTCATCTTGACTTTTCAAGAACTTAACTAATCTTTCTTGTAACAATCTATCACCACTGATGGTTTCGTTCCCACGGAGCTTAGATTTGCGATTGTAACTCAACGAAGCAAAGAAAGGCACGAAAACTATGTCAGCTTCATTAGAGTTCTTCACTCTAATTGCTGCACTACTACAAGGTCTCTTGATGTCAGGTGTCTCTGAAGCTAAAAGATCAAGTGTTAGCCAATACTCTACACTGTGTTGCCGATTTAACCCACCAGGATAAGATGGGATTGTACTAAAGTTCTTGATATTTGGCCAAATCTCAGATCCTGTTTTGTGCCAATTCAATATCCCAAAGTGAAATTCAGAGGGTAGATCGTACATAAACACCTTCAACACATCTCGGTTTCGATCGCATAAAGTATCGATTTGCCTTCCGAAATCCTCGTTCTTGATGTCTGTTCTTGGAGGAATCAGCTTGCGAACTAAATTTGAAGTGAAAGAGGATTCGTTGCGTTGGAGGAAGAAGAGAGAAGAGACAATGAAGAGTAGCGTTGAAACAGTTATCGTGTAAAAGAGAAATTTTGAAGAAAGCAAACTCTTTTCCGACATTTTTTTTGTTCGAACCTCAATCATCCAAACAAAACCAAAGTGGGTTGGGTTGGGTTTGATTTTCTTTTCCGTTAATCGAGTTGCAGAAAAAGGTTCCAGCTTTCGAACATCATCGATTGAGAAAAAAATAGTTAAGTACCTGAGGAAATAGGGTTTCCGGAGGTTTTACGCCATGGCAGGAGAAGAGAGAGTTTGATGCATGTTTCACTCTTCTTGACAGCCACTTTTTAGGAACCAGAGCAATTCGAGTTAAAAGATTTGGTCTTTGATCATCAAATGTCCCAAGCCATCACTTTTTTTTTTTCTGGTATTGAGGTGAATGATTTTTATTTTTTTAGTCAAAGAGTGTTCAGAGTTGAGACCCTTTCCCTCTGTTCACGACAATTGGTGAAGACTTTACCGAGGGTTCCCAAAAATTGTGAAATATGTCTTAAGAATAAAGGACACAACTTTTATTGTTTTTCTTGCTAAATATATAAATATAAACACCTCAAGGAAGAAGAAACATATTGTCAAACGGTAATGACTGATTCATAAAAAATCATAGCGATTGGAAGCTTTCAATATAGATATGAAAGATGTCTTTAGTTATTAAAAAAAAAAAGAGCATATGGAAAACATCATTCATTTAGATAATTTTCACATTTAATTTAGTCATGAAAGATTGTCATTTATTTTGCGATTTATATCATGTATATTCAACATGTGTGAATGCATATTAAATCCCCTAGATATTTTTTTTTGCTATGTTTATACATTTTAATTCATGTATATAAGAAAAATGCAACTATCATTTATCTTTTCTGATTTGATATGTAAATTAATTCAACATGTGTCAATGTATAATAAATGGGATTATTGTTGATTTTGCCATTTTTCATAGAAATCTTTTGAAATTGCCATTTTTACTAAAATTTTATGGATATGCCATTTTCTAACACTTAAAATATACGTATTTCGGATTTTTTTGGTAAAAATACGTAGTTTATACAAAATACTAAACCCTAAGAACAACCACAACCGACTAAACCCAAACATAACGAATAAAACGCATGTTAAATCATATTTCCGTAGCCTGAAAAAATGGCAAAATCCATAAACTATTTAAAAAAGGGCAAAATCCACAAATGCCATCCAAAAAAATGGCAAATCCATAATTGATTCATAATAAATTACTAAATCTATCATTTGCTATTTTAAAGCATTTTCATTAATGGATATAAGATACTACCAAACAAAATTAATGGATATAAGAAATTTCATATAACTTTTACTCTTTTATTTTGTGATTTGTCATGTGATTCAATAAGTGTCAATATGTGATTATTTATCTAATCTTCCAGATTTTAATTTATGCGCATAGAAAACATATATATACTATATTATCATTTCCTTCAATCATAAGTATTATCATGTATATATATATATATTACTGAAAAGAGTTGTGATATATCGATCAAGATTGCATCATGGCAAATAAGGATGTTAGACAGAGTACACACATACGTGAATATGATGAAGTTCTAAGTTTGTAAGTATTTTTTGTTAGTCAATTCATAATTTACTGTTATAATAATTAATAATAAATTTAATAGCTTTTGAACTTTTTTTGGTTACGGGAGGTTGACGTGGAGATTATTTTCACCCGTCATGCACATTTATATACTCTGTTCTCTTCTTTTAATGGCTGCATGGAAGTTTGATAATGGGTTCACCCACGAAGGGTTACTTTTGGCTCCACTCTACCTCTTGGCCACTATAGGAGAAGTGGCAGCTAAAATCCTCAATGACAAGGAGGCAGGGTACGTAACCAGAAGTTATAGCCATCTTCTGGGAGGTTACACCATCCTTATGCTGAGCTTTGATTGTGGAATGTTTCCTCTTGTAATTGGTCTTCTATGGGCTCTATTTGTCTCGATACTCTTTCCGTATAATTATGATTTAGTTGCTTGAAGTTGTTAAACCAATTCTTTCAATCGGCATATTTGGTTTGTAATTCTTGTAATTTAAATATAAAACTAAACCAAAGTTGATTTGATTGAACCAAGTCTTTAATTTTTCTTCTTCTTTTGTTTGGATATATTTCGGATAGATGTGATTAAAAAATCTTGATTATAATCGAACCCGAATAAACTTTGATTCTATGTTGGTTTTCAATTATATTAACTGAACCGATCCGGAGCAAAAAATATCTAAATAGATTTATTTTTGGAAAATTTGGAAAAATAACCCACAAAAATTTATAAATTAGGTAAGTAACCAAACAAAAAAAGGAGAGTGATATTGTGTGTATAAACTATAAACTGTAAATCGGACTCTTTTACCCTTTTCTCTTTCCAGATGCATAGACAGCACAAATACGTCTCCATTTCTATCTCCATTCTCCAGAGTCCAAATGCACACCAAAACTCAATTTCACACTCAGACAAAAACAAAAATTGCACAAGTCCTCTCAATTTCACGTTCATGGTTTCTGCTCTGGTTAGTTTTACCGGAAACTCTCACTAGAAGGTCAAATCTGTTCACCACCACTAGCAATATATTTGTCGGATTGTGTTCAATAATCTTCACTTTTTCACTAAAGTAGATATGAGGATTACTAGATTCATAGATCCATGAGAATAAAAATGAAGAATTTGAAACCGCGAAATCAATGATAATGAAGCTTACGACCACCACCACCGCGCCGACCACCACCATCATTAACGCTAGTGCTGCTGCTGCCGTCACCATCGGCACCGCCGCTGTTGCCGTTACCATCGCCACCACCACCACGCTAGCCCACGCTTCTCTCTCTTCTTGCGTGTCCACAAACCGAAACGAGTGTGAAGGATCACGCGTCACTCTCTTCTTCACACGCGCGTCCTCATGCCTTAAACAAGGAGTTACTTGACTTTTCATCCCTCTCTAGTGTTATTTACTAAATTTTGCACATTAAAGTGCTATATTCTTAAATAGTTTATCAAAAATGGTTATTTCTGCAAATCACTCTTTATTTTTTATAAAAAAAATCTAGTTTTTTTTTTTTTTTTGCTAAGAATGTAAATATTTCATAAAATGAAAAATGTTTAGGTTTACAATCGATGATTATAATCCTAGAAAATGGTTCCATGGCAAAAAAGATAAAAACATGGAAGCATAAGTTAGTAACCACGGTTTTCGGTCCATCCACTCAACCATAGCGAAAGAGCTATGAGAGTTAAATGAAGCGATGACGATTTTGTTGTTCTTCCTAGAAGAATTGCAAAAGGAGAAGGGCGATTGCGAATTGTGACCGCCGAGTTGCATAAGACACATAGCTCTAGAAGCCTTTCAAAGGAGGCCCGAGACCGAGATGTCAACGGAAAAAAACTCCAAACCCTGCCACACATTCTCTCCCCGCAAAATGCAGAAGCGATTCTTTGATCAAGTCCATGAGCTTTCTTTGGACGGAACCTCACACGCCAAATTATGCCAACGGTGTGTGCTCCCTCTACCAAGTTCACCCGAAGTCGGCTAGCGCAGAGCAATAATAAAAACAGTTCACCACCACACCAAAGGCCATTAGCCTTACTAGCTCCTCTATAGCACAATCTTAACGCAAGCAAGAGGCGGACACTCAAAGCATAGCAAACTTCTACCAAAAGGCAAAAACAAAAGCAAGCCACAACAAAACCAGGCCTTGAACCAAACCAAAAGTCTTGGTATACATGTAACGTCCTCAATTGGCGATGAAAGCTAGTACCACCGGTAACTAAAACATCAACAAATCAAACACTACTGCAGCCATAAGAATGATCAAAAGAGCATCCGAAAAGACAAAACAACTTGACCTGCCACGAGGAAGCACTCTCCTAATAATCCTGCCAATGTCCACGAGCAGAAGATGCCAACAGAGAAAAGCTTCTTCCAAACGTCAAGGCTTGTCGAGACAGAAAACTCAAAGCAGAAACAAACAACAGCCAAGTCCTGAAACCTAAGCGAAGGAGAGACGAAAGAGAGGTCGAGGCTTCAAAGGCTCGGAAAGTTAGAGAACAACAAGCTAGGCTGGTAAGCTCTCGACAGAGCCGCTGAAAACCACTCGAATCAAAACTCCAAAACTCGAAAACGACTCGCACGGGGTGGACAGAAGCTACTGGCTACTAGGAAAAGCCGTCCTCAAAGCAAATCCCAACAGAGAGAAGCCCAAAACCGCCGGTAGACACGAGTTGAAGCGCGATGGTTAGTCCAAGAGGAGTCTTGGAAAATGCGAGACCAAGCAAGGCGGGAGAAGCCACACCACAGCAACGCCGGGAGAAGCCCGCACCGCCACCAGAAACGCCAGGAAGAAGGAGATCTAGAAGTAGATCTACAAGTGAGAACTTGCTCCGCCGCCAGAGAGGCGAGTCGCTAGGGAAGAAACCAAGCCTCCGCCTTGATCTGTCGCCGTCTACAGGCAATAGGGGCAGAGAGCATGAGATTCCGACCACCGAGAACGGCCGACACGCACGGCGGACCCTCAACTCTCACCGCGACTGTGTAGTTTCTATATGTTAGCCAATACTCTACACCCACCAGGATAAGATGGGATTGTACTAAAGTTCTTGACATTTGGCCAAATCTCAGATCCTGTTTTGTGCCAATTCAATATCCCAAAGTGAAATTCAGAGGGCAGATCGTACATAAACACCTTCAACACACCTCTGTTTCGATCGCATAAAGTATCGATTTGCCTTCTGAAATCCTCGTTCTTGGAAGAATCAGCTTGCGAACTAAACTTGAAGTGAAAGAAGATTCGTTGCGTTGGAGGAAGAAGAGAGAAGAGACAATGAAGAGTAGCGTTGAAACACTTATCGTGTAAAAGAGAAATTTTGAAGAAAGCAAACTCTTTTCCGACATTGGTTTCGAGCCTCAATCATCCAAACAAAACCAAAGTGGGTTGGGTTAGCTTTGATTTTCTTTTCGGTTTATCGATTTGCAGGAAAAGGTTTCAGCTTTCGACCATCATTGAGGTAAATAGTTATTACCTGGTGGATTAGGGTTTCCCGAGGTTTTACTACGCCATGGCAGAAGAACAGAGAGTTTGATGCTGATACTATCAGACAACTTCTCGAAATCAGAGGACTTCGAGTTACAAGATGTGGTCTTTGATCTTCACATTCCCAAAGCGATGACTTTCTTTTTTTTCTTTGAATTAAATTTTTTTTTTCCGAGTCCACAGTCTCCTCTGTTCAAGACAATTGGTAAATGGTAAAGACTTTTTTTCCCAGGCGGACATAAAACCTTCAGATTTTTACTTTGTTACTATTCGCTTTTTCTTTTGTAAATATTTCAGATGTTTTTAAAAATATCCTTTACAACTTTTTTTTTTAATTACTAAAATTTCACAGTTCGTGTATGCTATAGGAAACGTATGGTACTGAATATTGATGATAAATATTATATAACACAGACAATAACACTAAAATTTAATCATCATAACAACAACAGAAACATACTAGAATTAATTAAAGAAAATATTCAATACAGTAGTAGATTGCGGTTCCTCTTTTAATGTTTTTGCTTATGGACATTTTGGTCCACCTTGTTGAGTCTTCCAGTTGTTGTAACAAGGACACACTTGTTTATTGCCGTACGTGCCTGGAGGGACACAAAGGCATTTAGCACAACACTTCTGGCAGAAGAACATGCATGGCTTATGATACTTTGTGTTACTACACCTCCTCGTGCATTGTCCTCCACATTCTGCAATCGTAATAATCGAGTTTTAATTTGATTAAGAATAAGAAATGAGAATTCATAAAAGAAGAAGAAGTTTTACTTACGGTATGATTTCAGACTTCCGGGTCCATACTGTTTTCAAAACAAAATTTAACATGGGTACGTATTAAATTTATAGCAATCAATAGAAAGGGAAATGGAAAAGAATTAAAATGAAGATTATATAAAACTTACCCTTTCTGGCTGGTACTCAGCTTCTTTTGACATAGTGAGACAAATGAAAGAGAAGAAAATTGTGACTAAGAGAAGAAAAGTTATGAATTTGGCCATGACTGACTTTTGAGGGAGAGAAGATGTGTAGGTAGTGGAGCTCTTAGTTCTTAGTTTGAGAAATTTATGAATGTGTTGTGTGTAATAACCTGTTTTGTCAGCTATTTATAGAAGGTGTGTGTAAGCTTTCTTAGTCACATGTATAATAAGTTAATAACGGTCCATATATAATACTGCCTTTATATATCTCATCCTGCCACTTGATTTACATTTTTTTTTGTTAAAAAATCTTATTTACATATTAAAACGTAAAATTAAAACAAAACACAAAATTAAAAGTAAGAAAAAAACGCAACATACTAATTAAAAGTAGTTTCAAGTTTTCAACTATACTTATACAAAGCTATCTATCATCGACCAACTTAATCGGTTAAATTTGAAGAATTTTTGAGAAAAAAAAAGAAATATCTAACGTTAAGTTCGAGTTAACTTCAGTGGTTAAAAGACTCAATGCAAAAAATATTTACATGTGTTTTCTGTTCAGATTCAAAGAACTATGAATCATAAAACTCACATCTCTTTGGTGGTAAAAATTAATGACCGGTCCAATTAATGATCGAGATTCGGTATCCAAATACAATTAAATTTATTTATTTTTTTGACATTCGTCGTAACATTTAGCATAAGAAAAAGTGAACAAGTTGATACAATTAGGCCAAAAGAGTTACATTTGGGACTACCCAAATTGAAGAAAATGAAGGGTATAATGGTAAAAGAGAGTGAGTAACATGGAAGAACAGTTACATATCCAATGCAAGTGATTGGGACCCGTGTTCAAAAAATCGCTAGGCGCTAGTCGGGCGGTGAGGGTGCGCCTAGCGCCTAGCAAGAAAATCGGAGATTATACGGGGATTAATCGGGGATTAGTTTTAGGGCTATTTAATGTTTTAAAAATATATTAATCCATTATAAATAAGAAATTTATATAATCTTGTTTTTAAAATTGCATTAAACACATGAAAACAAGAATTTAAGGTCAAATTTATGATTTTTATAAAAAAATTATGAATATAAGTGAGACGTTTTGAATTTTAGATCCAAAAAAAGAAAAAAAAATGTAAAAAAAAAAAAAAATTGGGCTAGGCGCCGTCTAGGCGGGCTAGGCGGACGCCTAGGCGGTCTAGGCGGACAAAAATCGGTGATCCGATTTTTTTACCGATTTGGACAAAATCGCCGCGGTCCCCACCCGATCAGCGCCTAGGCGGCCGCCTAGGCGGCTAGGCGGCCGATTTTTAGAACAAGGATTGGGACCAACCAACAAACAAAGGGACCGATAAGAGCAATCTGGGAGTGGATTCATGCCACTTTTCCTCTTATCTCTTAGCAAGATGATCAAAGAGAGCCGTTCGATGTAGAGGAGGAGCAACGTGTCTAGATCTCGGAGGTGGATAATGAGATCATGCAAACTTAAGGTGGGGAATTGATTGAAGAATCGAGAGAGAGACAAAAGGGTAGAGGCAGTTTTCGCGCATGCATAACTCCATGTGCACACTCACATGGGAGACATATTCTATCTAATGCTTTCAACAAACATAACGACCTTTTTTCATCTTTACATTTTTTGATATAATTATTGTATCCATAACAAAGTCTTTTTAAGCTCTATGTATATAGAGTTAGATGTTATCGTTATGTAAGTTGAAATAACTGCGATTCTGAGGAATAAATGAAACGTAAATTATATGGTTGTAGATTTGAAGCCGTAGTATAAACCCACATGCAAACAATTCATCTCTAAATAATTTTTGGTCAAACTAGTAACAAGATATATACTAGTTTTTTCGTTCATTTTGTTATTTGGTTGTCCAATAAAATAGCATTTAAGTTTTAAAGTTGTTTGTGTTTAACGTTTTAATAGATACGGCATCTTGTTACTACACTGACAATTGAGAGTTGAAGTGGATCAGACAACTTCAAGTATGTGTCCACTTGAATTTGATGTATCCTCTTCATTTATTACTTCACCTTACTCCACCGCTCATGAGATAACCTATTTTTCTTTCACTGAAAGAAAAACAAAGACTCGTGCACCAAAAAAATAGAAAATTTATCAATCTATAAGCACTTTAAAAAGAATGCTGAAATCTGTAAGTTTTATTTCGTTTTGTATTATTGTTCCAGCGTCGATTTTTTACTAACCACGTTAGTTTTGTTCATTGTATTATTTATTTCACCCCAAATTTCCATAAGTTTTAAGCTTCATATGTCCTACAACTAGTTATTTTTTCATAAATTTATTACTTATTTTCATGAAAATTTAAGTGGATTAAAATAATTTTGATTTTTTATCATTATGATTTTTAGAGTTATTTCCGAATATTTGTTTACTATATATGTCGACTATGTTTGGTTAAAATAGAAGATTATTTTTAAGAAATCTAACTTGATAAATGATAAACCCTTTACCAAAAAGATATCACTCGATGGGATGTTAATGAATGAACAAGGCCCAAGCCCAAGTAATCCGAAGAATTTTATTGATATAATTCTGAGGAAGAAGGCCAAAATAATCGAAAGAGAGGACATTAAAGCCCAATACCTATTTATAAGATTAGCCCATATCACCCAAACGGTGAAAGGACATGGAAACACTGACAAAGAGTGACATAATCAAATTAATGAAGTTTAATGTTTGGTTAATTTAGAGATTTTTCATTTTTATTTCAACAAGTGACAGACAGAGAGACATTGAAAAAAGTAGATTTGATGTTTAGTTTCCCAAATATTAGTTAGTCTTTTTAAATAATCGTAGTCAATTGTTTAATAATCATTGTGTGCCCTTTCACGTATGGGTCGTTCTTAATAATATCTATTATCTAACATGAGATTATAAACAATTTACTAGTCTCACTCTGATATTGATCAACAATTTATGTCGAAAAGACAACATTTTGACTAATATGTATACAAATCACAAATAAGTCGATTTTTAAGGGGTTTAATTATATGATTCTAAACTTCACGAGTGGGGCACGGTTGGTGAGAAACATAGAGTCCTTTCAATAATCTCTCATCTTCCTCTCTCTCTTAATTCTTGATTTCATATATGTTAGTCCGTTTAAAATTATATAAAAGCAGACCTAATTACACATTGTCTTTAAGGTTAATTTTATAATACTTAATAATGAAATTAACTCTACAGTATGATTCTGACTAATAAGTAATAACCGAGATAGCGAAGAAATAAAACCAAAGTCGTCGTCAAAGATTTGATTAGGAACTCACTTACTTTTTTAATTCATTTAACAATCAACTTCGTGACATTCTTGCGTGATTCTCGGCTTTAATACCTTAATTATGTTTTTTTATTAACATCGGCAATTATGACATTTGCTTAAACGGTATTTTCTCGATTTCTTCTACAGATTAAATAAAATAATACTACCACATTGCATTGGCATCTAAATAAATTTGCGTACAACTCTAATCAGTATAAAGTATTTAATATTTTGATCGCACTATTTGTCTAGCTAGCACCAAACGCATTACACATTCTTCAGTACAACTATTAGAATCTATATTTTTGATAATCATAATGAAGTTATTATAGAATAATGTTTCCTGCATTATAAAGCTTATCGTGGTCAGAAAAAAATCTTTGACCTGTTTTTGTTGCAATTATGTATCATACAGAAAATATGACAAAAATAATAATATCAAGCTACATGGTTATATACTGTGCATATTTTGACCTAAATAGGGTACATACTCCGACTCTATATATGCATGCAATTAGTTTTTTTAATTATTTTTGGTTACATTCAAAATTACAAATTAGTTACAATTAGAAACTTATTACTATAGCGAGAAGAATAATAAAAGTCGTTCACAGGGACTTTTGTGTGTCAAGTGGGACCCATGTTTTGTTGGGTCACGTGTAAAGAAGTCAATTTGACTAATTATCTATACTATTAATTGGGAATCATTCTAACTTAAATAACCTTATAAAGTGTAAGATATTACAAAGATTGCCATTAGTTTTTAGTGTTTTTAAATAACTTCATTAAAGGTACAATAGTAATCACAAAATTAATATATTTAAATTAAAAATAGTTTAATTCTTTTAAATAATTATTAATTTCCAAAAAATTAAACTAACTTTCTCTCTCCTATTAATTATAAACGAAAATTTGAAATTAATTTTTAAAAAATTGTTAACCAATGAGAATTGAAAAACTAAGATTTGATATCCAACTAAGATTTTATCTAAACCAATCGTAATAGACTATTCTATATCAAAAATAAAAAGAAAAATAATATCATTTTAATTCAAAATTAAAAACACTATCGTTTAAAAGATTTATCAATGGAGGACTTTAAGTTTGAATTTAAAATTTCATAAGAAAATTAAATACAAATATTTTAAGATTCAGTTTTGTTATAATATTTTCACAAATTTTAAAATATAAAACAAAATTTTATTTCACAATTTCGAAAATACGATATTAGATATTAACAACTATTTATATTTACTATGAAATAAATTCAAATAATAATAAATTTAAAGTAATTATCATTATAGCCTTCGTTTAGAGCAAGTTTGATAAATATCTAAACAATAGATTGTATATATTAATTTCTAAATTATTTTGCGTTTTATTTTTTGTTTTTCAACCGGATCTTCCTTAAATAAATCCCTAATATATTGCACATAGTTTTCAAATAATGTAAACTAATTATATATTTTAAATTCAAAACAAATTATGCAGCAATAGCATATCACTTTTAGAGATGTATTTCAAATTTTTATTTTTAATCCAAAAATCAAATTAATTATGATTAAACAATAAAAAGAAGAATATGCAAAATTTAGCTAAGGAAAAAAACATTAATAAATTTGTTAAAATTTATTTGTAACTTTAGCAGCATATATATTAATCTGCAAAACTCACAGTATGTATTGTATGGTATTTAAAAGTAAGCAAACAAGAATTTGGAACATGATTTTAATGGAATGAAATGAGAATAGGAATTACGAGACGGGATAGGAGGGGAACATAAATTAAAAATCAAACTAAATACCCAACTGGTATGAGTTCGGGTTATGAGCACTATATAAAATAAATTTGTTTACATACTGTACGTACGTTTTCAGTTACACATATTCTATTTATGCCGGATACTGGACCGTCATATTTTTATTTCACGTATACGATACGGGTTATGGGACTAAGAATTTATGACATATACAAGACGGGATAGGTTTCCCGTTCCAAAATAGTTACGCCTAGCTAATATACATGAAATAACCAAACTCAAACCGAATCTATATCCTATTTAACACATGTAATCAAACTATTATAAATGTTTTGATTAGTTTAGAAAATAAAAAAAGTAACATCATTTAACTTTTGCAACTAAATTATATCTTAGTTTTATCTTAAATATAATTTCGCACGTACGTGTAGGTCAGGATCTTAAAATATAACTATGCACTAACGCAACTGAATTTCGTTCATTACTCTAATTTTATAATATTTATATCATTATAAAGTTCACTAACACAACAAAATATTTTATATTTTTAAAATTTATATAACAATTTCTATAAAAATATCTCTGCACGTAGGTGTGAATCCAGATCTAATACACTAAAATATATATCATAGAAACAACGAAATAATCTATATTGAATTAAAATTTGTTAAAATATTTTAAAAATATGAAACCCCGCACGTATGTGCGGGTCAAGATCTAGTTCAGTATTAAAATCCAATTACAAAACATAATCCTGTCACGTTCATTTGCTTTTTTTCTTTTGAAAATGTCATCAAAATCATATCCCTTTCTTTGCAATTGTTGTCTTTGTTTATTTGTCTTACAAAATCGAAGCTACTAGTTTTGTTCATTTTTGATTGAATAGTCGTTTTATATATATTTTTGCAAAATTGAAGCTGGCACACGAGAGATAATTGGGATCATAAGAGTTATCAAAGTGAAAGAAACATAATCAATAATTAAATTATTGTGTATTATAAATATGTTATGATTTACGACTTTAGAAGAGAAAAAGTCATTTAGAAATTATTTGTACCTAGAAAGTATTTTTATTTATTTATCGTTAGGACGTCATGTCAAATTCTAAATCTCTAACACAATGGTTCTGTTAGTGTCGTATTATCGTATGAGTTCAAGCCTAACATAGCGCATGTTCGATAAAAAAAAAATCACAACTATATTAAGTGTATTATATGAAGTTTGGAATATATATATAAAAAAGTGATTAGAAATGCGATTGCATTCCAATATTAACCTGTCATTGTCTCTTGCTTGTGGGAGCAGGTCCGTTGGACTGAGTCGGATTCGCATTTAATTTATTTACTCAAATAACTTTTATTTATTATATTCTATACAATTAATTATTAATTATTCGTATAATGCAATGCACATGATCGACGGTAAAATAAGGCTGGCTACTGATTTTCTCCATTTCTTTGGAGTTTTTTTTTTCGTTTAAATTAACTCCAGAGTCCAGAGATTATCTTTTTTGGTCTCAAAATATACATCTGCCTATGATTATTGGAATTTAACATGATAACGTATTATGTTAGTTCAGATAAATAAAAAAATATATAATTTGTCTTTTAAAAAAAGAAAAATACACAAATTTGTTATTTCACTCGCATATCTTTTATTCTTTCACTATGTCATTCGTATTCTATGACGGAGAACGATCGAAGACCATAATGGAAGAGAATAATAAATCTCTATACCCTTATGTCGCGTTTGAACATGACAATACGTGAAATAATGGAAGAGAATGAATATCGTTTTATCGACAGAGAGACAAAATCCCCCATCTTTTTAAATAATTATACTGTACATTTCACTATTTCATAATAATTATATCTTCAAAGAATATACAATAGTGTACATTAAATCAATTATTTCAACCGGTTTGATAGTTTATCCAGTTTCAATAATCAGTTTTAGTATAATTTTAAAACACTATTTATAAAAAGATCAATTATGTACAAAGTAGCCCTTATTTTAAGCCACTTTGTCGACACCGTAGGTATACATAAATAATTTAATCATCTCTAGGGTTAGATTATTAACAATCCTAATGAAGCTATTTTATAAAAGGGGCACAAAGGGCATTACCAAATTACAAGTCCACACCTTCTAGTCTTCACTTCGTTTTCATAAAGAGTCTTTCGTAAGACCAAAGAGCCATTTTCGATTCCAGGGCTAAAACTAGGGTTTCACAGTTCATGATGAAGAAGAGACAGATGGTAATCAAGCAGAGATCAAGAAACTCCAACACATCTTCCTCTAGGACTACTACTTCGTCTTCTTCTTCCTCCTCTGAGATCAGTAACGTCCGTTACGTGGAGTGCCAGAAGAATCACGCTGCTAACATCGGAGGTTACGCCGTCGACGGTTGCCGTGAGTTCATGGCCGCCGGAGTTGAAGGAACCGTTGATGCTTTGAGATGCGCCGCTTGTGGTTGTCACCGGAATTTTCACCGGAAGGAAGTTGATACGGAGGTTGTTTGTGAGTATTCTCCACCTAACGCTTGATTTTTCAAGGATTTTACTCTTTTAATTTTTATTTTATTTTCTTTTAATTGGTTTGGGTTTATCGATTGATTTTTAAAGATGAATTTGTTAGAGGATATTTGTATATGAATATTGATGTGTATATCAACAGCTCACATACCGGCTACCGCCCATCTATATCTATAGGTATTTATAAAATTGCTTGTTGGTTTGACATATATTTTGTATAGTTCTGTTTGTGATGTAAACAATATTTTATTTTTGATTTTAGCTTTTGGGTTTCCTAAACCTTCAATGAGCCAGCTTCAGGAAATAACATTTGCGATCTAAATTATAGGATCGAAACTAGATCTTTTTTTTTTTTTTTGTTAATTTGGAGAATGATAGTGGAATATTTTTGTTGTATAAGTCGATTTTAGGAATACATTCACAGGAAAGAAGCATAAGTCGAGTTATCACGTTACACGATACTAGATCATCACCCGTACTGTAGTACGGGTTGAATTTCATTTATTACAAAATTTATATATTATATAGTTATAGAATAAAATCGTGATATATTATAATAGTAAGTATAAAATATTAATTTTTTTATGTCAGTCCATATATATAATATTAGAATGAATATATTTTTATTTTTCTGTAATATTCAATTATGGATATATTTTTTAAAGATATGAGAACGGAAATTAATATTATTTTCAAAAAAAATAATATTGTTTGAACAATGAGTTAATTTATGTTAACAACCACAAAATGAGAGTGCATATAATTTAGTTAGATCAAAAATCAAAATATCATAAACGAATCGCATCTAAAACGTAGATTATTTTGAATTAGTTAGTTAGCTATTATTTTGAATTAATTTAGGAAATTATTTTTTCAAATTCTAATTCTTTGGTTGTTGAAATAGAGATTTGTTTGAGCTAATTACGGAATTTACCAATTATTCACATAATCGAATATGTTATGAACATATATTTGGTATATAATAATACCAAATTCGATCCGTGTGTGGAGTCTATATTTTCATTTTACAATCCCTATGAAAATATTGTGGCACAATCTATTATTCATTATTTCCAAAATTGCTTGCAGAATTAAATTTTCAAATATTTAGAAGTGTCAAACCTTATTTAATTCATCTCATCATAAAATCTTAAAATGTCGTCTATTATAAGGATCATAACTTTCTATCATATAATACATTACTTTTAACCCGCCGCCTACTATAAATATATTAAACATATCTTTTTAGAAAATCAAATTAGTATTTATAATTTTTTTTATCTTTTTAATCTATTAAATATTTATGATATTCTTTAATATATTAAATTAAACTTTTTTTAAATGTTCCAAATTAAAATCTTTAAAATTTTTATTGTAGTATGTAAAATTATGAATTTAAATATATATATATGAAATTAAATATAAATATTCAAATAGTTATAAGGATCATAACTCATTTCATCATATAATACATTATATTTAACCCGCCGCCTATTATAAATATTTGTTTCAAAAAATCAAATTAGAGTATTTATATTTCTTAACTTTTTGATCTATTAAGTATTGATGATATTAAAAAAGGAATATATTACTCAAATATGAATTTTTGACCCGTTAAATTAGTTTTTTTCAAACATTGAACAATTTATATTCGTTTTTAAAAATTCAAATCTTTGTATATGCGGAAAAATTTACTTTTTTTTTATTATGTAGATGATATAATATTAATTTATTTATTTTATAGAAATAGAATAATATAAAGATGAGAGGTGAAGTATAATGATTAATAACAAATTAATGTGATAAGTTAGATATCAAATCTTATATGTTCATTTTGATTGGTCATTCTTTTTAAAAAAATTAATAATAGATTTTCGTTTTTATAATTAAATGATATTAATTAAATTGCATAAAATAGTATTTGACTTGTTTATCCTTAATGAGTTGAATTAATTTACTCTATAAAATTTTATTTCTAATGGCATTCTTAAGTAAATTCTTACAAAAGGGAAGGTTAGTTAAGGGTATCTTATAAAGTGTACTCCCCAAATAATAGTATAGGATGTACTTTTATATATCCACGATTTTACGATCTTATGTATGAAATAATTTGTATAGGAGGTCTTTTTGTTAAAAGTATACAACTTAGTTTTATCTGACTAAGACTCGAATACAAGTTCCAATACATGTGTGTAGCCCTCTGTCTTCGTTTTTATTTGAATATTGAACCTCTCATCGAAGCTTACATTTGTATATATATAGTTACATAATAACTTTCCACTTAATTAAGTAACGTTAGTAACCTCAATAATAATCGTTTTACATTTATGTTTTTTCAACCCAAAACAATAATAATGTATTTTCAACATAGATTCTAGAATCATATTATATACCTGCAATCACGACCAGTTGGGAATATGAGGATGCTGATAGTACGTAGCCGGATAAATCAGATAATGATCTTGAAGAGAGTTGAATCTAATTCCACTTTTTTTTTTGGCTTCTTGAATCTAATTCCATTAATGATATAATCATTTTTTTTTTTTTTTTTTTTTTTTTTTTTTTTTTTTTAATGATATAATCATATATATTACGTATGAATGAAAGCAAGATATTTATTTGTATAACTATATATGTACTCAATTTCAGTTATACCACAAACGGCCCACATATCGATCGAATCATGTTTTCTAATCGTCTAGGTTAATGGTTTTGTCTACTTATTTTTAAAGTCTATGGAATCAAAAGAAGAGGCGGAAGCAACTAATTAAATAAGTGTATATCTATGGCCATGGGAAAAGATTTGGTTTTGTGATAAAAAAATGATATGTATTGGCTGCTTTTGCCATCATCTAAGTGGCCACTCGAATTTGTTGGAAAAGACCACTGTAGTTTTAATTATTAATATTTTCCGAAACGAAAAGAGTTTCATATATTTCTATTCCAACTTTTTAAACTAGAGCATATTGTGAATCTCCATAAATTCTGAACTGTATTCAGTTTTTAAAGATGAAAGTTTTATGTAATAGAGGATATGTCTTAAAAAAAAGTACAAATCTATAAATGACTCGGCTAGGTTAAAAGCATCCAATATATGGAAATCATTCTCCACAATCACAATTGGCTACTGGCCACTTCGCGAAATGTCTTGAGATATAATCACATTTCTACAACGTTTCATAAAAATCACATTTCTACAAAGTTTCATCACACAATTTCCAATCATTTGCAATGTAATGTAAATAATAAGATTTTTATACACTTCAAGCTCCTTTGTTCTCGACGGTGAAGCGTGAAGTGTATAAAACCTTAAAAGTAATTAGAGTAATTAAATCTTAAAGATTTTCAAACAAAGCCAAAAAATCGGACCATCTTTTCAATTAGGTGGCATGTAATTGTCGTGGAGAGCTTGAAGTTGAAATCGGTGAAGGCCCATTATTGGCAAATCAATCGACATTAAAACCAATGATAAGATTTAATTTTTTAAAACAAGTCAAAATGGTTTTATTTGGGTGATCAATCTTGTATTTTTTGTTGACGATTGGCTCTTTCGTAAATGTGCAACGTTTAGAAGACCCACCCACTAATTAGCATGATTATTAATTAGGAATTCCTTTTGTTTTTGTTTGTTGTTTTTTCTTACTAATGGACCGACGTGGAAAGCCTTAGGGCCCATTCAAAAGCTTAGTAAAGGCCCGTGGTTTGTGATTTTTCTTTATTTAAATCTTCATATAATCACTTATTTTTCCACTACATTCGAGGCTTCTATCGAGAGTTCTAATGTAGTTCAACTTCATGGACATTTTTTTTAACTAAGTGGAGAAACAACCCTTTACTAAATAACTTAAAAGTAAAAGAATTAAATATGAAAAGGGGGTCATGATATATAGTGGAATGACAAGGCAATTATTTTTATAATTAAGAAGAAACAAAATATCCTTGTTGAAGAATAAAAAAAGGGACCAAAAATGAACAAAACACATGGACCAAGACAGCGAAAAGAAACCTTTGGCTTATCTAACAATGGAGAGATGGGTTTGAGAAAATGATTGAAAGTGAAGATGAGAGTTCCTTTCCTTTTGATACATGGGATCGATGTGATTTCCAAAGGCCCGCCTTCAAATCTCACATGCTTCTGTCCTTTTAATCCTCTATTCACACTCTCTTTACTTTTTTTTCCCCTCTCGAAAAACTATTCAATTCTTAGAAAATGCTCAAAGCATGCGCAAAGTATATGTACACATACTATCCGAGATATCCAAGACAAAAAGAAAGAGAGATATATCAAATTCAATGCAATATTGTCAATTGTGTATACTCAGTTTACTTCTACCTATAAATTAATCGACATTTATATAAACATTCAATTGATAGTACTTGAAAAGCTATAATCAATCTAATTCATATTGTGTGGTCAGTTTGATGACATTTATTATCAAAATCAATCAGTAGTTAATAAACTGATCTACGTTTTTCATATGTTATCTTAGGTCACACTTGAATTTCGATGTGAAATTTCCATTTTTATGTTTTTACATGATTAGAATATATAAAACAGAATGTTAAAAAAAAGAAGATAAATTATGTGTTTGGAATTTGGATGATTGTGCATCATATTTGCAACTTTTTGTTTTGAAAATAAATTGGATCATATTTGTAACTTCTAAACTGTTTTTCTTTATAATGGTGCAAAAGACATTATTAAGGACTCCATCGAGGAGTTGTATGACTACGGCTTAAGTTATAAATCACCACCGAGTTTAGTTACAGAGCAAAAGCCGATTACAACGTAGCCTTGATTCGTAATAACAAACCTACAACAACACCACGTGCCATTGACGTGAACTTTAAAACCTGATATGTTGCAAACCCTTTGACTCTCTATATCAGAATACTTATGGACCTTCCTTGAATTCAATACGTACAAGCCAAGAATCAACAAAACGAGTACTATATCTCCTTTTTAACCAACTTTTTCTTATTGGAATTTAAAAAATGCTAGTTTCTTTTACTTGCAAAGAGCAAATACTAGTTACTTTAAGACACAAAAATTATTTAATGGGGCTTTTGCATGAGATGGTGGTGACCTCATCAAAAAGGAAGAACTTACGCATGTAGAACTCAAATATTATTGGATAATGGAGAGGCCCATTAGTTTAAATGGGCTTACAAAACTAGGCTCTATTCCGTTATTGACCAAGTCAATGACGTTGCCTTTGTGTACTTTAGATCGCGTAACAAACACGTTAGACACAATGCTATAATGATTTATCTATGATCATGAGTTTTGCCGGTCGATTAAATTCGATAATGGGACAAGTTGTTTTTCCTCAATTTTCAGTAGTCTACGAATAAAACAAAAGATGATTAGGTGAAATGGCAATGATTTTAGGAAAAACACCGCAACTTTATGACAAATCGTCTAGAATTTGTTTGTTGCCACATAATTACTTCTTTCCTAATTTATGTAAAATTATTTTCATTTGGCTTATCATCTTTAAACCAAACGCGCGTCTCCCTTTTTTTTCTTGTTAATTAAATTGTGATATTGACACATTAATTACAAGGTTAGTTATACTAGTTAGATAACTAAAGATTATTAAGTTCTACGATTAAGTCATATTCAATTGTTGTGTGTTATCACAAAACCCTATTCTAGAAATACCAAAAGTAGTCCTATTCTATTACAATAGGGAACATTTCGAAATATTCAAAGATTTCTTTTCACGATTATATAGTATATGCGAGTGATGTCTGCTATATTTAATGATGATTAACCAATAGGGAACATGATTTTTGTAAAAAAATCACAAGAAATATAATATAGTCGTAGACTTTAATCTCCCCAACCTAATCGTCATTAATGCTCGTAGTATTCAAAGATTTAACGAACACAGAATTAACACCATTTTTCCGCTAAATAATACCGTTCACATTTCGAAATAATAATCAAGATCGTAAGTCCGACTTGACATATATTTTTAGCTATTGATATCTTAAAATCCAGATAAAAAAAACATTACAAGATCAGTATTCACAAGAATAAACTGCAGTGCTAATAGAAACTAAATATAATAAATCCATATATATCAAATATATTTGTTAATGATACAAAAAAATTCTTCAACTGTTCATATAAATAATTAATCATGGGTTGAATTTGACCAGTGATATCGCCATGTCATTACTAATAAAATTTGCTAGATCACAAATTTAATCCTGAAAATTTGAAAAATATAAATTTCACAAAACAGACAAATTTAGTCTTTTTTGTCCTTTTTCTTTGACCCAACAGAAAAACTTAGTTTATTGCACTACTTTTAACTTAACATATCGTATATAACAGTTTGATCTTCATCGACTTGACAACAAGCAAGCCACACAGTAAAATAAAATGTAACTAAAGATCATAGAGAAAAGACAAAAGAAAGAAAAAGAAATAAACCTAGCTAGCTATATCATTGTTCTATACGTTTTATTTTCTTAGAACAAATCTTGACTGTTGTAATCATTAGTATTACCCCTCTAAAGATACATTGATGAGATCTTCTTGATTATCATCACACTGAGCCAAGCCTTGATCGTCAAACAACCATTTCTCGATCAAAGACAGCGAGCCTTGATCATCAGTAGTAGTAGTAGTAGCTTCCATGTCTATGTTTGGCTTGCTCTGATCACCTTTGAATATGCTTGTCTCCGACATCAAATTCAGCTTCTCATCAACTGATCCAGACTCTGAGTTCGATGAGAACAAAGAGTGATGATCAAAAACTCCTCTTTCACCGGGGCTTGAGCTACGGGTTTTGGAGACTGATGAAGTGTTAGGCCTTGAAGTTGATGAGCTTGTCCAGTTCTGGAGTAATTTAGAGATGTTATCTGTGCTTGAGGCATAAGTGGTGGTAGAATGATGATGACGATTTGGTGAGTCAGGATCGGGAGGGATCAATGAAGATGGTTGGTCAAATGACAAGGCTTGGAATAACGCTTGTTTGGCCATGTTGATATCTGTTTGAAGCTTTTTCTCCCATTGGCCTTTGTTGTCGATCCTTTTGTTGTGATTACATCCATTGTTGTTATTATTACAAGACGAAATCTCTGTCGCCATATTGGTTTTGTCTCCGTTGATGATACCGTTTTGAAGCTTCATCGTCAAGAGTTTCTTTTTAAGATGAGTGTTCCAATAGTTCTTGATATCATTGTCGGTCCTCTGAGGTAGATATGATGCTATAGCTGCCCATCTGATTTTCAAAGACGATATCCAATCAAATCAATTAAAAAAAAAACAACTTATTTTGCTAAAGCAAACAAATCCCTGGTCCTTATCATAATAGGAAAATATCCTATACTAAACCGCCTCATATATTTATAATGTTAGGAGATTACGGAAGATGGGCAGACATAGATATTGGAGTGATTAACTTGATTCACGTTACGTATATTTATAATGTTAGGAGAATTAAATGAGTGATTTCAAATACCTGTTACCCAAAAGAGCTTGAAGGTGGATAATCATCTTCTCTTCCGGTTGAGTGAAATTTCCTCGTTTGATCCCGGGACGAAGGTAATTAGTCCATCTAAGTCTGCAACTCTTGCTACACCTTAGCAAACCTGAAAACATATACATATAAAAGTATATATATATATATATATATATATGTTTTTCTATTTATGGAAGCTATTTAGAACTACGACGAAGAAGAAACAAGGAGAGTGAATGAAGATATATACCGGTGTTTGCAGGAACAGATCTCCAGTTTCCAGGGCCGTGTTGTTGGATATAAGAGACCAAGATTATGTCTTCTTCGGGAGTCCATGGCCCTTTCTTCACCTGAATCTTCTCGCAACAAGGTGGTCTAACCATATCCACACGCACACTGCACTCTTGATCGCCGAAATAGTGCTTTGTGTATGTGTAAGCTATATAGTAACTAGTAAGACTCTTTTAAGATTGGATTTTTGGTATAGTGTCTCTGTGCGTGTAAGCTAGATAGTAACTAGTAAGACTCTAAGATTGGATTCTTGCAAAGAGGGTCTTCTCAAAATCTCACTTTGGACTTGAAATAGTCTTCCTTAATTTCTTTCTTTCTTTCTTTGAACCTTTCTCTTTAGCTGTTTTGGGTTGTTACAAGAGAGGTTTCACTAAAGGCTTTGGATGTTGAGGAGAAAGACAAATGTCGAAGTCTTATGGGTCGTTCTTTGGATCTATATGCATTGAAATAAAGACATACACATATTTAAACGCCAAAACGAGCACTAGCGCATGAATGTCAATTTTATCTTTATTTTGAAGAATTTAATTTATTTTTGTCTTTATCATATTAATATATGAAAACCTTAATTTTATTTTTACTTTGACCCCTAAAACCGGTTTAAAATGCCTATGAAGATAACCGCAACACATAAATTTGTATTGACAGAATTTTGTTTATTAAAAAATCCTCTACGTGGCTGCTGAACCTAAAAAAAGCCTTTGATTTAAGGGAATAGAGTCAATAGAGACAGCGTAGAGCATTAACTCATTTTCCGTTGCTTGTTCAAAAAGTCAGCCCTTCTCTTCACTTACGTGGCAATATACTAATCAAAGGGTTGGCACTGCAATTACGAGTCTTTAGTATTTACCGATTATATAGGTGAGATTTTATATGCTTAGTGTTGAGAAATCACAATCAGTCTATTCTCCAAAAAGTCTCCTTCTCTTTAAAATTTTATATGCTTTAGTAAGTCTAGTAGTGTTGAAAATATAATCTAATTAGATTCGCTAAGTTGGTAATTTTCGATCTTCGATTTTAACAGTAAAACAAATCGAAAGAGTAAAGAAGAAAAAGAAATTAAAGCACGATATATAGTTTAAGTTCGGTGCCAAATCCAGACATCTACATCTTGGCAAATGTTTTCCCACATGCAGATTCCAACTTATTACATATAGATTACAAGTTTTTTAATCCAAAAATTAAAAAAAAGAAGAAGAAGATTATAAGTCAAAAATATTTCTCAAGTTCATCATTAGTCTCTCACGAAGCTCAGATCAATGTTTATAAACATACAAAGATTGAGTTACAGAAATCAGAGCAAAAGAACTTAATTAAATTTCCTCAATCTGTTACAACTTACAACCAAGAAACGATTCTCCTCACGTTTTGTACCACTATATATCAATTTGAATTGATAAGGAAAAGGTAATGTTAAATAGTTTCAAGTTATTTAAATAGTTTAGTTTAATCTTATATAATTTATCAATTAAATTTAATAATAAAACCACTATTTTATAAGATTTATTTTTTAATGATGATGAATCCCAGCTGGTTAAAAAAAATTAAGCTATATGATATTTTTTCAATCGTTACTTTTTTTAACCTTGCCGGGATTCAGCATCAGTCAAACCTTATATTTCCATAATCCAATTATATAAACAGGTAAAAACGAAACACGCTGTGATGTGATGAGACCTAAGAAATACTCCTATTAATTAAGCCAATAAAGCTTTTAAGTTTTTCTTTAATTGGCGACCATGCATGATAGGCCTATAGTGTTATTAATACCGTTAAAGAACAGCTGTACCCTTGTCGTAACAAAGATGACGGTGTTACATATATTGATATCATTACAATTACGATTAGTATTCCTTTTTTCTTTCTTTTTTTTTTGTTGGGATAAAGAGCAATTTCGATTAGTATACTATCAAAACTTTACAACAAGGATGAAATAGCTATTTTAAGATAGCTTTATACAAGAAACCCTATCGCATCTAATTCACGTATTGTTCACTTTTATCTGATTTTTTTTTTTTTTTTTTGTCAAATAAATCTGATTTTTTTTTGTTAGGTGTTTGTCTAAAGATTGGCATAATAATGGGGAATGTCCACGTTATTTTGTTTATAGAAAAAAATCTGATCCACGTTTACTTTTCAAATGACATTTTTAGAACTGCATTATTCAAATGTCTAGTCGATCTATCAAAATATAAATGGTACATCACGTTATGGTTTAATTAGTTACTAGCTATTTCTATTTTAGTTGTTTTAAGGTTCGTTTTTTGTAAGTTTTCATTTAAAACAGTCCTGTCTTGAATTCGAAATATTTCTAAATTATTTAAAAAAAATGATTACATGTATTTTTTGTTTGGTAACGAAACAAATTTAAACCAAAATCTAGGCGAACATCTAATATATGTAGATTTTTGCTATGTAATACATTCATATCTGGCTGTCACTAGTATGCAATATAAAAGAATTTTTTTTTTGTTATCAAAGTAATTTTTTTTTGTTTTAGAAAAAAATTTCTCTTACTAAATTGAGAAAGAAAGAATTTTTTAAATTTTCCATTTTTCTCATTTGACACCAGTCAGCCAGTCATACCCAAAAACTGACTAAAATCACAGTAACTGAAAACTTTTATTCTTTAAATTTTTCAGTGATAATAATTCAAAACATTGGACAGCTATAGATTGGTTATATTAGCTTAATTTGTTTTGTAGTTTTCATCAGTAATTTGTTTTAAAATATTTTGTTATATTTAATATAACGGTAAAACATTAAAAAATGTAAGCTCTTCAAAAAGTTTAAATATTGGCGAAAACGTCAAACATAACACAAACGGATATGTGTGTATGATTTTTTAAAAGATCTAAAATACACAAACAAATATAATAAATGTCATAAAATTAAATACCTGAAGTTTTAGTGTTCTCCGAATACATGAAACGAAAACTATTGTTTCATTTTAATACACTAACTAATGAGTTTGTGTATTTTGACACAATACACCTTAACGTTTAACGGACATGACCACTTTAACGGAACCATTAAAACGGTGTTAAATTTTAAATTTACTAAACCAAAAACTCCGTTAAGCACTACGCATACATTGTTTTCATACTTTTTTTTTTTTGTTTTTTTTAGTTACATCATTTTTTGTGACGAAAAAAGAAAGTGGCATCATTTTTTTCTTGTAATGGATATTAGTATATCATTGTTACAAATGGCTACAGTATAAAACTGTTTGTTTTTCATTTTTTGTTTTACATCACCATATAGTGTCTTTTGAGAAAAACGATTCGCTTTTTTAACATATACACATCATTTGATTTATAACGAAATAAATGTACTGTACGTTAACCTAAATTATTTCTTGCAAATTTGGTAGTTGGAGTATCAATCCTACTACAGCCACACGACAGTCTATAGTTAATTAGTTCACACCTGAAGCTTGTACTAATATCATATATAAAATTTATTCAAAAATTCATATCCACGGAAAATATAAACTATTATTATAAACGTACGATAGCTACTTATTGTCTTTTGAAAAAAAGAGAGCCAGTTATTATCTTACATACATATTATCGAGGAGTTGAAACATCTATAAAACACGTTAGATATTAATTGTCTAAGTAAAAATGGTAAAGATAGGCTTATATCACTAACATCTCATAACCGTATAATGATATAAGTCACACAATAAAAATTTATAAATTATCTAAAATAAATAATGCATAATGAAATAAGTAATTACTCTATTCGTTTTATATTATTATTAAATGTTTTAAAATTTCTACACAAATTATATATTAATTTTAACACTTTATAACTTTCTGATGTACCAAAATGTTATTTTTGTCTTGAATCTAATTTAACATTATATTCAAAAAAAGAAAAACTTTGAAGTCCCTATGATTGATTGCTTCTTTTAAAATCAATTACTTCTTAATTTGTGTATTTTTAGATAGAATATCCTATATTTTGAAACATAAAGAATATATATTTAATTACTTGTATTTGCATAATAATACTTTTTAATTGTATTATTAGGTAAAAACGTAAATTATGTGTTTTGATAAATAATAAGCAAAAACTTTTTATATAGTCACATTAAAAAATGTTTTTTCCCTACTATACGTGCTACCAATCAGAGCCACAAAATCATTAGTTAAGACTTAAGACCAATTAGTCATATTGAAACTTTTTAGCAGCAGATTCGGATTAGTAATTTGGAGTAGTCAATGTGTGAAGATGGCATGAGATTTATTATGCACACGTGGAAGGTCTAGATTAAATGTGCGATCAATGAAATGAAAACGATGGATTATTGCCCTTAATTGTAATTACCCTACTTTATTTAATTACATTATCACCCTCAATTGTCGGCTATTCACATAATAGCTCGAGGAAAAGAAAAAAAAGAATAGCTCAGGCCTATAAATACATGAATATAAATATATAATACACAGTTCTGATAGATTATCGCAGATATTCCACGTTGTATTGATTGCTACTATTTCAAAAGTTAACAAACAGTAGGAGATATAGCCATTGAAATATACCGACGAAAAATAGAATTGAAAATATTTATTTTTAATTGTACACACTACTGATTCGTTTTTAGTGTGTTATTTTAACTGCATGCACCACTTTTTGAGTTTTTTCTAATTAAGCTAAAAAACCAGTTACAACAATGATGGAAAAAACATTTGTCGGCAATCAGACCAATTATATTTGGTCCAATATAGCAAAGCAAAGCCAAAACAGTGCATGCCGTTTGCAACATTGTTTTTACAATCGTCGCATTTGACATCAATTACAATAATCGATGAAAATAGTGTTTAAACTTTAAAGTAACGCAAACTCTTTTCATAGTCACTTTCAAAATCATGTTTATGAGTAACAGTACAAAACTTACTTATATTAATGCAAGAAAATCAAATAAGTGACTAATTGACCTTTCTGTGATAACAAGCAATAACAAAACTGGTTATTAATTGCTACCTTTCTCTATTGGCTGTTTGATTGCACTAGCTTCTTTCATCATTTGTCGGCTAGCTGGTTGGTATCCACATGACAACTTAGTTTATTGATATGTGACAATAGACATATTTGAATTTCTGTATTTCATGCATTTTCGCGATCAATAATTGTTTACCGATTCCATATACAAAATCCATTATGGTAATCACCAATATCGATCAAGGTTCGAAAACGTATTTTTTTACACTTCTACTTGTTTGAATAAAATTTAGTTGCATCGTCTAGATTAGATGATGCATGCATATACGTACGTACGGGACTTACGCAACCAGCGAAAGAAGACGTAGTCAACGCATATCCATATATATATATAATATATATATATATATATATATATATATATATATATATTATCTATTTCACACAGCTTCAATCGAGATTATGTAGTCAAATGATTGTGCTGATATGTACGTAATCTGTTTTGTGAAAATTTGGACTGTTGACCAAAAGAAAAAAAAACAATTTGATTAATAAAATATATTTGGTGATGAAAAGGATAATCTAATCAGTGACATATATCTGAGTGGGTAACTTTTAATTAGTGGTGTACAAATTGTATGAGCAAAAAAAAGATAAAATAAAATAAAATTATGAGCAGTTAGAGAGAGTACGCAAGAATCTAATGCAAATTAAATAATGATTTGATATGATGATTTGATACCCATAACAACATGTCTGAGAAAATATTACTATAGTACTATTTGATACCCATTGGCCATAACTCGCTGCCTACCAAACTTTATATAAATTGGCATAATTATTTTGATATGAATTACAAAGTGTAATGAAAGATGTGGTATGTGAGTTTGTCTAAGACTCTAAATGGTAAAATAAAATACAAAAGTTTGCTTATCTTTACTTCAGCTCCCCAAATAGAACAAAACAAAAAGAATAAAAAACTATTTTTTGTTTTATACTCCCTCCGTATTTATTTAAATGTCGTTTAAGAGTGTTTTTCTTGTTTTGAAATAATTGACGTTCTTGCATATCTAGATCAATATTGCTATAAAATGACTTTTTGCCCTCAGTAATAATGACTTGCCGTAACATTTTCAATTGATTAAGTAAACATTAAAGACTGATGAGGGAGGTTATAATAGGTATTATCTTACTTTCCTTAATTTGTTGAAAAAATGGAAAACGACATGTATACAAAACCAGAGGGAGTATGACATTATAAAATAGTCCAAAAGCTCAAAACGTTTTTGTATAATAATAAAAATGGAGACGATTCACCACTAATTCGAAGTTGAGTTCCTTGAGGAATGAGCCCCACTTTGAAGAAAGTGACTAAATCTTTCCAATATACAGTATATATCGAGTATAGAGATATGTTTATTTGGGTCTGCTAAGTTATGGATACATTAATTCGAAATTGGCCCATTATAGCAATAAAACTATGCCCAAAAATTTATACAAAATCAGAGTCACAATCTACAAAACTCATTTTAGTGGACCCCTAATTTGTATTTCCATGATTATACAAGTATCACATTCTGGATTCAACTCCAGTTATGTTACATTCTAGATACTAATCCGCATATTACACAATACATATAACTAACAAGAAAATGCCACAAAATGTTTTAAGAGAAAATGCTATCAAAATTTTATCTAATAATAACTTTTTGCGTGTTTTATTATTCTATCAGTTAAAGAAAACATACAACTTTAGTGTTATAAATTTTGTATAAAAACTTTGTAATATGAGTGAGATAAGGAGTTGGAGAAAAAGAAGAAAGTGATATATTAATATGAGGGTCTGGTAAGTTTTGGATATATTAAATAGAATCTGGCCCATTAAATAATTAAATGAGGCCCAAGAAGTCCCCGTCGGCTAAATATATGGCATGTGATGAATCTACGTGGCACTTGGGGGATGACCTTACCCAACTTCCTGTCTATTCGTTCCCGTCCCGGTATTTGAGTATTGTGTTCTGAAGTTAACATCTCATCCCCAGAGGCCCGAGGCCCGGAGCCATAAAGAGATGGACACTTCTTCCTTTTTTTTGTCGTTTTTATTCAATCGAATTTACATATTAAAAACGAGGAATTATGGAATAATAAAATAAATAACATTGGTTCGGTTTTGAATATAATTCGGCTTTAACTCAGAAACTATATAATCGAGTTAAATTAAACCGATACCACTTTTGATGTGAGGTTAGGTTACATTAGGTGTCGAAATTGGTTTAATTGAAACAATGCTAGACGAAACTCAAAAAGATCCCGAACAGCTTATACGAATTTTTGAAACTTAGAAAATCAATATAAACAAGAACAGCAAACAATGAACACTCTATCTAACATTTAGCAAAAGTCTCTTGCAAGAAGTTGTAGAGCTCTTGAGCAACAAGAGAAGGATACTCTTCTTGAGGTAAGAGTGCACCTTCAACTTCCACGAATTTGCTTACTCCTTTGGCTCCTCTTAATGCTTCCATTTCTGCTTTCGATCTTTTTGGAGCTCCTTTTGTTGACATAACCATTACCGGTAATTTCCCTTCCAAATCAGCAAACAGTTGGAGAAATTCCTCCCGGGATGTAACCGGGTCGAGTAAACCAGTCAGAAAAGCTGCTGGGACGTAGCGTGATCCCTTCTGCTTTGTTAACTCGTATCTGCTTTGGATTATGGCATCCGTCACATTGGTTTGGTCTGCATAAACATGGGATTTGTACTGAGACTCGATTGACTTCTCGTTGCTCACCAACATGTTGTACATCATCCAACCAACTCCAGGTGCTCTTAGAGTTCCTCTTAGCATACCATACCTGTTGAGACAAAAACAGAGCGATCAATAGAGGAAAGCTTTTCTCTTTCTTTTTTTTTTTATTTTTTATGGAAAGATGTCAACGGACCTCGACACCATGGAAGAATCACGGCCAAAGACAATAGGGAGAGGTCCAGCCCATGTAGGTGCGACAGCAGCAATGGCTGATGGTTTTAGTAGCCCACGTTGGGTAGCACGGAGTGCTAGTGTTGCCGCATGCCCTCCTCCCATGATCACTAGATCATCATTACCTGTTTCGGAGTTACATGGGTTATGTCAAGATATCGCTTGTTCTCTTTTGTTAGTTGAGAAAGCAAATAAGGGGGATCAATGGAAAAGCGATTCAAGCATATAAGCAATCAGAGCCATAGAGAAGACATACATTTAGAATGAGCAAAGTGTAAGGGACTCTAAACATTACAAGGGCTATGTATAACTAACATTATTCACCAAAGTAAATATAAATATTACCAACTACAAAACAGTTTTCATATCAAACTATAAGTTACTGGGAACTAAATCCATGGAGAGTATGTGTAGCTTTCACTCTTGTCACCATAACATTGCCAACACAAACAGAAAAAGAAGTGGTTCACACTAACCTGACTGGCTCATTGGGCTCTCAGGTGAGTTCATGAAGTCGACCACAAACTTCTCCATGACATCTGTGTCATAATCCATCTTCGGTCTAGCAGAATAACCAAGACCGGGCCAATCTACAATAGTTGCTCGCCAGTTGACTTCCCCATCGCGTTGCACAATGTCTTTAGCCACAGATCTCCACTCCTCAACGGTACTAACATCGGATATTGTTGGTATCATTAGGATATTCTTAGCTGATTCACACTTCTCCCTCCCATGCTCTTCATAGTATATACCGATCGAATTACCCTTGAACTTCCACTGCCAAGTGCTTGTCTAAAACAGAGCAGCATCAATACATAAAAGCCCAGAAACAAAAGATTATCCCAGAAGAGCCTAAATTTTTCATTAATGATTTCAAAAGTATGAAAACCAATCTCACTAGTCACTATGATCAATTTCTACATAAAAATATAGAGCCAATATAGTAAGTTTATGTAACAAAAGCCATTCTTTAAAAAAGAAATCTCGATAAATCTCAACAATACAATTTTGTCTAATTCCTTCTCCAAGTCAAAGGACCAAACCACTAATTGAACAATAAGAGCGAGACGATCAGACAAAACGAGACACTAGTAAACTAACCTTAGTTTGGACTGGCGATTTGTCATCGATGGAGATCGACGGCACTGAAGCTCGCACCGAAACAAGTTTGGGATATTTTGGAGTAAGCAAGAGAAATGGTCTGCGAATTTTGCAGGAAAAGGGTACGAAAGGTGGTGATGAAATGGAGAATGCAGCTGAAGCAGCCATGGAAGCGAAATAATCCAAAAAGATAGGATTTTTCGAAGATCTGGTAAGCGAGAAAGAAGGAAACGACGATTCAAAGGTTGAGACTTTTGAACCAGAACCACGAAGACGTGCTTGATATTTCTCGTCAAAGTTTGGTAGAATCTGTTAAAAATTTACAATAACAGTCCAAAAGAATTTTGTAAATTACGGTCTAGGCCAAGAAGAATGCAAAGTATCAAAATAACCCACAGTCCCAAGGCAATGTAAGCCACAAACCTCAAGTTATAGAGACATCCGAAAGTTTGTGTTGGGAGTGAAGCTTCCATTGATGAGGTTACTAGTGGAAGCATTAGACCACAAAATGATATATGTTTGGTGTACAGTTCTATTCACAACGTTTTACCAGTAGTCACGGCATGAGCAAGAACCGTCCTGAAATGAATGGAAGCGATTTCTGTCTCGGACCACAATTTCTACTCCATAGACCCTTGAAGTTAGCTTCATAATAGCGTGACAATCTCTGCAAATTCGCAGATTCTTTACTATCCTGATATTTGCTCCTTTAGGCAATCTAGCTAGAGCAAATGCAAGTGCAAGCTTCTCACTGTGTTTACTCACTTGATCCTCCTTTTCTTCCTCTTCCACATCATATAAAGCACTTGCTACTTCTGGGGCATACCCAGCTTCATCTCGAAGCCTCAAGATGATTTCTTTTAGCTTCTCGTGAGCCTCTATATCGATTCCCTTCTTTTTCTCGCCTGCAGTGAACTTATACATGGTTTTGCCAACTTCCACGAAGCTCCAAGCAGTTATCTTCTTGATTCTCTGGACAATCATTGACTTTCTGATAGAAGCAACATCCTTCCATTTACCTGCAGTAGCATAAACATTCGACAAAAGAACAAGATCCCCAGAGTTATTTGGGTCAAGCTCATTAAGCCTTTGTTTCACTTGCTCTGCCAATTCGATATTCCCATGACTACTGCAAGCTCCGAGAAGAGTCCGCCACACTATGGCAGTTGGCGGAATTGGCATTTGGCATATGAAATTATAAGCCTTTTGCAGTTTTCCAGATCGGCCATATAAATCAACCATGCAACCATAGTGTTCAATTGCTGGTTCGACATGGTAGACTCTCTTCATCTTAGAGAAGTAATCTTCACCTTCTTTGATCAGTCCAGCATGACTGCAAGCATACAAAAGTGAAATGAAAGATATCTCGTCTGGTGTAACACCAGACTCGGTCATTTCATTGAATAGTCTAATAGCTTCTTCTCCGTGACCATGCATTGCTAAGCCCGCTATAATTGATGTCCAAGATACAATACTCCTCTTCTCTTGCATACCTTCAAAGACTAACCTAGCCATTGGGACATTACCACATCTAGAATACATATCAATAAGCGCATTGTTCACCGAAACTATCCAACTATACCCTGCTTTATCTACAAACCCGTGTAATGTCTTCCCAAACTCAAATGCCCCAGATTGTGAACAGGCAGAGAGAACTCCGGTCAGACTTACCTCGTTTGGTCTCATTTCCGCTCGTAGTAACTCCCTGAAATACGAGAAAGACTCATTGAAACTTCCATTATGAGAAAACCCAACAATCATAGTGCTCCAGGAGACATCATCTCTGTGAGGCATTTCCGAGAAGATCCATTTAGCACTCTCAAGCTCCCCAGCTTTAATGTACCCTGCAAGCATCACGTTCCACGACGTATGATTCTTTATCAGCATCTTATCGAAGATTTCCCTCGCTCCCATAACATCATTCCCCCTGAAACAGGCCGTGACCACAGCATTCCACGCAACCAAATTCGGTTGAGGCATTTCATCGAACACCTTGCGAGCAAACTCAACACACCCACATTCCCCATACAAACCGATCAAGGTAGTAGCAACAAACAAATGTGAATCAAGCCCATGTTTCAAAGCTTGACAATGCATCTGAAACCCAGTTCTTAAAGACCGAAAATTCGCCGCCGCCTTGACTACAAACGCAAAGGAGAAGCTATCCGGAAAAACGAAACCTTTCCTCATCATTTCCACAAACACGGCAACGGAATTGTGTGGCTCGTCGGATTCAGAGTAGCCTCGGACGAGAGTGTTGAACATAAACGCATCAGGTTCAGGAAAACAGAGCAAGAGACGGCGAGCGTAAGGCAAAGCGTCGGAAATGGAAATCGCACAATGTAGGATAAGTTTTCCGGTGAAGTAAGAATCAGTGTCAACGCCGGATTTAATAAAGAAGCCATGGATTTGGGTTAGAGCTCTTAAGTTCTTGCAGCTATTAAGGAGAGAGAGACAATGGTTGATTGCGATAGACATCGTCACAAACCAAAAAAAAAAGGTGTAATGTATAAACTTATAAACCCAATTAAACCCTGAAAGAACAAAAAAACTCAGTTTTTGTTATTTTACAAATCAAAAATCCGATGAGCAATTCAAAATCATACAAAAGTGGCGACCGACACAAGGGACACAGATGATTGAGTTGCAACCACTTGTAGATGCAAACTCCATGGAACTCATGATCGCAAGGCAATTTAGTCACTATTGATCCTTCCGTGTAATCTTCCATGCAAATAACGCATTCATTCTCCCCCGTCGTTGATTCGTACGAGTTATAACCGTAGCTATCGATTAACAACTTCTCCGCAGCTCTGTTGGATTTGTTAATCTCAGTCTTGATCTTACGTATCTTGGTTTCAACCACTCCTGTCTTTCGATGATGATGATGATGTAATAGCCATGTCGATCTCGCGCAAGATAGTGGAGCAGCCGTTTTCTGTGACTGTGACGCCGAAGCTGCGAATGAGTTTAGAGATTCTGGTGTAGTCTAGCGAGTAATTATTTGTAATCTTGCTTTGTTTGGAGATAACGGTGGTTTCGTCGGGGCTACGAACAATGTCGTAAACGACGTTGTTTTGAGTGTCTGTGGAGGAAGTGAGTTCGTTCACGGGAATAAAGCTGGTGTGATGGTCGATGGTCGATGGTTTGTTCGGGTAGGGAGAGTGTCTTTGTTTCGTCGGTGAAGAGACGAATCTTTTTGCGGAGGACATTGGTGCACGTTAGCTCGAAGGTAAGCGGAGAGGTTGAGTGCCGGCGAAAAGAGACACTGCTCAAAATCAGCGTGCCCCATGGCTTTTATCTTGTTGGTATTGAGAATGAGAGAGATTAACGATAAGTTATTCTTTTTTTGGAGAGATTTTGAGTTCATGAGACGAGGCATGTGATGATGGTTACAGGGCCGGTCTTAGGATTTTGGTGGCCTAAAGCATATTTAAAATATAATTTTTGATATAAAAATTAATGTTAAAAAATTATCAAAATATGTTTGAAAAAATGCATTAGAAAAAGTCATTAAATTTTTAAAATTCAGATTTGTTAGCGAAAGTTAAGAATATCATAACACCTACTAGGCTACTAGCCAAGTTAAATAGAATATTTGGAGATTTGGTTGCTAAAAAAAAAACTAAACATAAATTAATAAATAAATTAAAAACAATTTTCTCCTACTCTACAAAGCAAAAAGGAAAGACACGTAAAGAGGAAAAAGAAAGACATGTAAAAAGTCAAAAGGAAAAAGAAAGGAGAAAAAAAAAAAACAAGAGAAACGTATATATTGAAAGACTCGAACTGACGAAAAGTGAGTCATTGAAATAATACACATCCAACTTGACCACAGCAAACAAATTGGACATACAGCTCTAAAATTTTATTTATATTATGTGGCCTAAAGCAAAAGCTTTGGCTGCTTTATGGGCGGGCCGGGCCTGGATGGTTATATACTGAAAAAAGTTATTAAAGTTATATCCTTTTCATGCTTGAATTAGGATTGTAATTTAGTTATTCACAAAAAGAAACATTGTTTTGAATGTAATATTGAAAAATAAAAGTGTAAAAGAGAAAGTTCGAAATTAAAAAAGAAAGACATTAAAAATATAAAGAAATGTCAAGAGTGGGATTTGAACCCACGCCCTTTCGGACCAGTACCTGAAACTGGCGCCTTAGACCAACTCGGCCATCTTGACTATATGTTGACTAAAACGATACCGATTATATATTTATACCTCTATTTCTGAAAGTTTCATACTTTATGTTGTTGATTTTGCTTCCTCTTTTTCACCTTAGAGCTCATGGACTGATAATGAATTGTCTAGCGAACGAGAGCTTAAACTCCTTAAAGATCTCTCCTTTTTCTACCTCCAGATTACTATCTTCCGTTACCAATTTCCGAAACCAATTATTTATTCCCAGCGAAGATTCTAGTTCTTTTTCAGCTCCTTTTAACCCCTTTCAATTCTTCAATGATCAATCAAATTCAAGGCTTTGTACTCTCAGAACAACAAGAATTCTACAAGCCCATTTGTTTAGACGATATCTTCTGCCATTTGATGTTTTTCTCACTAAATCCTTGCTTAGTTGGTATTCGAACTCGGGTTCCATGGCTGATGCAGCTAAGTTGTTCGATACAATTCCTCAACCAGATGTTGTTTCTTGTAACATTATGATCTCTGGTTATAAACAACATCGTTTGTTTGAAGAATCATTGAGGTTTTTTTCTAAGATGCATTTCTTGGGGTTTGAGGCTAATGAGATAAGTTATGGGTCTGTGATTTCGGCTTGTAGTGCTTTACAGGCTCCTCTGTTCAGTGAGCTGGTGTGTTGTCATACTATAAAGATGGGTTATTTCTTTTATGAAGTTGTTCAATCGGCTTTGATAGACGCATTCTCTAAGAATCTAAGATTTGAGGATGCTTATAAGGTGTTCCGTGACACTTTATCTGCTAATGTGTATTGTTGGAACACTATCATAGCAGGGGCACTAAGAAATCAAAATTATGGTGCTGTTTTTGATCTTTTCCATGAAATGTGTAATGGGTTTCAGAAACCTGATAGTTATACATATTCCAGTGTTTTGGCTGCTTGTGCATCTCTTGAAGAGCTTAGGTTTGGAAAAGTTGTTCAAGCTCGGGTGATCAAATGCGGAGCGGAAGATGTATTTGTTTGTACTTCAATTGTTGATTTATATGCCAAATGTGGGCATATGGCTGAAGCTAGGGAAGTATTCTCCCGTATTTCCAACCCTAGTGTTGTCTCTTGGACAGTAATGCTGTCTGGTTACACAAAGAGTAACGATGCTTTCTCTGCTCTTGAAATATTCAGGGAAATGAGACACTCAGGTGTTGAGATCAACAGCTGTACCGTGACTAGTGTGATTTCTGCTTGTGGTAGACCTTCTATGGTCTGTGAAGCAAGCCAGGTCCATGCTTGGGTCTTTAAAAGTGGTTTCTATCTTGATACCTCAGTGGCTGCCGCCTTGATTAGTATGTACTCAAAGAGTGGAGATATTGATCTCTCCGAACGGGTTTTTGAGGATCTGGACGATATTCGGAGGCAAAATATAGTAAATGTAATGGTCACATCGTTTTCGCAAAATAAGAAGCCTGGTAAAGCTATAAGACTGTTTACTAGAATGCTTCAGGAGGGGTTGAAACCTGATGAGTTTAGTGTATGCAGTTTGTTAAGTGTATTAGATTGTTTGAATATAGGTAAGCAGGTTCATAGTTACACCCTAAAAAGTGGATTGATCCTCGATCTCACTGTTGGAAGTTCTCTTTTCACAATGTACTCCAAATGTGGTAGTTTGGAAGAATCATATAGCTTATTCCAGGAGATACCTTTTAAAGACAATGCTTGCTGGGCTTCCATGATTTCTGGTTTCAATGAGTACGGTTATCTAAGAGAAGCTGTTGGACTATTCCGCGAGATGTTGGATGGTGGGACTAGCCCGGATGAGAGCACCCTAGCTGCTGTTTTAACTGTGTGTTCTACTCTTCCTTCTCTGCCAAGAGGTAAAGAAATACATGGGTACACGCTGAGAGCGGGAATTGACAAGGGGATGCCTCTCGGTTCTGCACTAGTAAACATGTACTCAAAGTGTGGTTCACTAAAGTTGGCTAGACAGGTCTATGATAGGCTCCCTGAAATGGATCCAGTTTCATGTTCATCTCTAATTTCAGGATATTCACAACACGGGTTGATTCAGGATGGCTTCCTCCTATTTCGTGATATGGTCATGTCTGGTTTTACCATGGACTCCTTTGCAATTTCTTCCATTCTTAAAGCTGCTGCTCTCTCTGAAGAATCATCGCTGGGAGCTCAAGTTCATGCCTACATCACAAAAATTGGATTGTGCACAGAGCCTTCTGTAGGAAGTTCACTACTGACAATGTATTCGAAATTTGGAAGCATTGAAGACTGCTGTAAAGCATTCAGCCAGATCAATGGCCCAGATTTAATCGCATGGACTGCGCTGATAGCAAGTTATGCTCAACATGGAAAGGCCAATGAAGCGTTACAAGTGTACAATCTTACGAAGGAAAAGGGATTTACGCCTGATAAAGTGACTTTTGTGGGAGTCTTGTCTGCTTGTAGTCATGGTGGTTTGGTTGAAGAAGGCTATTTCCATCTCAACTCAATGGTAAAAGACTATGGTATCGAACCTGAGAACCGACATTATGTCTGCATGGTCGATGCTCTAGGGAGGTCAGGAAGACTTAGAGAAGCTGAGAAATTTATCAACAATATGCCCATTAAACCAGACGCCTTGGTCTGGGGAACATTGCTTGCTGCTTGCAAAATTTACGGCGAAGTTGAACTCGGAAAGCTAGCAGCCAAAAAGGCGATAGAGTTAGAGCCATCAGACGCTGGAGCATATGTTTCACTCTCGAACATCCTTGCAGAGGTTGGTGAGTGGGACGAAGTGGAGGAAACTCGAAAGCTGATGAAAGGAACAGGTGTACAGAAAGTACCAGGGTGGAGTTCTGTCTGATGTTATATATTGTGAGAAGCCGTGAGGTTCATTATTGCCCTGTGGTTGGGGATAATCCTGAATGTTCACAAGTCCTGCCCCCAAGTTAATGATGAAGGAACAGTTGAAACTAATTGGAGATTGAAGTTGAGATTGCTTTCACTGTAGAAGACAGATCTCAGAATAATTTGTTTTTTTTTTTTTAAATAGTAGATATCTCTTTAGATCATTCCAGAGAAAATAGTTGGTCGTAAAGTAGTACTGATTTCCATTTTCTTGGGCGGCAATACAGTCAAAGATAATTCAATATTTTTATCTCTTGGCTAGTTGGCTCTGTTCCATCAATCTTGATCATGAAATAAACAAATCCTTATTGTAATATATTAATTTGAACATTCAAACATTCAAAGTTTTGACTTTGAACGAATAATAAGATAATGCCCTTTGGCCCCTAAGTATATGCTTCATGTCTTCATGAACAAGATCCAAAGTAGACTCTCTTGTTTCTATAAAAGAATTTAAACAATGAAGCACAAAAATCATAATCCCCAAAAAGATTTTAAGAAAAAGTGGAAGAAATAAAACAACAGAGTTTCGAGAGATGGAGGAGGAGAACAGCAAAGTGATATTACATGGGACGTGGATAAGCCCATACTCAAAGAGGGTCGAAATCGCCCTTAAACTCAAGGGCATACTATATGAGTACGTCGAAGAAGATCTTCAGAACAAAAGTGAATCGCTGATTCAACTCAACCCGGTGCACAAGAAGATTCCTGTTCTTGTCCATGATGGGAAACCAGTGGCTGAATCACTTGTGATTCTTGAATATATCGATGAGACGTGGACGAACTCTCCTCGTTTCTTCCCAGAGGATCCTTATGAAAGGGCTCAGGTCCGGTTCTGGGTCAGCTACATCAACCAACAGGTTTTATCCCCAAATATCTCATCCGAAATCAACCCCATACATAGACATGATTAGCAGATTATTGACTATTTCTTGTTGCAGGTGTTTGAGGTCACGGGTCAAATCATGTTCCAAGAGGGTGAAGCTCAAGCAAAATCTGTAGAAGAGGCTCGAAAGAGAATCAAAGTTCTTGATGAGGGACTCAAGGAGCATTTCCCGAATAAAAACATCAGACAGAATGATGATGTAGGGCTTTTGGAAATCACCATCATGGCTACTTTCGGAGCCCACAAAGCTCATCGTGAAGCAATCGGTGTAGAGATAATTGGTCCAGTGAACACTCGGACTTTATACAACTGGATAGAGCGCCTGCAAGATCTGAGTGTGATGAAAGAAGTCGAAGTGCCTCATGATAAGTTGGTGAACTTTTTTCAGAGATATAGACAAAAGTGTCTCCGGCAGGCTGCAAATGCGTAATTAGATCAAGATGTTTGTCTAGTGATGAATCATCTGGATTTAATATTGTCTCAGAGGATAACAGCAATCTAGATTACTGTTTGAAGTAAGAAATAATTCCCTGAGAGTTGTTTATGAAATTATCGTAGATATTACTGTATGATAATGAACTAAAGAAAAACATTTGTGATATGTCCATGCTCTATAGTTGATAAGCTTTGTTATATTTTTTTCAGAAAAAATATGGGAACTAGCAATGATAAACATTTCTAATAAAAAAGTGACTCTATCATCGTAAAATCTATATACTTCTCAGAGACTGTGACCAACCAACCACATATAACAAAAAGGCGACAATGTTCAGAAAGCTCCACATACCTTGTGCAGCCACAGTGGTCAGGTGTTCCTCGACCAGGGCTTCTTTTCGCACTGGTGCCGAAAAGTTCTCATCGAAGGCGAAGTTGAGAAGGACTTATATCATGCATACACAGCATGACCCCTGCCTATGTTCGATGTGGTTAACATTTAACTCTATCACGAAGCATTACCAAAAAATGAAAGAGGAAATGGGATCAAATCAGCAAACCTCCTTTCTCTAACTTTTCACGAGACGTTATTGACTATAGTTCCTTAGATAACGTTCAATAGATCATGGTTAAAGATCAGAGTAACTCCAACCTTTTTGTGTCTTGGATGAAATTTCACTGAACATAAACCTGTCACCCACAATTTAAATCTAAGTTCAATCCATGGGGCTCAGAGCAATGGTTGAGTTACTATCTTCTCTAGGAATGGAAGGTCTGGCTCAGCAAGTCCTCAAATCAAACAAACTCAATCAGTTCTTCAAGCAACCACATGTGAAGTCCACTGCAGCAGATTCATATGGCTACCACTGTGAAACCCTTTTTCTTGCGTAGCCTTTTATCTCTAAGGCCATCAAAAAGAAGTTCGTAAGCATAATACGTAATACAGCTCTTCTTCAACAGATCCTCCAAGACAAGCTTAGGAGCAGCTACCTCCTTTTTGTCATGATCAAAAATGGTGTTCACAGCCTCAGGGACCAGTCCTTTCTGGACCATCCGATGGATAATACCGGCAGCCTCATAAACTCTATCCTCTACACAAAGACAGTTTATTACACGTCCAAGCGTTGTGAGCGATGGAATAAACCCATTTTCCATCATCTCCAGTAGAAACTTGTACCCCAAATCGACATTTCCCGTTTTACAAAAACCATCAACCATAAGCTGGTATGTGTATCCATCAGGACCAAGACAACGATCAACCATCTCTTGGAATAGCTTTTCCGCCATAGTAACATTTAGCTTCTCAGTGAAAGCATGAATAATGATATTATATGTTGGCGTTGAACTTGAAACCTTATAAACCTCTTCCATTTTCCGGAATAGTGTGTATGCTCCATCCAAGTCTCCGTTTTTGCAGAACCCGTCAATCAACGTTCCAAACGTAACCGCATCTGGATTCACTCTCTTGTTTTTCATTTCCTCCAATAACCCCAAGGCTTCATCTAGTTTGCGGTATCTGCATAGACTCTCCAGAAATATATTAAAAGTGAATAAGTTAGGGGCACAACCTTTCTCCACCATAGTTTTATATGTTTCCATCACATCTTCATACTTTGAAGTTTTGCAGAGACCATTCAACAAAGAGTTGTAAGTGTACACGTCAGGATCAACACCGTTGTCCAGCATAACATCTAAGATCTCAAGTGCGTTTTCCATTTTCAACTGTGTAGAATAACCATGAATCAAAATGTTGAAAGTAAATATGTCAGGAAAGTACCCTTTGGAGATCATGACTTTAACAAGACCATCAGCATCAGAAACACATCCCATCTTGCATAATCCGTTTACGAGTATGTTAAAAGTCTGTACCTCAGGAATCAAACCCTTTTCAGACATTTCACTCGCCAACTGAGCAGCCTCCAGAATCAAACCCTGGTTAGACAATCCCTTGATCAGTGTGTTGTAAAGAATCACGTTAGGCTTTATTCCTTTCCCTAAGGCCTCATTAAATAAAGCTAAAGCACGGTTTGTTTCACCTTCGTGACACAATCCGTCAATTAAGGAGCGATATGTAAACTCGTCGGGTACAAACCCATTGAATACAGCATTATCTAGAATCCTTTCTGCAAGTTGTACCATCCCACCTTTGCAATATCCAGCTATTAGTGTGTTATAAGTAAAACTATCAGGCTCAAGTCCTTCATTCACCATTTTGCCTAAGTAAACCTCTGCCTCCTGAAACTTGGAATTCTTGCATAAGCCATATATTAGATTGTTATATGTGACGACATCAGGTTTTGGTCCCTGATCTATGAGACAACCTACCATACGAACAGCACCATCAAGCTCACCTTTCTGACAAAGCCCCTGAATGAAAAAATTATAAGTAAACAGATTTGGTAAAATGCCTCTTTTGATAACTTTATCCAGTAGTTTTTCACACTCCTTAACATCTCCTTTCTTGCAAAGAACATGTAGAAGCTTGTTAAACGTACTAAGGCAAAGCGAAACACCCGATGCAAGCATCTTCCCAAACAACTCATATCCCTCATCCTTAAAATTCTCCTCATAAAACCCACCAACCACAGTACAATAAGCAACCACATTCATCTCACAGCCTTGAGAAGACATATTATTAAGAAGCCTCAAAGCAGCATGAGGCCGACTAGTCCTGCAAAACGACTTCATCCTAATCGTAAACGAGTAAACATCAGGCGTAATTCCTCTATCCCGCATCCTCATATACACCTTGTGAGCTTGATCAAAGTAACCACTATCAACCAATATACTCATAATAGCATTATAAGAGAAAACCGTAGGCTCACAATCATAAAAATCCATCCTTTCAAACACATTAACAGCTTCTTGAACTTTCCCTTTCCTACCATAATTCTTCATTGCCCCAACATAAACCCCTTCAAGCATATGGTTACCAACATTCTGACGCATATCCACTAAAACCTCTTCCATGGCTTCGAATTTTCCATAAAGGCCAAGCTTTTCGATGATACTGCGGTAAGTAGATAAAGTATGCTTAAAACCATCCTCTTTTCTCATCGAATTGAACATTTCTAGAGCTTTCATAGGATCCTTCTGACATTTTATAACTGCAGTTACATGTTTTGGAAGCAGAGGAGGACCCATTAAGGAGAATAATCGTAACCTAAAAAAGATACTTTGAATCCCTAAAATCCAGATATGAGAGACATAGCAAAGTACCCCTAGAAAAATCTGAGGAGAAAGAACAAAATCGAAAAAGCTAGATTCTTTATCACTGAGGAGACTCAGAAAACAACTGGAGAAATAAATTACAAATCACCGACGGGCTTCAACGGCTACAACGCCGGGAGTAGTAAATCGGACCCGGCGAAGAAGCGCGTGGGACGATTTCTAAATAAATAATGTATTAATTTATTACAGAACAACAAAGTTGATATGGCCGAGTTGGTCTAAGGCGCCAGATTAAGGTTCTGGTCCGAAAGGGCGTGGGTTCAAATCCCACTGTCAACATTTGATTTTTTTCTTAAATTTTTATATTTTAAAGTGGAGATTTTTCTAAGTTATAATATTTTAGAGCAATAATGTTTTAGTGGTCCTGAAGTAAATCATACGAGATAAAAAGGGAAAAATTAAATGACTTAATCCGCTTTTATTAAATCAACTATTTTAATAAGATAACTTAAAAAGCAAGTGTAGAGAAATTTCTGAACTACCCTAATGTTGGTTACTAAATTGACTAATATACCCTTCTTTGCTTCAGCTGGCGCAATCTGATTGGTCCACATAAACCCCTCAAAACCCTAAGTTCCCTTTGCCCACACTCACACTTCACCAGCATAAACTTCATCGGTAGCTAGGGTTTTAGCTGATTCTCTTGCGACGGAACCACAAGAGGAGAAGAAACCTAGAAGAGGAGCCAAAATCCTCTCTTTCTTTGGAATTAGGGTTTCCTCAAAGGGAGTGAAGTGAAAATGGTTGCGGATAAGAGCAAGAAGTCGAAAATTGAAGAGAAAGTCGAAGAAGAAAACTTGGAGCAAATCGATGAAAAGCTTGTTCTCTCAATTGAGAAGCTTCAGGAGATTCAAGATGACCTCGAGAAGGTTAAATATCTCTTCTTTCACTTCTTCGTTAATTTGCTCGGATTCTCCAGATTTTCCCCTTTTTCTTAACCGGTGTTCATGTGCTCTGTATCTTGGTTAACTTGAATAGATTCTCCAATTTTAAATTCTATTTTGCTTGAATGTTTGTATGTATCTGGATTTGAAGGAAGGATGCATGAAAGATCGTCTTTTTTCTCTTGTTGCTACAGTAGAGTGATAATTGTGTATTCGTACAATGCAACTTTGAGAACGTTTTAATTCATGTGACAGGTCTCTGTAATTAGCTTCTGCAATATCTGTAGAGAAGTTAGTGGAAAGAGTACTATTTGAGCAGTTAAAGCTCAAAATATCATCAAGTCATAAGTACAGTTAGAATTGACATGAACTTTAATGAGTGTTTTTTTCTTTCTTCTTTCTCCTGACTCTGGTTTGTTGGTTGTAGATTAATGAAAAGGCCAGTGATGAGGTCTTGGAAGTGGAGCAGAAATATAATGTGATACGGAAACCTGTCTATGACAAGCGTAACGAAGTTATCCAATCGATTCCAGACTTTTGGATGACTGCTGTAAGTAATAGTTTCTAGGTTGTTTTTCAATTACTGTTTAAAAACATCTTCGACTTATTGACCAATGACCTTTACACATTCTTTGCAGTTTTTGAGTCATCCTGCATTAGGTGACCTCTTGACTGAAGAAGACCAAAAGGTTTGAGTTGTCTTTTGGCATGCTCTCCAGATTATAGTGACCATAACTATCCGATTGGCCTTTCATCTTTTCTGTACAGTTACATTCCTTTTTACCTCTTCATTTGATTTCCCTGTTTTTACAGATTTTTAAGTACTTGAACTCTCTGGAAGTGGAGGATGCCAAAGATGTGAAATCTGGATACTCTATAACTTTTGTATGTTTCTTTATCCAGCTCATTTTACTATCCGTTGTTATTGTCTGCTCCTATTGATCTAAGAAGATTACTGAGTATTGTTAATTTACTTGTTAAATTGGGGGCATCAATTGCAGCACTTCAATTCCAATCCGTTCTTTGAGGATGCCAAGCTTACTAAGACGTTTACCTTCCTCGAAGAAGGAACAACAAAAATCACTGCAACTCCTATCAAGTGGAAGGAGGGCAAGGTAAATATAAATATTTCTGCTTCTGCAATATAATAAGTTTCTTACTTCATTTGTCTCTCTTCGATATTATTCTTAATGATGTTTCTCTATTATGAAGGGCTTGCCAAATGGAGTGAACCATGATGATAAGAAAGGAAACAAACGTGCATTGCCAGAGGAGAGGTATTGTTCTAGTGCCCATTAAGTGATTATAGTCTTAGTGATATTCTTGTGGTCATGGATAGATGATGCACAACGAGACAAAGTTAAATTCTTTCTTATTGGTAGTTGCAAATGATTAACAACTTTCCATTCAACTTTCTCTTCAGTTTCTTTACTTGGTTTACTGATGCTCAACATAAGGAAGATGCTGGGGATGAGATTCATGATGAGGTACATACTCCTCGACTTTCTGACTTGTTATAAGTTATTGACCGTTTTTATTATCTGCCCAATTTGAACTCGGGAATCTCCTCTTGGAGCAGGTTGCTGATATTATCAAGGAAGATCTGTGGTCCAACCCTCTCACCTACTTCAACAATGTAAACTATTCATCATTTCACTTTCAATCTTGTATCCTCTTTCTCTAGAGGTAATAAGTTGCTTAAAGATTTTGTTGATGTATGTAGGACGCTGATGAAGAGGATTTTGATGGAGATGATGACGGTGACGAAGAGGTAAAACAATCGTCTCGTTTTTCCTCAAAATACATTGATTAATTGAGTATTAGTCTGGACATTGTTATTATGAGTCACATGGTTTGTTATTGTGCTCCATCTTTTAACCTGGAAAATCTTTGAAAACCATACTCTCTTCAGGGAGAAGATGACGACGAGGACGATGATGAAGAGGAGGAAGTTGGTGAGGAATGATGGGAGCCCAAGATAACACATTGCTGGCTTGCTTCTATAGATGTGTAAAGTTTGTGTTATGAGGTTCTCAATTTTAGCAATGATGAGACTAAGCTATCTCTTTTGGAATATTTAGTTTATTTACTATCAATAGCTACATTCTGTTTGTACGAACCATTTCATCAGCCATGTCCTAAATCTTGCCGCAGCTACATCTGTTTTTCTCAATTGATAATCTCTCTCGTCTTATGTCGGTTAATATAATCTATTTCAGTGAAAAGTTAAAGGTATAACTCTTGTGGCAGCCTGGACGAAGCTAGAGCCTGCAATGGAGTCTTCATGTAACAAACTAATCCAGGCTTCTCGGTCATGTCGATGTGTTCCTGAGGTGTAGAGGATGTCCATGAGAAACAATGCAACAAATTACCTAGTGCTAACGTCATCATATTGAGGCTGAGTTGTGCAGCTGGACACACCCGTCTTCCCGACCCAAACGGAAGAACCCGAAAGTCTTGACCTTTAACATCCGTTTCCTCCACAAGAAACCTCTCTGGTCTAAATTCATCTGGGTTACTCCAGTTTGCAGGATCTCGAGCAATCGCCTGCACATTGACATAAACCGTAGCTCCCTTAGGAACTCTGTACCCACCTATCTGAACCGATTCGCTGGCCTTGTGTGGAAGCATCAATGGTGTTGGAGGGTGAAGCCGGAGAGCTTCTTTGAGTATGCATTGCAGATATGGCAGTTTTGGGATATCTGTATCAGACATTAACCGTCCGGATCCAACCACCGAATTAAGCTCATGCTGCACCTTTTCTTGCACAGTCGGGCATCTGACCATCTCTGCCATTGCCCATTCGATAGTAATGGCGGTTGTGTCAGCTCCTGCGGTTAACATGTTCCAGACCAGTCCCATCACAGTCTCCTCGGTCAGCTCATTCTTCTCTTTCAACTCTAACAGACTCTGAACAAAACACTTTTGATCTCTTCCTCCATATACTTCATCCATTACAGCTCGTTTAAACCAATTTCTTTTCCGAGCCATGTGCTTCATGAACGCCTTGTCGCTGGTGAACCAAGACGAAACCCGTTTAAGCCAAATGGTGTAATCAAGCATCTTGGTTGCGCCGGGCAAGCGAGTCTCCCTTTCAACGATCGATTTAAACTCTCTGCCGTCTTTCGGTTCGAACGTTTTCCCAATAACTAATCTTGAAACAATGTTCAAAGCAACAGAACCTAGATAGTTCCTCAACACCACCGGTTTCTGATCATCGGTCATCAAGTCATTGAAAATCGACTTAACCATGGAACTTACTTCCATCTCTCTCATCAACCTGAAACACTCCATGCTTTTCAAAGAAAAGAGCTCGAGTGTACAGAGTTTCCTCATTTTAACATAATGTGCTCCGTAATCGGACCAAATAAGATCACTGCCGTTCTGAGTCATCCTTGCGGTTCTATGTCGGTTACAAAGTTGGTAGTCTTTGTCTCTCAACACTTGTTTGGCCAAGTCAGAGCTGGAGACCACAACAGCTAGCTGTGATCCTAACCACACCGATATGATGGGGCCATAAGTGTGTGACCACTCGGAGAAAGACTGCGTCCATAGTGGTTTTAGTTGATGAAGGTTTCCGATCAGAAATCGCGTTGGTGGTCCTGGAGGTATGTTGTATCCCCGACGTCGTAGATTTTGCATGAAGGCGGCGATTATGATAGTGGTTAAGGATATCAGTAATAAATCCATTTTGTTAGACAAAGTTGTAATTGGTAAAATACAAGTTTGATGCTTCCTCATACTCATAGTGAAGTGTATTTTTTATACACGAAATATTAAATGATTTTTAAATTATTATCATTATTATTTAGAGTCATGCTTATCGAATAAGCTATTTAGATAACACGTAATTTTGCATGAAATTGTCATGAATTGGTTCACTTTTTTGTTTTCCCACACTATTTGCATTTTCTAAGTTGATTGAAAATTTTAGTAGAACTTTCTTTGTTGTAAGATTAAGAATGACATTTTCTCATGTACATTCTTTTAACTTTTTTTGAGGTAGCAATTTTTGTATCTTGCAAACACATATCCAAAGTTCACAATTTTTGTCATTTGTTACAAAAATTCATATGGTAACTGAGATTAAGTTATACTGTTGTTATATGCTAACTGGCGTTGAGTTAAAATTCTACGGACATGTGTATCTGATTAGACTTGATCCGTTATTTAAAGAATGAACCAAATTCGGTTTAGAAGTAATTAATTAGCATATCTTTCAGAGCTTGTACGTGACACACGCCATTGCGCTTTGTTGCTGAGGACGATGGTGTTGTCGGAGAGATTTGGGGTCTCGCGGAAACAGTTTGTACAATTCGTTCGTAAATCGAGAGTCTTAGCCTGTAAATTACTTTTCCGGTGGAATCTGGGGAAGGTGTATATGCATAGTCACATCAGACTATGATGAATTCAAAGAAGCTTTTTCTGTTGTTTTTCCAACTGGTGGTGCACACCAAGTGTTCGATAAAATAGCCAAGTGAGCAGTTTCAAGTTTCTACGGGCACCTACTACTTGTAGGACTTATTAGTATGATAAGGTACATGCTCCTCTATTCCAACTTGTTGCAAGCTAAACAACATCTCTGCCCAGTTTCTATTTTTTTTCTTGGTTTAGTGAAGAGAGTAATTGATCTTGGTGTATATATTTCCCACTTCATCTCCTCGCATCAACACTATAAGTAGAAGGGTTTGAGATTCACTCTAATCATCCAATTCTCACTAAGTCAAAAATAGACTCTACAAACCAAAAGCTCCCTCCTTATAGTCCAATAGTTTTTTGGAAAGGCTTCATCCAAAGAGAGAGTCGTTTTATCCTGGGAAATCACTCCATCGTGAATAATCGGAAGCTAGACGTGTGGCAGGGAAAATGAGTTACGGGAAACTGTGATTAGTATGACTTATTACAACTCGCCAACCCGCACAAAAATCTTGAACTCCTTTCCCCTGCCACGCTTTTAGCTTCCGAATCTTTTTCGATGGGTGAGTTCCTAGGAGAAAAAATGTCTCTCTACGGATGAAGCGTTTACGAAGAAACAATTGGGATAGAGATATCTTCAACTGATGGGAAACCAAGATAATCACATTGCTGGTATGCATCTATGAAAGATGAGTAATGGCATTACTTATCATGAGATTGAGCTTTCACCATGTGACTATATACTCTTTTATTTCCATATATATATATATATATATATAGCTACATGTTTTTGTATGAAACCGTATTCAACCATGTCGCAAATTTTGTCATGTCTCTTGGGTTTGACATGGCTACATCTTCGTTTCCATAATGAAAGTCATCATGGTCTATGGAGTTTCATTATTTTATCTTATGTGTCTGATTATTTATCTATGTTAATCTAAAGGTAAAGGTATAACTCTTGCTGCAGCTCTCGGCAAAGCTAGAGCCTGCAGTGGAGTCCTCATGTTACAAAGCAATCCAGGATTCTCGCTCATGTCAATCCTCTCTCCAGGAATAGGGGAACTCCATGAGAAGCAATGCAACAAATTTCCCATCACCAATGTCATCAAGTTCATGCTGAGCTGTGCCGCTGGACACATCCGTCTTCCTGATCCGAACGGAAGAACCCTAAAGTCTCGACCTTTAACATCAGTTTCCTCCTGAAGGAACCGCTCTGGTCTAAACTCATACGGGTTTATCCAGTTTGCAGGGTCTCGCCCAATCGCCTGCACATTGACATAAACCGTGGCGCCCTTAGGAACCTTGTACCCACCTACCCAAACTGTTTCGCTTGCTTTGTGTGGAAGCATTAATGGTGTTGACGGGTGAAGACGGAGAGCTTCTTTAACCACGCATTGCAGATATGGCAGTTTCGGGATATCTGATTCAGACATTAACCTTTCGGATCCAACCACGGAATCAAGCTCCTGTTGCGCCTTTTCTTGCACGGCCGGGCATTTGATCATCTCTGCCATAGCCCATTCGATAACAACTGCAGTTGTGTCAGCACCCGCGGTTAACATGTTCCAGACTAGTCCGCCAACCGTCTCTTCGCTTAGCTCTTTCTGCTCTTTCAACACTAACAATTTCCGAACAAAGCCCCTGTGATCCTCTATTGCTACATCTTCTTCCACCATTATAGCTCCTCTAAACCACTTTGTTCTGCGATCCTTGTGGGCTAAGAATTCCTTATCGCTGATGAACCAAGACGAAACCCATTTGAGCCACCAGACGTGATCGAGAATCGTCCCTGAGCCACTGAGAAGATGTTCTTTCTCAACGATTGATTTAAACTCCTTTCCTTCCTCAGACCCGAACTCTTTCCCGATCATTAATCTTGAGATGGTGTTCAAAACAACCGCAGCTAGGTACTTCCTCACGACCACCGGTTTTCTTGCCTGGCCATCGCCTGAATCGCTCATTAAGTCCTTCAGAATCAACACAACCATCGATCTTGCTTCCATCTCTCTCAACGACCTGAAATTCTCGATGCTTTTCAGAGAGAAGAGTTCGAGTGTACAGAGTTTCCTCAGTTTGACATAATGTGGACTGTAATCAGACCAAACAAGATCAGTACCGGTCTGAGTCATCCTCGCGATCCTGTGTCTGTTAGACAATTGATGGTCTTTGTCTCTCAACACTTGTCTGGCTAAATCAGAGCTGGAGACCACAACGGTGAGCTGTGACCCTATCCACACCGATATGATAGGACCATAAGTCTGTGACCACTCCGAGAAAGAATGCGTCCAAAGTGGTTTCATTTGATGAAGGTTCCCAATCAGAAACTTTGGTTTTGGTCCCGGTGGTATGTTGGATCTCCACCATCGTTGATAAAGCATGATGGTGGCGACGATGATCGGGAGTAATGAAATTAGATAAAGAGCCATTTTGCCTCGACAATGTAAAACAGTTAATGATATAAGTTTGATGTACATTGGAACATATACCTTACACTGAAGTTTTTATACACAAACTGTAAAACATAGAAGAAAGTTTTTGATATTTACTTACGTAAGTTTAGAGAAACACACAACTTTGACATGCGCATGAAAATGAGGTGATTTGGTCCCTTTTTACTCTCACACTTTTTGCATTTTCTGTTTACTTATTCTTGTGCTTTATGATACAACAACACTAGTCATGACATAAAAAAAATTAGAGACTAATAGAGTTTTTTACCTGATTATTGACACAAAAAATGATTATTGACATATTTTACCTGATTATTGATTGACATTAAAAAATAAATTTGAGAAAAAAGAAAATGAAATTGAATGGCAAAAATTAGATGAAAATAACCAAAAAGATTCACGCCGAACAGAGCTTGCCGTTAATGGCGATACTCTGATGGGGACAGTCTAATGGAGATTTCCCGAATAACAAGACAAAAGGAGAAATGGCGACAGCGACGACATCTGCGATTAGGGCACCAAATTGGAGAACTGTTGTGTTATTCTGGACTATCTCTCTCACTATTTTCTACTCTCTTTTCCAAATGGGTCTTCGAAATTCGCCATCTACTTCATCATCATCAGGTAAAGATCATGTTTTTTTTTTTTTTTTAATAAAAAAATCATGTTTTAAAGTTCTTAAAGGTCGTTTATTTATCAATTACCGACTTTTCCTTTCCTTGTCTCGAAATTAAAGTACCTTTTGAGATTTCGATGATGTTTTAATAATTGTATCCTGATCTGATTAATTAGCTAAATTGTGTGTGTGTTTTATAATGAATATGGGTTTCGTAAATGGAAGATCGATGTTGACTTGCTAACAGAAGGATTCATCAGCCACTGAGTGTAGTTAGGGTTGCGTAAAGAACTTGTTTTTCTATGAAATGTCTCTGTTTTTGTACTCAAGATTTTGAGTTTGCATTGGATCTTGAACCGAACTTAGTTCTTGATTTGTTTATCCTGAGCTTAAGGATAGAGTGACTATCTGATGCAAAGACCAATGCTTGATTTGGGAATCTAGTGCCTTTGTTTAAGTGTTTTCTTTATCTGTATCTGAAGTAAATGGTTATTCATAGCAATAATAAGTCTGGTATGTTTCAGATTCCTTTGTCACCTATGTGGAGCAAAGCACAAGGTTGTATGATAAAATGGAACGGGATTTACAAGAAAACGGACCGGTGTTCCTTAAACAAGGTGAAACGTCTCAGTCATTGTCACTTTCTGATCTCTTCACACTGAAAGATGGAAAGATATCACCTGTCCTCAAGGTATAATATTACATCTTTACTTTTACTATTTTAAAATTGGATTAGTGGTTTTGTAATAGTGAAGTGAATTGAATTTTGTGATAGCTAAATATTATGTATAATTGTATAAAATATTCAGGTTGCGAATCCCCCTGTGCGAGCTAATGTATTACATCTCAGCACAGAATACTCTGTCCCAGTCTCGTGAGTGTGTAATTTGCCCCATTCTCAATGCAAATTTATCCTGTTTAATAAAATGTTTTACTGCTAAAAGGTGTCCTTGTATGTCTGTAAATTGCAGGAAAGCCGTCGAAAATGTGTTCAGTCCTTACTTTGAGAATAGTAAGCCTGCCGCTATATTTCTTTTCAACAATGCAATACTATGAAAAAACTATGTACCAGATATATGAATTAGATAGAAATGCGGTTAATTGTATTTTCTTCTTCCAACTTTGGGTTGTTTTTTAGCAATCTGGTTTCAGGACTCTAAGATGTACCACTTTAGCATGTTTCATGCATCGAATCACATTTTCTCTGTTCCAGCTACTGAAGATGAGGTTTGTTGTTTTTACTTTATCATTTATCTTATCACCAGTCCACTAAACTTTTATCTTGTGAAGATTGAAGTCTCTGAATCTCTTCTTCATTATCAGGTTGAAGGAGAAGCAGCTGCTGTGAAAGCAGTTGCAAATAAGCTTTGCCCTTTGGAGATTATCTTGGATAGAGTTCTATTAACCTCGACTGGTGTTCTTCTTGGATGCTGGAAGGTAATTTTGTCGCTTTCACTTTGCCTCAACAAATGCGAGTCAGATCTCTATTTTGTTTTTGATTATACCACTTTGGGAATTTCATCCTCCATGACAAAAACTATACTAACAAGTTCTTTAGAAATGGCTAAGTCAGATATCTGGGACTTATACCCTGTTTCATGTTTCAACAGGTTAATTCTGGAGATGACCCGATAACAATCCGCTCGAAACTGAGATCTGTTCTTCCACGTGCACCGGAGAAGCAACTTGTAATATCTATTTCATCAACTGTATAGATTATCTCATGAACACGAACCACTTTTCTGATATATACTTGTGTTGATTTTGTGTTTCAGTATGATGCTGCAATTCTTCATACATCATTAGCAAGGCTGCTTGGTCCTCCAATATCTCCAACCGAGGCAAGTTTCACTTATGTTTGACAAACTCAGAATCCATTGTTACAGAAACTCCATGACTTAGTGAATGTTTCTTATGTAGCTGGCTGGTTCTGGCGACCATCTCCAGCTTCTCCATAAGTTGGTCACAAGACTAAACAACCAAATCCGAGGATTCAAGGTAAAACTTACAACGAAAGTGAAGTTTTCTTGACCAAGAACTGAGAAACTCTCTGTTGATACAGGCAATAGTATCAGAGCTGTGGTATGTAGAAGAGTTTGATCTGCTGGCGCTTGCATTGGGAGGAAGAATGAAGGTTCGATCATTCCCACTCGGCTGTGCAAAGAGTTAATACCTACCGGATTGTAATCAATAAGCTTATTTCATCTTTAAGATCATCAAAACCATTATGTCATCTTCATGTACATTTTCTTCAACTTCTTAAGTCAAGAAAAATATCTTATTCAAGTCAAGACAAAAGTATTTTTCTTATGTCGGCTATGGAAAAGCTACTTATAATTCGAAAGAAACTGTAATTTTATGTGGTTAACTCCCAAATGTACATAATATTTTGCTTTCCTTTTATTGCTAAATTTCCAAATAGAGAATTTTATATAGCTAATTACCCAATGAAAAAGATTGCTAATTTACTTTCTTGTGTCAACAACGTTTAGTTTAAGCTAATTTCCATTTTTTTTTCTTTTTGGCAAAAATTTCCTAAAAGCTTGAGTATTCCAAAGAAAAGGAAATTAGTGGTAGCTTTTTTCAATTTCATATCGTTTTCACACTTTTTTGACACCATTAAAAAGTTACAAACTTTCAACAGCTCTACCACACAATCACAATTATTCGTACTCTCTCTCTCTCTCTGTCTCTCTCAAAGTCTCAATCTGTATCTCCAGTGAGTAGTGAATTTGAGTGGAGGAAGAATCAGATTCAAAGCCAAAATCAAAGCTTGGTGATGGGATCTGGAGCTGGAAATTTCCTCAAGGTTCTTCTCAGGAACTTCGATGTTCTTGCTGGGTAATGCTAATCAAACTTCTCTTCTCTCCTTCTGCCTTAAAGCTCCTTCCTTTTTTGCGAACATCTTCTCATATGTTATACTCAATTCATCACAATCTAGGGTCTAGTTTCTATTTTTGGACATAAACCTTACGGAATTCTCTCAAAGTTGGTTTGATTCTTATAAATCATTCATCTTTTGGAATGTTATGTGTGAAACTAATCACAATCTCTGGTGTTGAATTTTCGCAGGCCTGTGGTTAGTCTCGTGTATCCTCTGTAAGTGGATCCATAGTTCTTTCATGGTTTAATACTTTATCTGTACTGCAGAAAGCTTCGATCTAATGGTGTCTTGTTCTTTGACAATGGCTAGATATGCTTCAGTCCAAGCGATTGAAACTCAATCTCACGCTGATGACAAACAATGGCTAACTTATTGGGTCCTTTATTCATTACTTACTCTCATCGAGCTCACATTCGCCAAACTCATCGAATGGTAAGATGATTGAAACCCCATTAGCCACAGTAGTAAAAACAAGTTTCTTATACTGACAATGTTGTTGGGTGTGATCAGGTTACCGATATGGTCATACATGAAGCTGATCTTGACTTGCTGGCTTGTCATTCCCTACTTTAGTGGCGCTGCGTATGTCTATGAACATTTTGTGAGACCTGTGTTTGTTAACCCACGGAGCATTAACATTTGGTATGTGCCAAAGAAGATGGATATCTTCAGAAAACCAGACGATGTGTTAACAGCTGCTGAGAAGTACATTGCTGAGAATGGACCTGATGCTTTTGAGAAGATCTTAAGCCGGGTGTGTTATGTGATTTGTTCTATAACATCTCTTCTTCTCGTTGTCAAAAAAATGTGATTCTTCTTTACTTATCTTTTCTCGTATCGTGCAGGCCGATAAATCAAGAAGATATAAACATGAACATGGAAGCTATGAAACAATGTATGGTGAGGGTTATCAGTACTAAGAGAGGAAACTTGAAAAGCTTTTAATCTTAGAATGTGTGAAGCAAGCTCATGTCGTTGTTCTTGTTTGTTTATGCCTCTTTTTTGTGGATCTCTCTCGTGTAAAAAAGTTGATAATTAAATCAAGATGCTTTATGCTCCAATTTAATAAAGCTTAGAATCGAACTATTCTACTCTTCTATATTCCAATGTTTTCTTTTATCTATGCATATTTCAACTGTGTACTAATCAAGTTTGGTTATAAACTTCTATAATTAAGAGTGAAGATCTAAGCAGTTTTAAGAAATGACCAAAGCTACTTTTTCAAAATCATTAGTTCAAAAAGAGTCAAAATTGCTTTCCAAACTTAAGTAAAAAGATTAACACTTGCAATCTTGGTTTTCCAGGAAAAACAGAGAAATTTATTCTAAAAGAGTGTAACAGTGGAAACAAATTACAAAATAACAATGTTGAGAGAGACAAGACAAGATGATGCTTGTTCTTAATCTTCTTCAAATTTATTGAAACTTTTCAGTTCCAGATTATACCTGAACAACAACAATAATCCCACAAAGACAAAGAAGAAAATAGAGAGACTCTCTTGACCCCAATCATGAAAATAAAACCCAAAACAAGAAGAAGAAAAACTCTAATAAAAAAGTCAATAACTTTGAAATGGCTCTCTCAAGTCTTCTTCATCAACATCCCATCACCGCACAATTATACACAAAGTTTCCCGATGGCTTAGAAGCAAGAACTCTCCAATGCAGTTGTGTTCCTTCTCTTGGGACACAAGCATTGATCTCTATGAACCCTCCTCCTATTGCCCTAGGTCCTCCAACCACCACTAACTGATCCCCGCAAGCTCGAAACGCCATTCCCCAACCGTTCATCGAAGAAGCCCTCTCAGGCAAATTCCCTACTTTATTCCATACATTACGCCTTTTATCGTATTTCCTTACTTCTTGCTGCGCGTAATTCGCAGCATAAAGCTCGTCTTTTACAACTGCTACAAGCGGTGGTGCCTCTGAAGCCGCTGTTGCAGCGGCAATCTCTTTTGCTTGATCTCCTCCACCTCCGTTGCTTCTTTCCGGTAACATGTTAGGTATCAATGTCCATGTCTTCTTCTTCAGATCATAGACTTCACCGCACATTAGCATCTTCGAGTTTCCCTCTCCGATACCTCCAATGCAATAGAAATTCCCGTCCATGAACACGCTAGAGCACATTTTCCTAGCTTTGTTCATGCTCGGGATGACCGTCCATTCCCCAGTTTCCGAGTTATAAAGCTCTGCCGAGCTCAATATCCGCCCACGCGGATCGCATCCTCCAGCTATAACCGCGATCTCGCCTAGACTCGCTGATCCAAACAAGCACCTCGGGACATTCATTTGCATACCCGATGTCCATGTATTGGTCAAGATACTATATCGGTAAATCACATGAGACATGATCTCTTTACCAAAAACAAGAAGCTCGGTGCCAACCGCCAGAGACTCTTTATCCGAACACATAAAACATTCGTTAAATGTCATTTTCGGTACACGTAACCAGCGATCTCCATTTGGATCATAAGCTTCCCATTCCAAGAGCCTGCAAGAGAAGTAAATCCAATGCTCCACAATACCCTTTGCCCGTCTCAACCTATACAACTCGCTGTCCTTAATCAACGAGCGGAAGGTTTTATTCGTAGAGGCTATAGACCCGAAATCAGACAACGAACAGTGAGCCAAGCAGTTGAGAAGTGCGTTTTGGTCAAGCCGAGTAACCGGTGAACTCTGTTGATCACCACCTTGTTGACTCTGGTTAGACCTCTGATAGATTTTAGCAAGCTGAAGAATATCTGTAATCTTCTCAGATTCACCTCTGCTTCCATGATCAACTCGCAACAGTTTCTTAGCGGAACTTCCTTCTTCATCGGTATCATCCAACAACCGTTTTTTCAAGGAGAGCTGAAGCACACAGTGTGCGTTATATATCCACTTGCTCTCTTCCTCACATGAAGATGGTAAGTCCCTTGACACCAGATAACTCGGAGCCTCCAACATAATGAATGCTAAGAAAAAACAACAACCAATCCATCAATCAAAACCATCCCATAAACAGAAGAAAGAAAAGACACATTATGACATTTCAACAACATCTTGTGCTTTCAGATTCATGAGAATTTATAATATAAACTGTATCAATGATCCAAGGCAAATCCATCAATCAAATCATCGGCCCGCAAGAGTAAGGTAAAGTACAATTCTTGACCAGTGAGACTAAGTTTTGACATCACTGTAGAAGATATAAATTTTAGTTCAACCACTTTTCTAATTCAGCAAAACCAATCATTAGAATCCACAAATATAGATTTTAGTTGGTCGAAAATCTCAAATACGAACGATCAGATAAAAAAAAAAACACCAATTCACAAAAAGAAACATGCAAGCCACGAAGAATAGATCGATGGATAAATTCAGCAGCCAATAGAATCACATCAGATCCCAAACTAAAAATCAATTCACTAAATCAATCTCACCAGCTAATATTATCGAAGACTAACACGCCTCAGATTCCTCGATAATTTCGATCAAGCAGAGTCGATTAAAGATCTGTAATTTAAGAAAACAATAGAAATCCAGACAAAACCCACTTTAGATACCGATGATTCCAACAAATCAGACACAAAGAATCAAGAAATTTTTCAGGCAGGATCAAAAAAAAAAAAAAAAACTCAACTCAATCTTCGCATTGCGGCCACATTTTAGATGAATTGGTAGAATATTTGAGCTGTGATTTGCATTTTTAATTTGATTTGATTTGATTTTTGGGGGATCGATTAAAAAAAGATGCACGAATGAACCAGTGGTGGGATTTCTACATATAAAAAAATGAAGAATAAAGCTGATGAATTTATATATTCTTTACTCATTTTTTATATACTCGATGACGAGGAGAGATGTTCAAGGGTATTTTCGGTACTTTTTGTTGTTTAAGTCGACGACGCCGTTAGTTTAGTAGCCATTATGGCAAAAGAAAGTTAACGGCTGATTCTTAGCTCTTGCACGTGTTTCTGCTTCGGACAACTAAACCTTTTTTAATTTATTTATTTGCTTCTCACGTTAATAATCTCTTTGTTCTTCTTTTCTTTCTTTTTTTTTTAAATCTCTTTTACTACATTTTTGTTAATATCTTTATCTTATAAATCTTCTGAATAATATTTTAATAGATCTTTCTATTTTCTCATGATATTTTATATATTTTCATGTATAATTTAGACATATTGTATTAAATATTACTGAAATATATAATATTATATTTGAGTAATCAAGATGGAATTAAAAAAAAAAACTAAAGCATCAATAAAACCGAATATATATTAAATATTAGATTCATATTTATTCGAATTTCAGTATTTGGGCGTAGATTTCATTTAGCCAATCAGGAGTTAGATCCAAAATTTTAAACCAACTAAGGTCTCCAGGCCCATATCAAGTTATAAGTCCGCAAATTGTATATGGGCCAAATGTAACCCTAACCTGCTAACTTCAGGTAATGGGCCGGATCTGTTATTAGGCTTTTAGCCCTAATATTACCTCATCTATTTTGCATTGAATATGGTTGATGTAATAGCGTTTAATTTTTTTTTTACTCTGTAATCTGAAGTCTGTAGATGTACGTTGCAATAGAGTTGATAGATGTGGTTAACTGAGAATATTCTCTAAACGTATAGTATCTTTACCTTCACTATGTATGTGTGCATCAAAAAAGGATTATTATGATATATTATTTGACCCACTACTTAATTTTAATTCTGATTACTTGAGCTACTAGGATAGGACCACACTTAATTGTATTGTATAAATATAATCAATGCGCGACAAAACCATTTTCTTTACTTTACTAGAACGAGAATATGGATTCGCGACAATAAATATTACCCCCACGAGTTATATAAGTACATGGAACCTCATGCAACTACTTTTCTTTCGTCTCACGGGACCACATATAATAAAGTTTCTGACGCTAATTACAATCATTAAACATAATCGTGGAGATTAATTATTGGATTAAGGTAATCTTAAAAATTTGCAAATTGTGTGAAAGGAAAGAACCTTAGACGATGGTGGACCTTGTCTTCGTCTTAATATTAAAGTGCTGACAAACTTAGGTTTAAGTACCAAGTTGTAACATAGAAACGAATCTGAATGACGTAGTAGCTAGCGACCAAGTTTTGATTTGTGTTGTTTAGATCAAACACGTTAAAACCAGCAACCTACGGTCTTAGTTTTGGTTGTTTATTGAGAAAATCAAATGGTGACAATTGCAAGAGGTATATATCCTTTTAGGGAAAGTTAAATATTTCGAATCACAACGCATGATACCATAAAAGTTCAATCGTGAATATTCATAATCTATTGCGGTATATCTATTTCTATACAGTGTAAACTCACGATCGTAAGTTATGTAGTAGCATTTGACCTCTTTCTTTTGGTAGACGGTCTAAAAGAAACATAAAAGACCACTATGTTTGTACAGCATTTGTGTCATTGCGTGCATACTATAAAATATTAAAAAGTTTTAGAAAAGAAATAAACAAACAAAAAAATGCTTTAGATGATATTTTTCTTAGTATGCAACCAAAAACCTAAAATTATTTGACTGATGCAGTACGCAAATATATAATTGTATGCAGCAAAAAAAAACTTGAAAATTGTTTTCGAAATAAGAGTGGTTTTAGATTTTTCTCCACAGTCTACATACATTTTTTTTGTTGTCTACTATTAACTAGCAAAGATCATGAATATGTTGTATGCAGCAAAAGAAATCTAATACTATTTCAAAATTTGTTGTATAGCACATAGGTTTTACGTTGAATGCCATTGGAACTATTGGACTGTCACTTTTTGCTTAAAATCTCAAAATGTTCAGGATTGGATAGTGTAGTAAATTATAGAGAAGGATTGACGTTGAAATTACCTTATTTTTGTTTGCCTTCCTCATCGTCAACGCATTGGAAGAAGAGAAGATGCTTTTGTGGGTTGGATTAATTTCACGTGCAAGTCCAAAATTTTATAGGCTTTTGGGACTCATCCTAAGTCATAAAATTGATAATCGCATTCTATAAATGGAGTGTGCCCTTTCAACCTTCAAACTATTCGCCACATTACAGTTCATATTATTGATCGATAACTAGTACTATAAATTAAGCTAAAGAAAATAGTACAAAGCTTCAAAAATTTATGCTGTTATAGGTGATTATTGTTATGTTTTAAAACAATTTAATTTAATAATATGGTACGAGTACGATATATATAGCTGGATCACGTTTTTTTAGCAATACTATACGATTAAGCTTGTTTGGTCGGTGTCATAGAGGGGAGTGAGAACACCTGAGCCAAATGATGGACTAAATGTAGATCGTAATTTATGTAAGCGTCTTTGTATATAAAATATGTGATTCTAAATTTCTTATATAATCTATTTGAAAGGTAAAAGATAAAATATGGTATATATAATACATTACATATACATAAACATTTGCAACAAGCGTATATATAATTAACAATAAAACTGAAGAAGCGAATTTACACAAAAAATTTCGAAGATAAGTCTTACTAACAAAATTGTATTTTTATTTTCATTCATCAAAAACAGAATTTCATGGGACTAGATTTATCTTCCCAATTTCGGATCTCTTTATATCCAGTTATCTATATTTTTTGCATAATATATTAATCAATCTTCGGCTTCCAAACCACAAAGAGAATTACGTGAGACTAAAATTATCTTCCCTGTTTCGGATTTTTTTTAATTATCTCTCTAGAAAAGTTTGCATAATCTTAATAATATATATTGTCAGCTTCCAAAGCTGCTGTTAATTCCAACTTTTGGGATTAAAATCACCATCTTTCCGTAAGAGGAAGACGAAAATCTGGTAAACGTAGCGTTTACGTGAATTTGTAGGACAAAACCCCCAAGGCCAAGAACTATTGACCACTATTATCAACAATGAATAAATATTAGAAACTATTGAAGATTTTCCGAAAGCAAAAATTCCGATTAAAACCCCACTTGAACTACCGAGAAAACACCATCTAAAAAAAAGATAAATGGTTTTTTCACAACCAACATATTGCCATTAAAATCACTCTAGCGAGAAGTATAGATATTATTTCAACAGATTTTTACTCATAGTGGATCACCATGTTGTAATAAGAAAATTGACCGGCAAAAATTCTTTATCGGAAACAGAAGATGGCGTGATATCCTTTAGCGTCTTCTTACAAAAATTTGCCCATAAAACCATGAAAAAAAATAAGCCGATTTTTTTATTTGTAATTAAGTATATAATTTTTATAGCAAATGCGTTAAAATATGCCGATTCAGTAGAAAAATATTCACCAAATTCATTGTTATTGTAATGAAATCATATAATTCAGTTCCCTTTTATTATATTTTATAATACTTAATTTAATACGATGCATTCATTTATTTTTGTAAAGTAGAACAAAAACAATTCTGTAAAAAAAAACAGAGGAGAACTAGACAAACCGAAACAAGCAGCAAAACGAATAAAACAAACGGATTTGGAGAATTAACAACAACAACAGATTGTAATAAGAATAGAATGCTCGTGAAATAAAGCTTAATCTTCGCTGTCGATTGATTAGTGATCATGTGCCGCGAGAGACACGCTGACCACAATTTAACACATCTGAGCTCTTTGTTTATGTTCCTTTTTCTAAATATATATATAAACTCAAATCAAATCTTTCTTCTAAATAAAAAAAACTTACAATTAGATCTTATCTCTCTAATGTAATCACTTTTAAACTTATATAACTTTATTTTCATAGCGGAGAAAAGTTATGATTGATTGCTTTGGTTGACCTTGTGTAAATATATATACACATTTATGTTCACCCGCTATTATAATTTAAGTCTCCTGTTAAAACTTTTTATCTCTAGATATTCTTAGTTCTCTCATGATCATGTTCATGTTCATGTTCAATCCTATCCACAGAGATATATCATATTTGTTGGATGATGATTTGATATAGAACTATCGAGATGTCTCTAATTTTTTTCATTATCTTTTGTAATTGCTGTTATCTTGGAAACGTTTTAAAGCTTTGTCTGATATGCTTATCAAATAAAGGATAAAGAGACAGAAAAAAAAAAAAATATGCCTGATATATAGACTCTCCGACGAAAACTTGGTGAGAAGACAGACCATTCATGTAATTTAAATGGAACACACGAAGAAGATAGTAAAATTCGGTTGGAGCTAGGTCCTCATGCCTATCACTAGACTACCATCTAATATAAATGCTATATAAAAAATAAAAAGCACATTTGATATGATCTTATAAATTTCATATTATACAATAATGATTTTAAAATACTTTATCGCTTATTTATTATTAGAAATAATTTGAGAAGCAAAATGTATTGTATCCTACGAATCAAGTACTATAATTATGTAGTGAAACTTGAATTCAAAAAATAAAAATCTTAGATTTCGATATATTATCTTAGTATATTTATTTTATATATTTATAAAAATTTACATTATATGAGAGTTAACATTATATTAATATTACCACTATATGTATATATGTATCTTATATTTTATTTATAACACAATTCAATAAACTATTTTATTCTATAATATTTAACATTTACCGTTCAAAAATTATGGTGGTACAATAGTAGGAGTACAAAATTTTGTATCATTAACATTTTATTTGAACCCTAAAGCTGATCTCTTTCTTCACCATATTTTGTTATCGCCAATTTTCTACCGTGTCAATGAGGTAGTGCGAATGGAGTTGAGATTGTACTACAGCAGTACAATTAAGTTCTTCTAGAAGATTTTACTGAAATGGTCGCTACTTTTCAA